GACGCGGGAAACCAGAGCTGGGATTGGTGGATGGGCTACCCAAAACAGCCACAACGGCAAGCCCCAAACGGCCCTATCCAGGAAGTGCGTGAGAAGGGGAGGGGGGGGGAATAAAGGGCCTAAGGCCGTAACGAACGCGCAAGACGAGGAGAGGGAGGGCAGGGGCGGACCCGTGGACGAATGACACCAGGGCCCTGGGCAAATACACCAAGTGGTAAGCGAAGCAAGTCATATCCTGATGGGTCCAAATCATAGCAAAGGCCCTGCCTTGGTGGTGGATGTGGATCTGGAGGCTGCTAGGGCGGGGTGCCCAGGATCGAAGTCTCCAATGACTTCGGCACTTCTGCCGGGAAATCTTGTATTTGTCGACCTGCACCGGGACTAACTTGGGGGCCGGTAAAGATTGGTAGTGACAGCGATAGATGTGGGGCGGATGGGGCACGCTTATGAACGAGCCAATGACAATATCCACGCCTGCTACCAAAAAGGGTTTGGCGCAGTCTGTAGAAGGTCTGACGCTAGGGTGATCTCCTCGACCAGTCGAGGTACTAGCCAAAGAACGGTTGTTGTGTATTGGTACCGTACCAAGCTTCTTCGTTCTGCTTCTGGAAAGTCGCCAAAGCGCCTGCGGTGTTACAAGGACCTCCCCTCGAACTCTATACCTCGAGCGATGCGTTTCGGACACACTCAACGAGCAATTTTCGCCCTCGCGACTACACGATTAGGGATATACGAGGGACTGTGGCCGTGCAAATCGCTCGCTATAAAGGGTACCTCCAGGGTATGGTGTGGAAAGCTGGGCCACCGCTTTGCTCCATGATTGGTGGCTCAGCCCAACGGCTGTTGACCTGATCGCTGGGGGTGCCACCAAAGGATCGACACGACACCTACCTTGGAGGTCCTTTATTTTTGGTTTCCTTTGTCAGCCATTCGTGAAGGCGATGCAGGGTGGGCGATCGTTGCGTTGGCGCTGGCACTAGGTCAATTGCTAATCGCTGCGGGAGCCCCGTGGCGCTGGTCCGCTGGTTGACCGCTGGCTACAGCTGGCACGCTTCAGACGCTTGAGGCGTACTTAGACTCGCCCCCGAATACCGCAAAGGGTTTGGCGGCCTGGTCAGGACAGGGTCAAACGGTAATGATCCTTCGAGCTGTTTTCGGTACTGGGTCCTCCCCTTAAGGCTGACGGGATATTCATCTTCTGATTGGCGGAAAACCGCAATATTACCGACGGGGTCTCGTTGCTCAATCTGGAAGTCGGGAGGTGGGGGGTGGGTACAGGGCCATGTTCCTGCTTAATTAATTATGCGTTTCCTATGGCCAATGGCTTCCTGTCTCTGGAACATTGGTCTGACGCCGTTTCTCATACCTCCTGAGACCTGTAGCTTGATTGACTGCGCTGGACGTTGCATGGAAACAGCGTCAAGCTACGTTCAAGCACCCTTATTAATGTCGTGCATGAACGGCCGACAGAACAACCCCAGCGTGCCAGTTGTAATTTCGCAGTTTCGTTTCAAGACAGATGACCACATCTCGTTCGGGTGGACGCCGCTCTTAACCTGGTTGCCAACCCATTGCTGCTTTGAATCAAAGCATAGACATCTGAAATGCTGGAGTCATGTCCCAACCACTGGCCACCTGCCCATACCCATGGTGGATGACACAGCACCTTTTCGAGGGTCCACACCTCTGACCACCTCATTCTGAAGATTGAAGGCTCCGGTTTTTACCTTATTCCAGCCGCACAGCCATGTAACGTTGAGGAATCTGGAGAATGTCCTTTTGATAAGGCCATACCACCTTGTCCCCACATCTGAGCAGCTACAGAACGGTCCCGGTACCACCTCCCTGGAAACCAATGATCGTGGAGCTAGCGGCAGAGCGTGAATTTCTGAATCCGGCAGGTCGATATTTTAGGGCTGAGATGGATTCGTTGACCTATCTTATTGGCGCCCCATCACGGTCATCCGAGTGTCGCCATGGCCCAATAGAGCAGGAACGACTGGTCATGAAGGTGCGGTTCCGGCTGAGCAACTCGGTATTTGGTACCCTGGACGGTGGCTTATTGAACATACCCTGTGAACTGGTCACGTCTCTCCCAAGTCAGGACCACGACAACCAGAAGACCGCCGGCAATCTAATTCAAAGCTGGCGTTTTTCGTGCCCAGGGGGATATGATCCGGTGTACCGGGTACTAAAGTTGAACAGCCCCAGCTGGAAAGTCTCGAGGCCGAACATTAGAGTATTTGAAATAACCGCCTTTAGTAGCGGGGGCGCAGTCACCCATTCGCCGCAGCCACGCTCTAAATGGCAACCACGGCCATAGGTTGAATGCCGGGGAATATCGATCCAAAGAAAGGATGAAACTGTGGTGGCTGGGGAATGGCGACTGGCGGTCCAGAACTAGTCGGCACCTTTCGACATGGCTGGGGCCCGCGGGAAATTAGGAGGCCACTTACCTAATGATGCATGGATCTTCGTTCTCAGATATCAAAAACTATGCTGTGAGGTCATGCCACCGACACTCATGGTGACTCTCGGGTAGCCTGAAAATGGAGCTTTCGAGTCAAAGAGGAAGTCTGTAGAAGCAGAGGAGGTAGTGGCGAGGCGGGCCCGCCAGCCAATTGTTGGGAGTATCGCAAGTCGATGCCTTTAACATGAGGGGTGAATAGGACGCCCGAGTCTTGGATCTAGATGCTCCCTCCTGTAATGTGTCGAGGCTGACATAGGTGGACGTCTGGTGGCAACGGTTTTGCTGAATGATCAAATAATGGACAGAGACAAGCACCAGACAAGTGACACGACGACTCCTCGGGACTACGCCATTAATCATCAGGCCAGGCAACCCTGGGGAAAGCCTATTTGGCAACAATGTCTCGTCGACTGAGGCAATTATGTCATTGCCAATGTTTTCAGGCAGCTGCTACTGTACGAGTAGATTGTAGTTTCCGTAAACTGCGTGCACGAGAGAGGATTTGTGGACGGCCGTTGTAGCAATTCGAGAATTGTGCATTGGAGATCCGGGATCGCCCTCGGAGGCGGTTTGGAGCATCAATTTCATTTCGGAGCGTCGAATCCAATACCCCAAATGTCATCGTCACGCCGACACACAAGGGTGCGCCCGGGATTGCGGCTTTTCCCGGCAAATACTGGACACCGCGCACATCTGCGTTGCGTATTGCGGATTGCGAGGTGGCCGCTCGAAGCAGCAGGCGCCCTAGAAAGAACTGCTGTCTATCCGCACGTCGGGTAATTAGATGATGCTCGGAGTATTGTCAATTACAGTAGTAGAGTCCTCGTACCATAGGAATGCCAACCGCGGCTAGGGCTAGCAGCAATTGAGTCAGCAAGCCAGATAGCTCCTGCAAAGCTTCAGGTATGCTTCGCGGTATCCTGCGTGGTTCGGTATGGTATCTCGTTCATTGGGGGAATAATATGTCGTGGGGGCCATAGGGCCAGGCACATGTACAGTAACAGTACAGAAAAAGGCAGGAGGTAGCAAAACAGAGGCTGATTTCTGGAATAGACATGGGTATGGACCATGAGCCAGGGGCCCTTTTCCCCCTAGTTGTTGTCGTTCTGAAGCCGAAATGGACTGCCAGATTGGCAGGGCGGTTACAACCCCCGGTACGTATCAAGAGGGATATTGCTCAATTCGTCAACAATGCGGCCGCCAAGCTCGTTCTTTAGTATGTTCAGCGGGGCCCTCGTGGGCGTAGGCGACTGGGGGAGAGACTAAACAGGTAAGGGCTTCAAGGGCTTGGATTCGCTTCTCGTTGGATACGTACGGGAGGTAGGGGGGGGGCAGGTTGTTTTGGTAACCGACCGCGGCACAACCAGAGGGCAGGGCCCAGGCAGGGCAGGATGAAACGAGAAGAGGGAACGAGAGGCGAGGGAAATCACAGGGCGGAATATGAGCGGGAGGATTAGAGGAGGTTATGTCGAGAGTATCAGTGTGTGTTGGTGTGGTGGAGGGGTTGGTGAGAAGGGGTGGGAGATTGAGGACGAGGACCGTGAAGGGGAGCGCAGTTTGGCGGTCACGGGTGGAGGAGGAAGAGCAGGTTTTTGGTTCCGGGTGCCCCAAAGTGCTCGTGCGTCGAGAGAATGACCACGAAAGGCAGGTCACGAAGTACGGTGGGCAGGTGGACAGTGGATAGGTACCGAGTACGGGAGTCCGGGTCATCAGAGAGCATGCACCCGCATGCTCGTAAAATTGTGAGCTTGAGAGCTCTCGGGGGCAGGCTGTCGTACCCAGGGAGCTAGGCTGTGGTGCTGGGTGCTTGGGTTTCCTTAGGGCTCCGCGATGCCGGAGGGCCCTTTTGGTGATTACCTACCTACTCGGGGGCCCTTGGGCACTTGGAAGGGGGGGGAGAGAGACGGGGGCCCAGCTAAGTGCCCAGCGAACTCAATGCCCAGTACCCAGTGGCCAGTGGCCACCCAAACAAAGGCGGGCGGACAGTGTCGGGAGCAACGAAGTGGCCGCTCGCTGCCTGAGTGCAGACCGACTTTCGCTATTCAGAGCAGCAAGGGCCTAAGCTGTTTCGGGCTAGGTGGGTTGCAGGGGCGCAGCACCACGACGTTGCACTTCTGCTGTCTCTTCCCAAAATTCATCCTTCGATCACTATTTCCGTCTCCTCCCGCCTCCTCGTTCGTCCGCAGCCCTATCCACCTCGTCCACTTCTCGCTCTTCCTCTCCTCTTCCACCAGCGTGGGCCGCGCTATCCACACCCTGGTCAGGACCGCCGCAGCACCCCTGCCACTGCCCGGGGCGGTCAAACATCCCTGGCTCTCTGCTCGCTCCTCCATCTCCTCCCACCACGCCCCCCCTGTCGTCCCGCGTCGCCGCCTCGCAGGGCCAGGGCTTGGTGGGCTGGCCTGGAATTGTCATGGGTTGGACACCACCAGGTTGGCACCAGGAAAAGAGCAGGGCATTTGATCGCGCTCTAACCTGGACAGCAGCGCAGCAACATGTGGCTCCAACGCCTTCGCGAGTGGAGTTGAACGCACGCACCCCCCGGTTGAACTTTTGCGTCCTGAGCAGCCCTTGTGCCTCCGATCCCCTGCTGCCACCCACTATCCTCCATTCAGGCAAAGCGGTAATTTTTGTTATATATCAAGGGACCTGCGTTTTGGGGCGTCCCATGCAGCCCAGCGTCCTGGCCATACATATGATGGACTAGCTTCCCTCATCACAACGAAACTATTAAGACTGTGAACACACCCTCACCTTTCATCCAGATCTTCCTTCTCTCCTGCCCAATATCAATCTCAGCGAGACCTGATCTCAGTCACTTTTTGCTTCATCCAACATCTATCCGTCCTTCCTTGCCCAGACCCAATACACCCCATCTCCCACCATGCATCGGAATCAAAGCTACGGCTACACCTCCGCCATGATCGGTCAGTCCAGATATGCGTCCACCCACGCCAGCAGCTCTGCCTTCAGCGCATCTGCGAACCCGAATGAGGACTGGACCAAGATCTCGGACCTGGCTGAGAGACGACGCATCCAAAACCGGATTGCTCAGGTAAATAATCCTCGTTGCTGGTGGTCGTCATTGTGCCCGATCCTGACACGCGGAAACAGCGAAACTATCGTAAGAAGCTCAAGCGAAGACTCGAAGATCTAGAGCGCCGTGCTGGGTCGTCTTCTGCCTCGCCAGAACAACAGCATTCGGAACTAGCTACCACTCCCGCCAAAGAGACTTCCCAGAAACAAACTCAATCCATGGCCCGCCAGCCTTCGAGATCAAGTGTGTCACACGAGGTGCCCAGAGCATCGCCAGAGATTTTTACCTTTGGATGACCACTCCTCACTCTTTGACGCTCCGGCTGGACGCCGTCTTTCAATCCATTCTCAGCCGGCATTTACCTTTTCGTCATACCCGCCGACCACAGCATATCTCCACTATGAGCACCAACAACACCCCGCGTATGACAACACGACCAGCCACTACTCGAGCTACCGATATCCCGTAGAGGTGACATCGTCGAGTCTGCCGCCGACGTTACCTGCCATGGTGTCCTCAGCATACGGAAAGCAGGACCACCTGTTTGGAGATGACGACATGTTAAGTCCATTCAGCATGAACTATGCCTCGCTGGCCGGTCTGCAAATGCCCTCGGACTAAGCATATTCAGGGGCCAATTCTCATGTAAATCCCACCGCTTTCCTCTCCCATTCATATTCCAGCCCACCCCGATTGAGTAGCAAAAAGAAACCCTCTCTCTGGCGGCTCAGTGCCCAACACCGGCTTCCAAGTTACCAAATTGCCCCGCTCAAATGCTGACTTCCTCTGGCTAGACACCACCGTTGACTGATCCATACTCGATGGATTCGGCCCACAACTCACCCAACTACTTTGATGTCCCGCTCACGCCCGTGTCGAGGACGGCGAGCCCCAACATTCACTTGTTCGACATCAGCTGCAATTGAGGGCCTTTCGCTTTTCTGGTTTGGTTTGGCAAGCAACTTCCGCTCATTGCCGTCATTACGGGCACCCTAACAACGGCGCCAAATAATTGGCACGACGGCTTCTACGACGGGCTGCTATTTGCTTTTGCTTTCGAAAAGGCGTACGGGTCATGGGAGGAGAGCGACCATTTGCATTTTGCTACGGATTGTGTTATGATTCACCTGGCTCAACGCCCAATTTACCGAAAAATGGTTTTTAGACTCGTACGGAAGCCCTTCGATGGGCAGGAAAGGATGGGGAGGCGGTTTGGGGGATGGGGAGGGCAAGGGAGGATGTGACACCATGGAAGCTGTCCAAAGCCAGCTCTTGGGAACCGGGGGGAGGGGTGTTCTGGATACCACATTGTAGTCCTCCACGGCAGAGGTACAAGGGCAAACAGCGGTGGACTGGTGTGTGTGTTGGAGCAGCATCAGTCCCCGATACCGACAGGGGCTCAGCAGCCCGCTCGGGAATTCCAATGAGATTTAGTTGTGAAATGTATCGGTGACCATCACACACATGTCGGCCTCTGGTTTGATTGATTGATTTTGCTGTTCGCGTGAATGTGACTCTGTGACTTTCTGGGCGGTTGGATCGAGACGCTGGACGCTGGAGACCCCGAGATGCCACGCGGGAATACGGAGCCAGGCAAAGGCAACGGGCCTTGCATTCAGCCCTAGCAGCTGAAATATCGCGACTGAATCGGGCAGCCTGTTAGGTTACAGCTATGGACAGCCGAACGCGAGAAGGAAGCCACAGGAAGCAGCAGGAACGGCGACCAGAAGCTGCGAGTCTGGGACAAGACGAAACTACCAGCCGCATCGCTGTGCGCCATTTCTCCATGAGGTTTAGCGACATCCGCCTGGACCCCCTCGGGCATTGAAGCACGAAGCAAACAAAGACAGCGTCGGGGCTTGAGGACGAGCAGGAGAAAGCAAAGCACCGCAGTCGCCGAACCAGAACCCCTTCAGCACAACCGCCTTCCAGAGCTGGCTCGGCACAATCTAGGTTGGTGTATCATCATCCGTGCGTCGTTGCGTCTTCTCGCGCCCCTCAAACAGGGAGTTTGATTGCCCTACCAACTACGAGTACGGTCGAATCCTAATGCCCCTCCTCTGCCGTGGGAAGCAGCATCCTCCCAGCCCCTGAGACGGCAGAAAAGAAAAACCACGCGCGCCGTTGAGAAAGGTCTAGAATTGAGATTGTGGCCAGGGGAGCAAAGGACCCTGGGAATCCTTCGCATCCCATGTGTTGGATTGCCATCTGCCATCTGGACAGCAAATCGCCCTCCATGGAACCGCTAAGCCCGCGTCGAGTGCTTTGGGGGTGCAATATGTAAGCAGATGTTATTTTCGACCACCAGCGAGCAGTGCCACTTTTCCCCCTTGGTAATATCATTTTGCCCTGTGGCGTGGCGCCATCCCATGCACCGATTAGGAAACGGCGACCTGCTAATTCTATGGCCGTTTGGGGCGCTTCGCGGCTTAGGGGCTGGCGTCTCAATCAATGGACCTCTAGCGACGATAGGGTTCGCGGCGGTAAATCACAGGTAAGTGTGTACCCATGGTCCGTTCGCCTTCTTCGTCCTGGGGCGGTGGTGACAGATCGCCGCGGCCCTTTCTGCTTGGTGTCGTCCATGGCCTACGAGGACGTGTGTTGAGGTGGCCGGCAGGGGAGGCGTCGGGAATATGTCCGCAAAACTCATTTGGGTAATAATAATTCTTCTGACAGTCCTATTTGGATAGCCGTGGCACGGCCGCCTGTTTCCATGGCACTCTCGATATCACTACCCTGGGCGGGGCGGGCTTTGCCTCTCAGCGGACGGCTGGCGACCATCTACACTGGGACCTGAGTTCCTTTGCGGGCGTCGAGGTCTCGATCGATCCATCCCAGTCCGACGACAAGGTCTACACGCTGATCCTTAAGGACGAGATACTTCCTCCCAACGCGTCCAACGGCCGTGAACAGGCCACGACATCGTGGGAGTATGATTTCTCAACATCCAACTGCCGCCCCAAGATCGACAGCCCTATTCCGTCGTCGTGCCAGTCTGTCTTCATCCCATGGGACCACTTTAAACCCACATACCGTGGCAAACTGGCCAGCACACCTCAGGGCCTGGACTTGAGCAACATCAGGAGGGTCAGCATCATGATTAGGAGGTTTGATGGTTGGTCCGCTTGAATTATTCGTAAGAGCTGACAGATTGCCCAGCTTCTTTGGATCGCAGCACGGGGATTTCCACTTGCACGTCCTGTCCATCGTCGCGGCCTCGACCGCTAAACCCGCAAAGATGCCGCCAACGGTGGCGAGCAACGGCCAGCAAGATGCCCAGGTCGCCACCGAAGCTGCTGTATCAGGAAACGGGACAAGAGATGGATGCTAATGTCCCTGTGGAGGCCATTCTGGGGGGGGGGGGGGGGGCAAACGAGATGGAGAGAGAGGGAGGGAGGGAGAGAGAGAGAGACAGGCAACTCGTGCTCGTCTCGCCCCAAAGGTCGTGGAACGTTTGCCCAGGGGGATCAGAGTTGGCCATCGGTCGATTTCCCACAGAGCAAGCAACATGCACACCTACCTGGTCAGAGACAACAGTATCGCCATGATCGCCCACCCCACCGGGTGACCACCACCACCACCACCAGCAGTACCAACTCCTGCGACCCTTGCAGCAACCGCGGGATTGTCATTCTGTCTTGTCATGGCCCAAGCGGTGTTGTCAGTTTCCACCTGCCAATGGGGAAGTGCTGAAGCTGTTTCCCCTCGTCGTTGTCAAGTGCGGCTCCGTGGCTGAGTAAGGTCATCATCTCCACTGCTTTGCAAGCTGCGAAGCAAAAGGACATAACCGCATTGAGATTGTCGGGAGTATGGGCAAGAGCCTCGTGTGTGCCATTGCAGCAACTCCAAATGGCTTTGAAATATCGCCGAAGCAGGCAAAGACAAAAGGGCACTATCCGGCTTGACGTTACATGCGCCCTTCAACGTTGGTGCCATAGCCACGGACACCTCGCTCGTCGTTACCGAGACGGGTAATTCTCACTCCCAGTTCATAGGCCGCCATAGCCCGCCTGGCGCTGGCCCTACCGTATACGCGGTAGATGCGCACGACTGACATTCTGCGGACTTTGCGCAAAAAGCGCGACGCTTGCACGCGTAACGTTTGGTTCTGGTGGACATGACGCACTAGGCGGCTACACGATGCAGTGTCGCAACATCCACAAGGGGCAGTCTGCTAGCACTTGGTAGCCAAAGGTTCGTTTCCCTATCTCCGCGCAGTGGCCGTGGACCAGGAGATTACTAGTTGCGGGTTCGCAGCGTGAGAAAGCATATGCAGGGACGCATGTAAATGCCTCATAAGGCTCTCGGCAGGATCGATACGGTGTGGTCAACTAGCCATGGCCTGCACGAGGCTTCGTCCTCGACCAGTGATGGCTGGAGAAGACGACGAATCCACTCGAGAAAGCCGGTGAAGCCAACTTGATCACACACGTTCGCCAAACCCGCCCTGACTAAACCTGTGCAGCAAGCATAATCACGAGGCTTTGGGCATGAGACAAATCGAAGTCGTTGGATAGACATTTCGGGGGGTCGGAGTCGCAGAGGTGAGCAAGGCTAGGCTATATTCCGGGGAGCGTCTGCTCGTAACTATGCTTAGGCGACAATCAAGCACCAGAAATACTCGAAAAAAGGCACCGCCTGTACCACGCTTGCAGGCCAGTATCATTACCAGACGATACAGTACCAGGTCGACAGGGGTTCCAGCCACACATCTGGTCGAATTTACGGTAACGCTTGTTTGTGCGAAGATTGGGGGCCGTTTCTGGATGACGGATACTGAGGAACCTCGGCACCCACGCTGCCCTGCTGTCACCTGTTGCCAGGCTGCCAGCGAAGAGGATGAAAGAGCTTCCGTTCGGGGTATTCATTAAGTCCATGAGACGGACACGGTGCATTTGATGCTGCCGAAGACCAAGCCCCCGAGGCTCCTGACCTGCTGTCCCGACGACACCGAAGAGATGCGTCAACCACTTTGCGAAGAGCATAACTGGGGATTTGCATAATCTCCATAGCCAACTTGCTGCCGAGACCTGATGATGCGTTGCGCACATTTTCCAAGAAACGCCCCCGGTCAACCCATATGCTGCCCTGATTGTTCATCAGGGACAAGAAAGAACGCACGTACACTCGGCAACGCAACGCAACACGCGCCCTTTACGCCCTTCTCGTGTTGGAATTTGGAAACGAACCGTCCCGTGTGTGGAGATGGGGACCAACGTCATAGAAACGGGAGGCCGCATACCACTCGCACTCGTACTCGCCCTCGCAACGCACTGACTCGACTGCGCCGCCACGCCTCCCCAGACCACTAAACTCTGCAGGGCAAATATTGCTACCCTTGGGATGCTTGGAAAGAGACCATCAATACGGGAGCCTAGAATTGCCCGTTACCCATCCATTGCCCACAGCGTCACGGACGAAGGAAAAACGAGGGTTTGGGCAAAGTGGCCTAGGTTGCATTCTCGCTCAAGCAGCATTTGTCACCAAGCGTAGAGGCTACTGAGGCTACTTTAGGCCCTGCAGCCCCTCTCTGGGAGCTCTCATGACGCCCAGGCCCCAGGCGAAACGGCGGCTGCGGCGCGAACAAAGAGCCACCAAGAGCCACCGTGAGCCCACCCACCGTCCAAGGCCCCGAGAGCCCAAGACCCGCCATCCATCTTCCCTTTTCGAGCAGCATCGGGAAAGTCACGTGCAGGGGCAGCTGAAGGGGTGAGGTGGCGCTGGTAATCAAAGGCCCCAAGGGCAAAGCTGAATCTCGGAGAGGCGCCTGAGGACATGGATGGGCTCATCCACTGACACCTCGTCAGCCCACTTCCTCTTCTGAACGACCGTCTTGCGGGTTTCCTGGAGGGCCCCACGCGTGATCAGTGTCTTTTGGGATTCGCTTCAACCCACTGCAAATCTCCTCTTTTGGAATGCGCCCTAGGTACGGAGGAAATGGGAAAAACTGTCACTGGTGTGGAAGCGTGGTGGGATCCCCGAGAGACGAACATTCAGGCACAACTCGACTCCAAGCTCCCCCTTTTCTCCCGCTATAGACCTAGAACGGACATGTGCTCGAGAAGCCAACAAGAACGAGGAAGTTCTGGTACCGGTACCCAAGCACACCAAAAAGCAAAGCCGGACACGAACAACTTGGTCTGGATATCCAATCAAGAAGGTGGAACCATCCAGTGCTAGGCCATCAGGGAGCAAGAAGTGACCACGGGCGTTTAATGGCGTATGCACTTGTGTCGCAATCACCCTCCCCCAGGCGAAAACTCTCCACCAGCCCATCCAGCCCATCCAGCCCATCCACCGAGACACGACTCCATCTTCCTTCGACACCAGCCGCCAATGAAGCACTGACTTGGCCGGGTGTGCTGCTGGCCATCCCAACCAGCTTGGCCGGGCTGCTCAAGCATCTGACGTGTGCACTGTGAATGGACGTCTGCTCACACAGTGTCGGCCAAACATATAGGCAAAGTCTCCCCAACAGGTACCAGATACGTTTGAGTCAGCAGAAACTCTGAGATTACCTCGTCTTCTTTAAACTCTAGAAAACAATTCTACAATATCCTTTTCTCGACAAGAATGCCATGCACCACAATTGCCTCGAAAGGGATCTGCTCAATTCTTCTTCCTTTTTTTTTTGCAAGTGCCGAACCTTGAAACGAGGGATCCTCCCTTCCCCCCCTTGCGCACGGACGCTCCTCCTCCCGGAATCCACGGCTTTACCGGTGCTGGGCACGCAGAGCAAATAAAACCGCATGGGAATCCCCGAGCAAGGAGAATGGCTGAGGCGTGCCGCCTGATCCCTAGGCCAACCAATCAATGGCCGTCCACCAAGACCTTGGCCCAGTTCACGGTACGTCTACACGTCATTCAGAAGGGGAAAAGAGGGAAAAAGGGAATGTTGGCTCCTCGTAAGTCGATCGTATTGTGCACAAGCGTGGGCAGGAGATTCTCCAGGTTCGCAACTCGCGCCTTGACCGGCACGAAACTGTCACAAGAGGCGATTCCGAAGCCCCGAGCCCGAAGAGACCGACGAGACCCCCATCTGCATCTGCATCTGCATCTGGGGGCTGCCTGGACTGGGTGACTGGGTCTCGCACAATTGGACTGCTGCTTCCGTCGTAAAGCAGCAATGGACCAGCATGAAAAAGAGGTCAAGCTGCGATGCATACCCCCCAGGATGCCCCGGCTCCTCAAGGTTAGGGGAAGCCAGAGCCTAGAGCCTAGTGCCTAGAGCCTAAGGCTGGTGAGGCCAAGGGCTAGGGAGGCCCCTTCACAACTCTGTGGTGATTTTGGGGATCAATGAATGCCTCGGACCATCAGTACTGTGCGTATTCCACTACTACCCCTTCCAGGCTCCCGCGGTCTTCCATGCCCTAAATCAACTTGTCCTGCATAAATGGCTCGTCGAGAGGTGTTGGTCCGGTGGCTTCGGCTCGAGCATTGTGCATCCATCCCGAATCACACATGGCACAGGACACTGCTTGGAAATAGAAAAACAACGAAAGAGTCACTTGCACAGCAGAACCCAGAGTCATTGGCTGTCCATGGCCTCGACGCGTTCTTTGCACTCGTACCGAAGCCTTGGTGTGCCCTCTAGCCCCTGCCCGTTCCGGCTGTCAGTGGACGGCCAAGGCCAACCCTTTTGTGTGAGCCGTGGGCATCTTCTCTTCTTCCCAGCCCCAGCATCCGAAGCCCTTGGTCGTCGCAGTTTCCCCGCGGCGGGCGAACCAGATCGCGGTGTGTGGTCGTGCAGATCCCCTCGTTGCTTTTCTCTAGAAGCAGCTGAAAAAAAAAAGGCCAACATCGTTTATGCACCAGCTGTGGCCCAATAGTCCGAAGTCTATGCCCAAACCAGCATGTTCAAGCCATGGAAGTGCCACGGCATCGCCTGATCCGACATGGATTCCCCCGCCAGAAGCCTTTCAGCTCCTCGCGCGGCTGTGACGTCGCCAACAAGGTGGAAGCATTAGTCACAAGGCGGAATTACTGCTTGCATTACATGGCAGCACCTGTGTCGCTGGATGGACTCCGTTGCGACCGCGAGTAACCTGCAAAAGGCATTACGCCCGACTTGAGAGTAAATTACTGGCATGCCCGGCGACTTTGCGATCGAGGCATGCAACTAATCCGTTTTAGAAGAGCTTCTGAATGGTTCTACGGACCTTGACCCCAACTCGAAATCTCAAAGGTAAGGCGAGCTAGAAGACAAAGAGCAAAAGGGGCATGTGGAGGGCATGCATCTTGGATTGAGTCGTCAGCGAGCATCCAGGGCAGGACGGGACAGCTGTGACTGAGCAGCACGTCCGGATGATCTGCTTTGGGATTTCCGACGTTTACTGATCCTTCCGCTTGCAGGCCATGCGAACCTTGGGGGCTGCTGTAGAGCGAGTTGGTATCGAAACATAAGCCGCGATCGTGTTGGCGCTGAACAACCACTTGCCCAATCCTCCCAGCGGTTCCGAGATCGAATCCCAAAGCAGCATTTCGACCCATGGGCCGAAATCTGGCTGTGGTGCCCCTGCAAGTGAGCCGGCTGGCGTTACATCCTGAAATCATTCAGTCACCTGTTTCGCGTGACTGTTGCTAAACATCTTGCCTTGCATTGTCACAGTATCCGTATGGGACACGACACGACTTTTCCTCCGTCAATGCTCCAGGGGTCGAAGTCGGCGTCATCTACGGAAAAGCATGTCATCGAACCAAGGGAAGTATCTTGCGGCCCTAAAGGTCGATCCTTGCGTCTACTTCCCCAACCGGTGTCTTGACTACCCAGGAGGTCTGTTCCCTGCGATGTCGAGGACTTAGTCGCATTCTGTGCGCTCAAGAACCTGAGCATGTTTGCTGATGATCTCATTCAGTCGACAGACACGGACCCTGCGCTTACTCCTCGGGGATACGCAGTCGATACGCAATCGCCTGTCAGCGCTGCAGTCCCTGCTGTTTTCGAGCCAAAGGAGACATTTTGGGAAGGTGGACAGGTTCAACCTTTGCATGAACCCAACACGGCGCTGACGGGGCCTGACCGAGAGCAACTTGCTGGGAGGTTGGAAGGTCGATGTCAGAACGCCGAGGAGCCGCATACGGGCCCCAGCAGACCGAGTCACTAGCTAACGTCCCGCGCATCTCCTATGCTGATGGTCTCCCTTTTGCCCAGGTATCGGCCAGGACAATGGAACCCAAGGGCTAAGGGCTGACGGCAAGATGGAGGACCACGTCAAGAGTGTGGCTTTTTCTCTGACCACGATCGACAGAGACGCAGTCCAGTCCTTGGTCTGTTGCGAATAGAGTTGGGTTTCTGGTGGAGAGAAGACTTCGCCCAAAGGCCAAGTGAAGGTGATGAGGTAGGTGAGCAGGTGAGTCGCAATGGAGCCCCGGTCCTGGATGAACAGGATCGATTCTACCGCGAGTTGTCGGTCCTGTGAGTCCAGGGGTTGTGTTGGCTCGCTTGCAATTCCTACCACTTTGCTCTCTGTACCTGTCCTTTGCTGTGATTCATTTGGTCTACCGACCAAGACCACGCAACGGCCAGAGATTGTATGGTTATGGTTGCTTTGAGAACCCCGACCCCTTGAACCACGTATCAATCCTCTAAGTCTGCTGTTGTCCCGCATAGCACCTCCCGGTCAACGCATGAAGCCAATCCGCAAACAGGTCTGAGATGTCGAATGCAGGATACATCCTTTCTTTCTTCCCGTTCTCTCCTGAAGCGTGAAGAGCCACTCCTCCTAAACCAGCGAGCGTGAAAGTTGCGGGAGAGATAATGGGGAGCGGAAACGAAAGGCCATTCTGTTCGACAATACACACACCACCCTAAGGGGGCAAGTTGTGGCAGGTGCAGGTATTATAGAACGAGACGGGTGAGAGGCGAGAGACCCTTGAAATAAGGACCTCGATTTTACCATCTCTCATATATACAAAGCGAGAGACTGCGAGGGAGCGCCTCACCGAGGGAGGTGGAGATATACAGAGGTGCATGAACATAGGCCGAGGATCGATTAATATATGATATACAGTATAGGATATCGTATAGGATATGAGATATGGGATATGGGATATCAGTGCCTTTTCAAATATCCGTACATCCACCTACTTTTGACTTCCTTCGTGGACTAGAATATACTGTGTCCTGCCTCTCTCTTTTTTTTCTTCTCTCTCTCTCTCCCCCTCTCTCCATCCACCGTATCTCATCCCCATTTACATATAAGCTGTTCTTACGTATAAGTCTCTACCGTAGGCACACTACGTGGCCGTAGAGACGGAGGTCTCGTCGTTCTCCCGGGTTCAGCATCTTCCAATAGTCCCTGATTGACTCCGTATCCGCAGCTCTGTCCCGACCTGAACATCTTCCAGCCTGCTCCTCTCTTTGGCGTCCGCCCTCCCCCCTTTCCTGATAAACCTTGATCCTTCACTCATCCCCCCGACACGCACCCTCGTGCACGACCCTGTGGCCCGGCACGACAGGGGCCGCCGCAGCCGCCGACCCCGACCCCGACCCCGACCCCGACTCCCGGAACGGGACCTGCAGCGCCACGCTCTCCCCGTCGCCCGGGTAGAAGGTCAAGTGGCCGCGGGCGCGCGGGTCCGTGTCCGCGGCGACGAGGAGCTGGTTGGGCGAGCCTGGCGTGATGGTGATGGTGTCCCATCTGGGGTCGTCCGGGCGGGGTTGCGGATGTGGTTCGTGGAGTGGGAGTTGATGTCGGTGCTGTTGAAGTCGAGCTTGACCAGGATGGGAGGAGGGGGATGAGGAGGATGAGGCTGGATTCACTGCGTAGTTGATATCATCGCCCTCGCCATACCCATAGCCATCGCCATCGTCGTCATAGCCATGGGAGAGCATGGTGGCAGACTCGCCGTCACGACGCGGGACGTACACCTGCGCCAGCCCGCTCAGCAGCACGAAGAACATGGCGTGCGGGGGCCGGTGCCACCCCTCGGCGCTGCGCGGCGGGAGCACCACGTACGTGGCATTGTCGACGGCGCCGAGCGCCAGCGCGCGCCCGACCGTGGGGTAGACGGTGAAGGGGGCCGCCAGGGCCCAGCACTGTGCGCGGGCCAGGTACGGCGGGTCCCGGTGGTTCGTGAGGGCGGTGATGTACAGCGTCGTCGCATCCGACTCAGATATTGACGCTGACGATGACCCTGACGGTGACGATGATGATAACCCTGACGAGGTGGGTGATGCGCGAGAGCTCGGTGCAGAGGCACAGTCGGGGTCGGGATTGGAGGCGGAGGCGGAGATGGGTGTTGTTGCGGACCAAAAGAGCGAAAGGGTCGAGAGGACGGAGAGGAGAAGTGCTGAGAGGGGATTCATCTGTACGTCTGTATAGATGTATGTTGCCCCTTTCTGCACCGCCGGGAGAATGAATCCAGAGACGCCACGGGTAGCTTTGCAGAGATCCGAGATAGCCAGGCAGAGTTTGAGCCGAAGAAGAGTGTCAGGCAAGAAACGAGGACGCGGGCATGCACAAGGCTGAATATCTAGGGCCCCTTGGTGAGGAGTGTCGGTATAGAGAAGAGAGTCTGGACTTGACTGGGACATGCGGACGGTGTCTGGCGAAGAGAACAGAGCAGCTAGGTACACGTTGAAGCTGGGATTGAGTTTGAATACCAAGTATCGGCGACCAGTCGATTGTCGGTTGTCCTCTCAATCACCGTCCATCAAGCCAGCCTACGACACAGTCCAAGAGATTGTCATCTGGACACATATTGCTCTATCATTCAATCTCCTATCTTCACAGGCAGCACATCACCAGGTCGAGCCACTGCTTGCCTTCTTTACAACACCGAATACCTCCCTCCTGTTCTCTCGGCCGCATCAGCCGCGCTCATGGTGCCCTCCTTCAACAGCCGCATCAACTCTCTCATGGCGTCGTGCACCACTACCTCGGTGTCACCCTCCACAAGGATGTATAACTTGGGATTCTCGCCCGGCCCAGGCTCTTTGCCCGTAGGATAGAAGGATCCTTTGGTAGTAATAGACGTGCCAGTCGCTTCAAGGATCTTAGCCACGTTCGTCCGGTTCGTGACCGCCCACCGTGCTTTTTCTGTAGAATGACGGTTAGCACAATCTGCTCAGATGACACGAGGGGATGGGAACACTTACGAGGAAAGTCATTGATCTCCAGCGTTGCATGGAATGCACCAGCATCAGGACCCTTGTTGTCAATGGGCACACCAGACCGCATGACGCCTGCTTTGGAGAGTTTCTCATTGATCGCACCCACAGCTGCCGCGACCTTGTCCATTTGGTTCTGCGCCCCGCCAGATTTGGATCCGGCAGGTTCACGCTCGGTCCTGTGGACGGTGATCTTGCCGTCCAGGTCGATCCCCTTGGGCACGCCGACTAGACTGGCACCTCCTTCGAACGGCTTGACGCTTGAGGCGGCTTTGGCGAACAGATCATCCCCAACCTTGACGTCTTTGCCGTCTTCTTTCTCCTCCTGCTCCTCACCTTCTTCGCCGGTCTTGAACGTCTTGCGTTCTCGCGCCTTGGCGGCGTCACGCTCTTGATCGAGGCGTTCAAGCCCTTTGCCACCGAATCCGGAGGCTCCGGCTTTCTCTTTGCCAGCTTTGACCTTCTCCATAAAGAAGTCGACAAGTTTTTGGACATCCTCCGGAATCGGCTGCCCACTTTGCTTCAAAGCCTTGGCAATATCAACAGCATACCTGTCTTGCTCGGGAGTGATGAAGGTCACCGCTGTCCCTGTGTTGCCGGCTCTGCCCGTGCGTCCAGCACGATGTACGTAGTCTTCCAGATGATTAGGCGCGTCGTAGTTGACCACCAGTTTCAACTGTTTCACGTCAAGACCCCGGGCAGCAACAGAGGTCGCAATGAGGATGGGCACGACACCCGCCTTGAAATCATCGATTGTCGAATCCCGATCGATTTGATCTTTCCCGCCATGTATCGACATGCAGGGGTAACCTTTTTTCATCAAATCTCGGAGGAGACCATCAGCTGCCTCTTGTCGATCAACGAAAATGAGTACCCGATCGTCTTCGTTCTTCTCGTCTTCGTATAGCTTGCCCAGAAGCTCAAGCAACCGGATAAACTTGGTGCTCTCTTCGCGAACTTCGACAATTTGAGTAATCTCCGGCGCCACAACACTGCGGCCACCAACAACAATCTCGACAGGCTTGGTCAGGGTTTTCCTTGCCAGCGCTTCCATCTGGCGCGGGAAAGTCGCGGAGAAGAGAACGGTCTGGCGGTCCGGTCGGATGTTGGAGAGAATTTTCATCACTTGGGGCTCGAATCCCATGTCGAACATCCGATCGGCTTCATCAAGGACCACATATGTGACACGTTTCAGATTCGTCACTCGCCCACTGTTGGCTGCAAGAAGATCAATCATTCTGCCAGGAGTGCAGACAACGATTTCCGCTCCACGCTTCAAGTCGGCGATTTGGTCCTTGATCGGTGCTCCCCCGTAGGCGCAGACTGCTCTCAGACCAAGAGCCTTGAGGAAAGGCTTGCACTCTTTGTGGATCTGTGTAGCAAGCTCTCTGGTAGGACTTAGGATTAGGCCGATCGGTCCATCCAGAGGCTCCAAAGGAGGCTGATCCTTGATATGTCGGAACATGGGGAGGAGAAAAGCAATGGTCTTCCCTGACCCTGTTTTCGCCACGCCGATAACATCGCGGCCGGACATGATAGCTGGGATGGCTTGAGCTTGAATGCTGGTCGGTGCTTCGTAGCCGAGTTTCTGAATGACCTCTAGAACTTGGACTCCCAGCCCACATTGCGCCCACTTTTGGACCGGCTTCGGAACATCCACCCCTCGGACTTTGATGTTGTCCAGTTCCATTCGCAAATTTGCTACGTCCTCTTCCGTCCAATCAGCCATCTCCACGGGCTCCGAGTAGAAGTTGCGCCTGAACGGCTGGTACTGTATTTTGGCATGGTTGACAGTCGGGATGTCCTTCTTCTTCTTCTTCGCAGTGGCACTCGCCAGTGACAAGATATTGTCAGGATGTTCGTCGTCGACCGCTGTCATGTCAACTTCGTCATCTCCAAAAAGAGCCTCGGGTTCTTGTTGGCGTGACTTGGATGTTGTCTTCTGATTGAAGAACCGGGCAGTTGAGACAGGCTGCAAATCTTGCATGAACGCATCCAAGGGATCAACTTCTTCCTCTTCTTCGTTTGTCATAGTGGTGGGCAGTGGAGCAGATACGTCGGCCATGGCGGTGTCTTCTCCTCGCTCTGCTTGACTCCGTTGCTCTGCAGCAGCTCGTGCGGCGGCCATGGCTTGCGCTTCTTCCTCTCCATCTTCTTCCTGCATATCGACATCATTATCGCCATCGTCGGCTCCATCCGGCTGAGCATCATCAACACTTGTGTCTTGTTCCAAGACCATGTTGGGAAGCTTCTCCAGTTTCTTCTTGGTGTCCTCATCGTCGGCAAAATCCAGACCTTTCTTGGCCACTTCGTTGTCCAGGGTCGTTCTGCTACCCAGTCCGAATTTTCCGACAGTGCCTGTCGCTTTTAGCGCGTTTGAAGAAGGGAAGCCATTTGCCGCTGGTTTCGGAGAAGGCTGCGAGGCCTTGACATGGCCATTAGTCAACGTCGGGGGAGCGACATCGCCCCCGAGGATCTTGGTGGCGGCCGACGCATGCTGGGCCTTCTTCACGATGGCTTTAGGATCGAATTTGCCAGCGTACGGCGTCGAAACTGGTGATGGCGAACTGGGGGCTGCAGGGGACTGCGGAGAACTCACTGCGGGCAACATGCCTGCTTTTCTGTCAATCTCCTGCAATATACTCCGTGCTCCTCCGGCCGCCTCGAGCTCTTTTTGTTTTCTGGCTTGTTCTTCAGCTTGTTTCTTTTTCCACTGTTCTAGTTTTGCGAGACGTGCCGCTTTCTGGTCTTCCGCCGTCTGTGGATTGGGAGTGGATGGCTTCGACGCCTGTCGAACGCTGATAAGCTCTATGAGATTCCTAAGGTTCGGGGCAGTACTCACATCTTTTGAAACATTGCCCGATTCTCGCCTCGACCCACGATCCCAGCTATCGTCACGCTTCCGTTTTCTAGATTCAGTAGACTCCTCTCTCAGGCGGCGATCCTTGTCGCGGGAGTCGTCACGCCTCGAGCGACCATCTCGGTCTCGGCTCCGGCGACGATCGTCCCTATCTCGTGAGCGTCGTCGTTCACGCTCTCGTGACCTTTCCCTGTCTCTGTCTCTTTTAGAATAGTAGTAGTCGTCGTCCTTTCGGCCATCATAGCGTCGGTCTAAGGAACGGTCTCGGCGACGGTAGGCATCACGATCTCGCTCACGATCTCTGTCGCGATCACGGTGGCGTCGCTGTTTCCAGAAATGGTAAGATTGGGTTGTTAGGGAGTAGGACGGGGAGCGGTGACATACATCAGGACTCCGAGATCTGGAGTGTCTCCTCCGATGGCCTCGATCGCGGTCGCGGTCACGATCATCATCTCTTCGACTTCTCTCGTGGCGATCCTCATCTCTTCGGCTGCGTTTTGACGAGGAATAAGAACTGCCTGCAGGTGATGGTGAGCGAGTGTCCCCGTGCCTAGCCATCCTGTGGCTGCAGATAAGTGAGCTTTACTGCTTGAACTGCAAATCAGGAACCAGGCTCGAGATGGACTATCGGAGAGTGGCAAAAGAGTGAACTCTGGGCTAGCGAGAGTATGGGGCTGGATGACACCAGTGTTCTATATCGCGTCGTTTGTCATTGCAATATCTTTGCGAGAAGATCGTTGTCTCAAGGCTGCTGCAGTCAAAAACTCGAAACCTCCCGCAGGCGAGAGATGTCCCGCATTTCTTGGTACCGCACTTACATAAGCACAGCTCATACACGTGATCGTCTCCCCCGAGACTCCCAAGCCACAAGCTCGGCTTGCATTGGGCCAGGCACGCGTGGATCATTCGAGGGAGCCTCTCCCCAGCCACCGAATACACCAAGTCAATCCAGAACCATACATTTTTGGATGGCCGCCTCCTTGCATTGAATAGTTTGTCAATCTCTCAAGGGCCGCCATGACGGTCGCGCTCCCTCTCTCCCGGCCGCTGACCAAGCAGCTGCTGGTCAGGTCTGCACGATCCCTCACGCGACCTGTATCTGCCAACCCTCTTCTACGCGTAACCTGTCATTGCAGCTCAAACAACGACCCCTCAGGCTCTCATCCTCAGGTTGGGAAGTTCGCATCACTCTGTCAGAGAGCTAGAACATACGCGACAGCGTCCGCAAAGCCTGCCAGCCGCCCAAAACAACATACAGGCCGCACTCCCGCGAAAAGCACCAAATCAACCACCAAAAAGGCCACGCCAAAGAAGAAGCGGCCTGCCAGGAAAGCCAAAAAGACTGTGGCCACCAAGGCAAAGCCAAAAGTCAAAAAACCTCTTAGCAAAACCGCTCTCCTGAAGAAAGCACGTAAAGTGCAAGCAGATCTCCGAGCTGCGGCTCTATTGGAAGAGCCTAAGCCACTTCCTTCAACGCCGTGGCGCCTTGTATTTGCGGAAGAGACCAAAAAGGGTGGAGGGCAGGTTAAGGCCGCGGCCACAGCGGCAGCTCAGAAGTTTCGAAATCTGTCACTAGAAGAGCGTGAGGTATGAGACTTTCGACCGCTGTCCCCGTATACTTTGGTCATGATTAACACTTCTCTTGTAGCGATACAACCACGAAGCGACCGAGAACAAAGCCAAAAATGACCGCGCCTACAAACAATGGGTCCAGACCCATTCGCCACTAGAAATCAAATTGGCCAACAATGCTCGACGCCAATTGACCAAAAAGGCAAAGGCAGCTGGAAAGAAGAAACAGTACAAGTCCATTCAAGATGACCGCAGTGTCCATCGCCCTAGGAACGCTTATGCGTTCTTCTTTAAAGAGAGGAATGACTCAGGCGACCTTCAGGGCATGACTGTGGGTGAGCGCGGCAAATTGATAGGACAAGAATGGAAGAAACTGTCTGCAGCGGAAAAGAAGGTATGTGCCCCGTGAATCCACCGAAATGAAAGAACGTGCTGACCCATGCTGTTCGACATAGACTTATGAGGATCAAGCTCAAGTCGACAAGGATCGATACTTGGAGGAATATAAGACAGTCTACGGCGAGGATCCTCCTTTTACCAAGAAGAAGAGTGGTTAGGTTTTGGCTTTAACAGCCACCAGACCCCAGTCTTGTGATACCATCTCATCGAAAGATGAATCACTGGCACGGACCCTATCACGCCCACGCCGCCTCACTTCGGTAGGAGCGGATCCACGATCACCCTGTACAGTATGGGTCTCCGGAATCCTGGTTTGATCTTGCACTCTTGTCTGAAGCTCTTTTGTGAAGAAGGAATTGGTCTTGGTCATGTCTGGGCGCATGAATCTCCACTACCCCGTGTTTTGGGCAATTGTCGTTTCTACGCATTGTGAATAGGACGGGGCGGCTGGCGGTCTGGGATATCAAAGACCTGGCAAGGTCACCCGTCTGGATGGTGTTCATCGTGGTTTCGTGGATGTGACTCGGGGGAAACTGGACCATACCGTCAACGGTCGCGTGGGGCGCACAAGATACCCTGAATAGTTGCTATGCGAGAGTAGTCTGAATGCATTTGCACGCATCAAGCCAACCAAGGATAAATGCTTTCCACTTTGGCTTGATCTCTCAGCCTTACAACAAGACAGGGCCTATGTCGAAATCTGCTGTTGTTACACATCGGACCACTTTTCCCGTACATGATATACTCCTCGGCCCGCTGTGGCTAATAGACCACAACATGCCAACTCAGTCCTTCTTGTCCTCCTCGGGCTTTGGCTTCTCGTCCTCCTCCAACATCCTCCGCCGGCCCTCCATTGTGAACCAGAGACTTCTCGACCCACTCTCCAAGGTCTGCACCATCGCGGCCCCAAAGCCTTGCAACATGCCCACCAGTTGTGCGCGCAGCCCGTCAATCCCGCCGTCTATACTGCCCACCCACCTCGTGCCGTCCATGTCGAAGAGCTGGCCGTCGATCCGCGCGCCCAGCAGCATCAGCTTCTTCAGCCCGTCCTGGACCGACGGCTCGTAGTACTGGGGCAGCGCGCGCCTGGTCGGGGCCGGGAACAGGGGCGGCTGCGGGGACAGGATGGAGAAGGCCGTCTTGAGGTAGGTCGGCGAGACGGCGGGGAAGGTCAGGATGGCCACGGAGCCCGCCAGCACGGGCGTCAGCGGGTGTTCATTCCGGTGCCGCTGCGCCGCCTCGTACGCGGCCACCGACAGCACATGCGTCAGGGAGGGATCCTCCTTTTCCGCCGCGATGCCGCCGGTCGGCTCGAGAGGTGGTAGCGGCGTGAAGTACTCGGCGATCCGGAGCGCGGGCTCGAACATGTTGGTCTTGATGACCTGCAACTTGACGTATTCTCCGATCCGCTCCTGTGCAGGCTTGCCCTGGGCGGCGAGTTGGGCGTCGACTTTGCGGAGCGCCGACGCCAGCTCGCGCCGGATGCTCACCCACTCTGTGGCCTTCAGATTGTTGTGCTGGAAGAAAATGATCAGCGGCGTCGTCTGGAGGAGCGAGACGTAGGAGCGCAACAGCTGAGACTTTCGATACGCCGGGTTGCGGTGCGAGGGAGGTTGGACCGCCGGGTAGCGGGAGAGTGTTGGTATCGAGGCTCGCATTTGCGCATCTGAAGGGGCCGGGGTTGTCGCTATTGACGCCCCCGGTGCTGCTGTCGCGTATAGTCGCGAGCAACGACCGCAGGTGTAGGTGGAAGTAGCAGGTTCGACTTGAAGCTCCGCGAGCTGCGCGAGGGTGCGCAGGCGGATCCGTGGAGGCATATTCTTGGGATTCTAAATGCACACAAGGTAAAGGTGCGGTCCCTTGAAGGTTGTTTGGAGATATGAGGGTTAGTTGGCGGAGTGTATGAATCTCAGTCCTCGATGAAACCATCGGCCGCAGTTTTGAACAATTCAATGGCTCAAAATGCACATTTCCAAAAACAGTTAGACCGGAATCCCCACACTAATATTGCTCTGTTTCCAGCCTCGAAAGTTAGAAAATCATTCTTGTGCTCGTACCTCCAACTCATACAGACCTCAAGAATGGGTCCGACAAAAGAAATATCGGGTCTACACTATCCGGTGCATCCTGGCACAGTTAATCAGAACTGAAGTCTTTACAGCGTCTGTCTCGCTCTTCCAACCGCTGGTTCGAGATGTTTAGTTTGGCTTTCGAAAGACACCCTAGCAACGGACTTGTCGCAATTTGCATTTATGGTAATAGCTGCAAGTTGAACGATGATCCCTATGTCGTCTCTAAGTCGTCTCTATGTCTATGGTTTATGGGGGAATAATCGGTAACAGCAATCTGCTCAACATCATATTCGTGACCGTGAATGGTTGGATGGATCTCATACAATCCTTTCTCATGCCGACCTTTTCCTCCCCCTCATATCCCCAACAACCTCCGTGAACAGCATGACAAAGAACCTCCTAGTCTCCCAGATGGGCAAGGCCACACTAATCAAGGCGGAGCTGAAGACCCAGATGAAGCTGATGACGACCCAGGCGGTGAAAAACCCGACCGAGAAGACGTAATGGCTCAGGAACATGGGGATGGGGATCAAAAAGTCCATAATGAAGGGCAAGACGAACGAGGCGATGCAGGCGAGTTTGAAGGCCGAGCGCAGCCGCGACGGATGCTCCTCGATGGCCGCGTCTAGGGACATCTGGCGCTCTTCGTCGGCGCGGATGGGATCAGCGTCGTGGTTCATGGTTGTCGCTATATGCTTTTCATCGGGTGCCGATGTAGGTGCGAGCACGGGCGAGATAGGTGCCGGGGATGGTGATTCGCTGACAGATTTGATGTCCTTTGTCTTTGCGCCGCCGCTACTCTGCGTCGTGCTTGGCCGGGAAGAATCCGCCGCCGGAGGAGTAGTTCCCTCCAGAGCACCATGGGAGCCCGCTGCGTTGATGGCCCGCGTCGTGCTCCAGTCATAATTATCAGGCTTGAGCAAAGACACCACAACCGAGACAATCAGCCCTGTCATGATGGCGGCTAGATTGCCTGCCAGCGTGGCGTAGTTCGATCCCGTAGTCGTCAGGGTGAGCTCCCCGTAGTAGACCTTTGCCTCAACAAGCCAGGCAGTGAGCCCGGCTGCGAGACCACTCAAAGCTCCAGCGATGGCACCCGCTCGACTCTGCCCTTTCCACGTTATGGCAAATGCGACAGGGAAAACAGCACCACCAATCAAGAGGCCCATGACCAGGAACAACCAGCCCAGATCAATGCCGATGACGTTCCAGATGATGGCGAAGATGGCCATGGTTAAGCCGAAGACGGCGACGTTGACGTGGGCCATGAAGATCAAATTGCTGGGCGTGGCATTGGGCTTGATATACGCCTTGTAGATGTCAAAGGTAAGGATCGAGGAGACGGCGATCAATTCCGCAGACGCGCAAGATGTCACCGCCATGAAGAGCGTGATCAACAAGGCCACGGCCCCGCCTTTGCCGAGCAGGGTGCTTGCTGCGAAGGCAGATGCGAGGCCGGCGGAGATCTGACTCGACGAAGGCGCGTTTGGATATGTAGGGTAGGCTGGGTTGTCGGTCAGTGCGACTGAGGCCAATCCTAGCGTCGTTGCGAAGCCGAATGGGATAGCGAACCAGGCCAGCCCGCCTAGAATGTATGCCCGGACGGCGGTGGTAGGACGAGATGCGATGGCTCTCTGCCAGTACGCCTGGTCCAAGAAGACAGTGCCACTGCCGGAACAGAGCTGAATGACGCCGAAGATCAGGGCGTTGTTGGACTTCAAAGTCATGTAGCTGCCGTCCTGGTTGCCCGTCACAGGTCGAAGCGTCGCTGCTTTCTTCAGCAGCTCAAACATGCGAGATGGAGAGCCAATGAGGTCGTCCGTGCAGTAGACCTGGAACATGAAGTAGAGGATAATCACCATCAGGATCAGCGTGTGAGAGTAATCACAAAGGAACGTCGCGCGAAGCCCGCCCATCAGGACATATGCCACCACGCCCAGGGGGATCAGGAAGATGGCTGCGTAGACGTTCATGCCTGTAAGACTGGTGACCACGGCTGAGCCACCCAGTAGGAGCTGAGATCCGACCAGAATGTTTGTGACGAGGGCAAAGAAGATGAAGACAAGGTGGGCCACAGTGCCGTAGCGGACTTGGATGATTTCCAAGTACGTGTGGCATCGAGGAGCATTCATCTTGGTCTTGCAGGCAAGGATTGAGAACATCAGGATCTGAACGGTGGCTCCTGCGGCGTACTTCGCAACTGTTAGCGTGCACGTTGTCGTGATAAAAAGTGATTGAAATGCTTTACCCAGAATGGTCCAGCTACGCCATAAGTATAAGCGACCGTGCTGCTCTGAAGAAGTGTCGCTGCCCAGGTCCAGGCTGAGACAATACCAGCAGCAATGAGACCAGGTTTCACATTTCTGCTCGCCGTGTTGAACTCTTCACTCGTTCTTGTAGAGAAGTTTGTGTATCGGTTCTGCACCAAGGGTTAGCATCGGTGATGTCGATTAGAGATAGACTGTCGGTACCTGAAGCATGGAAATGCCGGCCATGACAACTGTAAAGAAGAATCCAATGCCCACGACGACCCCATATCCCACGCCTTGGGATAGCACTGCTGACTGAGACTCCGACATGATGGCGACGATTATTCCAAGATGGGAACAGCAGAGTGGAAAGGTTGGTGCGTGAGGAAAGCGACAAAGCAATATCGGGCGCGCACAAAGAGAACATTCATATACTTTCCTCGTTATACATACCTTCGGCCATAAGCCCGACGCCACGTGTTGCAGATATCAACTGCGAGAAAGGTTTGTTCAACGTCCCGACTGCAATGCCGGTCACTTTCCTGCGAGGAGAAATGGTTCTGAAGCATGTACCGACCATGATAACGCGTTTGACGATGTTGGATACTTTGGAATCCCTGTCCAGGATGCGATAAATCATGTACCTTATCTCATTTGAGGAACGCTATCCCTGCAGCGCTGATCAGCCGCTCCGTAGGACGATGACACCATTTGATTGACGCTGTCAGATAGAACAAGGCCCCCGCCTAGACGTGGAAATCCGACGGCAAGGTGCATCATGAAACGAAGATCTCTTGGGAGTCAGAAATTGTTGGCTGTGGTGGAGAAGGCGTTGACGAAACGTGTCCGCGGTGATCTGCGAGGCTGTCATCAGTTATCAATCGTCGATAGGAAATGCATAAGGCTATGTCAAATGAGGAAGCTGCCAGGGGCCATCTCACGTGCCTGGGTCATGGATATGCACCTGGATGGATGAAGGATTTCCCAGTAACTGATACTGGACAGAAATAATAGTATGTAAATATGGTCGGTCAATTAGGCCCGAAGGATGGCCGCAAGACGGATGGTGTGGCATCGACGTAACTTTTCCCAGATTCTCCAAGACAACCACGATGAATGTGGCTCGTCCCTCCCGGAGATACTCGTTAGCAGCTCTTGGGCTCTTTACCAACCGTCAACTTTTCGTGCTCGGAGCAACAAACCGCCCTCTGGCTTGGAGACGATGCCGAAGTTCATCTTGATGTCTTCACCCATCTTCTTGTCTGGGCTGACAAGGGACCACTCAAACTGGCCAACTAAGCCAGCCAGCAGCGTTGCAAACTCTCCGCGTGCGTACCTTTCGCCTATGCAACTTCGAGGCCCGGCACCAAAGGGCAAATAACGGTAGGTTGCATCTTCCCCTTGGAAGCCGGCATGAGGGTCAAGCCTCATTCTTCCATCCTCATCATATTGGAGAAAGCGCTCGGGCTTGAATTCTTTCGCGTCGGGGCCCCAGATGCTCTTTGTGCGGTGTGTGCCCCAGATAGAAGTCATAACCACCGTCCCCACAGGCAGTTGCTGGTCAAGGACGACTGTTCCTGGCTTGACAACATATCTGCGTAAGATAGGAGCAGGTGGAAACAGTCTCAGGGTCTCGTTGCAAACCGCAGCTAAATATGGGAGAGACTCAATGAGTGGTGCGTCGACCGGCTCGTCACCAGAGCTCGGCGAGGGCAGATGGCTCTGAACTTCGACCCGTAAAACTGATTGAACTTGTGGGTTGTGAGCAAGGAGATATAGTGCCCAGGTAGTAGCGACGGATGTCGTATCTTGTCCAGCCGCTAGTATCGTTGCAGATTGAGCCATCAATTCCTTGTCCGTGAAAGGCTCCTTAAATTGCAACAGGGTCGAAAGGATATCTGTGTCGGCAAACTTTTGCGGACCGGAGCCGGACTTTTCTTCCAGTGAGTCAGGATCGAGACTCTCTTGACCTGCAAAGGCCTTCCGCCTTGATTTGATCATTGGCAAGGTGGCATCGTCCAAGGCTTTGATGATCTCGTCAATCTCATAACGCCTCGACATTGGCAGCCGGACATAAAGCCAGTAAGGCAGCAGAAAGGCCAGTAGTCTATAGAATGTCGCTTCCGGGCTGGTTGAGTTTGACAAGGGCAGAAGCCTAGCGAGATCGCTTCCTGGGTTCTGGATTGCGTCTACCTCAACTCCGAAGCCTGTCGCTGCCACAATATCGAGTGTGGCACGCATCATCCAGCTTTCCACGTTCACAACCGCACTTGAATCCTGACCAGGATGATCGATCTCCTTCTCCAGTGCGGCAATTAGCTGCTTTGTATGCGTCCAGAATCGAGGGAAGAGGTTTTTGATGTATTTGTACTTGAATGCTGGTAGTAATGACTTCCGCTGGCGCTGTGGAGCATTCGTGAGCAAAACAAGAACGAGAACAGGGTGGGAATTTTCTATACCTTGTGCTCATCCTGAGCAGCAACCAGCAATCCTAGACCCGTAAGTTGACCAATGAGCTTCGTCGCAATGGGAATCTTATCGAAGTTGTAGGCTTGGAGAAGCATCATCTGCTTGGTGCCTTGAGATTTGGTGATTAAGAGCCTTTCCCCGTGGAATACACCAAAATATCGGATAAGACCATCGTTGGGAGTCTCGCTCATAAAACGCTCGAGATCTTCTGGTCCCGGCTCGAGAAGGAACGTTTTCCACCACGGTTCTTGAGATGCTAGAGGCAGTTTCCGGAGAGGACTGAGTCGCGGTGCCAGGTAAACCACCCAACCGAGCAAGGAAACGAGCTGCAACAGAGCTGTGAGCCACAGGAAAACGAAGGGGCTCCCTCCAAAAGAAATGCCTAATCCGAATCTCACGATGGAGGCTCCCCCCAAGAGCGTGAGTAATAAAGCAGACAACATTGTGACGCGTTAGAGACCAAGGTGTAAAGAATCCTCGCAACAACAGAGAGCTTGATGTTGGTGCCGAGCCATAGCATACAAAGCGGCTTCGGGCGCAATATATACTCGTGCATATCGGTATGGCCCACGTGGCGTTCCGAGGTGGTTTCCTTCTTGGTTCTCATGCCGTTCGTGGGTATGTTGCATTTCGATTTCGGGCGAGACAGATTGATCGCCTGAGTCAGCTGACAGGGGAGGGCGGCGAAGGATCACTTCAAAGGTGACATACATAGCTCGTACTTGTCAAGCACATAAGTCGCAGAGAGACTTTCGACCTCCTCAATCGCTCATGACGTGGAGGATCAACAACAAGCCTTTTGACAGTCCTCTGGAGAGACAAAAGGCGGCGAAGACTTCCGAGGTACCTGAGGCCTCAAGACCGAGCAGCGGTCATTGAAGTCGGTAAAGCAAGCCCGAGAGAAGTCAGTTTGGAAACCACGACATAATCGGAAAAGATACCCTCCATATTCCATTGCCATAGTCGTCACAATTGAGCACAACTCTGGAAACCCTACATAAAATAAAAGTGGCCCACGAGCAATCTGCTGGAAAGTAGGCGTAAGCAAGACCAAGGCCTGGAAGTGGAGGACAATAATAAGACGTGATAAGACATGTAGAAAGGGGAGAGCGGCCGCTGGGGCCAAAAGCCTTACTCGTACAGCAATCTGCGGCTTTTCCGCGTCGTGGCCCCCAAGGCTGTCGCCTGTTCAGTAATCATCTTTTGCATGGTCACCAGGCGGACGACGTGACAATACCTACCGCTTCCTGAAAGCGAGTGGCTCCTGACCATTGTACAGAAGTAGTGATTCTGAGAAATCACGGCGACGGGCGAGCCCAATTGCGAGAGTGGGCAAATCCACGACAGAGGTGACGGCACGTTCCAAGATTATCGGTGCAGGCATTTTCATGATAGCCAAAAGGCTACGGAATGAGACGACGCAGATAGATGCGTCATTGAAAGTATCGCTGGCACAGTGGCCGTCGAAACCAGGAATCGAGGTTGGAGGATAGCCTCGAAAGTGGAACCACGAATGTGGTACTCCGTAGCAGGATGGACAGTGTATTTCGTGCCGAAGTCTGAAGTGGCGCAGAGATATCAACTCTTCTTAGCCAGAATCCACAAAAAAGGGACCAGTCTGCCGTCCTCGTCATCCTGTAGCACTTCGCTTTGAGTGATAGTGAACCCAGCATCTTTCAATATCCCAAGGCTAGTCTCGGCATCGAAACCGCTCCAATACATGCGCGATCCTAACCAATCTGCCGTTGACCCAGGATTATCTGCAACCCCCAAGTTGCACAACAGATAGCCTGCAGGGGAGAGCCATTCCCAGATTTGTCGGATGAGGGTACGTTGCTCGTCTCGCGGGAGATGAATGATGGAATAGAAGGCCACCACTGCCTGTAACGCCGAACGATCAAACTTGAGCTTTGTCATGTCTCCCTGGATAAACTGCACATTCTCTTCTGGCACATTCGTCTTGGCGAGGTCGATTTGCGCCTGGGAGATGTCGTTGGCGAAGACGTGACCGCATCGCTGTGCTAGAAATCGGGTACCGGGCACCCCTGCGCCGCAGCCGAGCTCAAGGACATTCGCTTCTGAGGGGCTTTGCAGCTGCGAGAGCAACTTCTCCACGTAGTTGAGACGGGCTGTTGGTCTCCCACTGATCCAGTCGAGGTAGGTCTGTGCGATCTTGTCATAACCATTCTGGACTTGGAGCTTGTGATCTTCCATGGTTGGTGTTTTCTGTGAGGGAGAAGTCAGCTCTCTGAGGGTTGAATTCACTCATGAAAGGTTTGTTGAATGAGGCCATCTTTCAAACCTTGGATGAGTCACAGTTCGCATGGCACTGGAGACGTCCAAGCCAAGTCCAGACGATGCTTGGGGCTTGCCTGGTGGATGCCTGATGGAGGCTGATCTGCAGAGTCATGTTGGAGTGGTGAGTGGTTGGGAGCAATGGCGAGGAGCGTCACGTGGTCATCCCCAAGTCAAACGTCATCTTGGACGCTGCTTCATCTTCCTCCTTCTCCCTACACCACATGTTGCACCTTTTCTTTCCATCGGGAAGCGCTCACATCTTCAGCATTGTTTGAACAACCTCCCTCACCCATTCTGAAAGAGAAGATGCGGTCAGCAATCCTGCTTCGGCCAAGTCACTACCTGCGGGTTGCGGATCTCCCATATCTCCAGTCCGTTATCGGCAAACACGGCATGCCGCCCGCAATCCAACTCTCTCACGCTGTGGGACCGTCCCCTCCAACCCGTCGGAAGGTGCAATAATAAGAATAACTTGCGCTGGCACACCCAACAAAAGAATTCGCACAATGTATGGCAACAGGGATACAGCCAAGGACTGATGGTTTCTTCATGTCCGGCTCTGAACAGTCCCACATCTATCGACATCTTCTTCTAGCTCTTGGTGAACTCTTGTCTGGAGTTTATGGCCTTGAACCGACGATCTCCGAAAACTAGCGAGCGAACGCACTTTGTTTCCCGTGCCCAAGGCCAGACTCCGAGAACAGGTCCTCAGCGTCCACCGCATTTTTATGCTGTTGTCTAGCCCCGACTTTGGATTTTCTCCTCTTCCCTCTCTAGACTTGGTGGGAAATCGATTATTATCCGGGCATGGTGGAAAGAAATACACGCGACGAGCCCCAGGCATGGCCAAATGCTCCTCGCGAGAAGGTCGTCGAATCCGTCGAGGCTGCGTATGACGACCACAAATCCGAGGTCGTGAAACCAGGATCGAAATGGCAGAGATTCATCGATGTACTAACGTGGACGCCACCATGGTGTCGATGGGATCCAGAAAAACCGCCCAAATTCTCAGTCTGGCATAATGTTCTGTTCGCGTTTGCAGGTGCCTTTACTGTGGGCAACTTGTACTACAACCATCCCATCTTGAATATTCTGGCTCGAGACTTCAACGTCCATTATGTGACGGTATCACGAATTCCGACTCTGATGCAAGCTGGTTATGCCACTGGTTTGCTGTTCGTATGTCCGCTGGGCGACTTGCTGAAGAGGAGACCGTTGACGTTGGTGCTCATTGCGTTCACAGCCACCATGTGGTAAGTCACGCCTATTCCAGGGACAGAGCCCTGTACCACCAAATGGAAACCAGGCCTGTACAATGCTAACCACTTCAACTAGGATCGGATTGTGCGTGACCCCTTCCTTCACGGCTTTCTGCGCAATCTCCTACATATGTGCTGTCACAACGGTCATCCCTCAAGTAATGCTGCCGTTGGTCTCGGAGTTGGCACCCCCTAATCGACGCGCTTTGGCCTTGAGCATCACCACTTCTGGTAACCTTCTTGGCATCGTGATTGCCCGTCTTCTCTCGGGAGTTGTCACACAATTTACGTCGTGGCGAAACGTCTACTGGGTCGCCCTTGCGTTGCAATACCTCATCCTTATTACGCTCTGGCTTTTTATGCCCGACTATCCCTCTTCGAACCCTCAGGGATTGAACTACTTCAAAATGATCGGCGGAATCATTTTTTTGTACAAAAAGCATGCCGTCCTCGTTCAAGCCGGATTGATCAGCTTCTGTATCTCGGCCGCATTCACAAATTACTGGACTACACTCACATTCCTCCTGGCCGATTCACCGTACAACTACTCGCCAGTCGTCATTGGGTTGTTCGCACTGATCGGTGTGGCTGGTATCGTAATGGGCCCGCTCTACGCGAAATACCTCATTCAACCCTTCGCGCCTCTCTTTTCTTGCTTGATGGGCTGTGCCGCCAATCTGATTGGGATTACCGTCGGGACATATACGGGAAAGCTCTCTGTCGCAGGACCGATAATACAGGCTTTCACGCTGGACATGGGCCTTCAAATTACCCAAGTGGCAAATCGCGCTGCCATCCACGCGATTGAGCCAAACGGGCGGAATCGAGTAAACACGGCCTTCATGTTGTGTACATTCACGGGTCAACTGACGGGCACCTCGGCGGGCGCAAAACTGTACGAGCGGGGCGGATGGATTGCGAGTGGGAGTCTCAGCGTCGCTCTGCTGGGATTGACATTTGTGATCTGTGCTTTGAGGGGGCCGTATGAGGAGGGTTGGATAGGCTGGCATGGCGGGTGGGATGTAAGGAAGAAGAACTTGGCCGAGGCGACGAGCGGACCTATACCAATTGCGGTGGAAGCGTCGAGCACGACTGATGAAGAGAAGGGACCACGGAGATGAGAGGTCCTGATGGCTACAGCGTCTACTATTCAACGAAACAACGGGATTGCAACCCTTGATCTTCGCTTTCTTTTTCAAGCCCTTCCAATCCCCGCATTTCAATCAGAGCTATGCCAACAAGATATGGACGTGTCCGGTGCATCTGGTTTCTTTCAGGCCAATGAAGATGGGATCTGCCGGATGCCCACAGATGCTGCCTGGTGCTGCCTTCACTGTGCGTAACCGACATCTCTCACCGATGGTTCTGTCCACACCATTGCCTAGTGGTGCCTATGAGGTATATGCAGCCCAAGTATCACATTGTTTGCTATGCAAAACCACTGACTCTCCTCCCCGTGCATAAATAGGCCCAACGGATGCCCATCAGTAACTCTCTCCACGAAGCAACAACCACAACTTTCATTCTTCACCATGACAACCTCTGCAGGAAAAGGCCCCCAGAATAAAGTGCCGTCTCTGGCTGAGCAGGCTGAACAAAAAGTCTTCGAAGAACTGGCCAAGCATGTTCACAATGAGACCAAGCAGTCAGTCTTTGCGGTTGGCGGTTCGGTCCCAATCACTTCCTTTGATAACCACTTGATTTGCGAGTCTGACGACGCCGGCTCGGATTGGGGAAACGAGAAGAAAGCTTCCAAGGAGTCCGGCACGGGCCATGGCGTCAATGCTCTCGACTCCAGTGGGAAAGAAGGGGGTCATCCAGAAGCACCACAGCCAGCGGCAGGCGGGCCTGGATTTGGAGGCGCTGCAGTCCACAAAATGCGTTGCGACCCGGTTACGATCAGATGGGACTCAGCTGCAGCTATTGGATCCTCCCACAAAGTGACCTTGCCATGTACCGACAGCCAGAGACCCTTGTTCGAGCAGCTTCTCAAGGACTGCCAGCCAGCTAGCTTTGGGCGCGCGGGCAAGGACGTTATGGACGAGACATATCGCAAGGCTGGGAAGCTGGACGAGGCTGACTTCTGCACAAACTTCAATCCCTACGCGCTGGGAATCATCGACGCCGCCGCACAAGTTCTTGCTCCAAACAACTGCAAACCCACAAATGAGACGCATGGTGTCCGCGCGGAGTTGTACAAGCTGAATGTAAAGCGACCCTTCCTCTCGTACGCCCCCTCGTTTCACTGATCTTTGGGGCTTAGGTGTATGCAGCGCCTTCGGGCAAGTTCAAAGCGCACGTCGACACTCCGCGCTCCAAACACCAGATCGGATCGCTGGTCGTCTGTCTTCCGAGCGTCCACGACGGCGGCCAACTGGTGCTCCGCCACCAAGGTCGGGAGACGGTCTTCGACTGGTCTGACGAGAAGGCCAGCAATGCCATTCAATGGGCCGCCTTCTACAGCGACTGCGAACACGAGGTACTCGAAGTCACGGCCGGTGAACGGGTCACGCTGACGTACAATCTGTACGCCACCTGCTCGGCAAATACGGCTTGGATGGATCCCGAACAGATCGAGCTATACCGCACGCTGAAGATGCTGCTTGAGCAGCCGGGCTTCTGCAAGACAGGTAAGATGTTGCGACTTGAAAGGCTCCGAGATGAATGATGGCTGAATCGCTTTCCTTTTTTTTCGTTTCCTTTCCTAGGCCTCACACTCGGTTACCATTGTGCGCACGCCTACGCCCATACATCAGGAGACACGATCGCCACGCTCCCGGCCACTCTCAAGGGGGTCGACAAAGTCGTCCACACATGCTTCACCGCGACCAACCTCTCCGTGCGTCTCCGCCACCTACTCGCGCTCGACGGGAGCGACCGCGACTACTACTTCGACAGTCTCCTGGACGAATACTGGACCGAGGACCCGGCCCGGGTCGAAGACCTGAAGAAGCTGTATCAGCGCGAGGACACGGAGGGGTCGGAGGACCTCGACGATGACGACGAGGTTGGGGAAGAGGACGTCGACGTCCTGGCCGACGGCCTGGTGCCGTGGAAGTACACCCGGGCGGGCATGTACGAGGGGGTCAGCTGCTCGCACATTGTCAAGGCTTGGTCCCGCCACTTCAGCGTCAAGCAGGTCAAGTGGCTGAACAAGCCGAGCCATCGGGAGATGGCGTTGGTCCATGGTGCGGTAAGTTGTGCTTTGTCTGTTCTACACACACCTTGAATTTCCCTCTTTTTTCACTCCTGGAATTTTTGTATGGGAGTGTAAGCCGTGGTTGTTGTTTTTCTGACCCTTTTCACAATCTAGTATGGCAACGAGCCTAGCATTGACACCAAGTACGCCCGGTTGGTCATCACCATGGACATTCCCCCATTTCAAGATCGGTAACTTTGGCGTCGGCAATGTACTCGTGTTGTTGTCGCACCGAATCTAGTACTCAGACGGTATCGAGCTCGCAGGCGAGCAAGCAAGCAAGCAGGGGATATTATGCTACATTTCTCAACGAAGAATCTTTCTCTCTCTCTCTCTCTCTCAGTTGGACTTTCCTTTCTAATGCTTTCTCTTTTCACTATCCCGAGCGCTTCGGGGGCAGCAGGGCAGTATTTGCGGTTTCACACTCGCTTTCAGAAAGAAGAAAAAGAGGAGGGGCTTAAGAGCCAGTGGCACCACTGTGTTACATGTCCCTTTATGGCCGCGTCTGATCTTGACCTAACAACGCAATGTCCCTCCCCGTTCCGTCTAAAGTGTCCAGCTCCACTTTCAAAGATTCTTCAGGTTGACGTGCCGTTTGTGCCCTCGTGCATCTTCGGACTGTTATGGCCCCAGTCCATGCCCTGCCATTCAAACAGTTCGTCGTCAGCTCGTGAGTTCCCTGACAGTGCCAATGGCCTGAGATCGCCGGCTGCGGAACCGGTGCATGGGACACAACGAATAACCGAAGAGCGAGTGGGTAGGGGAGGAGGCTGGGTCGTTCTGGGCTTGGAAGACGAAGGGCGGGCAAATGACAAAAGAAGAAGGGAAAAAACAAACGTACCAAGCCCAAGATGACCTGCCCCTCGGCCAGATCGCGCGAGTTCTTCTCGCCCAACCACACGGGCTCGGTCTTTTTGATGCCCTCCTCAATGTCCACGGCCTTGCCGCCTGTCACGAAGAGGGCCTTGCCGTGCGTGCTGGGCTCGGCGCTGACTTGGATGATATACTTGGCCACGTCGAGGGGCTGGTTCATCGGCATCGAGTGCTTGACCCATTCGGCGCGCACGCCGGCCAGGAGTTGTGTGTCGGTTGCCCACGGACCTGTATTGTTGAGTAGAGGGAGGAAGAGTTAGTCAGTAAGTGGATAAATGAACAGGGGTAGGGGAGAGGTTCTTCGTAAAATGGAGGAAAGGGGAGCAAAGGAGACATACAAACGGCGTTTATTCTCAAGCCGTACAACGGCGCCGTGAACGGGCGGAGAGCTCTCATGAGACCCAGCACGCCGTGCTTTGCCGCCGAGTAGGCGAATAGACCGGGCGACTCCTTGAACCCGGCGACCGAGGAGACCAGCGTGATGCATTTTGGCGATGTGATGGATTTGGCCGTCGTCGAGGACTTGTCGAAGGTGTGCTTCTCCTTGAGATACGCCACGGCGAGGCGGGCAAAGTATAACGTGCCGTTGAGGTTGATGTCGACCACTTCGGTGATGCCTGTGGGCGTCTATATCTCATGGTGAGCGCGACCTCGTGAAACCCTCACGGCATGGGCATAGCTGCCTGGGCTGCTCTGCCATCCGATTGCCTGCACGCACCTCTCTCACGCTCTCGAGATTCAGCTTCTCCGGCTCCCAGTATCCCGGCCGTTCTGTCACGGCCGCGCAACAGATCGCGGTATCAATCTGTCCGTGCTTGTTGTAGGCGGCGTCGAACAAAGAGAGGATGGACTGATAATCCCGAACGTTGACCTTGAGATACGTCACACTCCCTTCCGAAGGCGAAGCTCGTAGGCCATCTGCCAATTTCGAGCCCTTGGTGTCATCCCAATCGCCAAAGAAGACATGAGCGCCCGATTGATACAGCTGTGTCACAGTCGCTGCGCCGATCCCTTGAGCACCGCCTGGTATGAAGGTGAGTTATAGGAACCAAACAGTGTGCGATGGTCAGGGTGCCCCGACCTGCAATGACCACCACTTTGCCCTTCACCGAGTCCAGGGTTGTTTGGTCGATATTCACTTCTGCCATTGTGGTTCGATGAAGGAGACTATTCAGCCCTTTTTTCCCCTTGTGCTCGGCAGAGAAGTCGACCCGTTGTTGTTTGCTTCCAATCAGTGACAAGACACCGGGGTCGCGAGAGCGAATATCAACCTATTTCCACACGAGGAAGATGCCTGGCTAGCGAGAACACAGCATAGATTTCAACCTCCGCCCACATTGACACTTGACTGACCCAGCTTTCAGACGCACATGGGTCCGTATCCGATGAGGGGATTCCCCCGTTGGACTCAATCTCGTTCTCGGCAATTGACTCGACTGGGAGCATCAATCAGAATCGGGGTAAAGAGGCTTCGAGGCTGCGGTGCCCCACATGGGGGAGTCGCTGGCATTTCGTGGGGCAATTCCGTCCATGGGCGAGCATTGGGCTGTGACAAGGGAGAATTCGCTGGTTATTTCAGAGGTTGGTGGTCCTGCAGTGTCTGTTGGTCTGTGGAATGAGTGAAAGTGCCTCCCCGAATCCGAACAAGTCGATTCTATACCACGGCGATACCAACGCGAGATCACATCCTGTCACTAAGAACTGCTGGCTAAGGGGTCAACCTACAGAACGCAAATGGCTGGTAAGAAGAGCGTCGTGGTCACAGGTGAGTGCTTCTTCTGCAGCCAAACACCCCCCATCCCATGTGACAGACTTCCCTGACATCGACCAATTTCATACAGGAGGCGCCTCAGGAATCGGGTTGGGGATCACCCGTTCATTTGCTGAACAGGGAGCACATGTCTCTGTGCTTGATGTGAACCCAGATGGCGCCCAGATTGTCAAAGGGTTGTCGTCACAGTATCCCAGTGCTAGTTTCTCGTTCATGAAAGCCGACATCTCCAACTGGGACGAGCTGGCAGCAGTGTTTGAGCAGATCTATCGAGAACAAGGCCGGGTCGACGTGGTGATGGCCAACGCGGGGATCTCTAGAGAACCGAAATTGATCGTGGACGAGGACACGCCTTCAAAGCCACCTCTGCATACCTTGGAAGTTAATCTGATTGGAACCATATATAGTGAGTTCGAAACCGTCCCCCAAGTGAAAGGATGACCAATGACTCTCGCATAGCCGTGAAGTTGGCCATTCACTACATCAGGAAGAATCCTGTCGTGAACGGGGCCACGGTTCCTTCCAAAGGTTCCATCATTTGCACAGCATCGAACGCCGGGTTATATCCGTTCGCTGTTGCACCCCTTTATGCCGCATCCAAGTTCGGCGTCGTCGGGTTGGTGAGGTCACTCGCACGCCAACTTGAGAGGGAGGCAATTCAGATCAATGCTTTGGCCCCAGCTGTTCTCGGTAGGTTGCGTGGTGGGATCTTGTGAAGCCGAAATTGACCTCTATACCCTAGAAACAAATATCGCTCCGGACAAAGCATTGTTCAAGACGATGATTCTCACGCCCATGTCCACGCTGACACGAGGAGTCCAACAGCTTGTAGCAGATCCGTCCCTGACAGGACAGGTTGCCGAGATCCACGGGGAAAACGTATCACTGAGAGAACCGACCCCATACGTTGACGAGGACAGCGCCACGAACATTGAGACGTTCTGGTCCTTGGGATATGCTTGATGGCGCTGCGAGGGGTACGGGGAAGCTTCTGCTCACTTGGCTATCCCGGGCATCCAGTGTGAAGGCAAACCCTTGGGGGACCACGGCATTCAGTTCCTCTCAGACGAACCGTCGAAGCAGAGCCAAAGCTTTCCGATAGTACTTGCCGTTCGAGGTGGCTCTGAAATTGGACCGCGGTATACAATTTGCCAGACGCGTCTAAGCATATGATATCGTTTCATCTGCTGGTAGGAGACAGCAGCAGAGACGAATAGATTCCGCCTCCCCCAATCAAAACCCTCCCAACCCTGACTGAGCTACTTGGCAGGTAGAGAGAGAGAGCCAGACATTCTTCCACGCCGTAGTGATCGAGGCTCTCACGGCGCGGGTTTTGCTCGGGGGCCAAAGGGACGGTGCAAACAGTTGCTTGTGTCGCGGCCAGGCTGAGATTTTCCGAGAGTCGACCGGGAATCTCGAAGTCCGGGTTCGGAAACCTTTCCATGGCCTGAGACGCTGACGAACCAACCAGAGACCAAGCAGCCTCGTGGTTCCGCCCGACCGACGTATCAGGGGGCGCCAGGCACCCGGATCCGGGTCTAGCGAGCCTGTGATAGGGCCCCCAGCTGGAGACTCGGGGGCTTCTTGGGGCCTTTGGGGGTTCCACTTGCACCCATGAGGCCATCCACTACCCCGGACTTGGGACATTCAGCTCCTCGAGTGCCTCGGACCTTTGCAACACGCTTGTCTCTGGTGGGTGGCATGAGCTTCAGATCTGCGAATCCAACTCGAGAAACAGACTTATAGACCACCTCCTTCCCGTTTTGATCCCAACAGTTCTGGCAGTACATCTCCTGTACCGTCGCTCACTATCACCATGTCGTAGCTGATTGCCGTACATACGTCAGGAACAAGCAAAGCCCCCTCCCCCCAGAGTGCCCACCATGTCCTCCGCCAAATCGCGTCTGTCCAGTTTGGCAGCGCAACTCTTCCCCCCCAGCGCTCAGCTTCCGACCAGCAAGTCCATCGACAATCTCAGCATCGACAACCACACCGTGGGCACACTGTCATGGTACAACGTCCATACTCTCTCGCCGGCATTCTTTCTACCCCGCGCAGCATCCATCGAGCCTAATGCCCCGGCCATCTATCACCGCACTGCCAACAACAAGATCCTGAGAAGGTCGTATATCGAGTTCGCCGACAGAGCTCGAGGCTTCGCATATTACATCAAGAAGAAAGGATACAAGAGAATCGGGATATTGTCCACGAACACTCCGGCCTTCCTCGAGGCCATCTTCGGCATCGGGGGCGCGGGCGCAATCAACATTGCCATCAATTATCGGTTAAAAAAGGACGACATTGCCTATATCTTCGATCATGCTGATGCCGATGCGATCGTGGTCGACGCCGAGTTCGTGGACCTGCTCGATGACTACAGGCAAACCCATCCCGACGTGCCCATTATCATCGACACAGACACCGACGCCGTTGAGGGTCAGCTATGTGGACCCTTTGATGAAGCCGTGCTTGAAGGCCTCCGGTACGATACCTCACTAGGCTCTCGTGGCTGGGATGGTCTCGAGGCCATGGCCCCCGACGAACTTGCCGTTAATGCCCTGGCATACACAAGTGGCACGACCGCCCGGCCCAAGGGTGTCGAGTACACCCACCGAGGTTGCTATTTGGGAGCTCTGGGCAATGTCATCGAATCCGGTCTTGCATATCATGATGGTGACCGGTGCAGGTATCTCTGGACCCTGCCCATGTTTCACGCGATGGGTTGGACTTTCCCCTGGGCCGTGACCGCTGCGCGAGGTACACATTACTGTCTCCGCAAAATCGACTATCCAGAGATTTGGCGCCTGCTAAAGGACGAAGGCATCACTCATTACTGTGCCGCCCCGACCGTCAACACTCTTCTGTGCGCTGATGCCAATGCCCAAAAGTTGCCCATCCCTGTGCGAGTCACGGTGGCGGCCAGCCCTCCCACCGCACATCTATTTGAGCAAATGACAAACCTGAATTTGCATCCGGTACATGTTTATGGAATGACTGAGACATATGGCCCCATCACAAAAGGTTATATGCTGCCGGAATGGCACAAGTTTCCAAATGTCAAGGACAAATATGCCAAAATGGCTCGTCAAGGTCACGGCTTTATCACATCACTACCCGCTAGAGTGATCAAGACCGAGGTGCCCGACGGCACGATCATTGATGTCGAGAGGGATGGCAAGGAGATAGGAGAGATCGTGTTCAATGGCAACATTTGCGCTAGAGGGTACTACAAGGACGAAGCAGCGACAAGAAAGCTCTTCCTCGGAGGGGTGTTGCACTCCGGAGATTTGGCAGTGTGGCATGAAGATGGAGCCATCCAGATTTTGGACCGGGCAAAGGACATCATCATTTCCGGTAGGTCTTTGGCAGTAAACACGCCGTGATGCTCAAATCGCTGACTATTGTGATCAGGTGGTGAGAACATATCTTCCGTCGCCTTGGAATCGATGCTTGTCACGCACCCGGACATTCTCGAATGCGGCGTGGCTGCCGTCAGCGACAGTCATTGGGGCGAACGGCCTAAGGCCTTTATAACCGTCAAACCGAATGTTAAGGTGACGGGCGAAGATGTGATCAAATGGGCGCGTGACCACCCAGGAATCAGTCGTTTCATGGTGCCCCGAGAGGTCGAAATTGTCCCCGAGCTGCCCAAAACCAGCACGGGCAAGATCAGGAAAAATATTCTTCGGGAATGGGCCAAAGGCGCAAAGAGAGAAAAGGAGTAAGGGCATGACTCAGTGTGATCCGCGAGGCTGATGCCCAAGGATGTATGAGATCATTCTAACGTGGGGACAGCGGGCCATGGTTTCCCTACCATTCTTATCAGTGACATGCCGTATTTTTGAGCATGGTTGCAGAGTTCCATTGTTGATGTAATTCCAAGTCGTCTTATCCTTCGGAGCCTCTTTCCTCGGGTGTGAGAGCCTTTGTGGACAGAAGATCCGTTGGCAGGTTATCTTGCACGCACACGGGCCGTGTTTTTCGTCAACTGCCAAAGTTCGGATTGCAACTGCTCCTAGGTGACGGGCTGGTCGATCGACATGAAGCAGTCGCCTTGTCTTTCTGCAGGAGAGGTTCGGCTCAAGCCGGACCATCGGGATCGGCAAGATTCACAGGACACGAACTTGTCCTCGTACCTACCTATACTCGAAGCATGTGGATAGTGGACAGCCCTCGAAAGTGCGGAGCCTACTAGACGTAGTTCGGCAGTGTTTGAGCCTGTTTGCCTTTGCATCCCACAGCAACAGCCGATCCTTCAGAAGCACTGTCAATTCACTGATGTGGTCGCAGAGCCCACTCTTTCTCTTACCGAACGGCGAGTCTAATATGCAATCGACGTCGTAAGCATGCCTCTTCTGGGCCTTTCTTTAAAGAATGTAGATCTTTTTTGAACACGGAATCAAACTTCTGGCTCGGAGGATTGGGGGGACATCGGCGGGTTGGTAAACAATAGCTGCAGCCGACAGCCCTAGGCATGCATATTTCATCGGCGTCACGGAGCTTCGAATCGCCGCCCCGGTAGCCTTTCCCGTCGTATGCAGAGCACGTCATGCGGGAGAACAGGGTGGATCGTAGTTTGGTGTGAATAATGGTCAAGTGGTCTTTGCAGTATAGATGACGGGCGTGATCGGTTCGCACGAATTCCATCTGTACGAGAAGGAAAGCTCAGCAGTTGAAGGCCGATCACGGGTCTTCAGAGGAGACCCTGGTCGGGCTCGGGGAATAAGACGATCAGGGGGCACATAGTGGTCGTGTTGTGAGACTGGCATCGAGAGTACTCGTCGAGTCGTACTGCCAATAATGCTGTTTGCGAGAGCGAGGATGGGTCGAGATTCTCCAGCTGGGTCGCGGGCATCCAAGAGATAAACTGGGTCTCTTTGGGGCGTTGTTGGGTCGAGAATCAAGATCTGCTGTGCCCACTCATGGTCAGTCATTGCAATAATAGTCTGCAGTAGATTGATAGCGCATCCGGTGTATGATGTAAAAAGCGTTGTGAGTTGCAGCAAGCAAAGCCGCCATGTGGAATCTCCGGCATTGTATTTGACAGCAAGTGGCAAGGGAGTTCCTCAGAGATGCCAATAACAATGTGATGGCCCATTGCTTCGGGGGCCCTGTGGATGGGGTTGGATCTGGTCGTGGTCAAGTAACAGTGCCCAGCTTGGCTTCTTTTCGCTGGTTGAGCCTCCCTGGGGTCCTTAGCCACAGTCCGTGACGCAACTGGATGACTGGGTGAGAGGAAGTCACTGGCCCTCCCAAGTAGGGACCTCCCTAGGTAGGTAGGTAGGTAGGTAGGTAAACATCGACTACTGGTACTTGGAAGGGCCCAAACCCGGCAGCAGGAAAGCAGTATCACCAGCCAACCTTGGCAGCTGAGCTTTGTTATCACGCAGTCTGCATCCCACGTACTGCAGGTAGGGACCGGGTACAGGATAATGGAGAAGTCGTTGCTGCCCACTGCTGATCTCCCGTTAGCCAAAAGCAAGAGCTCTTGGGGGGTTTCGAGGTCCTTGTACTCCGTACTCCGTACATACCTAGCAGTTGAAAGCTATGGGTTTTGTAGTCTGGCACTTGGGTACACCAAAGCGTCCCATAGCGAAAACATTAGGTGCCTCTTTGGGGGCCCTCTGGGGAATAAAGTTGATTTGTCAGTGCCACTCCTCAGCCGGGTGAGGGTACGAAGGGGGGCGAGGTGCCCCGGGCGCGTGAACTATAGCCAGACTTGCTGCGGCTGGTCGGCCATTCAACCATTGCCCAACCCAGCGGCACTAGCCACTCTGCCACCACGACCACCGAACGCCTCCTTTCTCTCACTCCCTGACTCCTCCATCATCCGTCCGGCCCTGCATCCTTCGACCACCCGTTCTTCAACAACTCTCTGCGCCCGACACAAGCCCATTCCCGCACCACCTCTCCTAACCCCCTTCCATACCCTCATCATCCCTTTACAGCCCTCGGCGAACACTGCATGTTATATTGTCACGTTCTGCTCGAGGCTTAATGCATATGCCTAGTCTGTTTACGTCGTGACCTTTCACCGCCGCAACCGGATGCGCCGAACCCTCTACCCCCTCGAAAACCAAGCATACCGACGGCATCACCACCGAGCAATGACTCCTTACTCACGAAGTTACCTCTGAAGGCACTTTTGAGGAGTTGGTCTATGCTGCTACAGACGCACAGATCCGTGGGACTCTAGGATACTCCGTACACTCTGCTACAGTCCCAGATCTCTGCTCATTGCCGCCCACGCAGCCTGATTCCGCAAACATGACGGACGAACCGCGGTCTCGCCTTACCCCCATCCATACACGAAATCTGAGTACTGTCACCGCCGATTCGGACAGCTCAGACAGTTCTCCATGTCCAGGCGATGATGAAGACACCGATTACTTCATGGCACATGCCAATGATTCGCAGTCCTCCCTCGGCGCCATCACGACTATTCGAGAGTGCGACAACGATGTTGACCTTGAACAGGTCCATCGCCTCTCCCCCATATCCAAATTGCCTCCCGAAATCCTCATCGCTATCCTGGCAAAACTGACCACAACATCCGACCTGCGGAATTGTATGATGGTCTCCTATCACTGGGCCTTGTACACCGTGGGCATTCTATGGCATCGCCCCTTGTGCAACAAGTGGTCAAACCTGCTGAACGTTGTGGCCGCTCTGGGAAAGGGTGACAAGAGTTATTTTCCATATCATGAGATGGTCAAGAGATTGAACCTATCCGCAATTGCAGACAAGATCAACGACGGCACAGTCCAGCCATTTATGAACTGCAAGGGTGTCGAGCGCCTAACGCTGACCAACTGCTCGAACCTAACCGATTTTGGTGTTGCAGGCCTGGTGGATGGCTGCAGGAAGCTCCAAGCACTTGATGTTACCGAATTGGACGCTCTAACAGACCGCACCTTACATGTTGTGGCCCAGAATTGCGCAAAATTGCAGGGCCTCAACATCACCAATTGCTCCAACATCACCGACGAGTCTTTGATGGAGATCGCAGAGAACTGCAGGCAACTCAAAAGACTGAAACTTAATGGCGTGGTGCGAGCAACAGATCTGTCCATTACGGCGGTTGCCAGAAATTGCCGATCAATTCTAGAAATTGACCTCGCTGGCTGTCATTCCATCACTTCGGAATCGGTCACCGCACTCCTCTCCAATCTGTCTCATCTGAGAGAGCTGCGCTTGGCTCATTGCATCGATATCAACGATTCGGCCTTTACCAATCTCCCTCCCCGACTCTCCTTTGACGCGTTGCGGATTTTGGATCTGACAGCCTGCGAACAAGTCCGAGACGACGCTATTGCAAGGATCATTCCCGCCGCACCTCGTCTGAGGAATCTGGTGTTGGCCAAGTGCAGACACATTACAGATCGCGCCGTTGCCTCCATCTGCAAGCTGACCAAGAATCTGCATTACATCCATTTAGGGCATTGTATCAATCTGACGGACAATGCTGTCATTCAGCTGGTGAAGGCGTGCAATCGGATTCGATATATTGACCTGGCATGTTGCTCCCGGCTGACGGACGCCAGTGTCCGCCATTTGGCGCAACTCCCGAAGCTTCGCAGAATTGGTCTGGTCAAGTGTCAGAACTTGACAGATCAAAGTATCATAGCGCTGGCTAGAGGCCAACTTATGTTCGGCCCGGGTGGGAAGATCGGGGTGCCTTCACAATTCGTATCGCTTGAAAGAGTCCATCTCAGCTACTGCGTGAATTTGACGCTCAAGGTATGGGTAACCCAGTCGACTTGTCACTCTGTCTAATAAATGAATAGGGAATCACGGCACTTCTTCACCATTGCCCTCGGCTGACTCATCTGTCGTTGACGGGCGTGCAAGCATTTCTCCGCGATGATTTGACCTGCTTCTGCCGCGATGCTCCGGCCGAGTTTACACATCCCCAACGAGACGTATTTTGCGTCTTTTCGGGAGATGGTGTCCAACGGCTTCGTGACCACCTCTTGCGTCTTGCTGAGGATGAGGCGCAGCGAGAAAATCGTGATGCAATTGACGAGAGTCTGCTTGACGAAGCGGACAGCCCGGGCGCCGACACGATGTCGGATGATGGTACTATTGATGGCAACGAGCACTTGATCGATCCCGTGCTGAACTCCCATCGACACGGTTTGCATTTAGCGAATGCACATCTGTCACGACCCCGGACACGAAGTTTACACGATTATCCCAGCAGCTTTCACGTTGAGATGCCACTGCTGCCGTTCGATCAGGTGCAACCAATGGGCCCATGGACGCCAGGTGCATCCTTACCTCCTGAGTCTCGCACATCCCAAGCTTCGCCACACCTAAATCTCACCAATCCTAATAACCTCTATCAACCAGAGCCATACGAGCGCCGATCGCGGAGCCCTGGCTATCCCAACGCATTTGATGTATCGGCGGAATATGGCGAGCGGGCAAGGAGCACATCTCGCACACCCTCACGGAGACATACCTTGGAGTCAACTTCGAGTCTCTACGCTCCTTCTGCTCCAGTGCACGGCTCTAGCGAAGGCAGTTCTCGGCCTCTCGAAATAGGCCACTATTCCCAGGATCCTAGAGCAGGATACTTTGGGCTGGACGATCCGAGGAGATTTCCCGGCTGGTCAAATCCGCATTTGTTCTCCTCAGAACCCCCTCGAAGACATGTTCCAGGAGCATCATTCAGAAACCCTGCCGACGTCCGGCAGTCTTTTTTGCGACCTGCGCCAGGTTTCAGCGCCTTTGATGCCAACCACGAGGCAATCATGTCCACCATTCCAGGTAGTCGGCCGGGTAGTCGGCATCCATCACGATCCAACAGCCCTCACTTATCTAGGGTGAACAGCCGGTCAAGATTGAGTAATCTTCTGGCGCCTCCACGAAGTTACTCGTCAACCCCACTCAGTCAAGGAGAAGGTCCCAGGCGCAGTAGTCGGGAGCGGCGAAGCCGAGAAAGGTCCCTTTTGGAAGAAGAAGCACAACGCGAAGCAATGCTGCGAGCACTTGCAGAAGCTGACGCTGCCGACCAACTGAGACCAGACCTGCCTCGAAGTGAATCCGATCGGCAAATCGAACTGCCGTTGTTACCACCGGATTTAATAGAGCGGGTGACGAGGACACCTTTCGCGCGGCCAGAACCAACACCAGATATTCGTTTCGAAGTGGAGGATGCCGAGACTCCTGCTGATCCAGACCAGGATGTTACGATGACACAATAAGGACAGAATACATTTTCGGAAATAAGTGAAGCACACGTTTATTGAGTACATGCGGAACGCATCGAAATGACCTCAGTGAAGACGATTTTTCTACAGAGGACAGCTGGTCAGGCATCATGCTCTGTTACCAACGACGCCCATTCTAGACTATTACAATACAAGATCATGCCGTGATACGGCAACGGACAAAATCCATTTCAAGCGAGCAAGCAGAGTGTTCTGGCTTCAGAAGTGCATGTCTTTTCTCAGCAATTCAACAAAGATGAGGCATCCTAGTTGTTTTGACCGGAGTCGGCCTTGAGACACATAAAGAAAGCGTTGCATGATTACATCGAGTGTGAGCGCGGAATGCCTGTATGGAAGGCTGGAACGGGAAGCTGTGACAACATTTTTTGTCTACTTTTAGCATAGCATTTGTAACTCTGTTCAATTCATGCATGTGGTGCACCACAGATCACGTTGACTCTTTCGCGAGGGGCAAGACATTTGCGTTCTGTTATCACACTTCTAGGCTTCTGATCTCCAGCCTGCGGAAGATCTCGCCTCTCCTTGATTGCCTACGCAGTACTGAGTAGAAGCACTACGACAGTGTCCATAGTCTCCGCCAACCTAGTCACTCAGTGACGATCACAGTGATCTCCATCATTACCGACGTGAGCGTACTGACAGGGTATCCTTGATACATAACTTGTATTTGAAGACAACCGTGGGGTTATGCAAGTGCTTGATGTCGCTTCAGGGATATTCAGCCTTGCTCGAGATCGACGCAATGCATTATGTCAGCACAGCCTTACCTACATCAGCCTGTGCGTCGCGTGCCTCGTAGTGCCCCTGATGATCCTCTCCAAGAGCATGGCCGACGAGCGCGTTTCCCTTTGGCTGAATACTGTATACTCTGCAATGGAAGAAAAGCGGCAAACGAACTGAGCGATCGACTTTGCGGCAAGCCACTCCTGGTTGGGCGCTTTGTAGATGGCATTGTACTTTTGAGATGGCGAACTTAATCAAAGAGGGGCAAAGACTGCAGGAAGTGCTACAGCATTTCCCATTGGTGATTCGGAGATGTCGCCGCCAACCGCAACACTCCAGAAGGTTTGTCTTCGATGTCTAATCGTCGAGGCCAGGCCAGGTGGAATCGCCTCAAAGGGACAAGCGTGATGGAGCAATGACTTGACTGCCCAGTCCGGGCCAAGCTCGACGAATATAGCAACATTAAGCGCTCAGAACGGGCTGGCTAGCCAATAAACAGCGCCGATTTGAGATCCACTGGATAATAATGTCAGCCAATAGCATACCGTCGTCCGCCAGTGTCCTTAGATAACTGACTACAAGTAAAGGTAAGCGCTGACCCGGCCCACAAATCAATCTGCATTGCTAATTATGGATTTTCTTCGGGACTGCTGGCGTTTGGATTCTGTATTCTTCCCGAACCGCTCGCATGAGGAGGTGTTTCATGTTGGCGGGATGCATATGACACGCATACAAGTGGAAACTCAATGTAAAGGTAAGTTCACGCAGGCAAAAAATAAGGCCCAAAGAACGAGGTTCATAACATGCGATGGAACCGCCCTCTTTGCTTGACCGTTTGTTTGTCCACATCGTCTTGGAAGAGATTATGGCCTTCTGTTCGACCTCATCTCTGTCCTTGGTTCGCTGTCGTTTCTCGTGAACATGTCTCTTGCCCACGACCGAAGAGGAGGACCTGTGGCCCGCGGCAACATATGGGCCCTTGCGATATGCTTATCGCTCCTCCTCCAGCAAACCTATTCCCAGCTGGTTGGCTGCGACGTCCTGGACTGCAATGGTGGGGCCAACAACGAATGTACAATCGGCAACACGACCAGTTCATTCATCGGCACAGCCTCCTTCAACACCAGTCTGTCCCCGAACAATGAGCCGCTCACCTGGACCGTCGGGGCCTCGTCGTCGAACTCGAGCGACGTCACCTTCACGAAGAATTTCTACCTCGGCTCCCCTCCGTCGATGAACCTTGCGAACCCGACCGGATTTGCAGGCTGTGCGTTGTTCTTTGAAGGGATTGCAAGAAGTCTACCGCTCAACAGTGTCACGGAATATGGACCAGTCACATGTGGGCAGACGCTGCAGGATGCCTGTGTCAATGATATCCTGTCTCAGGCCAAGCAGCAGGTACAGACTCTTGGGTCCACAAACAATCTCGACAACCGCTCTGTGTGCACCGCTTTGCAGACTACGATGGAAGCAAACCCTCCGCAATCGTGCCAGACGATAGCAACCGTTACATGGGGAACTATTGTCCCTAAAGGTGAGTTTCAAACATATGACACCTCCAACCTCAATGGCATTACCTGCTGACATGTTCCTTCCAGAGATTACCGGTCCTCAATCCCCGGTTGACGCTCCCATCGCCCAAACTACCTGCCACCCATCGTCCAGCGTTTCGAGTGGCACAAAGTATAACATTGCCCTAATTGAGACTCAAACGGTCACTTCGGAAGATGTCTCGAGTGACATCGCGCCATTCTTCTACAGCATAACGCCAGTGCTGACCGTCTTTTACAACCCAGCTGCTTCTTCGAACGCTCAGAGTCAGGCCTTGCCGGAAGCCCATCTGACATGCGTGAAGGTGGTCGAGGACTCGAGTCTGGTGCAGCAGGTGGGCAACGGGGCAGGAGTGGTGAGCTTGCCAAGGTCCATGATGGCTTTGGTCTTGGCCATGAGCATACTCGCCCTGGTTTAAAGCCTGCTCGTCTGTGAGGAAGAAAGAGAGACTATCACATTATCTGGTCCTTATCTCCCTAAATTTTCAAAGACGAAAGGAAAAAATGTGTCGAGAAGCTCAAACGCCCTTGAACGTTCGATTACTTTACTCATCGCCACTGTCAGCGTTGATGACGGGGCACAAAAACATAAGCGGCCGCCTCCTCCGTGCACTGGTGAGACGTCCAGATGACAAACTGCTCCCGACCACGGGCCAAGGGTTTAGATTCCAGAGCGAATCGCCAAGCGAGAGAGGAGCCTACGGGCTGGTGGTCACTCGTTAGAAATATCAGCTCCAGGTCGTTGAGGAGACCTAGCACACTTAGGATCGTCGGATTCTTTGGGCGTTACAAGATTCTACAAAAAGAGGGGCTGTCGTGCATTTACGAGAAGGAATCTCTTGGTACAATCTCCATCGATTCAGGAGGCAGGCCTGACTTAACTTGACGCTTCACGCGGCAAAATATTCCACACATACCATAAATCATAGTGTCTATAGACCTTATTGCTCCCTGAGCAGGAAACAACTTCCACAACAAAATCGACTTTCTGTTCCAGGTCATGCGAGTCCTGTGTCCCCTTTGACTTCCAGAACGGTCATACTTGGGGGAAGACACTTCCTGTATTCGAGTTTGTGCCCCGTGTCAGCTTCGAATGAGGAGTGGCAAGGAATTCAGTTAACACTTCAAGCTCGCATCGCTAGTGCTGACGATTGGGAATCTTTGATGCTAGAGATAAGCTCCTCAGGCACAGCAATCGAAGTTCAGGAACATTTACCGGCCCATGAAGCTCTCGGCGCCCAAGCGGTGGGGTGGCCTGGATCTGGAAATTCGAGCGCGGAACCTGTCGCCGTTCCGTCCCCGTGGTAAACACATGAAGACCTCTCTCGGGCAGCATTCGGTGCGTGTGGCACCAATACCGGAGCCGTTGACAGTGAATACTGACCAATATTCATGACAGAAGGACTACCTCTCAATGACAAGGCATGTTGGGCATCGAAATTGAGAGAAGTTTCTGACGAGCTGTGAGGCGTAGATCTGGTTGGTGAGGAGCAGCCCGCATCAGTTGCGGAAAGTCGCAACCCCATGGCAGCAGGGAGTCATGGAGTTGGTATCCCCATGGAGAATGCTTGAGAGCCTGTCACGGGTCGTTATTGTAAATTGTGAATAGGAAGTGCCTGAAAGGTCGTGGGAGCAAAGGCAGAGGGACAGCCTTCTTGTCACATGGAGACCATGGACCACCGTATAATCTGCGCTTGAGCGCTAATGCTCCGTCGAGACCGACAACTCCTCAGTTAATGCGGAGATGGGACAGACATCGCCGTTGCAGCTCACGTCCACAATACAACCTCCTAAGCGTAGAGGCATTCCTCACCTCGTTCTCGACGGCCCTCGCGCCGATTGGGCATCACTGACTATCATGGCATTCTCCAAACTTGCCGTGCCGTCTTCCCGCCGGAGCTCGAGAGGCTCTCGGTATATCATTCGAACCCACGATTTCTTCTACTCAAGACCTCCGCGGCCGAGGTTTTTCACGCACAAGCCTTCGTTGTTAGTGGTGGCTCGACCTATTCTACGCCCGCAGCTGCCTTTCTTGTACCCTTTCCCCCGTGGCAACACCCTCCAAACACACGTCGGACGATTCATCTCAACCGAACGCAAACAGCGCTGGAAGGAACAATTCTGGCGCTATGTACGAATCAATGCCTACCTTTGGCCCACGGCTCTCCTGCTCACCATCCTTTCGATGGGCATGGTGCACACCAAGCTTGAACGAGATTATCCCACGCCCGGGGATTGGTCATTCTGGAGTCGGTGGTGGATGCGCGAGGCAAAATTCACAGAGCTTGCGGACGGCGCCAAAGTGAATCAGATCCTGACGGATTGGGCAAAGGCTGGTCGGCTATACCTGAGCGTCCTCGAAAGGCTGGAAAATGAAAAGGTGGACGGCCAGTTTCTCATCAAGCACGCGGAGACGGAGGCGTCCTCTGCGGACACGACTGAAGGGTTCGACGTGAGTGCCAAAAGTGACCAATGGCGACGAGGGTATCACGAAGCTCTTATGGGTGCTGCGCGTGTGGCTGAACATCTGGAGGGTATGTGCAAGTTGAAAGGGGACGCCAGAGGAGGCCGCGTGTATCCTTGGGAGAGTATCCCTTCACCAACCAATCCACGACCGAAGCCGCTCCCATACGATAAGAAACACGGTCATAACAGTCCACCCACATCGGAGGAAGTGGAAGACGCCTTTCTGCCCCCCTCTGTTTTTTACGAGAAGATATTGGCCACTACTGGCTTTGATACGCGGCAACGACTCGACGCGGCTCTGGCATATGCCGATTGGTGTGATTTCAAGGGGGAAAATAGCACAGCTGAAGGTCTTTACGTCAAAGCCGCAGAGATCGCTCAATCCGGTTTGCCAACGGGGACTGCAGATGTGATTGATGTTCAGACGGGGATGATTCTCAAGGGCCGAGAAGATGCCGTAAGCGACAACATTTTACGAGTCTGCACTGCATTTGGAGTTCACCATGTCAGAGACGGAAACGTGAAGAAAGCTCTTCCAGTATTTCTAAGCGTTCTGAGAGCTAGGAAGACTCTGCCTGCATCTCCCCTTGGCCCAGCCATTGGGGCATCAAAAGTCAAAGTGGAGAAGGATGAAGGCTGGTTGTCCTATGTATATGCTTTGAAAGATCTATTGGTTGAGAGGCCATATCCTCCACCTCCGCCTACTGGCAATGAAAGGCCATATCACACATTGAAGGAAGCCTGTGAAGAGGTAGGGCTCATGACATACATTGGGGAGATCCTTTTTGCCACAAGTGACAGCGAACGGGCAAAAGGCCTTAGCTGGACGAGAGACAGTGTTGAAGCTGCCGAAGCTATCATGTGGGTGATGGACGAACAAAAGGAGCAGGACGGAAGGGACCGATGCCGCGAATGTTTGGAAACCGGTCTCCAAAACTGGAAAGCTATGTCTCAACAGATGGCGCGACTTGCGGCGAAAAAGGAACAGGAAATTGAGAGCGGCAAGGGGCTTTTCGGACTCGGTCTCGGCAGAACACAACAGCTTGAAAAGGCTCGAACTGAGAGAAGGAGATGGGATGAGGAGAATCTACAGGTTGAACTGCGGAGACAGAAGACTCTACCGCTCCTGCAAGAGCCGCTGCAGGCTATCGCTGGAGGCTGGTTGTCAACTCGCGTGTGAGTGAGCTCATTGAGTGGTGACAATGAATGAATGAAGCGTTTTGTGCACAATAGAGATCTCAGCCTTCTCTTGTTGACAGGGGGCGTTCCGGACGCAAAGGTGTCAACCAGCAACTGTTGAAAATGTGCGCCCAAGCGTTGACGTGCGATCGATGCAGTATTGGACTGAGGATGTCGTCATGAGGATTGGACTGATGGTGGAGTCTGTGACTGGGCAGGCAGCGTTGTTCAAGGTTGACATTGACTACGACATGTGTTGTGACAGCACTCTGGCGACAACGGTGAAGATCATGAGAAGACGTGGTGTGTGCCTCACCCTCAAAGTCAGCCTTCCAAATCCATCTATATAATCTCCCGGGATGACGTTTCTCCGTTCCGAAAGTCCACCACAACAACATGAGGTGAGTGAACGCCATTCCACACATTGTTGAACTCGTTGTCGACCGCCTGGCACAGCCTGATACTGATCGGCGGATAGTTCTTCCGCCCCAGCAACCTTGCGGCGTCGTTGCCGCCCTGACAGCATCACCGGCACCACTCCTCCGCCCTCTCCCAACGTCGATGATCTCGAAGCCGGCGAGGTCAGGATGGAGTTTCGTCCAGTCCCGCTGCGCGTGTTGCTGAAGCGCCGCTTCATCCAGCTTCTCCTGCTCCTTTTCGTGGTGTGGTTCTTCATGTGCAAATTGACTCACTACGGCGTGTTGGTACGTATATCTGTCTCAACATCCAGGCTGCAGAGGCTGCTGCATTATCGGTGCAAACTGACACTTAGACTTGAAGTCTGGCCGTTACCTTGGGCTCTCCGCTTGCATCAACGTCGAATTCGGCTACAATCCATCCACTGCCTCCATTCCCGCATTTGAACCTCCAGAAAACTCGACCTATCGGGCACCAGACACGATCGACACCTTCCAAAACTACGCCTGGCGAAATCACAGCGAATGCCAAATCTCCTCGCTTGACTTGCACTCTGCCTTTTCTCCGTTGTGTGCTACGCGAGAGGACTTCCTACGAGCCTTCTCTGGAGGCGGGCGAATTGGGTTCGACCAGCCTTTCATTCCACTCGGGTGCGACATGCGCTGGTTCACTACAGAGGAGGTCTGCGAGATTTTCTCACGGTTTGAAAAAGTCATTGTCGTGGGTGACAGTATGATGAGACATGTGGTGGGGGCGTTGAACGTGCTTCTGCGCAAAGATCTCGGATACGGAGCAGTGACGAACTGGAACTTCGATGACCAGGAATTGTATGTCCAGGCTTGCCTGACTGAACTCTACTCTTGCTGACCGGTGACCCACAAACCAGGCGCGACTGCTTCTGCAACCACCAGATGGACGTCAAATCCTGCTCTGTACAAGGCATCTTCTCCACCTCCTCGGTCCTGGAACACGACCCGTCGAGCTTGTCGTGCTCGCGCGAAAGCCCCATCGACCTAGTCATCGAGATGATGCTCCGCTTCCCGCTCGACAACGAGGAGGTAAACCGCTACAAGGCCCTGCTGTCCCCGACCAAACCCGGCAAACCGTACGCTTTCATCTTCGGCCATGGCCTGTGGAACGACCTCGACCTCCAAGCCACGCTGAACTGGCTGGACGGCATCCTGACGCACACGCTCGTCCAAGCCCCCTACCTCCTGTCCTCCGCCGCGGCCGCGGAGACCAAGCAACGCGCCCACTCCCACTCCCTCTGGCCGCGCCTGTTCATCACGCCAAACGCCGCGGGCGTGAGGAAGCCGGACGAGTGGCTCGTCAGCCAGGGCGACAAGGCGCTCATGATCTTCGAGGAGAGCGTGCGCGCCGAGGCCGCCCACAGAGGCGTCGAGACCATGGGCACCTGGAACATGAGCGTGCAGGCCTCCAAGTACGACGGCGTGCACTTGGACTTGAAGGGCAATCTGGTCAAGGCCATGGGGGTGGTCAATTGGCTGAATCTGGTCGATGTGCACGCCTGGTGAAAATGAACGGGAGGGGGTAACCGCCAAACATACACAAATGTCAAATGAAGAATGAAATGAACTGAGATGGAAATGGAGATCAGCAATGTGTCAAAACGCCACAACAGGCGTAGACGGAGCCCGTCTGTAGAATGAACCTGTGCTCTCCGTGGACTCATATTCTCCCATTGTCTCCACGACTCCTTCCCTCTGCCGTGTCCACAACTTGACTTGCACGAGACTCCAATGTGCTTACAGTATAGCGTTCGTCATTCTCACACCCGCCTCGTCTCTCTTGTCCATTCATTCACTTCATCGGGTCGCTGTGCGCAGACGCATCTGCGGCATCTGCGGCATCTGCGGCATCTGCGGCATCTGCTGCGGGTATATAATATTCAAGTGCGACCACCACCCCTCTCTTATTTCGCAGGTGCATCCATCCGCTTGAGAACGCAATGCTGCGTCGTTTCCAAGTAGATAGACAGACCGAGGCATCCAAGACGGGGCCACGCCTATCGAAGCTTCAGATGTGTTTCTGAAGCGGACTAAAACGTCCACGTCGTGCGTGCGAGGGAATGTGTCTTGCAAGACAGCGTCGTGGCACCTGAGCGGATGTGGTGTCCTCCTGGCTATCTAGATAGATTGATAGCTGACCAGGTGTAGTGAGGCCCTTTGCCCTCACTGCCAAAAGGGGCTGCTATCATCCCCAATGGTTGGGCCTAGCTGCGAGAGGGATCCTCGGGGAACTCTTTTCTTCAGGCGCGCTTCAAGGGTTGCCAGCCGGCGACGACGACGCGGGCCCAGAGCAGCAAGGAGCCGGTGACGAGGATGGCGGCACCGCTCCAGAGCTGCACGCCCCACCACTGGCCGGTGCTCTTGAGGATGGCGCCGGAGACGGGGGTGCCGACCAGCAGGCCAAAGGCGCTGATGAAGAAGCACTGGCCCATGCGGGTGCCGATCTTGCTCATGTCGCGGGTCAGGGTGACGACGGCGACCGGGGGCAGCGAGACGAAGCCGCCGCTGAAGAAGCCGTAGACGAGGGCAAAGGCCAGCAGGCCGCCGAGGCTCTTGATGCCGATCCACACGAGGGCCAGCACGGCCGCGATGATGGCGCAGGGGACCAGCACGTTCAAGGGCCCGACCTTGTCGGCGATGCTGTTCGGGATGATCCGCCCGGGGATGCTGGCCGCGTTGATGATGGGGAGCAGGTAGAAGGCCAGGTTCTCGCCCGTGATGCCGTTCTGGATCGCGTAGGGCCCGATGTAGTACAGCGGGCCGTACAGGCCGACGAAGCCGAAGAACATGCTGACGCAGAAGAGGGTGTAGGGCAGCTCGCGGAACGCGGCGAGGTCGGTCAGGGGCCGGCGCGCCTTGGGCAGCACGCGCGGCTTCATGACCAGCACCGAGAACCACACGGTCACGAAGGAGATGAAGCCGATGGTGCGCGTCGCCCACGCGAACCCGACCTCCTGCTGCATGCGCCGGAACACGATCGGGTAGATCAGCCCGCCCAGGCTCGAGCCGGACGCGGCCAGCCCGTTGGCGAGCGCCTTGCGCGACGAGAAGTACTGCGGCAGGATGGCGACCGAGGGCACGAACACGCAGCCGTTGCCCACCCCGACGCAGAACGCCTGCGCCAGCATCGTCTGCCAATACTCCTTGGCCAGCGACGTCATCATGAACCCGAGCGGGACGAGCACGGCGCCGATGGTGATCAGCTCTCGAAAGTAGCCCGAGTCGTACAAGGGGCCCGAGACCAGCCCGACGAGCAGCAGCAGGAAGGCCTGGATGGACCCGATCCACGAGATGTCGCTTGGTGAGGCGTGCCAGAGCGGGTTGGTCTCGTAGTAAGTCTGGAAGACGCCAAAGGCGTTGACGGTACCCCTGGGCTTTGGTCAGTCGAGGAGCACTCCTCAGGTCGGGGTCAAGGGCCTACCAGGAATTGAAGAAGAGGAAGAAGGAACCGACAACTTGCATCCAGGCACGCGTGCCGCCATTGGGAGGGGGGCCCGGGTCGTCGCGGTCTTCCTCTCCCAGACCTCCATGGTCCGAGGCGGGGGTGATGTTGATATTTGCCTCTGCGTCGATAGCCTTGTCCAGGTTCGACTCGACCCGGATCATGTCTGGCCTTGAGGCCGCTGATAGATGTTTCTCGTCGAGTTCATCTTCGAGGATGGTGGAAGAGCTCATGATTGGCAGAGGCGGTAGCCGAGGGGTCGAGAGGGCTTGCACGAGCTCGGGAAAGGGCTAGGAACGGCACAGCAGTTCGAGAGGGATGTTGAGATCTCATACGGATCGAGCCGCACAACGGGGTTTTGACGAGACTCGCAAACGCATGGCAGAACTTCCCGATGTAGCAAAGAAGCAGGACATGGGAAACGATTTAAAAGCAAAAACGGTACTTTTTTTTTGCGACGCCAGGGACAGGAAAAAGTGGAACAAGGGCCTCTCTCTCCCACCTGGCAATTCATGGATCGAGGCAACCGACATTGTGGAAGAGAGCGGGGATGGACGAGTTGCAATCTGTGGCATCTGCAGAGCACCGAGGCCCAGCTGTGTGGACGGAGAAGATCTGCTGTTTGGGGGGTTCGAGGGAGCAGGGAGCAAAAAGACGGTGGATGAATAATGGGACGAGGAGTCATAGACATTGACACCCACTGGGAGGCACTCCATGGCGCCTGGAGATGGGGCACGTCGTCGATGCAATGATGAGAAAATGGGCAAAAGGGAGCAAAAGGGATGCCGAACATCCGTGTGCCCGCCGCGAGATTCTGTGCCTCTGTGCCTCTCTGGTCCTTGCGGTGTGCGGTCCGCAGTGTAGTACTATGCGTATTCGTGAGCGTATGCCGGCTGTTGTGGCCATGGCTTAGGCTAACAAGGAGTCAAAAGGCCCTGGGAGACGGTAGCCGACAGTAGTGGGCAGCGTGCCGAGTATGAGTACAAGGCATTGCCGGGGTCTGTACCGACACACATTCCACCGGATCAGGATGGCCATAATGGGTCGGTGAGGTGGTCTTGGGGGATGGGAGATTTTGTTGTCCATCACACACATATATTCACAATATATATATCCATCAGCCATGTGAGATGTGGTCGATGGGGGAGATTCTGATTCGCCGCCAGCCGGTAAGACGAACAACAAGGTGGCCTGAAGGTTGGAGATGAGATGCCAGGAATCCTTCCACGATGGTTATTGACACGCACCTGGTCTTTGCATCCAGTAGAAGAAGACATGGCCATCGATGCCCTGTGCATACCATTGTCATCATCGCTCACAAGGCTGATTACAGATAGGAATGGGGATTCGATTGCTCCTAAACGAGGACTTTACGAAGACCGTTCGACCCTGGTGGAAGGCCTCTTCCTCGGCAACGTTCCTCTGTGACACGATCTGGGGCTGTGGGGATGGAGCACTGGGCAGTCCTAGGTACATCCCACTTCCCAGCATCAACAAGGCTCCCGTTGGTAATCAGCAAAGGCGAGGCTCCGAGTACGAGCAGAACCAATCGTCCCCTCCTTTTCGTCATCTCTCAAAAGACTCTTTGTTAGTAACTGTAACGTGAGATTGAGCTTGCTTCACTGGCGAATTCCTTCGACCACCTAATCTGCTGCTGTTCAACCTCCCAACACCAATGGAGCTCGCCGACTGCTACTGTGGCTTTCCTCTAGCTCCGCCGATCCTCGACACAGGCTGCCACAACCGGTCTGGCGCCGGTGCTGCGTTGCTTCCTGCCTTATCGTTTGTATGCGAACTATCCGTGCATCTCAACCACGTGCGCCTCCACTGGACTGCTGCTGGTTATCTCTGCAGGAACGAGGACGGCAGAAGCAAGGAAGTTTGGGCTGTATTCCCGTGCTCATGGAGGGTATAAAGCCTTCGCTTGAGCCATGGCGGGTGAGGCTGTTCTTGCTGGACCTTGGCAAAGCTTGACACAGTCGTTCTTTTGGCCCAAGCCATCAGTCGACATGAAGACCAGAGTCGCCGGTGCAGCTCTGTGCTGCTTGTTGGCCGCCCTCGCCGAAGCTGCGCCCGTGGTCGATACCACCTACGCCTACACAGGCCCGGCCATCCCCGTGGGAGACTGGGTTGACCCGACGGTGAATGGAAATGGCAAAGGATTTCCTCGACTGGTAGAGCCACCAGCAGTCGCTCCGTCAACCAAGAACCCGACGAACAATGTCAACGTGATCCAGCTGTCCTACCTCCCAAATGGCATCAACATTCATTATCAGACTCCTTTCGGCCTGGGAGAGCTTCCGACAATCATGTGGGGGACTACAGCTGGCAAGCTGGACAATGCAACCCACGGCTATACGCACACGTTAGTACTTGACCCCCTGCGCTCCGAGACAAATGCTAAGACCAGCTTCAGATATGATCGAACGCCACCTTGCTCTCTCGTGGCCGTGACTCAATGCAGCCAGTTCTTCCACGACGTTCAGGTCACCGGTCTCAAACCAGGCACGACGTACTACTACCAGATCCCCGGGGCCAATGGCACGACAACGTCCCCGGTCATGAAGTTCACCACAGCCCTTGCAGCTGGTGACGAAACTCCATTCTCCATGGCTGTCCTCAATGATATGGGATACACCAATGCAGCAGGTACGTTCCAGCATCTCACCCAAGCTGTCGACGAAGGTGTCGCCTTCGCCTGGCACGGAGGAGATCTCAGCTACGCCGATGACTGGTACTCGGGCATTCTTCCCTGTGAAAGTGATTGGCCCGTTTGCTACAACGGCACGTCGACACAGCTGCCTCCCGGGGACTTCCCCTCAGCCTACAACGACCCGCTGCCAGAAGGAGAAGTCCCTAACCAAGGAGGCCCACTGGGTGGCGACATGAGCGTCCTGTACGAGTCAAACTGGGACCTGTGGCAACAGTGGATAGGCAAAGTTACCAACAAGGTCCCATATATGGTGATACCAGGGAACCACGAGGCCGCATGTGCAGAATTCGACGGGCCCGGGAATCCACTCACGGCCTACCTCGACGGCGATCAGTCCAATGCAACAGCAGCGAATAGCAGTCTGACATACTACAGCTGCCCCCCATCACAGAGGTGAGTTCAACCACATCCGCACTTACTCGATACTAAATAATGCCAGAAACTTTACCACATACCAACACAGGTTCTACATGCCCGGCGACGAGACAGGAGGCGTTGGTAACTTCTGGTACTCATTCGACTACGGCATGGTCCATTTCATCGCCATTAACGGAGAGACCGACTTCCCCAACAGCCCTGAATACCCATTCGAAGCCGACCTGAAGGGCAACGAAACGCACCCGACCGAATCGCAGACCTACGTCACCGACTCCGGACCCTTTGGTGCCGTCAACGGAAGCTACAGCAAAGTCCAATCGTATCAACAATACCAATGGCTGGTCAAGGATCTCGCCAACGTCGACCGATCCAAGACACCATGGGTGATCGCCATGAGCCATCGTCCCATGTACAGTTCCGAAACGTCCAGTTATCAGACATATGTCCGTAACGCGTTCGAGGCCTTGCTCCTCGAGAACAACGTCGACATGTACTTGTCAGGGTAAGTTGTTATCTTCCCTTGGCCCTGCATTCATCCCTCGCAACCTATCTCCCTTGCTCTGTAGCCTGTAGGAGATGCTAAATCTTACTGTCCCAGCCATATCCACTGGTACGAACGCCTCTGGCCGCTCGGCGCCAACGGCACCATCGACTCGACATCCATTGTCAACAACAATACGTATCTAACCAACCCCGGCAAATCCGTAAGTTTCTATTCCCAATTCTACTCGTGCTTCGCGGCATTTGAGAGCTGGAAGCGTAGGACTGACCACGTACCAAACCCAGATGACGCACATCATCAACGGAATGGCAGGCAACATCGAGTCTCACAGCTTTTTGGACGCCGACGAGCCGATCAAGAACATCACAAATGTTCTGGACCAAGAACACTACGGGTTCAGCAAATTGACCGTCCTCAACGCTACCGCCTTGAAATGGGACTTCATCCGCGGCGACGGAGCCGGTATAGGAGATTCCTTGACCTTGTTGAAGAAGGGATGCTACAACTTCTAAAGCGGCCGAGGGTATAGGACAAGCGCACATACTCCCTCTGATGGCTTTTGACGCGCGCGGACCCATCGGCAAGCAGTTTGTACATAGAGCCACCGACCTGCAGGTAGCATGCATTGTCGAAAAGAAGTCCCAGCATGAGACACCCAAGATAGAGCGCGTAGTAATCACTGGGTAATATCTAATCCAAGCCTTTGCTACGGGAAGAAGCGACTACCAGTAACTCTTCAGAAGACAACCAGCCCCGACGGGAAAGAGGTGATTTATTGAGGGGTTTCTGGCGTTGTTCGGTCTTGCACGATCTTTTCAGTCATGCCATTGAATATGCAGATAGTCCTGTGAAAAGGACATTATACCGCTCCCTCTTTAATCGTTTGCGGTCACGATCATTCTTGGACGAGATCTGGGTGCCCGCGATCATGGTCAATTCGACATCGACTTAGGTCAGCACTTCACTTTTCAAGCACCAGTCGAATGCTGGACGGGTTGCGCCCTCTCGCTCCTCGACAGGATGGAATGATGGCAGCAATCGAGATGGACCTAAGCAAGAATAATGGGAAGCGAAGAAGAACAACAGCCGAAGCGACAACCTTCCGAGTCTTGCTTAGCATGGGGGCTGACGATCGCTTGGGCGGCAAATGACTGCGGCTTTCCCACCTGAAACGACCCTTTTCATCTGTCGCCCTCTGATGCCAAACATGAAACACCCCCTCAAGACCCCCCTTGATCTCTGCCACAATTAGAACGCCATCCGCCCATCCAGAAGGGCCAGAGGTCGATGACGCGATCCCTGTCGAGCCTTCCACGCCCGCACCCGCGTCCATTGGCTATCATGGCTCCTCGCCCGACGCCCCGGCCTGAGGCTCTGATTTTACCCGCGTGCGTTGGGACAAGAATAGTTTGCGCGGCCGCGAACAAACCTCGACCCGACCGTATCGACCAACCCGCCAAACCGCGATCCTCAACCTGCGCATTGCCATGTCCATGCACTGGTCGAGGTTCTGCCTTGTGCCTTGTGCGCCTCGCCTTACACGGCCACCCTAGAGAGCCGTGCAATCAGCCAGCATGGCACAGAGTTACTTGCTTGGTTGGCCAGCCCCAGCCCCATGATGTCTGTGGCATCTGCCGCTGACCACTGTCGAGGACGTGTTGTTTGCGGCAAAACCAAACGAGTCGAAACCCCCAGGTAGGGCGTGCCCAAAAGGAACATAGATATCAATGGGCTTCTTTGCCTCGTGTTACTCCTCAGGATTGTTTCTTTTTGAGCTCTGCATCTATCTCCCTTCGATCCTTTCTGTTTTTTGATATTGTTTCCATTTCAGCGGTGCTGACACTGTTGGTCTCTTTCCCGGGCTACGTCTGTCCTTACCACTCGGGCCTTTTGCTTATTGCGCTGGACGCTGGACACTCGTCGTTACTAAAAAGACAATCATAATCTCTAATCTCAGACATGGCAATGGATCCTCGTCGGAAGAGCACAGGCAACGGAGCCTTCCTCATCTCCAATGCTCGCTCTCAATCTACCACAAAGACGGACACCGCACTTCCGCCTCGACCTCGCAACCGAGTCTTATACCGACTACACAAATTCCGGACCGTCCTGCTGCCAATCCTCCTGGTCTTGACCTTCAGCACGTTGATCCTGGCGGCCATCTACGCCTATTGCGTCGCGAAGCCCTACACGGATATCGCAGACCGTCTGGCGACGGACGTCGACGCCGAAGCCAATTCTTCCATCTTCGGCAAACGGGACACGGCACCCTATGCCTCCAACTCGGTATCGAGCCCGGCGCCCTCGACGACCAACACGTCCATCTATGCCGCTGAAACCCAGCCCGAAACCGCCCTCCTGTTCTATGCTCTTACCGCTCCGGGTCTTTCTCTGATCCACCTCGTCCTGGAGCTCACCATGCACCACAACACCCCTCGGCTCCTTTCCCTTCGCAAGGCCTACATCGCCTTGCTCGCGACTTCCTCCCTCCTCGTCTGTGGCTGGATCACCTCCCTCTCCCTGTGGATGCACTGCGAACTCCCCATCTTCAACCAAAGCATCCCCGGCCAGGCCGTGTGCCCCGTGCAAGTCAGGGGCCACTTCATGTATGGCATTCACGAAGTCAGCATTGCAAGAATCGTCGTGGGTTGGCTTGCCGTCATCATGTACGCAGGTCACATGGTGGTGACGGTGATGGGTTACCGGGCACAAAGGAGGATCTGGAGGATCATTGGTCCTCAAAAGGGCGATGGTGATGTGGAAATGGCACATGGGGAGGCGAGGGTTACTGTGGTCAAATTCGGGGACAATGTGAAAGCCCGTGACGGAGCGTTGGCGAAGGAGACGGCCGTGGTATGACGTTGTCGCGGACCCATGAAATTATGAAACTTGCTATCCACGGCGTAATGTAAATATAACCGGCTACTGGGATAGCCATTTTGTTGAAAAAGGGATGGGATACATCGTGATCTTACCTTGATCACCACACATTGGCGACGCACCATCGCAAAGCAATAGGTACGCATAAGTCAGAAGCTGTGAATGATAATGTCCCGACCCTGACTGTAGTCCAGGTCAAGAGATTGATGGTTGCATCAGTGAGGATCGGAAGCTACTTGAGCCTCATCGTATTTTATTGAAGAACTCTCTGTTGTGCAACGGATATCTTCCACCACCATCACCAGGACATCGCTGCTGAGCCCCGTTTTTTTTTCTTTGGTTCTCCCCAGATCTATTTTTATGTTGGTCGGTCAATGCAGTGCGGGTGATTGTTTTGCATAGCTTTTCAGTGCGACAGGACCGCGTGTTGGGCGTGTACGTTAATTGGCAGGTGGCGTTGAGTTGCTCCGAACGGGAGAAGAAAGGATAATTGGAGAGCGACGAAGCAGCAAACAACGAGTGGATGGCCATGTGGGCGCCAGGTTGCATGATTGGTGACAGATTGCATTGTTGACGAGGCGGGCGGAATGATGGGGGGGAGAGAGGTTCTTGGCACGCCAATCGCCAGCCTTGCCAGAAGTTATATATCCAGCCTTGCCCCCCGGCAAACCAAAGACCTCACCCTCAGTTCCAGATATTCACTCCCTCACAGCCAGACCTTCCCTACTTGTTTTCCCATGTCACATGCCCCTGCCCCGTTATTATTATGATATTAATTACTCCGACTCAATTCATGTCAACAATTGTCGGATCAGGACTGCATCACAACAGCTTTTCCACCACTTCGAATTTGATGACTGCAATCTGCGTTGTTAACACCAACCAAACAACAGGCCTCATAGTGAGAGAAGTGCAAGGGAGAAATTGGGGTTGAGCGCTCAAGGAGGAAGAAAGAGATGGAGGTCGAGCAGGAGGGGTCCGCGTCGAGAGGGGAGAAGGTCCGCAAGGTCCGGGATTCGAATCACAAAAAAAACCAAAAAACACTTAATAAAACCCCTCCGGGGTTTTCCCTGAATCTCAGGTTTTTTGCCAATTTTTTTGTTTGTGTGGGTGTGTGTGTGTGTGTGGAATGGTGTCCTCCCTTCACATATCGAGGGCCACTCCCACCGGCTAACCTTGGCGTGAGTCTCTACCAAACTTGCCAAACACACCAAACAAAACTCTTTTTGCCTGCCTACCGCTGGGCCAGCTCGAGGCGAGCTTTGGGCAGTTCTCGTTTCAGTGGATCAGTCTACCCCGTCCCACTTGTCCGAACCTGCTCGCTTGCTCGCTTCCTAATACACAGTCCAGAAGTGGTTTGCTTTCACGATTTTATTGACGATACTCCAGAGTTCCAAGAGTCAAAGGTATACATTTACGGGGATTTCTGCTTTCTTTTGGACATTCGTGGGAATCGGCAGAGCAGGCACGTCCGGTAGGTTGTTCGTGAGAGTGACGCTTCGACTTGTCCTTTTCTCATGAGGCCACGAGGGAGGTCTAATATGAGACAAAATCTCGACTGCAATTACTGGGACTTGACTGAAGAGTTCGGAACGTGGAATAGATCCTTGCGCTGGATCATATCGACGGGCGACCCTCGATTGTTGTTGGCGCGGCTGAGCTTCTGGCAGGTGCCCCCATGCTTGATGGGTAATGCCCAAGACGAAGCATCATCGACCGATTGATTTCATGCCCATCCGCAAGGCAATTACTTCCACCCTTGTCCAACTTCAACTGGGTCCCCAGGAGACGAGCTAGGTGAACCTACCACGTCACGGTGCTCTTGCATCAATTCTGAGCTATAAAGGCGGTGGTCGCAAACAGTCGAGCCCCAGATTTTTGTTGGCAGTAATCAGGTATCCCTACTACTGCGCGAGTCGTAATATGTGCTTGTTACGGAGCAAGTCAATAAAATCATCTCGTTGAATGTCGTTCCAGACGCCCAATCACCGTTCAGTGTAATGCATGACGAGGCTGTGGGACGCGGGCTTTCAATTTAACCGAGAGCTTCCCGCGCCCGCGAATTTCAATAGAAGGCCACAACTTTTCCATTCGCCAAATCTAGTCGAATTGATCGGGATCATGGCGACGATATTCCCGCGTCGGGCCAGCTTCGTATGTCGCTCATGCCAGAAGCTCTCTGCGGTGAAATCCAACCGACGACAATTCATCTCGCAAGCCGCCAGCCCCCCGAAGCAGGAACCCATCGTCCTCCCCAAGCCGCGCAGACGCATAACAGTGCCGTTAACAAGAAAGGCTGGCCCTGTGACAGCGGAGTCATCCTCAGACAGCAACAGCTCTCCGTCAAGACGAAGCTCCCCTGCAGCGATCAATAGGACTTCAGCCGAAGTTTCTTCACACAGCCGCGATCCGGCCCGCAGACTCAACGAGTTCCACAAATTCGTCGCGCAGATCCAGTCGAGCAATGCTGCGGCCGACAAGGACGATGTGCTTGAAGCGCTGATGGACATGTACGAGTTCGCGGGCGTGCTGGTGCACGGGACGGGCAAGATGCCGCAAGAGACAGCCGCGAGGACAACAACCACACAAGGCAGGGAAATGGGAGACGCACTCCTTCAAGATCTGGCCGAGGACAAGTCGTCGTCACGACTGCAAAGCGTCGGCGTGGCGATCGACTCGATATCGGTGCCCGGCACAGAGCAGATGTCTCTCTCCTTCCGCGAAGACGCGGCCAAGCGTGTCTCGCAGCTCGCCTACGACCTCCTCCGCGACCCCAAGGTCTACATCACCGAAGACATGCTCCAGATGTACGTGCGCGTCCAGTGTCTGCTGGGGCGACCCGAATACCTCCCGGAGATCTTCCACCTCTACGCCACCAAGAAAATCCCCGCCGCGGACAGCAAGCCGGTCCAGTACTCGAATCCGTGGCCGAAGCTGCCCAAGTACGCCGTCCCGCTCGACCTCGCGGAAGCGGCCCTCGAATCCGCCATCCTCAAGAAGAACCTCTCCCTCGCCCTGGCCGTCATCGACACGACGGTGGGGGCGCCGGCGTTCCGCACGAACAAGGCCCTCCGCCGCGGGAGCGTGCCTGGGCTCGTCGTCGGCGCGACACCCTTGATCGCGTACGCGGGCGCCGACTGGGTCTCGCACTGGCAAAACACCATGGACGTGGAGATGGCCAAGTACACCGCCATCGCCGGCGCCGTGGCGTACATCGGCACGCTCACGACCATCGGGTTCGTCGCGGTCACGACCTACAACGACCAGATGCAGCGCGTCGTGTGGCGGCCCGGCACGCATCTGAGCAGCCGGTGGCTCAGGGAGGACGAGCGGAGGTTCTTCGACCGGTTGGCCCTCGCCTGGGGCTTTCAGGAGCAGAGTCGCTGGGGCGAGGAGCACGGCGCCGAGTGGCAGAGGTTGAGGGATGAGTGTGGGCTGAGGGACATGATCCTCGACAAGACGGATCTGATGGAGGGCATGAAGTGAGTGGCGTCTCTAGATAGAACGGTGTCTTTAAAAAAGACAAAGCTACACCTCTGGGTCTCTCTCCTGAATCACGATTATTTCTCATCATCTGACTCTGCTTTGCGGTTTGCTAAGGAAGAGGTTCTTCGGGGGATTTTGTTCTACCCTGAATCTTTGCATTTGCTACTTTCGTTGGCAATTCATATGGCCTTGTATGAGATGACTGCAAGCTCTAGGCAGTTTTCTCTTCCTCCTTCGCCACTACGTATGAGGATCGTACAGCAATATCTCGACTGACGATTGGCGCCGCACCTCATGCGGTGGTTCAAAGAGGACGAATGCCGACCAATAACCCGCCGAGCAAACCGAATGAGACGAGTCGTCTAGTACAGTCTCTTGGGCGGGCTCATGCTGGCCTTGATGGTCAAGCTGCCCACGTTCTGCCATCCCTTCTTCAACAAGCTGACCAGGTAGTTGATGGCCAACATGATGTTGCTGATCAGCTCATCCTCGGTCATGCCGACGTTGCCGACCGCGACGCCCATGCACAGAACCTTCTTCAGCTGGAACTTGATGGTCGACTTGACCTCGACAATCTTGGCCGACAGGTCTTCGTTGTGGGAGATGGGCGTGGGGAATTTGCCGGCCTTGGAGAGACCGGGCCCCAGGAGACGGGGGATCTGCTTGATCAGCGAGTCCGAGGCCAGGAAGGCGTCGTATTTGCGGGCCAGCTTCTTGATCAGCTTCTTGTTCTTGTTCAGCTTCTTCAAGTCGTCGGACGACATGGCGTCCACGCCCAAATGTTTCGCTCGGTCGATGTCGTGTTGGTCACCCAGGACGCTGTGCGGTTGTCTCTCGTCAGTATTATGTTTCTCTTCAAAACTTTCCCCACTCCCAGTCTGTCGTCTGTTCTTCTTTCCCGCAGAGGTGGTCTCGGACATACCAGATTGACATGTTCGGTCTGGGGACCGTGGGCAGCTTGATGGTCCCCGAGAAACGCTTGTCACGCTGGGGGTCATAGTTCTTGAGGCCGATCTGGAGTTCGACGGTCTCGAGGAAGTTTCGCTTCTTCTCGTTGAGCGAGTAGTCGAGAAGCTGTTGGACGTTCACGCGCACTCCGGCTGTAGAGGGGCAAAATTCCGTCAGCGAAAAGTCCAATTCGACAGCGGGTGGCTGTTTCGACGCAGTGTTTGCGCAGATAGCAGGGATGACTTACCGACTGTAATTTTCGACATGATGAAGACAGTCTTCCAGAAGAATTGGTCAAATTCTTATGGTGAGGCACTGCGCAAGAAACGGGTTGAGGAATGAGGACCAAGTAGCCGGAGAATTGCGAGTCAAGGGTAGAAAATCGATTGTGAGCGATGCCAAGACTCGCACGGCCTAGACCATATCAGGAGTAGTCGATCAATTCTCACGAGATACTATCAGTTGATTGGCTGTGGTACGAATGAGCGGCTCAAGCCTTGCTATGTATGCTCTTTTTCCCATTGCTTCAATATTCGGTAGGACCAACAATGTTGCTTATCGTGCTTCGGGATCTGTCGTGCTGCAGAAACTGTGGTGGCCGTTGCGTTTTTCGTCACTAGACGAGACCGACTGCTAGAATGATACTGTTTGCGAAAAGTCCAGATGACTCCATTGTCACAGTGAGTCATTCCAGCATCAGCTGAAAATATCAGGGCTTTCCCCAGATATCTGTGTATCCCGAGACAAATCTTTCTGCAATCGGAACTAGGTCATGATATCTCATCTGCCTCACACAAAGCTTTGTCAGCATCTCTCCGTCTGTCCTCATGGCTTCCTTTTCTGTCCACACTCTACCCAATCCCGCCCCAGACCATGACACTCTTCTGGAGTATTCATCGCGGCTAAAGGCCCTCAGACTTAGAAGTCTGAAAGAGGATGCGAAGAGCTTCATCTCAAGATATGACAGCGAGGTCAGCCAGTCAGAAGAATTCTGGCTGAACAGACTTCGAGACGATCAGGCCACCCACCTTATACTCGTTCGCCATGACGCACTGTCGCAGAAATGGAACCTGTTGGAGCATCAATGGATTGGATTTGTGGTCATTGTCGCACCAAATCCCAAGAATGTCGATGATGCAGGTCGACCGTCACCAACCGAGTGGTATATGGCAGCACTCTATGTCGAGCCTGAGGTGCGTGGGCAAGGGTTGGGAAAGCGCCTTGTTCAGGCGACCATCGAGCATGTCAGGGACAACTCTGCGATGGAACATGAGGAATCCCCATGCCTCCTCACAAGTGTGGTACACGGCAATGAAAATGCTCTGGATCTATATCAAAAACGCGGATTTCGGGTCATCGAGCCGAACAAGGAGGTTGAGAAGGAAGGAAGAAAGTATCTTTCAACGACACTGAGGATGGAGGTGTAGAAAGACAAACGGACACTCTGGTTTCCCATGGCGAGACATATGAAGTCAATCATTTTGTTGCTCACGTGCTGTGGTGTAGTATGGTGTGATGGTAAAAACCGAGCCCGTTTCCTGTTGCAACGGGCAGCCCGATGATGGGTGTCAACGGTCAAATTTGATCGCGGCAGAAGAACATAAATAGACTTCCTCTCGCCTCACGAAAGCCAGGCTTGCTTCCATATCACAAAGTGTACAATAGTCCTAATATTAATTTTAATAAAGAGGCCCGATATCAGCAGCCTCGAGTTCACAGCCTGCACCGCGGCTAGCACCAAGAGTTTTTGTCTGCAGAAGGGCTTGGCAGCCATCGGCTACGAGTCCAACTTCGCCAGTCAAACTATCCACCGGGGCGTCCTGAGAACTTGTCCACTTTCAGACTTACTTCGCCCATTGTCCATCTTTAATCCTGACAATCAACGTCCACCTAGCATCTTGACACTCTTTTGCCTGCCTCTACGCCAGGAATAGAGTCACTTGGCCTTTCTGGTAAGCCAAAGAATTCCAGCTGCCTGCTCCCAAAATCCATCGTGCCAGGTCCTCAAGGACAAAGTGGCCACACATGTGCCTCTGGGTCGCGCAACGGTGACAGGGCGACCCTATGATTTCCTTTATATCGCAGGACGTCTATGACCCTCAGACCTTCTGACCCTATTCTCTACTTCATTATACCCCATTATTTCGCATACGTCTGCGCGTCTCCGGATTGTCCCTAGCTGACCCTTTTTCCCAGACCGCCTTACCCACAATCTCCCTTGCCACGCCCTCCCTCAGCTGAATCGCAAACATGGGTCTCGCATTCTCAAAACTGTTTGACCGACTATGGGGAAAGAAAGAGATGAGAATTTTGATGGTTGGTCTTGACGCCGCTGGAAAGACAACCATTCTGTACAAGCTCAAGCTTGGTGAAATTGTGTATGTGATAGCAGCTGCTGCCTGCAGAGTCCGTTGAAGTCTCTGGAAACCCGCACTAACGTTGTGCAGCACCACGATTCCCACTATCGGTACGATGAGAAATCAACTACCCCCTAGATTGGCTCGTGATTAACCTGCGCTGCCAGGATTCAACGTCGAAACCGTCGAATACAAGAACATCCAATTCACAGTTTGGGATGTTGGTGGGCAAGATAAGATTCGGCCTTTGTGGAGGCATTACTTCCAAAACACCCAAGGCATCATCTTCGTGGTTGACTCCAACGATCGAGATCGTATCGTTGAGGCACGTGAGGAACTTCAGCGCATGCTCAATGAGGATGAGCTGCGTGATGCCTTGCTCTTGGTCTTCGCCAACAAACAGGATCTACCCGTGAGTGCAGCAGCGCGTTATCTTTCTGATTGTTGGCTCTGACTCTACTCCAGAACGCCATGAACGCTGCCGAAATCACTGATAAGCTTGGCCTGCACAGTCTCCGACAACGTGCCTGGGTAAGGAGAAACATAGTAGTCTGCAAGTGTGCAAGTTGCTAATGCGTGATACAGTATATCCAATCCACCTGCGCTACCTCTGGTGATGGTCTCTACGAAGGACTTGAATGGTTGAGCAACTCTCTCCGCAAAGCCGGTCACTCCTGAACATCGACCCCTCGGATAAGTGCGTCTGCTGGCCCCGACAATGGACCAGTCGTCTCGAACGCGAGATTGCTACCAAACAATTTACTCTCAAAACGGTCTTTGCAAGACCTGCAGTCATTCATAGTCCCCTCCACAATTCAAAATTATGGTGACTGCAGCCAGCTTGTCATGGTGATAGGACGAACAAGGTGAAAGTGAAAGGCTTCCATTCCATCCCGCATATTCATGATCTGCTTGTCTCTGGTCTGTCACGATCTTCATATGGTTCACGGGGAGTTGAGTCTCATAGGTAGTTCCGAGTTTTTGTGCGAATTGCTGGCATACCTTGGCTTCGGGCGGCAGGATCCGGTACCTGTAACTTGAACTCTGCAGAAAAACGAAGGCAAGGTTGTAAGCAATGAATAGAATTGGTTCTGAGAAAACAGCCTTGAAAGGTGGAATAACTGTGTTGCCTGAAACTGAAGCTGTAGTTATATTTGTGATGCGCGATGCAGTGTGGAGCAGTGCCATAAGGACGCCGAAAGTTGCCTCCTGCTCGCAAGTGCTAAATCGACTCCGCCGCGTTCGTATGACGAGTTGCCAATTGCCAACAACCAACCACGCCTGCTCAAGTAACATCACAACGCCCAGGCAGAGGGCCATTATTGATATATGTTCATTCACAGAGGCATGACTTGATTCTAGTCTAGAAGACTCCCCTTTGTCACCAACACACAACTCCAGCATTTTACAAGGCACACGAGCCTCACGGTCCTCGGCCTGTCGCGGCCCAACCTCCTCTCCTCAACGAACTACAACATCGCGCTGGGAAAGGAGTGACGAGAAGAACAGAATCCCAACGTTCAAGAACCTGGCAGCAAGATGCCTGCTCCTCCACCACCTCCGCCCCCCCCTCCTCCTCCCCCAAGCATGGGAGGTCCTCCACCTCCGCCGCCTCTTCCTGGAGGCTCACTACCTCCAGCACCTCCCAAGTCAGTTGCGAAAGGACGGGTATGTTATACGAGCTCTTGTATTTTTGTGCTGTTGGAGGACACGGTGGACGGAACCTGAGAGCGCAATGAACGCACTATACCGCTGCTGACTTACTGTGCAGGACGCTTTGTTATCAGACATCACCAAAGGCACAAGGTTGAAGAAGGCTGTCACGAACGACCGTTCGGCTCCACAAGTAGGCAAGACCTCTGGAGGCGGAGGAGGCCCTATAGCAGGCGCACCGCCGGTCCCTGGAGGAATAAAAGCACCCAGTGGTCTTGCACCTCCAGTCCCAAGTGGTGGAAATCGAGCCCGGAGTCATAGTGACGCGGGAGGCGATTCCAGCCTCGATGGGCCACCGCAATTGGCAGGACTATTTGCTGGAGGAATGCCGAAGTTAAAAAAGACACGAGGAGGAATTGATACCGGAGCTAGTTTGGACGGTGCTCATTCAGACTCGGAAACATCTACACCAGCCGTCCCTCGGCCTCCCCTATCTACGGCTCCGCGTCCGCCGTCAATGCCTGCTCCTGCCATCCCAGGCTTCAGACCTCCTCTACCCCAGTCGACAGACTCTGCACCAGCAGTTCCAAGTCCATTGGCTCATCTCAAGAAACCTCCTCCAAAGCCATTGTCCAAGCCTTCGTCTGTGGCCAATCTAATAGCTGGGAAGCCACCTCCACCTCCGCCAGCTGCGCGAAAAGTCAGCGCTGCCGCTCCTCCTCCTCCCGCTCCTCCACCACCTCCGCCCTCGTCGTTAGGCTCCGTCCCTCTTGCACCACCTCCCCCGCCGCCCTCGATAAGCCCAGCTCCTCCGGCGCCGCCTCCTCCTCCACCGCCACCACCCCCAGCAGCAAGCCCTGCACCTCCAGCACCCCCTCCTCCTCCCCCTCAAGCACCATCAGCAAGCCCGGCTCCCCCAGCTCCCCCGCCGCCTCCTCCAAGCTCGGCACCTTCATTAGCACCACCACCTCCGCCTTTACCGCCTTCTACTTCTCCAGGACCACCATCTAGGTCAACACCGCCTCCACCACCCAGTCAACCACCAACAACAAATGGTGCAGGTTCGTCTCTAGCACAAAGGGCGGCGGCGGCGGCGTTTGGCAGACAGTCATCTTATTCGATGCCTGAAGCTCCGCCCTCACCATCATCTCCAGTTTCACCACCTGCTTCTCGACGAGTATCACAAATGCCATCTCGATCAACGCTAGATCCAAGTTCATACACCCTGACCAATGGGAGCTTGTTTGGCGTCTCAAGCGGATCGGGTTCGATTAGAGTTGATGATAGCCGATGGAAGTTTCAGGACGAAAGCCAGTTACCTGTTCCACGCCCATTCACAGGCGTGCCAAAAAGATATCGTGCAGGGAGGGGGAGTAGTGTTCCGCTCGATCTTGCGAGTTTAGAATGATATTGTCGGTGCCTCAGGGGATATCCGGACTTCACAAAGGCCAAGCGGAGGTTCAAACCCTTCGCAAAACGCCAATCGCGTCGATGTCTCGCACACAGCCAGCACCCATCCATATTAGAGACTCGGCGAGACACGAATGGATCATTCCCTATCAAGTTTTCCATCTCCATCCGAGCCCGGTACTATAGAGGCCCCTCTAATATAGTGGAATACGAATGGGTCGGTGGAAAACGGTATCTGGACGTCACAGTATGGAAGTCTTCTGGAAAACAGTCGGGTTCAAGGCTCTCTTGGGTACAAAAGGGTGGCAGCGGTGAGTATACAAGTTGAGAGATGAAAGATGCTCAAGTATCGGCGAACTCGGTAACATAGTTTAGGGTCAGCAAGCGTCAATTGAGAGCAAGAAGTCTAAGCAAAGCGTGTCAAGGCGTCGTCTTCGGCTTCAAAAGGACGATTGAAAAGATTGAAAGCGTCAGTGGAAATGATACAAACATGGTTGAAGTCATCGGTCAACTTCTGGGCTGGTCTATATCAGTGTACAGCCTGATCGTCTACTATCCCGTCCTTTCACTTTCCCCTTCAACCAGACTTCATTTGGCCTATCGTGCCTATTCAGCAATTCAGAATCTTCTCAGTTTTCTCTCTTTTGTCAAGGCCGGGCTCCTATCTCAGATTCACTTCCCAAATCACTCGATTTTTTTTTTCGTTCCCCGTCCCAGCCCGTCTATAAGTATCTGCTTCACTACCCTCCCTTTCCCAATTTACTTTCACCTATCCACAACATCATCTCGACCGTCTCTCTCAAACGACTCCTCTTCCTTCGTCTATTCAATCATCATCATCATACTCAACACGGTACCTTGTCCATTAACCCTGGCCTCTTTTGCTGAACTCGAAAGTGGGCAATATCGGCTGACCGACATAACAGACGATTTCACTTCGAACTTCCTTTTCTCACAAAGAGTTCCACCACCAAGCGAGCATCCAAGAACACCCCCAGTACTGTCAAGATGCCTATGACTTGGGATGCTGATGCTGATGCCCGGGTATGTATCTATCCCTCGGATGTTCATGCTGAGTCTTCGACACCCAGCACATTCTACGCTGAGGACCCATATCAGTTCACTTCTTTTGAGCGGGAAGAGGAATTCCTCAAAGAATTGACATGACTGACTCTGATCTCTCGCAGCTCTTTGCCGCGGTACTCGCCACTTCGGAAATCAAGATCGACTATACCGCTGTCGCGGCCAGAATGGGAAATGGTAAGTCTCCATATGTCTGCTCCATACTGAATATCCCCTCTCATTTTCACCGCAATGTCTCTGAGGAATACCTTGTCTGTCCCATTTACCCTCCAGCCCCTGGTGTTGTCCTTCACTTGGATCCAACCCGCACCCTTTCCCACCCTTTCCCTTCCAAGTTAGCTTGTAATCAACACTTTTCGCTAACCATGTCCACCACACAGGCTGTACTGCTAAGGCCGTCACCCATCGCGTTACAAACATCAAAAACAAAGCAAAGTCACTCGAGGCCGATGGCGACGCCGCACCCGCTGCACCGCCTGCCGCCAACGGATCCCGCAAACGCGGACCGAAGGCAAAGACTAAGCCAGAGAAGGCCAACGATTCGGAGGATGAAGCCAAACCAGCGGCCAAGAAACGCAAGACCGAGAATGGCGTCAAGGCTGTAGCTGCCGGCAGGGCCAGTGCGAAGAAAGCTGCTCCGCCCCCCGCTCCGAAGGTCAAGAAAGAAGAGGAGGAGGACAGCGAGTCAGGAGACGACAAGCTCGACGAGAAGGAAGAAGACTCGGCTTAAGTCGCTCCTTGGCTATTTCTCGCGCGCTGTCATCTTCTCACACACACCCCCAAAAAAAAGCTTTTATCGCGGCGATAGGGAAAACGGAAACGTCGTCGTTCACCGTCCAGAATACTTTTTTTGCAAACCAAGCCCGGAGCTGGGGATCATCAGGGCGACATACACACCGGGAGCCAGGATACACATACTACCCCGGCAAGGCTAAGGGCCGGAACAGACAAGTCTGGGCCGGGAAACATCGGTCGAGGACAAGAACCTGCTCAACGATTTTGGAACGCTGAGGAGAGTGGGAACCTTGGGGGCTCTGGGAGTCATCGCGCTGGAATACGACTGTGCTATGCCATACTGTGCTGCGCTGTGCTGTGTTACCAAAAGTGACAATAATGGCCCCAAAAAAATAGCTAACCTATGCTGGAAGTGTGGAATCTGATGGGGGGAGAGGGAGGACGGGCTGGCCTGAATCACTCTCCTGTGCCTTCAGACCTTGGGGATCTCAGCTGGATAGGATTGGGGCCACAGAGGACTTTCAGGATATGGAGGGCGGAAACCAAACGCATGCCCAAGGAAGAGAATGTCACCTCAGCAGTTGCAGCCATTCCAAGTAAATAGCTTGGGGAGAGCGAAAGAGCACCCCCCCAAAAAAAGGGGAAATCGATTCCATCTAGTTAATTCCTCCCGCCTTTTCGCCTTGTTAATTTAATGCGTAGTATGCTGGATACGATTACAACAGCCCGCCTTCCGGTGGGAGGACATGGAAACCGCCAACCAGGAAGCCAGCCAGCTGCCCAGTGTCGCTCAAGAAGCCAGTGGAATAAAAAAACCTGCAAGAATACAGGGGGCCGTTAAAACATGCGGAAGTCAACAGGCTGTATGTACATGCCAGCCCAGAGAGAGTAGAAGAGTGCCACCGTTCCAACCAATCCCTCAGCTGCGCAATGCAATTATTCCCCCCCCGGCGAGATATACATGTATGGTCTGGCCCATTAGCTGGTTCCCCTTCCCCCCAGACCTGTGTCATTGTTCTCTGGCTATAGTGTCAAGGGTACTTTCCCCTGGATCGCCAGCAGCGGAATGCCCTTTGGCTCTATAGAACCAGAACGCATCGCATTCGTCACAGCATGAAGATGCCTTCATCAACAACGCCAGCGCCGTGTTCTTCAGCAGTCAGAGTCCCGGCCTCCCCAGTCGACGCTTTCAGAGGTCGAGGAACGTAAAGCCCATGCTGTTGATTATCGACCCCGTGTTGGCCGAAGAGGCCCAGCCAGAACCGTTCCATATAGTGACCTTCCTCCGGATTGACGTCTGCCAGGGAGTGGAAGTAGCTGTAGGCTCGCTCATAGACTGCTCTGGGAAGCCGTTGGATGGTTTGTCTGGTCACTGCGAACAAGGCTCCTTGTGTCCATCTGATCTCGGCGGGCGGGGTGACCCATCTGGGATCCTTCTCGTCCGTAGTCCCGTTGAAGATGTAGTTCCAAAATTGCTCCGGCGAGTATTGGCTACATCGAAGTCCTTTGCCGCGTCGCTCGATCCAGCCGGGCAGGTATCTGACACCGTCCCAGTCGACGAAGGTGTGTATTTTGCCGAGCGGTAGCACACCACCTCGAGGTTGGTTCTGGGCGTAAATACCTGCACCGAGGAAGTCAGGTAGATCTGTCAACCGTTTGGCCATCCCGACGATCTCATGCAAGGTGAGGTCTGTGTGCGCCGGTGTGCCATCGTTCGTGTCGTGGATGTTGCCCTGCAGAAACAACGTGACATCCGCAAGGTCATCGTAGTTGTGGACGATGTGGTGGAGATAGGTATGGGACTCTCGTCCCCAGTTGGGCAGAGTCTTGACTTCTCGGAAGATTGACAGATCAGGAGGCAGTTTACCCTTGCTGTAGACTGTCGCGAGGCTAGAATAGGTTGAGAGCCATGTCAAGCACTCGTTGTAGTTGGCTATGACAAGATCCAGCGGACGCGGGTCTGGTGTTGGCGGTAAAGAAGGGGACGAGGCAACAGACTGAGAGGGCGTGAGCTCTGGCGTGAGCATCGTCGGCGAAGATGAGGCCATCAGCGGCTCCAAGGGATTGCGATGAGCGAGGTAGAGAGATACTTCGCTGATACTGCGATCTTAGGGAGGAGGGTATATAAGCCGTGTGCGGTCGTCCACCAAGCTGACCTCAGCTAGAAGGAAGCAATGAATGTTATCCGAATACAGAGAGAAAGAGTGATGGCTTGGGGTGAAGTGCGTGGAAGAAGGCAAGGGCCGACTTCCTTCGAGACTAATACTGTAAGTCAAAGAGTACCTGGTGGAGACGCTGACCACTATACAAAGGATACCCGCAATATACCTCGAGTGAGCAGGGGGAAGACATATAAGATGACGTAGGATCAATGTCTCGGGAGATCATGGAGATGAAATCCAGGACTGCAGCAATATCAACCCCTCCCAGGGCTCCAGGACCCATGGTCCTGGTGAGTGCCACATGCCAACCCTGGACCTAAGGTGATGTTCTGGGGTTTGACTAGACTGTCAAGTTAGCAATTCCCCCCGCTGTCACTAACGAGTAGATAGGCTGATATTCTTCCGAGGGAAGTTGTCGCTTATGCCTCCAGTTCTGGCGTGGCGCCCACCATACGGACAGCCACCGGGGGCACGCCATCATCCTCGGGCATCGAGATACCCAGGCGTCGACGTACCCACCGTGATATCTGAGCATCGAGAATCTGGCCGCGATCAGAGGGTATTATCACTAGGCCGAAATGGAGCCTAGGATTGGGCTTTTGGCCCCAATCCGCCGTCCATGAACGGGATGATTCCAAAGCTGAAGTTTGTTTTAGACAGAGAGATGGTTGGGACAGCCACTGGAGACAGGGTCTTGGGCACGCAGGGAGGAAAGGGCGCCATAAATACGGACTTGGTCGTTCAGGCAGCAGTAGTAGAAGGAAGTGGTCCTCAAGGTTTGGCATGTGGCGTCGGAGAGGTTGTCTGGATCGGGACCTTGGGCGCCTGAGGGAGCATTATCTTGAGGGGACTCTTTCTCGGTCTGAGGTGATACAGGTGATACACCGTTGTTTGGCACTCCTGCAAATACTCCGCATTTTCCGGGGTCGGCAAAATTTGTGACAAATGAGCATGGCCTGGACCCGTTCAAGTGCCCGATTGTGCGCCGCCTGCGACTTTGTGCAACCATCTTGTATGCAACTGTGTGCTGCTTGGAGTGATGACCACCAACCGTCCGTTTTTGGGCAGAAGGAAACTGGTTTTCAGCTCTTCTTGCGCCAAGTAGGTCTTGATCGTGATACTGGGGGACTCTGGCACTTGGCAGCTGATGAGCAAACAAGCCACACAGCCGGAGCCGAGCGTCAACCCGGCCGCTCGATGCTCGGCCCAGCCATGAGTGAGACCTGTGGAAGAAGTCAGAGTCGTGGTAAGAGCAACGTAAATGGGACGCAATATACTTTTCGTCGCACAAAGATCAAACAGACGAGGCTGAACTCATTGCACCCGCTAAAAGCAGCCACACAACTACACGGCATGCCAAGCCTCGTCGGTCTCCACTTAGTTTTTTCGTGTACAAAATTCCTCGCGCGCAACGCTTCCTCTTCTTCTTTTCTTTTCTTCCCTCATCATCAGTAGAGGTGTTAACATTACCTTAACACCACCGGAGCTCCACCACCGTGTGGCTTGCTGAGGGTTATTCTTGTTTTCGACTATGGATCTCCTTCCGTTCCCGGCTTCGCAGAGGAATTGCACCGTCCTTTTTCCCTTACCACACTATGGTTGCGCTGCCAAAGATTCTCTTGTTTCAATGGCGCGGAGCTGTGGAGGAGATGCTACAAACCTTTTTTAGATGCTATAAAGAGATGAAAAATGGTTCCCGTTGCATGATGATGTTTGATTTCGAGCACGGCGATTGAGGACACTGGCAAGAGAAGGGCATTGCAGACATGCACTCGGGATACAACGTGCTCCTGCGCGCAGAACATTACATTGTTGTACAATCATTCTTGCCTACCCCGGAGCTGAGGTTCTCGGCTTGAGACAGTTTTTCCCACATACCAGAGCTATAAGTTTCGTTTGAAGGACTTTATACTCGCAACATATGTGCAAAACCAGACATCGCGCCTCGCTATGCCATTTGATTGATCTTTCCCCTTCGTTCCATCCACGTTCGGCCGTTTCATTCATGTAAAACTAGTCACCATTGACATTGTAAATTGTAATCTTTTTTGCGTCGTACCCATCGAGAGCATCGTTTCATCCAAATTGCCGTCGTGCCTCAACCGCGCTCCAGCCTGCCAGCCCTCCCCAGCTGAATCCTTTCCCCAGTTCCCTTCTCATCGCTTCTCAGCGTCGCCCAGCTGATAGACCCGTCCTGTTTCACCAGATTCAATTCCAGCTTTGTGCCCATGATCTTGAACTGGCTCTTCTCCGGATCAATCTGGGCGAAGAAGGGGATATTCCTCGTATATCTCTTTCCGTCCTGCGTGGGCAGATCCAAATCCACCGAAAGGCCATCGTGCTTGAAGTCGACTTTGGCCTTGCCCTTGTCGATCTTCTTCAGGTAGAAACTGACAATGACGCTGTTGGGTGTCTGGTAGAAATCGTTGCGGACGTTCTCCAGGAGTTCCTCTTCGGTGTCGGCCGACGTTCCTCCGTCAATTGTGGTGCGTTCTTTCTTCTTGGGCTTTCCTACATAGCAGTGCCTTGATTTGGTTTTACAGCCCTCGATTTTCATAAACTCGTCAAACTCTAGGACCCGTCTCTTGCAACATGTCCAGCCCTTGCTCCCTTCGTGGAAAAGAGGCACGCCTGGGTGGTATACACACTGCTCCTCGTCACGCGGAATATTCTTGTCCCATGACTCTCCACAACCTCGCCTTTTACATGTTGCCGTAGGGGGAAACTCAGCGTCCGAGTCGTCGGATTCATCTTCTGGTGGTTCCGGTTTCGGTGTCGCCGAGGGTGTGGGCTGTTGCGCGGCTGCGAGACTAGATGCTAAGGGCCGAGTAATAGGCACGGGAGCAGGTAGGGGAGAGGCAGCGACAATGTTTGACGCCTTCAAGGCTTCAGCTTTCGGGGCGGGCGCGGGGGTGTCATCGACAGTTGAGTGCTTGCCCGTCGTGCAGGGTGGGATGGAGAGGAACTCGTCGAAGGTGAGGACGCGAGGCTTGCAGCACATCCAGCCTATTGCCCCAGACTTAATGTTAGTGTAACTCGTTGCAGTCATCAGTAGATCGTAAAATTGTCTGTCACGCTAGCATGTGAAGAAAGAGGGGTTTACAATGGTCAGAGGCAAACACGAACCTTTCTGTCCTTCATGGAACTCTGGAGGGCCAGGATGATATACACATTCCTCGTCCGGGTCCGTGAACACCTTTCCGCATCCTTTGTGGACGCACTTCTGGGCTTCTGCCATCGTCACGAAGGGAGACGCTATTAATGGGCCGGAGGTGTAGACAGTTGCAGCTGGAAGAGGCTCCTCAAAGAGAGATGGTGGCTATGCTTGTTTGGCCGGAACACTCACGCTGGTAAAGGTGAGATGAGGTCTAAATGATTACGATCGCCATCGCAATCCAGCAAGGATCGGTCTTGACTGCTGAGGAAAGTCAGTCGGATCTGGGCTTGGCACTTTCCAGAAGCATCTGACGCAACTGGTGGATTATGATAGAGCCTGGTGTGCCTGAACGCTCAGCCTTGTCGACGAAACTACGTAGATTACTCGGCACTTATTCATCAGTCAGCCTGCGTAATATCGCCATCAAAGGGACCAAATATCAGAGATGAGTCTTTAGCATTGGGTCGCAAACTTGTAGTTTGCTCAACGAGTGGCTGACACCATTCAGACACCTCGAAAATATGTACACCGGCAGAATCCGTAGTAGAAGCGTGCTTTCCTCTCGGCCCGCACGCACTCCGTCTATCCAAGCCCCCTCGCTGATGCAAACACCACGTTGTCCACCGCGAGAAACAACTGCCGGTCACCCTTAAACTCCACAAATGCTGGTCGAACACGGTATCGCCAAAAGGAAAAGTCCAACTGATCCGAACTTCGTTGCCGGTCCCTAAGTCTTCCTTCTCTTTCGATCTCCACCTACACGGGGATTTGGCATGTCGCGTGCTGGACTCGGACTTACGAAACTGACGTGTTTCTCTTCCCTGTCTTCGCCATGTCGACGAATGGCCGAAGCTCGCCGAGCATGTGCCGGAGGTCTAACTGCTTGAGCGCAGCTTGGCTGGAAGTCCGGCCCACGCAGAACGCTTCGAGCGTCGTCGTCGTCGCCTTGGACTTCAAACTCGACCTCGCCATCGTCATGCTCGTCGGACGCAGAGCTACTGCTTGGGGAATGTGGCTCAAATTCGTCGTCGTCGACCAGACTCGGAGCCTGATTCGATTCACTGGTTGGAGATGGGTCCGAAGGATGGAGGTCAGACGGAGTGGCGCCGTTCATGGGTAGAGTCATTCCACGTGGCCGGTGCTGAATCGACTTGTCGTTAGCACCGTCATATTGAGGCATCACTCCTCCTCGCAAATTCGTGGTGGATCTCAACATGCTGGAGTTTAGCAAGGGAGATGACATTGGAGATTTGGTGGGTTTTGGTGGTTGTTTGGTGCCCGCAACTTGTGGGTGTCGGCCCTGAGCAGTATGTTGCGTGGGAATGTCAATGTCCAATTCGTCGTCCTCCGAGTCAGATTCCGGCAGTTCAACTTTCGTTTTCGCATCTGAGACCATTTCCTGAAGATCAAGTCCAAGCCCTCTAGCTTTAATAAGCTCGGAAAGATTGGGTGTCAAGGCCGATCCCCTGAAATCAGGGGACACCTGTGTTGGCTGGGCGCTTCTCGTCGCATCCGTTGTACCAGACGATGTTTGGGATATAGCTCGAGGTGGAGTGGGTTGTAGAAGTTTCGCTGAACGGATCAGCGGATGGACGTTACCGGCAGCGGGCGTCACAGCAGGCTCAACACCGATCATAGCTCCAGTCTCGTCGACCTCAACCGGTTCTCCGCAGGCATCTGCCGCAGCATCATGACTTGCGAAGCTTCGGCCGTGGCCGATCCGGCAATGATTGATGAAACCTTGCGCACTCCCGAAATCAAAGCGACCACAGTCTGGACAAACGAGCTTCACTGTCGCCCCGTCAGATTTCCTCTTGATGATCATAGGACCGGTTGCCTTCTCCTTCGGCTGGCCGTATCCGGCAGGCAAGGATTTCAATTTGCCACTCCGTTGCGCACGAGCTTGGCTTGATGTTTGAGGCCCTTCTGCGAACTGTCCTCTCGTTTGAGATCTGAATTTCATCGGAGATTTGCCAACAGGGGTGAAAACCACGGGCTCCGGTTCACCACCGTCAAAGCGGGGGTCAGGCAGTAACCATTTCGCATAATGTCGCGAATATGGGCCCTCTTGAACACCCCAGGGTGCGGGTGATTGAGGCAGTGGAGAGGGGAATGAGCTGCGTAGAGCTGGACCTGTGCCATTGCTGACACCAGTAGAAAGTTGTTGTGTCCCTGGGTAAGGAATCTCCTTGCATCGACGTAATTGCTCCAAGGAAGCCTGAGATTTGGCTATTTCTTGGTCGATGAGTCGGAGTTCCTTGTGCTTCAGTAGAATTTCGAGACTGATCTGTGTCTGAACGACATTCCGGATAGACTGTAACCGCGCTGCGTCTACGTCTCTCACCGGAGATTCCACCTGTCTCATTTCTGCGTCTTCCATTTTCAGTTCCGGTGGCGTTGGCAGGAAGGATGGGGATTCGTTTGTGGGCGAGGTAGCTGGCTTGGATAAGTCAGGAGGCAGGGCGCGGGTGGGATTGGGAAGCACATTGGCACAGTGTTGCTTATCAACAATCTTCGCCCGTTTCCTCTCTGACTGGCCCTGGGCGTCCGTTGATTGCTTTCGTTTGTGTGTCGATGGCAATGCGGACATGGCGAGAGGGCCAGAACCAGGGGAGTCCTGCTTCGAGACAAAGGATCTCATCTCTGGAGAATGGACCTTATCACAGCCTGTCCAGGAAAGCAGGCGCAACATATTGGGTCGCTCTGCAGAGCGATGCGATGCGACCTTGGCGTCACCCCAGTGCTCATCTGGACCATTTAGTCACCGAATATTGGAAAGTTCGCCACCAGCCATCAGTTTCTATAGCCCAACCTTCCGGAAATCCAGAGAAATGCGACAGTCTTTCCACCACGAAAAAACGGGAGACAAGAGTACCTTCCCTTTGCGCAAATCAATCCCAGATGTTTGAAGAATAGATCCTTTGCCCTGATGTCTGACGGGGGGGTATACGTAGGACAGGTGAGTCCAAACCAGCGTTGTTTGTCAGTCGCTCGAGTACAAAGGTTGGTCGTGAATTACAAGGCCTAAAAGGTGGTACAAAGCGTGCGCGCAGCGCCAGTTGATCGAAAGGAGCGAAAATTAGGGCGACGATGACACCGAGGAGGAGTCAGTGTGTCTGGTGGTGAGTGTAGAAGTCGGACGGCGCAGAGGACAGACTGGCGGCTGGTTCGAGTACAGCCGTGGAATGAATGACGCAGAAGACCCAAGACGGCCGAAGATCGGAGGAATGGATGGATTTTGAAGTCGAGCAGAAATACAGGGTTCGAAGACAGAAGTTATTAAGATGAAAAGGCAGGAAGACACAGCTAGAGAAGAGTGACTCAAGAAGCGAGGCAGTGAGAAGTGGTACGAGTCCAAGGTGGAAGAGGTGAAAAGACGCAGGCAAGCGCAGGATCGCAGCTTCGCGCAGGGGAAAGAGGCGATAAGTGGAAGGTAGGAGCAAACAAGGGAAGGAAGGGGGGAGGGCGAGGGAAGGGAAAGAGCAAGAGCGAGAGGAGAAGGAACGAGGGAGATCGCGGGCCCGGGCTCGGATCCCTCAGGCAAGGCAACGGCATCCAGAGTGGACACAGTGGATGCGCCAGAGAGGCATGAGAGGCACCAGCGAAGGGGGGGGGAAGCGCTGATGTGCTCAACGGAAGTGGTGCGAGTTGAGTTGAATGGGACCCACCTGCCTCACACTCTATTTTGAACCAGCTTCTTAACTCCGCCAATGACGCTGCGTATCGAGCGTCCCAAGACCCAGCTAGCATTGACGCTAATCTCCTTCGGTGCAATAGAGCATGCAAGGGAGCCACAGCAGGCTTCCAACGGAACGCCCTGCCGGACATCCTCACAGCCACTAGTGAGGTTTGTGGTCACCCGATAATATTGGCGATAAGTCATCATCACCGATAACAGTCACGTGATGGTATATATTGTTTCTCCTCACATTGTTCACTTGACTTCCTTTTCTATTCGATGCTGAAAGTCCTGTGCGTGAATGCAATACTTGGCCTGCGCGCCTCTCAACACAAAATGTGCCCTGTACTGCCTGTCTACTTTGGTGACAAATCTTTTGTTCTTAGTTGTCTGACCCTTATCTCCCTTGCGGGATCGTCGGGCAATATAGACTTCATTGTTTTGCTCTACCCTGCTGCGATCATCCCTTCAGACTGGGGAGCGTCAGAGTGTGTGATGACTCTAACCTGTTGTGCAATACTTGCAAGTTAACATGAGCGGCTCGTTGGGCTTTCCTCTCACCTGGACCATCATGATCTGTCAGACTGGAATTCTCATTCCGCAGCCGGATCTTGGTTCCGTCGAGAGAGAATACCAAATTCAAGGACAATAGGCCTTCGTTGAGATATCTTTTGTGCTTGAGATCCACTAATATGGTCAAAATTAGGCAGATCCAGCCTCGACGGAGCTGTCACAGTTCTCGAGGATTGAATGTTCAAATACTTGTGACACACCATCGCCGCAGTACATGCCATGAGCACTCCTCAGAAGCAGGGTCTGAGACCTGAAACATGCCAATCACCAGATAACGTACTAGATTTCGACCTCGTGAAAGGATGGGAAGCTATTTGGCTGATGAAACGAAGAGGCCATGACTGACCTCGATCCTCCCGACGACCACTTGGGCTAATATCTGGGTCACCTTGGCACCCAGCTGCTCGTGCTCCGTGATCGGCTAGGGATATCTCTATATGATATGGGCTGCCTGTTTGGGCTGGGTGATTGGCGAATGCAAGTATCTCTAAAAATATCTGCTGGTTGCTCCCAGGTGAGTGATCGTCCTGGATTTCCAACGTTCTTTGCCACCCGTACCTCTTGCTCGAGACAGTCGCCTTTTGCTGTTACTCGACGTCTACTGGCTGGGTGGCTGGACTTCTCATCTCTTGTCGGGAAGAAACGTCCTTCGACTGTTTATGTTTCACCATGAAGAGCGTTGTTCCTCCCCGCAGTCAATTTTCCGGCAGAGCATCGAGGAGCCGACATCTGGAGGGTTGTTCTTGTTTTGCCACTAGCGGCTCTTCGGGTAATATAGCACAGCCACGCAGCCACATCTTGCAACCAATCATACGAGAGCACTTGGACACCACGAACGTCCCTGCATCTGATCTTCCTGTCTACCCCCATCTAGACCTCCAGCAAGCCACCACTCACACCCTGAAGAATCTTCCATGGCTTGGACTAGTCAGGGTACTATCCAAGAGTTCCTTGGGTGTATCTGCAGTCACCAACCATCCATGTCCGAGGATCTGGATCCAGAACATAAACGAACGCACTCGACTGGCTTTCCTTGTTTTATTCCCTGTTGATATGCCTTTACGCGAGCACAACGTCCTCACCAGCCGCGCAGGCCACGCAGACCCTAGCGAGGATAAGTCTCGAGTGATGAACATCCGAGGGGAGAGAGCTGCAGCGATCATCGAATATGTATGGTGTCTGAGTGCGCTGCGGAGATGATCACCCTCTTCTCTTCCTGTGGAGGTAGTAATCGATTTCTCTTGTCTTCTCGTGCATATGTTATGTTTCCTTTGCAAATGCCTACTTTGGTGCTTTCCTGATGCAAACAAGGATTTGATCAAATCAGTTCCAGGTTCGAAGAGAGAGACATCATCAACCCGCATTGAGAACACACATGTTTCAGTAATATCTGCACAAAACGCCCGGTAATTGCTGTTGGCAATATGCAAACGTCTTTGTTTTCGCTGCTGGTAGCAGCCTTCTTCGCTCGCGCAGCAGCCCAACAGACAGTCGATCCTCTTAGCATCATTGTTTCCGAGGCCTTTTCTGTCTATACAGAAGTCAATTCACTTCTGTCCTCCGCTGCTTCGGCGGTATCAGCAGCAGCCGGGTCCGCAATCCCGGCAACGGGAAATTCCTCTCCGGACGGGGCTTCAACGACCTCCAACGTCCCATATACCCCAACCTCATATGACTCGACGTCGAGCGAAGGTCCAGGGGTTTCGGAGACGCCTTCGACTTCATCCACGCCGTTGACCTCAACGTCGATCTCTTCAGCCTCATCACCCTCCTTAGCCTTGACAACCTCAGCATCTGTTGCCGTCGGGGTCACGTCTTCGAGCACGCCCGATACCAGATCCTTGACAACTTCTTCACGAGGTCCATCTTCCACCACATCTTCTCTGACGCTGTCATCCCCGGTAATCGGTACATCGTCAGTATTAGGCGCAGCTGCCGGGAGTGGAACAAGCACGCCCTCCTTGACAAAATCCAGACATGAGTCCGATCTCCCTATTATCCTTGGCTGCGTCCTCGGAGCTCTTGCGCTCGGCCTCTCCATCCTAGCCTTGGTCATCTGCTTCAAACGCCGACGGCTCAGCTCTTCACCTCGCCATTCCGCGCTCTCACCTGGCGACGATGAAGTTGAGAGCTGGAGGGTGAGCCGACCATCAGATACAGCTGCAAGTCACGGCTCGCTACATCGTGACCTAGGCGTGGCCGGCACTGCACCATTGATGTCCGAACACCCGGCCTTTCGCAATCCTCAAGGATACGAAAATCCATTTGTTCCGGTTCCTCCGCCACCAAGACGGACAGCTCCCAATTCTCGGCCTGGCTTGACTGACGGCATGGCCCCTGGGGATGACCCTTTTGTGAAGGAGATTACTGGGCCATCCAGATCTGACAGCGTGTCGTCCACCTATAGCACGCATCACACGGGCGGAATTGCTGCAGGGATCGCCGCGGCAGCAGTTGGGGCCGATCTCATGCATCACTCGAACGAGTACCATGGCCAGAGCGCGCCGGCAGCGAACGGCCAACCCATCCCAGCGCGAATCAACCGGAAGCCCGTCCCCGTCCAGTACACCAACAACAGCGAACCGTGGCCTTACTCCCCTGTCTCCCCCATCGATCCCGTCGCAGAAACCGCCGGTCTCACCACATTCCCCACAAGAAGCAGCGGCGAGAGCGGTCGAAGTTTCAGCCGTGACCCTGCCAGAGCCAACGCAGTGTTCGATCAAGAGTATGCTCCTCACAGCGAGGCCCTCGGGCATGATGATCCTGAGCTTGGAGCTGCCGCAGCAGGACTCGGTGCTGGTCTTGCCGGCGGTGCAGCCCTGGGCTATCGCGGTACCCATGGCCAGCATCGATCACGAAGCCGGAGCAGCAGTAGCAAGCGACGCAGCCGGCCAGCAATGGCGATACCCAGTGAAGGACTCGACACCAGTGGGAGGACTTCTCGGGACGATAGAAACAATCGAGCTTATAGAGACGTCGTGCCCCAGGAATCATATGGCGCCGGCCTTGCCGAGGACCAAGACGTCTACGGAGTGCCTGCGACACTGCCTTCTCGCTCTCGGCGTAACAGCGCTCTCGGGTCTGCTCTCCCTGGTGCGGCGGCGTTCAACTACGCCAACCGCCCGACGGTTCCGTCTCCGCTGTCCAGCGAAGTGCGCCGCGACCGGAGCTCCTCGCCTCGGCGAAGCCGGTCTCGAAGTCTGAGTGGGGGCACCGCACGGTTCTCATTCTCATACGACCCCGTCGCCGACGACTACGGCGCCTACCCGCCATTCCCGATCACGTCCAGCACCTCCGGTCAGGGCAAGACAGGACGAGACGAGGCGTTCACAGACCCGAACACGAACAACCCCGCCCGTCCCGACAAGGCGATCGTCAACGACAAAAGCTACCCCCAGCTTGACATCCCACGACGCCAGAGCACCAACGAGTATGACTTGGCAGCCACATCAGGTCCGCTGGGGCCCCAGCCGCTGACCACATCACTGTTCCCCGGTCCCGGAGACGGAAATGCCACGATGGAGAGCGGCGACTCCGCCTGGCGGATGAGCGATGGGATGCCCGCCGGATGGCAGCGTGCCAGCACAGACAGTCCCCGCAGCAGCAGGGAGTACATGAGCAATCGCGATTCAGGCATGCGCATGGGAGGACCCGGACCGGGAATGGGAGGCAGGAGGGGCCGGAGGCTGCGGGCGAGTGACATAGCGGGCTCGTCGACCGCAAGGCGAGGGATGGATGGCGACGGATACGGCTACTACGCGTATGGCCAGGCGCTTTGAAGAAAGGCGATTCCTGGGCCCTTGATCCCGGAAACCCGAGGAGTGATGATGAATGAATGACACCTCCAACGAGCTCACCTTGTCTTTCTTTTTCATAGGAGTTTTGGGGCGCCACGACTTTTGCCGGCCTTGGTTGTGGCGGCAATGGTGATGCTGCCGCTTTTGTTCTTTATATGGCACGTTGAAAAGCCACTTCTGTTCGTTGCTGGCGCCATGCATGACCCCTGTACAGAGTACGGAATTCGTACATACACCCATCCATCCATACATACCTATTGAATAGCTGGCTTACCTATACACAGAGTTCCCAAACGCGCTCTATATCATTGGGCCCACGCTGACCCTGCGTGCAAGGGCGATAGTCCTTCAGCAACACTGAGTGATTCTCTGCGGTGTCACGACTTCTGATCATGATTACCCGCTCTTCTCTTACATCGTGGGAAACATGTGGGAGCGGTGGCTGGAAGGAACTTGAGAGCCGAAGAGATTGATGCATGCGAGAAGAATCCTGCGCCGGCGACAGATGAGGATCTGCCTTTTATTGATTTTTGACATATCCTCCAGGAATAGGCTTGGGAAATTAATATAGAAACAAAAACAAGACACGTGAACACACATATATACCCACACTCTTGATATTGTGAAATGCAGCACGCTGAGCAGCTCGGAGCCGATTCTTTGTGAAACTCATCGAGTCTGCTCTGTACATATTGCCTGCATTTTTGTCTTGTCCTGATGCTATGTATTCCTCTGGTATTATCTTGGTATTAGGGTAATGCCGGATCATGCAGTCAACCCTTTCCTCAGCCGCTTGTCGGCTGGAGTCATGATGCCGATGTAAATGCAAATGACAAATTTACCCTATATCCCAATGCTAGGGCTTCCGATGCCCTTCATGCCCAGCTGTTTCTGTCCTGTGAAAAGCCAGCTTGTCGAACGTTCTCCTGCGGCGTGGCGCAGTGGCATCATTCCTGACAAAAAGGAAACGTAATCCGTTTTCCGCTTTCTGTCGATGAACTCCAAAATAGACAATATACACACGTCTTCTCAACCTTGCCACATGCTGCCCATGGCCGTTAAAGTCATCATGCAAACCAAAGCGCCATAATTGAACCCTAAGCCACTGAAATGCACGACGGCAACTCAGGATAATTGATATATTCGATATTCTTCCAGATAATCTAGTTCAATAACTTGATCATATCCGATGGTATCCGCCCGGTAGGAGATACCGTTTCAACGTTTCGCCACTCTTCACGTGTCGAAGTCGAGGGAGGCGTCTCTGGCGCCGGGCTCACCTCCACGCTTGAGTACTCCGATTTGTGCACCGGAACAATTGCGTGGTTGGCATCGCGACGAGGGGACAATGGTTCAGGCAGGGACTTCTTATAGCCCGCGTTGTTGATCATAACAACCGGTTTAGTGACCTTTCCAGATAGGACTCCTTGGTTTCGAGGGTTCGTAGATGCCCTAACCTTGGTGACCCTGGGCTTTTTGTTCAGAGAAGTCTTGGATTTTGCAGGTTTGTCTGTATTCTCTTTTCCGCGAAGAAGTTCAGCAATGGACCTGCCAGAACTGGCTGCATTCTTGACCGCGAGCTGTTTGCTTCGATCTGTAACGTTGAGTTTGATTCGAATTGGCGAAGGCGTCGTAGACTTGACCCCGTTTTCAGATTTTGTTTTTGAAGGCGCGTCTCCGTTCTGACTCCGGGGAGGAGTCATCTCATGGAAATCAGGTGACGGTAGCAAATGTTGTCCCGCGCACTCATTCTTCTTGGGACTTGGAGGTACGACCACCTCAATTCCGCCCTGGCTAGACTTGATCTTCTCCAGATCGGCCTCTGTGTAATTCTCGGCCACATCTAGGCTGGGGTCATCCCATTCTTTCAAGCGTGCCAATCGCGCCACTTCGTCACTGTCGCCTCGAACGATGAGATCCCAACAATTTTCGAGGTCTTTTCCTGGGGGCACAGGATCTCGATTGATCCACACTGTGGTACCTTCCCGCCTGTCTCTGACGATTTGGCACATCTCATGGACGATGCGTCGCACAGCTGGAATCTTCATGCTGGTGCCGACGACAATAACGGCATCCGGTCTCGTTCGAAAGTCTGCCGTGGTCACTGCGCCAATCGCCTCATCATCAGGGTTATGCTCGTTATAGAGGACAATTCTAGGCCGCAATCTGCCAACGCCGTGGCTCCGCTTTCCAGCATGGGCTGTTCTTAGCGCATCTGCTGCGACGCATTGAGGGCAAAGTGGAGGGGCAGCTCCATCAAACAGATTCGGTTGAAAATCTGAAATGTGTCTACATTTCTGACACATCATTTTCTCGAGCCCTCCGTGCAGCTGAACCGTCTTCGGCCAGGGTGCTTTGTGGTTGAGAGGCACTTGGGTAGCTAGTGGCGGTAATGAGGTCTCTAGACAGTCGACATTCTGAGTATACAGTCGCAATAGTCGACCCTCAACAGCGAGCCTAGCTAAGAACCGGTGGAAGAGGGTTGGCTTGGCATTGGCAGACATCTTGGAGAGCTTGCGGACCATGTCGTGGAAGCTGGAGGTCGAATGGTCATCCTTGTAGACAGAAGCATCAAAGAGCATCTTGCCCGAGCTTTTCAATCTGTGTTCCCCTCTCAAGCTCTTGAAAAGCCCATGAGAAGATCTGAAATCAGGGATACCTGCCGAGACAGATATACCCGCCCCTGCAATCACCACGATCTTTCTCCTGTTCCGCAAGGCCTTGAGAAGAGTGTCTAGAGCTTCTGAGCGATCGTACTCTGACTGCGCAGTGTCTGAGGTGAGGTCCAAGTACTGAGTGGTCCGGGTCTTTGGCTCGATCTTTCGGCGCTTTCGTGGACGGGGCATTTCGTCGCCCGCATGCTGTGAGGGAGGTGGGGTGAGAACCTGAAAGCCAGGAGGGATTTTTGGTGAATCTGGAGGGGAGCTGAGAGGTGAACTGGGAGGCGAGCTTAAGGGGGACGAGAGATCTGAAATGTCCTCTACGTCCATGGCGGTTTGAAGTTGTGCTGCTGGTAGGGGTAAACGAGCGATTTTATCGCATGACTTCGGGAAGGAGCAACTCTTCAGTCTCGGCTGTCCCTCCACTGACGATTTCCTGTGTGTGAGAGACAAGGCAACTGGTGTCGTGGAGTCTGGAATGAGTGAAGACTCGAAAGGGCGTCTCGAAGACGGTGGAGGAACAAAGGTGAGCTGAGAGGTGGACGAGAAGGGTGCAGTTTGGGAGTTGGATAGTGAGGCTGGCCGGGGGGGGTGCAGTTGAGACGAAACTGAACCGGGAAGTGGACAGCGAACAAGCGGGAGAGACGGGGCGGAGAGACGAGAAGCAAGCGTCAGCGGCTCATGGCTGTTTGCAGCTGGACCTGACAGATGCCCGACGCCCGGGATGTGGCCCAAACTCTGTTTGACTTGCTTGCTTGCAGATGCACAACAACAAACGGGAAGGGTAAGAAAGGGTAAGGGGAATGGAGGCCCCGGGGGCTGTACAGGCCTCCAGCGATTGGTTGGCGATGGCTAGTGAGGCTTCTGGGGGGGGGGGGGCCGATCAGTGCCTGACAGATTTGCTGTGGGTGCGAGTTGTGCTTAAACCAGTGAGCAGAGAGCATCCCCGATTGTCAAAAGACGGCATTTTCACTACCTCATTGCACAGCTCCAAGAGTCTCGAGATCTGGTTCAGTGCTGCCTGGGCAACAATGGGCAGGAAACGCTTTACTTTGTGACTGGTGCCTGTTTGCATTCACTACGGAGTACCTATTCACTGTTGGTATGCTGGCGTATCAGACTGAAAACAACCCATCAACAATGTCTACCAGCCGCCGTTGAGAGAGGTCCAAACGGTCCCTGTTACCGCGGCTACCGCCCAGAGGGGACCCTAGAAGGCCCCTGTGGCTTGTGGCTGGTGGGCTCCTGCGGCTCCTGCGGCTCCTGTGGCTTGCCCCCAAACGATGCCCTCGTGCCTCCCCCCTGGTACCGCCCAGTGTCGTAGATTTCTCCATTGCTGCTGCTTTTTCCCACCATTGGCACTTCCCACTCACTATGTGCGCCGCAGACGCCAGGAGACCGGTTTCAGCCTTTCGCGTGGGAAAAAGACCCTCGCCTTCAACTCACCTCACTCGGCACAAGATCTCAGTTCAGCTCTTTTGAATCTTCTGAATTGTGTCTAATCGGGGTAACCAGACCTGACGCTCTAAGCCAGGTGTGCTTCAGTTCGTCCTCCAATCTCTGGCTCGCCAAAGAGGCGGTGACCTCTTCTGGCCAGACAATTACTTGTCAATGGAGGAGCGATGAAATGAATATGCGCAAGTGTATATCAATATCACAAAGTTGTTGAGCCAGATGGATCAAGATCAGCCAGACGATTTTGCGTCTGAATCTTTCTTCGACCAGAATTCGTTGCAGCAGCAAATTCAACAAATCGATGCGACCGCCGATCTCAACGCTATCTCAAATGTTGTCCTCCCTCCAAACCCAGCTGTCATCGACAAGCTCTCCCGCCGATGGTATTGTGGGTGTCTGGAGCGTATAGCATGGTCGAGACATGGCCACCTTGCCAGCATATCCGATGACGGGTCCACCGTATATCTGGAATGCATTCGTTACAACTACGAGACGAAATCCTGGGGTCTCCACGAAAGGCACTCCTTAACTACCCTCTTCGAAGACGCCACCAGCCTGGCTTGGAGTCCAAATGGAGGTGAACTTGCCGTGGTCGATGTCAAGGGACGGATATGGATTTATCACAACTCTCTCCTCGCCGTCAATCGGTTAATTCTTGCTCGCCAAGGTGCTCTGGACGAGGGCAATGAGTATTCCCAGCCGGTTGGAATGGCATGGCTAAATCAGGATCGACAAGAAAGACCAAGAAATGTCGTTATCAATGCATTCAAAGGTGACGCCCGGTGGCAGCACGCCAATGCAAGGGCCAAACCACTCGGTCCCTATTGGCACCGGGCCGTTGCAATCGTTCACCGCAATGGCCTCTTCACACTTTGCTTCCAAAGGGCAGATGGCCAGTATTCCAAGGTCACCATGCAGCTGTCTCCGCCAGACGATATTCTTTACAGTCACGCCAGCTTCGCCCCGACCGTCGAAGGAAAGATGTTGATCACTCTGCACTCCTTCAAAAAGGTCATCTCGGTCTACTTCCTCTCTATAGATTGGAATGAAGTCAAGCAGGCCATTGAAGGTTTGCCAGTCTTGACTCTCGAATCTATTTCAAGCAATGTCTCGTCGCAGCCCTCTGGCTCTCCTACTCTTCCTGACACCTACGACCCCGATTCATGGTTACTTAGCCATCTAGAAGTTGTGCGCACTTCGGACGTCGAGAAAGCGGTGCAGATTCCACCCACGATTCTCGCGGTCTCTTCTGGTGTCAATAGAACAGTCAACATACCAGACTCGGGCTTTCTAGTGTCGAGCATGATCAAGAGGTGGTCGGTTACTCCTGTTGAACAGAAGTTGCACCCACTTTTTGATGCCCTGCCATCGACAGGCCTTGGGGCAACAACGCCAAAGCCCTCCTATACCCTTCAGAGGCAACCAGACAAAGAGGAACAGGTCATCACGACGATCCACCATGTGGATGGTGTCCAAGCGCTTGTGGTCACAACTCAGGAAAATCGCACTGACTTCTTAAGCTCAGAGGACTTATCGCCTATGTCATACACCGCGTTAGTGCAGGAGACTACATCTATGTCTCAATCTGGATTTGCATTTCCTTACGCTCAGGTTATTCTCACGCCGGCTTTCTCCCCAAATGCGTGTGTGAGGGCAGACCTAACACCGGACGGAAAAACACAACTTATGGCCATGGAATACCAGTTAGGACAGCCTCAGTCTCTGCAGCCGCTAGATCCAAATGTTGATGTGGCCATTGCGTCCTTGAATCTCACCTTCGCACGAGCATGCTGGTCGAATGCTACCATCGACGACATCCTGATGTGCGTCTCCCAGTCCATTCCGACCGAACTCATCCCCACAGTGATTTCAACCGTCTATCGCACGCTCTTTCGCGACAATGACTTTGTAAATGAAAAGACTGAAGGCTCGGAACTCGAAAAATTTATCCACAAGACGGTGATAGGAAGAGTTCTGTCTTACCACGCAAGTCTCGCGGCGAACTGTTCTCAACTCCCCTCTATCGCCTCCACTGATCGGAGACATGGCTGTTGGTCACTCAGCGCACAGTGGGCTTGGTTGGTGAACAACATCCGACAGACGGCAACTCTACTTTTCATGGCCATGAGGGATGTGCAGAATATTCAACTCGTCATGAGTCAAGACTTGACGGATCTGCTCTGCGCCAATCTGCGGTGGGGTTTGTCGCTTATGAGATTTATCATTAGCACGATTCTGGAAGTCGGCGATCGGGAGACGAACCCTGAGATGTTTGATGAGAAAGACCCCGGCAGAGCGGGTGACTCTCTGGGCGATGGCAGCCAGGGCCTGGTCGCGCTGCTGCTGAATTGTCACCCTTCGCGCATCTTTCTAATCGCATTCGTAAGAGCTGTCAGGGCGTATGCGAAGAACACGGAACCAAAATCCAATCACCACTTCCAGGTCCTGCAATGCATTCAACAGCAGACGTCGGGGAAAGGTCTGTCTTTTCAAGCCATGGAGGCACTCCTCGAATACAGATGGTCCGCGGTCGGTGACGTGGACAGGGACATGGCCGCCACAGCTGTACGCCAGCTCGAGATGATGGCTACGGGGATTGTGCATGAATCGTACCAAGGCACGATCAAGGTGCTGCTTAACACGCTATTCAACAGCGCCCAGGGACTTCGAGCCAAGATGTTGATCGATCGAGTCAAGCTGTTCGTTGACCATGTCGATCTAGAATACATCTTCTTGAATAACGACATCCTAGGCCGGCGGGACAGTGATGGAGATCCCGGTAAGAAAGAGCTCGTCTACGATGTGCACCGAAAGAGACCGATCCTAAAGGGCGTAGCAGAGCCCAACGGGTCAGCGCAACTGATGATCAGGAAATGCTTGAGATGTGGGAGCTATAGTGAGGACGTCAATGTGCCACCTAAGGAGTGGCCTCGGCAGGTTGCTATGCTACTCATGAGATGTGTATGCGATGGAAGTTGGGTGCTAAAGCCTTGGGATTCGGTTCACAAATGAAGCGCAAAAGTTTGCAGTGCAAACTTTTGAAGAGTTGCGCGGCCCGACGTGCTCGGTCGGACACCAATGACGCCGTATCGAAGTGCTTTGTAACCGTCTTCAATAAACATTGGGTTCGTGTTTTCTCATTGTCCTCGCGGCGCCGCATGACACAGGCCATACCTGCCATTTTGTTGTGTCTTACATCCATAGACTGCTGAAGATGAAGCTCATGACCTCGAGCTTAGAAACTTCCTCCCCTTCGCAAAATCTTCGCACCACAAACCACCATCACTTACTTCCCAAGCGATTTACTTCCCCGGTGGTCATTTTCAACCCAGCGCTTGGACGCACTCTCCTCTTGCCGACGCCTTACTCCGCCTTGACAGCATACTTCCTTACAGGGAAGTGTGTCTGTTTCTTCTTCTGCTTCTCTGTGACCCGGCTGGCATCCTTTTTCGACAGCTGACGACGAATGGCGCGGGTGAGCTTTGGTCGCAGATCGAGGGGCAGGTACTTCTTCTTCGCGTAGAACAGACGGAGTTGGTGGCGCTGGTTTGCGTTGATGACGGTCAGGACGCGGGCGATGGATTTGCGGAGGTCATGTCTGTAGCCCAAATAATCAGTATTCAGTCACTTCTCGCCCAACGCACTTGTGGGTTTCGAGATCGAGGGATGATATTTGTGTTTTTTCCCATCGGTGGTTTCTTTTTTTTTTTGGGAGGCATACATTCTTGTCAATTTTGATGAAGCACCGCCGGCGATCTTCTGCACGCGCAATTGACCCAGCTCGGTCTTGAGCTCATCGAGTTGTTTCTTCAGGTCGTCCTTGGACTTGCCCCAGAGCTGGCCGGGTTTGACTTTGGCGTTGGTCGACTGTGTCATGTCTTGTCAGCATATATGTGGCTTGAGGTAGACGAATGCGGTGCATACCATCTTGGCTAGTAAGTGAAATTGTCGATGTCGAGGTTCGTGAGGAGCGTTTGTGGATTTGATGTCGTTGTCGGGTCGCAGGCTGGGAAAATTGTTGTGTGCAAGCCCCGATCTCTGCCAAGATTTATTCATCACGTGACTGGGATGCGGCAAGTCCCGCTCACGCCCCATGCTTCCGCGCGCTGCGTGGTCAGGACAAGGTGGGAACTTCGAGCGCCGACTCTCCTGCATCAACAAGGTCAACTTGTCCATTCACGTCCAAAAGTGTCCTCAACGAACAACATAGGACCATGAGTTCAGTGATGTATCCACGATTATAGTGGAAGAGCAAAACCAAGCGTTGTTCGCCATCCCTTCCGTAACCCACGACTGCAATGGCCACCGCCACGGGATGGGCACAACTACGTCAACAGATCAGGACGCTGGAAAGCCAGGTATGTTGGCTCTATTGCTTTAGGAGACTTACAATGAGGCTGAATGAAGCCGGTAGACTGAAGCTCTGTTTCACACCTATTCACAATATACCTCCACCCCCAATCTCCCTCCCAAACCGTCAGACGATGAACAGAGGAACGAAGCGGAAATACAGGAGCTGCTGGAAAAGGTGGGAGCCGGTGACCGATCACTGCGGTTGCAGAATATCCATTCTAATGGTCTAGCACATATAGCGTGAAGGATTGGTCTCGCAACTCGCGCGCCTACTCGACTCCGAAAGTGCCCTGAGCACGTCCAGCTTGAAGCAGAACAATCTCTCTCGGCACCGCGAAGTCCTCAGCGAACACCGCCAGGAACTCCGTCGCCTAAAGGGCTCCATTTCGGAAGCCCGTGACCGGCAACATCTTCTCGCGAACGTGCGCTCCGACATCGACGCATTTCGATCCTCCAACCCAGCCGAGGCCGAGGCCGAGTACATGCTACAAGAAAGGACGCGATTGGACCAAAGCCATAATGTCATTGACGGAGTGCTGTCCCAAGCATACGCTATCAATGAGAGCTTCGGTATCCAGAGAGAGACTCTAGCAAGCATCAATCGACGCATTACTAGCGCCGCTGCCCAAATCCCAGGCGTGAACGGGTTGATCCAGAGGATAGGGTCAAAAAGGCGGAGGGATGGAATCATTCTCGGGAGCTTCATCGCCTTTTGTTTCCTGATGCTGCTCTATTTCAGCTAATACCGCATAATGGAGACGGTACCACGGCAAGCAGTATTGGAGGTTATGCATTCAATGGCAGCAACCTCATTCGGATCTCGGGGCTCCATCACACATACTCACACTTCACCAATAATTCCCTGCAATTGACATTGACGCCAGAGGGTCGTCAGAGCCTCCACCTCCAGAGTAGCCCAACCTCTGAGGATATCGTTTCAAAAGATGCATCAGGGGCTAAGATTTGTGGTGGACTGAATGAAAGATGCAACAGGTCGGGCGTCGAGCGTGGAAAGCAGCTGAAGACCGGTTTTTTTTTTTGCATACACACGAAAACGAAGCGCAAACATCCCCCGGGACAGTGTGATTCTTGCTAGGGTTCCAGATTTGAGAAGAAGGCGTCCAACGTCGGTTGTGCACCTCCCAAAACCGGTTCCATCCCACGGCAGAACCCAGGTTTCAGGACTCTGCTACATCTGCGCTGACATTACAAAGCCGCATCTGGTTTGATCATGCTATTAAAGCTGAGAGGAATTCGGCGGAGGTGATTTTCATCTTTTGCTTGTAACATCATTGTCATGAAGCTGGTCGGCGAGCATAGCTAGTGACACAATTTGCAAAGGTGTCTTAAGGTCATCGGGCGCCTGGGACAGGGGTTGGGGATTCTGGTTTCGTCGCACGGTGCTTCAGGCTGTTTGACATGACCACGCAACACAGCATCATATGTCTGTCTACTGCCTGAGGCTCTTGAGTCGCAAGATCTAGTTTGCCTGTATCATATACGGCATGCATATATTAAGGCTGTAATGCAAGACCTTTTTCTGAGCTAGGCACCAGCGGGAGGCCACACAGAGGCTGTCTGAAGTAGCCGTTGCAGATGAGTGGTCCGAGTGTGGATGAAGCCCAATCGGCAAATCTCTACCACTCGCATGATGTTCCCCCAATTTGGGGGGGGGATTCTCTCTCACCCTGACATTCTCAGCCTTGGCCTTTATGGAGCCTTGTCAAACACACTTTGATCGGATAACACGGCCACCAAGGGGCCCCTTCGCCCAGCATGTCGCAAACTGCTCTGGAAGGGCACCCAAATCGGCCACCCACATCGACTTTTCGTTTTGAGGTCTGCTTTTATTTGTCCAATCTTCTCGAGCTTGCCTTTGCGACCTGTGATCGTCCCCCGGATACGACGCTGGAAGTTTGGAAAGGGGAGGGAACAGGAGACCCTTTGCTCAGAAATCCACCCCCCTTGGCCTTTTGGCTTGTTGGTGCAAAATTTCAGCTTGGATCACACAACCAAGCCTTGGGCTTTTCTTGTCTTGCGTCTTCCCCCTCCCTAAGCCCGCCCGTTTCCGTCCAACAGGCCTCTGGATAACAACAATGATGACGAGGGTTTCCCCTTCTCGATCTCGGTGGGATTTCCGTTCGGATAGGTAGGGTGGGAACCTGCCTCTCCTCACGTGAGGTCACTCCCGTTCATCAAAATGCCCCAAAGGAGCGGGAAGACGCAAAGTGGACGAGCATGGGTATTGCGGAAAGCTGGAACGGGCGACGGACGACGCGCGTCCGTGGTGCATCACCCAGTGTCAGGTTTCTAATGCCCATGTTGGGCCATCATCAAAGAGAGGTTTGCAATTCTTTCACCAGGGCACTATTATTCATGACGTTCCCACCCCGGGAGAGACATTGTGATTTACTTCGGACGGCTATCGGCTCGCAGCCCTCGCTCCTGTTTCGCTTATTCCGGCCACTTCCCGCGCGAATGAGGATACAACTGCACCCCTCTATACGAGGCCATGGATGCTAGATCGAGCGGCGTGGTTCTTTTTCCCCCCCTCTCCTTCCCGCCCTGTAATCATCCTGGGGAGGCACAGTGCGCGACGGAGGGCGGCTTTTCCCATGCTCGATCATGATGTGACCCGTTGAGCCCATGTATTTTTGACATGGCATACACAGTCTGACGAGGAAGGGGATCTGTCTTATATCTACTCCGAGATACCGGTCATTGTAAAGACATGTACTCTGTTGTTATACACAGTGATTGCCCCTCTCCTTATTGAGCGAGATCAGCCATATTTGATCTGGTTAGGGACCTCGTCGTTGTCTCGAGAGTAGGTCAGACCGTGCCAATCTGTTCTTCCAGAGGCCTTCCATGTAACGAGCACGTGCGGATTTTCATACTTCGCATCGCGACACTTGGACTCGCTGGGGGCTCACTTGTTGTCCCACATGGAAACGACCTTCCGAACGCCGTCTGGAAAATAAGGTTCGGGGTCGCTTTGTGAAAGAAGCCGTCGGGGAAAGAAAGATCAAAGTACAGCTCTCGTGAGATAATATGGCTTATACCTCTATTGGGACCCTGGGCTCCAGAAGGAACATATTGGCAGACGTCAGGGTATACCAGGGGGTTAAACATTCCGGCTGAACTGGGGACCCTGGAGACAGACCAAGCAGAGCGAGTAGAGACTCGAAGAAGAAGAAGAAGGAGGGTAAAGAGGGGGACAAGAACAAATAATGAAAGAAATTTCCCGTCAAGCTTTTCTGGATTATGTACACTCGTCGTAGGAATGACCTACACCCGCTCTTCCCCCTCCGGGAGACCGACACTCTCTCTCTGTCTGTCTCGAGGGACAACTTTTTCCACAATGTAACTGATTGGCAGTGGCATTAGCCGCGCACATACAGAGAGAGAGAGACACACACACACACACACACCACACACCCAGACCAACCCCAAGCTTGTCCCTTTCACTGGAGGGAGGGAGCTGAGGCAAAAATCCCGCTCTCCCGGTTTCCCGCCTCTGGCCTGCACCGTGTTCTGCTGGCGTGCGTCGTCGGGTCGCTTGGTCCTCATTCCCCCTTGTCCCGCTCAATGAGACCTTCTGTACCTACGTACTTGACCACCGAGTCCTGGACTAAGGCCCATGTTCCTGCAATGCAATGCACCAACCTTAACGTCCCTGCAGCCCGGGGCGATGATGGTTGAGGGAATCCTCCTGGGTGAGTCGTGGTGAGGAAGTTAAGGAAGCCGTCCTCAACCAACCCCAGGCTACCCAGGTACTTACCAGGGCTTCCTGTATGTTGCGCAATTGTGATGCGCTCTATTGTGTGTGTGTGTGTGTAGGTATGTATGCTGGCTGGAGATGGCATCATGATTCCCGCAGATAGAAGGAGAGGAAGGGGAGTAGACCAATAGTATTAGTTGTGTATGTACGTTTGCTCATCAAAACTTCTTGCCCGTTCTACCTCGTACATGGTATTGGGGACAAGCAGAATTAAAACAAGGCGAGGAGGCGAACCACGAATGGATTGGATTCTAGCTACGCTCCTCTAAGGGCAGTTTTTTTTTCTTTTCTCTCTCAATCTCTTTGCCTTTTGGATCTGTGCCCTTCCCCTTCCCTTTTCTTTTCCCTTCTGTTGTCGCCAAACCCGTCATTGACCCTTGTAGGAGTGGACTAGATTTGGCGATTGGCTACCTCTCTACAACAAAAATTCATCCACCTTCCCCGAGTCGGACGGGCGACTTTCTACCATCTCTCTCAGAATATCCCTTCCCTGGCCCTCGTCAATCTATTCATACCTTTTCTATTCCCTCCCCACCCATCTTGGCCCTGGAAATAAACGACTATCCTGCCAATCCTGCAAGACTAGAACACTCCTTGTTCGCCTGGCCGCAAAGCATCCCAATCCCCACCATATCCTGCTTGTCTCGACTTTGCGACTTTGCGCCGACACCTTGATATCACGGTATATTGATTTCTCTGTCTGTCCGCCTCTTTGTTAGGATACTCCAGGCGGAATTGCACAGACCTTCTCCATTGAGTAGCCTGTGCCGGGTCCACCGCCAGCGTCATAACAAAGGGAACAGAACAAGAAGGAACGACACCAGAACGGTTGTGTTTGTGGCCGCAAACGTCTGTGCCAGGACCCGCCACCGGAATTCTGCATTTGGATTCGTGTTGCTGTCTCCGAAGAACAACGGGCATGGGCATGGGCATACGCCAAAACCTGTGAGACAGAGTCAAAGCGAGAGGCCTGTCCGAACGGCGACAGCAAACTATCGCCTTCAAGGATATGGAATATCAATCTCCCCAGTTCTTCTCAGCAGAAGAGTCAGTCTCAGAATCGGCATTAGACTGGAAACGCACTTTTCAGACCCCCAACGACAACACTGAGCAAAACCATCTGTTGCAAGCAGATATCGAAGGCACTGGACCATAGTTGCCACAGTCCTTGTCAGCGCTCACCGGAATCTGCCTGACAAGCTCACTCTGGCAATCGACCTTTCGCCATTCTTCCAATCTTCTCACACTCTTCGCCCCGCAAAAAGTACCGAACATATCTTTAGCCATCACCCATATCACTCTCCCCAAAACTCCATTTCCGGACGGCCATCGGATGACATGTGCATATACTACACCTACCACTTTAGCTGCTGTCCCGGCACAGCCAGACCAGCACCGTATTATGTTCACTCATTGTGCGACAAAGCCTCAAGCCCCAAGAAATTCCCTCTGGGCGCTGGCGGTGTCAAACTGATGGATCTGAAGAAATGCAAAGTTCAGCATGAGATCCTCGACGGGGCGGAGGCAGATCAGCCGTGTCCGAAGTGTGGGTAAGTTTCACTCCTGTGAGCCTCTGTACAAGGGTTATACAAAAGGCGGGCGTTCCACGGCAAGATGCAATTGCTGATTCTCCCGCATGCGATCTAGGACGAGGCCTGAAAATTGTGAGCAATAACGCGTGTCTTGGGTAAATGTTGGTGATAGCATCAGGCAGCTTTTCCTTTGGCGGTCGCTTTTGGTGTTGGAATCATGTTGTGATAGTTGCGGATATCGCATTGCCCTTGTTCATGGTAGCTTTCGACCTGTCGATCTCGGGCGTTGGTACTTTTGATTGTGGAGTAGCGGACCTTGGGCGAGTTGAAATGGTTTGGGAGGATGTTTGTCCCAGATTTTGTTCTTCTTGAAGCAGTCTCCGAACTGCTGCATTCAGATTTTCCACCTCACCTTCCCATGCATGACCACTCCCTGCCCACCGAATTTTGCAGCTGGAGTCCACGAGATATACATAGCCGACCTGAGAATTGAGTAGACCAATCGCGTCGCGCACCTCATCATTGAGTCCGCGACGAATATCGCGAGGCAACTTGATCATAAAGTACTTGTTCCACCGCTCCTCTGGTATGGTCTTTCTCAGACGTCCGCTGAACATCTTCACGAGCAGAGCACGGACCCAGTCGCCTTGGAGATTGATATCCACCCGCTGCAAGCGGCCATTGCTTTCCTCGATCATTTTGCTCAGTTCCGGATTATTTTTGGCGCTGACGAAGGTGTCAACTTGTTCTTCCGCCCAATGACCAGACTGCATCGCTATGACAGAGATCTTGCCCATGAGCACCGGAGTGGTGTCTCGTCCACCTTGGGGCCCATCACCATCGGCGGCTAGAGTTCGGCCCCAGATATTGGGAAAATAAAGAGCCCTTTCGCGTTTGAATAGACGAGGATTCGAGACAAAACTCTTTCCCTTAAAATGATCAACTCGCCGCCATTCTTGGAAATATGGTCGGAAGAACGTCCGCAAGTAAACCCGCCGGCGCTCGAGAGCCTTCTCATAGCTTGTGAATTCTTCGTGTCTTTCACGGAGGGTGCGATTGTCAACAGGACTATTTTGACCGGGTCGTGGGGGATGTTCGAGACCGAGCGGGCGGGCAAGGACCGAGGGGGTGAATTTCTCGCCGGTCACTCCTCGTGGGATTGGAATCCTCGAGATGGCAGAGAGATTTTCGGGGTTTCGGTCCAGACCGACATGGAGGGGAATTGTAGGCTTCTTGATATCGACCCGGGCTTTCTCTGTCGGAGGCGAATTCGAGGTTGAGGCTCTGCGAGACAAATTCTGAAGTCGGAAAGGGCAGCGGCTGTGAGGGCGGGTTGTAAGGGAGATGAAAAGACTGAGGACGTCTCGACGACTCATGCTGCGAAGTACCGGTAATCAACCTCTAACTCCCTATTGATCACTCCTGCGCTATTCCTTGTACATTTGAGAATGGACCTATACCTGCAAGTCGGTATTGAGCTTCAACTCAACTGCAGCTCTCTACAAAAAGATGGCTTGGCATCATGTGACAGCGCGTCACTATCGTGTCCGTCCGTGAATGGGTACAAGAACAAAGGGACAACGGCTCGTCCCACTTCACCCCGCCTTGATTCACCACTGCGTCCGTTGTCACGGCTTTGATTGTGAAGTGACGTTCTCGTCACTTCCTGCGCTGCATCCGGTCATGTATATAGATATAAATATAAACATAACCCGCGTTGACGACCGACACATCCATGCCGCTGTCGACATATATCAAAGATGTTGTCCTCCGAGGAGAAGAAAGAAAAAGATCAATTCTTCAAAGATTTGTATCACTTGGATAGTCTTGACGATGGAGAAAGCGAAGCTGGACCGATTTTGTTAGGGCAGCCCCCCAAACGATCTCCCCCCGAGCACAGTGCCAGAACACCTAAAATCGATCCAAGCATGAAAATGATTGATATGGACAGACGCCAAGAGAAGAGGAAGTTGTCACAAACAGCTCCACAACCGGAGCCAAAATCAGAACTGCAACCGCCTCGCCCTAGGGCATCGTCTTCTGCACCGATTCCCACCAAGAAGAAGAAACCTCCTCGGGCAAAAAGAAACGTGACAGACCTTTCGAACATAGAGGCAAGAATGAATGGATCAGGGCTTCCCAGATTGAAACCCCTACCAAAGCGGGTCAAGATGGGGAGCATCCCTCCTGATCGACAGATTTTCAAGGGCCTCGTTTTCTGTATGTTCAAATATCCCATGGGTCCCCTTCAGCTGGCTAATGTGTCGGACAGTTTTCGTTCCCAACAATGACGATGACCCTGGAACCCGCATTCGAATTCATCAATCTATCCAATACGGCGCTCGGTGGGCACATGAGTTCTTTGAAGAGGTCACACATATCATCGTCACTCAGGACGACCTCGATATGATAGGAGCAGCCAAATCTTTCCCTTCCAAGCAAATACCGGTTCGTGACCCCATTATTTCATGATTGCAATGCTAACAATGTCCTCAGGTGGGACCGGTTTTTTTGCGCCAGAGGTGGCTCTTTGAATGCTGGAGATCCGGATTTCTTGTCGAAACGCATTGGAATCGCTTCCAGGTAACAGGCTCAGACACCATGACAGAGACAAGTCATCGGCTTGTTCCACATGCCATTGACAATAGAGCAATCTCTCATAGCTCAGGAGTTGATAGGTCGCTTCCGACTGCCAATGAGGCGAGGTTTAGCAACAACCTCCAGGGAAGGCCTAGGTCTAAGGTCAAGGACTTAAAGCCGAAACCAAGCGAGAAAATCGACGAGGATGCACTTGAAATTGCCATAAGGGATGTCCAAAATGGCGCTGGTCAGCAATTAATCATTGACTCTGATGAGGAGTCTGGGAGTGACGATGGGCCTGAATCCCGACTTCCGACGGACAACGAAAATGCCCCAAAGAAGGTCGGCACTTTTCTGTGCATGGAAAGCCATGATGAGAGAACGCGTATCGAGAATCCGAATGCCGAAACCATGGAGAAGCTACAAGAAATGGCAACCTCCTATGATCAAACAGGGGATCAATGGCGAACCAGGGCTTTTCGGCAAGCCATAGGAAAACTTCGAAGGCAGGATCAAATGATTCGAACGTCTCATCAAGCTCGTGCGGTCGGCATCGGCGAGAGCATTGCAGCTCAGATCGAGGAGATCGTCTCTACCGGCAAATATCGAAGGCTTGAGTACGCTCAGAATGACCCAAGAAATCAGATAATCAAACTCTTCATGGGAGTGTATGGCGCCGGCGAGACAACTGCGAAGACATGGATCGCGCAAGGATATCGATCCCTAGAAGATGTCTATCAGAAAGCTGAGTTGACTGCAAATCAGCGAGTGGGGATCGAGCACTATAGTGACTTCCAGCAGAGGATCCCTCGGAGCGAGGTCGAGCAACACGCCGCCATCGTGAAGAAAGCACTCAAGGCTGCAGACCCAAACTTTCAGTTGATCATTGGAGGCTCTTACAGACGAGGCAGCAAGGACTCAGGGGACATTGACTGCATCATCTTCGTAAGTACTCTTTTCCCATATCATTTTGTGCTTCAGAAGGAGACTTCGTAAGTGCAGGTGAGTCTGACAAGTATCACAGATGCCCGAGGCTGGTATTGGCCATATCCGCACCCTGATGCTGGACACTGTTATTCCTGGGTTGATGGCTCAAGGGTTTTTGAAAGTGGCACTTGCTGGGGGGCATTCTTCGAGTGATGACTCGTCAAAGTGGCATGGGGCATCCGCCTTGCCCGGATGCAACGTTTGGCGCCGGATCGACTTCCTCTTTGTGCCTTGGACGGAGCTTGGAGCAGCGTTGATCTATTTCACGGGGAACGACCTATTCAATCGGAGCATCAGGTTCCTGGCAGGTCGCAAGCAGATGAGACTGAATCAGCACGGGTTGTTCAAAGACGTCATGAGGGGACGGGGGCGACAACGAGTTAATGATGGGACTTTGCTCGAAGGGCATGACGAAAGGCGGATATTTGAGATTCTTGAAGTCCCGTACCGGCCACCCGAGGAACGGAACGTGTGAATGGTACAGCTTCAGAGACAGAATGATCATGGCAGGTTCTTATCCATTGTGATTGCCTCTCCACATATTGTAAACGGACTGCTGTCGTCAAAAGAGTGGAGAGACTCAGCAAGGAACAACATGGCACGTGCATGGTCGGCCCTCAAAAAGTCTGTGGCTTCGGAACTCGGAAAAATGCGCCCTTCAGCTTGGCGCGGGAGTAGCCGACTGCCAATAGCCGTCAGGGCTAAATCCCTCACCGCCCTGCGTTTCGCATCACCGCCTTAAGGGTCGCAATATTCTGCCAACATTTTTGTTATTCTCCTCAGACTCGTCAACTTTGTAAACACTGTCGAAACACCTTCATCACTGTCGCCGTCATTGTTGTGTGTGAACGTCCTTTACTTGTCCCAGTTCGCGTCTCCAGTGAGGCAGTGAGCTGGGTCTGGCATTGATAAATACCGCCTTGTCTTCCCCGGTTTTGCACGACATCATTGTCCACTGCTCGACCAACCCCGTCGTCCGTTTTCTGCCCACCCGCGGAGACACTCATCCATCGACCAATCTCGTGAGTCGATCTTGATACCCCGCGACATCAAACAAGCGGAGCACACTGACTATTTTCAGGCAAGGGTTGGCAGCATTCTCGATCATGGGACGCCGTCCTAACCCGCTGATGGCGGAGTTCTTTGAACGCGGTGCTAAGATTGGTGACTCCTCGAACCGTTATGAACAGACCTGCCGACGATGTGGAGAGCACTTCCCGCGAGGCCGGAGTGAGGCTATGGTCACTCATCTGACCAAAAAATGCCCGGCCGTGTCTAATGCTGAGCGCACCAAAATCATCTTGCGTTTGCACGATCTGTCCCTCCCAGATGTCCATCCATACATCGACCCTACGTTTAATCCAGAGAGAGCCGAGAATGATGAAAGAGCAGCGGAGCAAGACGAGAGCGATAACAGCGCTAGATTGCCCTATGGTCAGAGCAGACAGAATTTTGACGGCTTGAATGTTCTCGCTGAGGCTTCCCGTCGTGTTGGTGGTAATGCACGAGGCAATCCTGGTTCTACCTCTGGGGATCTAGATGGACATCACAACCAGATCTCTCAGCCACAAGATGAGGACGCAGCGCTTGATCCTCAGCTTCAGGCAGGCACCTTTGCCCACCCTCTGTTGCATGATGATGGTGCAGATGTTCAAGACAATGGTTTGTCTATCTTTGATTTTTACACTCTTCCAGAAAGCAGACACTAATCCACTCTGCTTAGCCTTCCCAACTAGTTCGCCTGAAAGCCTTCCACCACTCTACCACTATATGGGTCATCTACCTGCAGCTCCCCCAGGTCATCTAGCTGGCCTGCCTCTTGTTAGCACCCATCCTCAGGATCTTTCAACAATTGCGGCTACCGCACATGCGACAATCGACGATGATTCTGTCATGGCCACGGACCTGGACATGTCAGATGACGTCCCTTCCGCACTTCTTGGTGAGCTTCATGAGAATGGCTTTGCTTCGCAGGGTCGACAGTCATATTCTTGGCCAGCAATGCTCGGGACCCAGCCGATGGAGCCGCTGACCACCCCCGCTGCCACGCAGCCTGTTCATTCACCAGAACTGGCGTCGATTTCTTCAAGGGCAACAGATAGTCCAGCCTCACGAAATGAGGAGTCTACGAGCCAACATCTCAGACCGATTGCAATGAATCCGAATAGACAACCGGCTCAGCTCTTTGACAATACAGATTCAAACTCACAATCGCCGAGGCCGAAGGTCCGTGGCAGGTTTGCACCCGACCGCCGTAAGGAAGTGCGCGAGCTTCGCAAAGTCGGCGCGTGCATGCGATGCCGCATGCTCAAGAAGACCTGCTCTCAGGAGACACCGTGTCAAACCTGTGCTGCTGTTGAAAGTCCTCGCCTGTGGAAGCATTCCTGCGTACGTACGAGACTTAGCGAAGCCTTTCCACTCTACTTTCTTGGACTACATGGAGTTCTGGCCTATCTCGAAGTCAACACCTTGAAGACCCGAGTCTCTTTTACGCTTTTTCCAGGAAAGGTCGAAGGCTTCCATTTCCCGGACCAGAAGATCGCTCTGAAGGGACTTCGAGGCGAGCAGATAACAGAGCCGGCTCCCGCAAGAGACGACGCCGCTGGTGCTAGCAATCAACACCCTTTAGACAAGGAAGTTATTGTCGTTGCAGACCTTGACACGGACAATATCCTCCCGAAGGTTGAACGATATCTTCAGGCAATTTCGCCAAAAGTCGTGGACCAGGAACCATCTCGCGCAATACGGGCAAGTCTCCAGATTGCCCAGAGGATCAAGGATCGACAACAAAATGGCATGACCGCTGACAAGCCGGATAATCTCGTCTCAGACGTCATCGAATTATGGACAGCAACGTCAATCATCACCGATGATAAGCTGAAACCCTTATTTGCGACGGAGACTGAGCTTGAAGATGGACAAACTTTGGTTAATGAGACGACAATGGGCGCGTCTTACCGCGTGTTGACCCTGCAACTTCGAGCGGTGGTCGAAAAGCGCGCCGGCATTGTGTGCAGAAGTATCATGAACCACTTCGAACAGAGGGTCTTGTCTCGCCATAAGAGCAACAACTTCGAAACATTCTTGATTGCGTTCGTCTTGCTCAACTGTGTGGAGCGCATGTGCTGGCTGTACCGGCGTTGGGATTATTGGCGCAGTAAAGGCGTTCACTGGCCCCTGGACCAAAAACCAGCATTCTATGCAGAAAAGGCTGAGACCTTTGCGCAGATGGTTCAGATGCTCATCAACATGCGACAACTGGAGCCCAAGATTACGGTGGACTCCGACTCAGACGCGCTTGTTCCTTTCAACCCTGATGATACCGCTCTTGCTGAATGGCTCTCAGCCGCTGGAATCACTACGGCCCTCGCAGCGCAACTTGGACTTGCCATGTTCGACCCCGAAGATAGCAGATCTCTTGATGGAACTTTGGCTGCGCGCTTAACGCAGTACCAAGGTTTTATGGGTTGACAGATGTCGAAGGCCTACTTGTACCAACTGAGGTATCGAGTTTCATAATGGGCGTTGGGAGTGCGATTGGTCGAATTGTATCAACATCGGAGCAATTGGCGGTGTGGATTGGCATTGGTGAAACATGGGACTTGGTGACTTTGTTGCACATGAGAGCAAGATGCTACGAGTCCGCAACGAATGTGAACCCAGTCACAGATGGAATTTGTCATGATTATGCGAAAAAGAGCTGAGATACCCCACGTGTGCATTGTTGAAAAGAAAAGTCCCTGGAAGGTCCCCCAAAAAAATGTACAGAGTCAAAGATAGAGAGGCACATGTTTGCAGGATGAAGCCCAAGCCCCCCCCCCCAAAATGTACAGAGTCAAAGATAGAACTGAAGCCCAGCACCAATTCCTTGTCAAGGATGAATAGCTGAAAGGCTTGACAGGAACAATTCAAATTGAAATTGAAGAATGGGAGATTGATTCAGTGCCACTCATCACACAGAATTGAAGGAGACCCTCTGCGCTCTCTCCATAACTTGGAACCTTCTTGCTGAGATGCCTCGATCACTTGGTTCACCAATTTCTCCGTGTCAACCAGGTGCCAGTCGCTGAAACAGCCTTCAATAATGATGAGTCTGATTGAACACATGAAACAGACCGCAAGAGCCAGGGTCCAGAGTCGGGTATTGCGGAATATCCCTGCCGTCGTTCGCCTGCCTCCTTGTCCTCCTTGACCTGCGACGACCAAGTAATCCTTGTTTGGCCTCGGTGCCACGAACCTCAAAGCTGGGAACGCCCAACCCTGGAACCAATCGGCGTTGAGACAGAAAGATTGAACGTTGTCTATGAATACGGATCAGAACCAAGGTGTGAAGCACAAAAGACAAGAGGCGAGGTTGGAAAAGTGATACAAGGCAAATATTGAGGCGTGGCAACAGGATGGATGAGGTTCTCTGAAGAAACCACTCGCCGACAGACACGTTGGACAGCAGACGGGCACACAACCTTCGAGGGGGCCGATCTTGCATGGGCAAATGCACGTCAATCAAACGACTAGCAGCAAGGTGGCCGCTGCAAGTGCGGCTCGCATCGTCTCTTCCGCGGCGTCACCTCGCCGATGAGGCCCAGTTCCTCCCGCCCTTGTTGTAGAGGGTGTCGAAGGGGTCACACCTAAGATCCAGCATGGCGCAGTTCTAGCTAACTGGGGTCTCGGCCACCCCCGTCTTGACATCCAATCTCAACATCAGGTCCGTGTGTCAAGGCTATGAATATGCGACGAGAAGACAACCCAGGCTCGACCGTGCAAGCGTGCAGCCGTCACAGCATGTCTGCCTCAAACACGGAACGGTGGCTAAAAGCAAGCAATGAAACCAGTCTAGGCCATACTGATGGTGGGATGGTGTTTTCTGCCCAATTGCTCTTTCCAGCCCTTGGTGCCAGGCAAACCAGGGTAAATAAGGGTGAAGACTCTGGGAACAACGCACAGCGCCGATCGGACTCGCTTGTTGTACGAGTAGCTGCTGAAGGCCACACCACCACGATCAATACCACACGCATGTGCAAGCCTGGAGCGGGCCGAAGAGCGTCCCCCAGACACCGTTGATCTTGGGCGATTCCGAGGCCACTAGGGCTTGCCAGATCAACGATTACAGGGAGCTTCGACCAGACCCAGCTGCACGTTCGAAAACCAATCGCTAAATGGTGCGGCACAGACTTATTCATGCCTGGAAAGGCCATAACCACCACTACAGTTTTGTTCTCTCCATTGTGGTGTTTCTTGAGGTCGAACTAGAGTATCCGACATCTAATCATCCACAGTCCGCAGACCCTCCGCCATCTCTGGGATTCATGCCTTCGGCCATTCGTGGTATCCGTCTCCGTTAGCGTAAGAGGTCGTTCAGATATCAGGTTGGTCTGCAAATTCCCCCCACTACACGAGGCTACTCCAAGGACTGTATTCGACTAGTCTGCCTGCTCCGCTCATGTTTTCTATGTCGCCCTCGAAGGGGAGTAATCATCGATGTCTACAGAATCAGATTACCTGGAGCGCTTTGAGGCGAGCGAGTCGTGAGTTCGCATCTCGTACCAATCCCGATGCTCACACCGCCTGTCAGAAGGTTTTTGGCACATCCACCACTACCGTCACGAGGAGGAAGTATCAAGAATAGGTCGGCAGTCTTATCTCAGAGATGCGCAAAAAGAGGTCTTGCCTGGCTACTACTGTTAAACGCAATTTTTTCCCGATTACCTTCTAGCAGCGAGCTAAGGGATCCGAGTAAGAAGTTTCCACTTGCGATGGAAGACCCATTCCTGGTCTTGTCAAGAATCTCAGCCGTCTCTGCAAGGTGTCGGTTCATTTTGCCGCCGACAAAGTGTCGAATCAGGAAGTCTTGCATGATCCAAACTTATGTCGAGGTTTTGCAGAATGCGGTAGGCAACTTTCTCTTGACGATGTCCCTGGTTAGCCTGGTTAGCCTCATTGGGAAGGGGATACTTCTGCAATCGAGTCACATCTACCGACGGCCCAGGTGAGCCCTTGTCAGATGTATGTAAGGCCAAGGGCGAAGGGCCCAATGACCGGGCAGGAATTCGAGGAGAACGTCACAACGCTCGGGCCACCAGGCGCTTTGAATGATTCTGTCAGAGTTCAGCTGAGCTTCGAGGCACCGTGGCAGTTGCCTCAGACATGACAAATTTCGCGCTTGTCTCGGTGAAGGCGGCCTCTCGAGAGCATGATTCGTCAGAGAGAGGCAGCAGAGCAGGTAAGAGACCCAGAGAGTCTAGTCTAGTCCATGAGAAGACCAGTGTTCGCGAAAACGAGGCCAGGGAGAGGACAAGGAGACAACGTGAATCGGAGATACTCCACGGCTAGATCTTCGAACAGATGCCAACTACAAGCTCGGAGACTTGAACGGATGATGGAATAAAGGCCAGAGTAAGCACAAGTACGGCGGAGATGCCAGTCTGCTTGGGACGCCGGTCCTTCTCGGCTCGACAGTATTATGTCCATGCTCTTTCCTGTCCCAAAAAGAATGAGTGAAATATCAGACCTGAAGCAAAAGTCTGCTGGGCCGAGGGGTATTGGCCAGTCAGAATGGCAGCAGGATGGATTCCTGAACGAGGACTGCTTCCGTGGACCATCCGCTGGTGGGCTTACACAGTACTTGGTACGGAAGAGTCACTCAAGGACGTAGGTGTGTTTGGTGGCTTGGATGAGAAGCCGCCCTAGCCAGGGAAGTTCGCGTGGAGGCGTTGCACGAAGAGGAGGGGCGTGTGGAGATGGCGACAGGGGAGTGGGTGCGAAGTCGAGGAGCTGAGTGGCTCGAGGATGGTCATGGGAATCTTGAAGCGGTTGGCCAATGGCATCAGCTGACAGATGGTTGAAAGGTCACTCGTCGACGCGATGGCGGCCACAAATCAAGAAAGTCTCGAGTCCGAGGGCTGAAGCTTTGCGCTCTTTGGGAATCGAGGAGACCCGGAGGGAAGGGATAGCCTAGCGATGGCTCAGAGCTGCACAGGTTCGCCCGGGGCCGTATGATGAGTGGACGGCAGCCATGGAGGAGGCTAGTTGGTCGCCATGACCGAAGGAAAAGGGAGCCATGGATAGGCATTTCCGCCACGAGACAGGGGTCCGGAGGAGGTTCTGGAGGGGCAGATGACCTGAGATGCCGGAACGAGGACAGGGCGTCGCAAGCTGAATGGTGGGATGCTGCGGCAGGCTACGATGCGATGAGAGCATGAGCGAGCATGAGCGAAAAAAAGACTGGATAACTGGATCTAGCTCGCGGTATGCTCCCAGTTGGCTCATTCCGGCACAAGCCAGGGTTTAAGACCCGAAAAGACAGAACAGACAGAAAAGACAGAAAAGACAGCAGACTTGCTCGCAACAATAACGGGCGATTGAGTTTTGAGCAGCGTCGATGAATGATCAAACACACCCAATGATGGGAGCCTAGCAGAGTCAATAGAGTCATTAGAGTCATCACCTCTCCAGGCCCAAGCCCCTCGTAGAATCCACCCGAGGTCATAGCGCGCATGGCGTCCACCGTGCCCCCTCCAGCGCCCACCTGACTGCCTCCCAGCCTAACTGGGTGGACCCCGGGTCCTCGCCGGAAGACTCTCGTACCGCTGGAGCTGGGGCTGGCCGCTGCACCCGAGTCAGTTTCAGTGCCCACAAGCACCAGCTCAGGTAACCAGCAAGACATGCCCCGTTGGTCACCGGCAGAAACACACCCAGTCTGCTCTCCCTCCTTATCACCTATTGTGCCAGGGAGGGATTACTGGGTAGCTGCCCACCTACAAGTAGGCATGCAGAGATAGGTAAAACAATGCCCGAGGATTGTTAGGGACTTGCTCAGGAAGGGTTTATCTATCGCTCCCCGGCCAGAGGAAAAGCGACTACCCAGTCTGCAGAAGTTGACGTCGTATATCGACGAAAGGACAACCCCTGTTCCCTGCTTCTCTGCGCATTGCCCGGCATCTTCTCCCTTCGACTACTATTCTAAACTCCCTCGTTCCACCCCTCCCTTTCCCCCAAAGTTCTAGTTTAGTGAAAACCACCCTGGCCGCATGTGCCGCCTAAACCGTATCTTGCTCTCTGCTGCATCAATCGCACGCTGCCGTCGCCGCTGCTGCATGAAAGCATCTGCATACTGTATGCCGACCCGCTACGCACGCGCATCCATGCACGCCCGCACTTTGGCAGCCCAAGAAGCCCAGAGGTATCAATCTCCCTGATGAGCATTATTAGCATTTGATTGATACCATCAGCTTTGTCCTCTGACTCTTTTGTGACAGACTCTAATCCCCACCAGTTCCCCGACTCGACTCGACCACCGATCCAAACCTCGTGTCTCTCTGTCCCTCACTGGCCCTGGCGTAGTATTGGCTTACGGCTTCCCACTCACACACCCTCTCGCTCTCCCCGCCGCCCTTGCTCCTTATACGTCTCCCTCGTCCTTCCCACCTCTTTCGCCATCTGGCGCGCTTTCTGGCCGCACATCTCCCGCACCTCTTTGCTGCGAGGCTCTACTCCTGCCTGTCCAATCTCATCCGGTCCAGTTCAGCCCACTGCCATCGAAAACAATACTCAAATCATCGAATAGACGCTCCACCGCTTCCTCACCAGTTATTACTGTTCATTCCCAGCTCTTCGGCTCCCGCCTAGTCGCCTGGCTGCCCGGCAGTACTGCGGAAATACCTCAAAACAACTGACCCCCAAAAGTGTATCGAGTGGTTCAGTTGAGAGCTCCACAGGCTCTTCAGGCTCTTCCAAGAGTACAGGGATACCGAGATACACTAAACCTCTTTGCCTGGAACAAACCACCTGCAGCGAACGCCCGCCTTAAGCTTAGACACTCTCTCGCACCAATTCCTGCCTGGCTCAGGCCTGGCGTTTCCCTGTCGCCGCGAGCAAATGTCTAATCGGTCATCCCCCAAAGTGCCCGTTCCTACATCCAGCTAGGGTTCACTCAATCAATGATCCGGCTGCCCTTTTTCAAGCCCGCGTCGTCCCAAGACCACAACTGAACCATCAGCAATCAGATCAAGCCGTCATCTCGCCGTCCGCCTTCTTGTCCATTTCCATTTTTATCCTCCATCATCATCCTTTCTCAGTCTGATCGCAAATTCCCCAGATTTCATCTCCATCCAACCGTCATCAACCTTCCTTTCCAATCACTCCGCAGGGGCTCGGTTCAACAAACCGATTCCAAGGTGTCATCACTGGGTTATCGCCACCGCTAAACAATTGGGCTGCGCGTCCCTCAACCCGCCAAACTCGAATTTCCTCGGCAAAACGTCGTCATTTTACAAACACACTGACCATTTTGGGCGGGGGGACCACCAATCTTGACTGACGGGCCTTGCCTAGGCACAAGAGGGAAACGGGGAACCAGTCAGCGAGAAGTCGGTGCTAGGAGGCGACAGAAAAGCAAAAAAAGAGGAACAAACCATTTCTTGACTTGCATCTGCAAGCCCCGAGCGCCATCTCCCGCTCTTCTCTTGTACTTCCGCACCTTGCGACACGCAGCTCACAGATCAAAAAAACTCACCACTGGCCGACCGACTGGCGTAACCGGCCGACCAACAGCGCCTCTTTTTTGGCACTGAGGGCCACTACTGCCACACTAAAGACTCCCCCCAGTTCGAGCTGCATCCTTTGCCGTCCGCCTCCACCAATCTACCTTCCGCCGCGGTCTCTGGTTCCAGCATAACCCTCGTCATCCTCGCTAACTTTACTTTTGCTGCACGCCTGCAACCGTGCTCTGCACCTGTGCACGCCTTGCTTCCCGCGCCTGTCTCTCTGTCTTGTCGCCGTCGCCATCCTCGTTGCACTTCAATATTCCTGTTGTCGCACATTGCTGAAGCGGCGCGGAGCGGAGGCACTGATCAGACGCAGGCACCCTCCCTAGATCTTCACGTCTGGGTCACCCAGCTCTGTGCTGCCTGGCAGCTCCTGGCGTGCTGATGCGGGTGCAGAGCCTGCGCATCATCACCACCACCATCTCCTCCACCACCACCATTTCATCGCCACGGCGCTGAAATGTCCATTTATCCACCTACTCGCCAGCCTACACATGCTCTGAATGGTATCGGCAACATGAGCGATGGTGCAGGAACCATCGATCCTGCAGCTTTGAACGCTAGTGGTATGCCATTTTCTATTGGTTTCCCTAAACCTGACCACTGGGAGCATCACTCGATGTGCGTTGGTCAAGGCCGTGACCCATGGATGCATGGGGCGCATCGCGGACCTTACTGAATTCTTCTTTCATCGAATTTCTCTGTCGCGTGCCTTTGCTGACGCCCTGTGTGTAACAGGTGGATTGATACAGTCATCAGCCGAATCAGGCCCGCGCGGCATCAAACGAAGCAGATCTCCCGAACAATATGGCGAATATCATCCAGGTGACGATGATGGTGAGTCGCGCTGCAGCTCCTTGACGCGTTAGAACGCACTGACATCCCAATCACCAGGCCCGCGCAAACGTGGTCGACCGTCGAAAACCCCCAGAACGTCTGGAGACTTTACTTCCAACGTCGATGCCCTCCCAACACCCTCCAGCCAGACCTCCCCAGAGCTGAATCAGACGCCCAGAAATCAAGGAGGCCCACAACCACAGGCCTCCACGCCGGTACAAGCATCTCCGCCGCGCACCCTTCCCAAATCGACCATAAAAGCACTGCCAACGGTCAGGGACCATACCAGCGACGTGCTGCAGCCCGAAGGAGACGAGTATATGCCACGCGAGTACGACGATGCAGGCGAGAAAAAGGTGGACCAACTGGGCTACCTCCAGGGCGGACGAGAGTACAAGATCAGGACTTTCACCCTCCCCGGGAGAGGGCAAAAGCTGTTTATGTTGGCAACGGAATGCGCGCGTCAACTTCAGTACCGGGATTCCTATCTTCTCTTCAACAAAAATCGGTCGCTCTTTAAGATCATTGCGAGCGTCAAGGAGAAGGAAGAGCTCGTTAACCGCGAGATCCTGCCCTACTCGTACCGGTCACGCCAGATCGCCGTGGTAACGGCGCGCTCGATGTTTCGCCAATTCGGCAGTCGCGTCATCAAAGACGGTCGAAGAGTTCGAGACGATTACTGGGAAGCCAAAGCTATCAAGCAAGGATTCACCGAACAGGATGCTGCCGGCGAGAAGCGACCTGGAGCCGCAAGGGCCAGAGAAGCGGCCGCCCAGGACCAGTTGAATGCTCGTGCTAACGTCGCTGCGGCATATGGTGACATCGTCTACAGCAATGGCCCGGGTTATGGAGCTGTGCAACCGCCAGCTCTTCATTCCGGGATCGCATCGACCATGGCACAACTGGCTTCCTTCGACCCAACCTACGAATCCAGGTACAAAGATATTGTGCGGCCGAGGCACGAAATAACGGGCCCGCCATATCAAGATCTCACTCGACCAAGTTCCGACGTGGAATTGGCCAGTCAAGCCAGCCATGCGGCTGAATACAGCAAAACCATCAACCAACAAAATCGCTACAGGCGTGGACTTGTCGAAGACTATTGGCGCAGGCCACATGAACCGCCTGTTTCAACACCTCCTCCTGCGGAAGCTGAAGTTGCAACGACAACTCATCCCTTCTCCTCGCCCCGATTTAACACGAGCGACGTCCCTTCCACTCAGCCCAATTCCATGTCGCACCCTTCTCAGTCTCTACCGTCCTCGATGAATCCTCCTTCATTCCCCCATCAACAGCCTCCTATCCAGTCACCCGTCCGCCAACCAAATCTACAACAACCTTTCTCGCGCGAATCATCCCAGTACACCCCTCAACACCCAGGTTATCAAAGATCATCTTCAAGTCTCTCCATCTCGCAACCTGGCTCTCAACAACAACCATTACCCTTCGGCGCAGGATTCCCTCATGCTATCAACCCGCAACAGCAGCAGCAGCAGCCGCCGCAATCGCAGTCACAGCAGCAGCAACAACAACAACAGCAACAACAAAGTTGGGGAGCTCCACCACCGCAGCCTCACCAGTCACCGGCTGTTCATCGTATGACTACGCCCCAATTCTCGCCCAGCTTAGCACAAGGACAAATTCCTTCGCCTTTACCTGGTGGCACCCATGCTAGTCCGTCTCCTCACCCGCAACAAATGCAACCACCACAGATGCCGTTGCTCCACCACCAAGGGAGTTCTGGTGGAATCGGCGGGCAGCAGCTATATGGTCCTGGAGCAGGACTGCAAGCGATCAATGCTGCTGCAGGGTATGGGGCTCTCGGCATTGGCCAGAGAGGCATTTACCCCATGGGCGGACAAAGTCAATTTATGCAGCCTAATCCTCAGCATGGGCAGGGATGGCCTGGTCCTCAGAGTCAAGGCCAGGGAGGTGGACAATGGACCCAAGGGTTTCAGTAGGACTTTGACCCGCCATGAGTTTTGAGGTTCAAACACTTGCAGGAAAAGGGAAAAAAAACCAAAAAAGAAAAGACATCAAGGGTGGTAGCGGAGGAGTCCTTCTCCCTTCTCGTTTGCATCAGTTGGACGGGATCCGACACTTTTCTGAGAATTGTAAACTCGGTTCTTTGGTCGCCACCTGGATCACAGGACAGCACAGGACAATGGCAGATACAGTCAGATATCTTGTTCTTGGGGTTTGGACTCATGAAATGCATCGGAGGGGTGTTGCATAGCGAGGCAGGCATAAGAGAAATCATCTGGGGGTCTGGACTGGTGAGCAATTCATGTTGGGAGGGTGCACAGTGAAGACCATGGGATGGGAGCGGGATGCATTTGAAAGGGTGGCAATTGCGAGTACCAGTGGACTTTTTCTATGGGGGTTTAATCAGCTCGTCCCTATTGTTTTCATGGATCTTTCCTTGGTATCAGCTCTCTTTTGTCGAGGGACAGACCCAGGGAGGTGGTCGCATTCGGTGTTGACGAGTCGGGATCTCTGTTTTCATTTCTTCCTTCCGCCCGGGCTCCTGGGTGTTTTGTTCTACGGTCCTTGTTTCCTCCTGTATTATCACCATTTGCTCTTGACTCCCCCTTTGAACTTTTTGATTTCTCGGCCTGTTGCATCTCGAGGGATTCTCATGGCATTGGAATGAGGGATACGAAGGGATGGGAAACATGTTGCGAGTTCCGTGTTTTGAGTCGACCTCTCTACATAGCAGTTTTAATTTGTGAATTCAGATTACCTCGACGGTGGAAACACATGATTCTCGCGATCTTTCCAGGTAGAGGAAACTGGGAAGGCCTTCCATCTCGTTCATACTCCGTCGCAACCTACCTAGTATATAAACATCATTTCAACCAAGCTTTCTTCACTGTCACTGGAGTGAAGAACAGGATAATAGTGTTCGATAGACGCCCCAGCTCTCCACAAGACAAGGAGCATTATCCTCGTGTACCAACGGGTCTCGGGAGAGGGAGGGATGCTTTGACATTGTGCATTTATGATTGAGGTACGCACCGACGTCCTCCGAGACGAGTAATACATCTTTGTACAATCAAGCCGAAAGGCGCGAGGGACGCCAGGAACCTTTGCCCTCCGGCAGATGGAACAACACCACGAGGCCCATCGATTTTGCGTGTTTCAACCCCTTTGTGGGCTTGATCAGGCCGGACTGGTATAATACGTGCGAAGAATCATGGCCATCCGGAGCGATTCGCTGCTGAGCTTCCTCCCACCACCAGTCGCTTCTCTCTCTCGTGCCTCTCCCCTTCAAGGCCGTCTGTCTGTCTGTCTGTCTGTCTGTCTGTCTGTCTGGAGCGAACTGATGTCGTGGGGTCAAGCTGGCCCAGCTTGATCTGCCGAGCTAAACGGCCCCACGAGCGGGCAAGGGCAAGCGGGCACCCGGGGAGCGGGTGGTTGTTCGTTGCAAGCCCTCCTAATCGTACGAAGCCTCGTCGAGAGAGGGCATCGAAGCAGGCATCCCGAATGTCCCTTCTTTAATTGACCGGACTGCATGTTTTCGCCCGTGGATTCAACTTCAACATTCCAGATTGTTTCCTGGCGGGGACAGATTTGAACTTTGACATCTTGACAATCCGAGTTACGTGATAGAGCAGGACGGTTTCTCGTATTTTACCCTTAACCTCGTCTCTAAGCACTTTGTCGACGAGGCTCAGGAATCGACCATGGCACAGACGGGTGTGGCTTCGGAAGTGAACAGAGAGAAGCGGTATGCTGCAGCTAAGGTTCCTTTGAAGGTGATAATTATAGGGTATGTTCCACTCCAAGAAGGTGGTCACTCGCAGCCTATGTTCTACACAAGACAAAACCTGACGGTGTTGAACTCTCTAGAGCGGGCATTGGAGGTCTGGCGGCAGCATTGGCTCTGGGGAAACGAGGCCACAATGTCCATGTTATCGAGTTTGCTCCCGAAATCCAAGAGGTTGGCGCCGGAATCCAGTGTGCACCGAACATGCTCCGGCTCCTGGATCGCTGGGGCGTAGGCGCCAAAGTTCGACGGACCGGCGTCGCGCTCGGGGCCATCCATATCCTGCGTTGGCAGGGAGGATCTCTTCTCGGCAGCGTCCCCATCAACCAAGCCCACGGCGAGCAGTTTGTCGTGCATCGTGCGGACTTGCAGACGGCTTTGCTGGAGAAAGCCATGGCCCTGCCCAATGTGAAGCTGCAGACCAACACAAAGGTCGAGGACGTTCGGTTCAGTCCGGCCGCGGTGGAACTCCACGACGGCTCGACCATCTACGGAGATGTCGTGCTCGCTGCGGACGGCATCAAATCCATGGTCCGTGCAAAGGTCCTGGGAGACGACAAAGACGTCGCAATACCGACTGGGGACGCCGTCTTCAGGGTCGTCCTCACCAGAGAGACCTTGAGCAACTACCCGGACTTGATGCCCTATATCAAAGAGAAGAAGGCAATCCGATGGGTGGGGCCAGGAAGACACATCATTGCGTATCCCGTGCGGAACCATGAGATCTAGTAAGTCCCTCTTGGGAAGTCCTGGATGAGTTCATCAGACAGCTTTTTTTTTCATTCGGCCGAATGCAATGCTAACCACCACCCAGCAATGTGGCTCTTGCTCACCCTGATCGTGGCCGGGTGGACGAGAGCTGGACGACCGTCACATCCAAGAAGAATCTGCTGTCGGAATACGAGGGCTGGGATCCAAAACTGGTCCAGATGTTGGACCTTGTCCCAGAGGGGGATGTCTTGGAGTGGAAACTGTGCATGCACATGCCCCTTCTGCGATGGGTCAGGGGATCGTGTGCACTGTTAGGAGACGCATGCCATCCCATGTTGTAAGTCCTCCCTCTTGTATCTTGGCATTGAGGAGAAGTGGTCTAATCTTTCAACAGACCGTACGTGGCCCAAGGCGCGGCGCAAGCCGTGGAGGACGCAGCCTCGCTGGGAGTGGTCCTATCCTCGATCTCATCCAAGGACGAAATCCCCGCTGCGCTTCAAGCGTATGAGAAGGCGCAGAAGGCGCGCGCCGAGCACATCCAACAATCATGCCTGACCACAAGGGCGGCTCTTCACTTGCCCGATGGTCCCGAGCAGGAAGCTCGAGATCAGAAGTTCAAGGTCTTGTCCTCGGGCGGCTCCAACGACGACAAATGGGGGGACCCGGAGATGCAGAAGTTCCTGTGGAGCTGGGATGCCGAAGCCAAAGCGGAGGAAGCTTGGAAAGGTGAGTGTTCTGTCCTTTCGAAACGATCTCGGGTTGGTTGCATCGCTAACTTGATACCAGATATGAGACGTCAGCCGAGCACACAGAGTCGGCTGTGATCCCCAGGACCAGGCTGAGCTTAGACCAAACTAGTGCTGCATAATTTTGTTGCACCGCATATAGACGTTAGAGATATCGGGGGGTTCTTTTGGCTGACCAAGGTAATCGACAGAATACAGGTATAGTCATTCGGCGGTTTTGGATATAGGGACAAATCTCTTGTCTATAGACATATCCCATATTGCCTCCCTAAACACCTGCTTGTAAGTCGACAGTAGAACTAAAACAAAGCGGAGTTATTCCTGTCGTTTGAGACCCATGCTAGCAAGTCGGGTATAAGGAGACAGGGAATATCTTATCGCTAACCTGCATTGAAAGGCTTCAACTGTCGGTGGCATTGCCTGAATCGGCGTGGGCCTCCTAACCGCCTGTAGAGTGGAATGCATGTTCATGCAGCATTAGCTTGGGGGGACATTTTTCGGGAATGCGAACAGCGAGAGAGACATGTGGCAACCGGACGATCGGAATGCCCAAGACTGAACGAACCAGGCCCCAGCTGGTTGTGTACCTGTGTCGGACGCCCCTGGGCTCTGTGTTGCCCAGCATGCGGGTAAAGTGGCAGTTTCGCAACGACAAGGTGAGGTGTCGGAAGTTCGTATTTTGCGTACCACAGAAATCCCTTCCGATCTTCTGGCGCAGCATCCATCAAATCGACGCTACCTGGAGGTACTTTCTCCCCATGGCCTCGCCGGATCGTCAGTAGCAGCAGCAGCACGGAACCTAAACCATGCGGTCTGGCCACGGGGCTGCATCAACGACCCATCGACCAGGTGGCAATTCGCACGCGCTCAAACTCAGACCGCCAAAGGGCAGCTTGCAACGACGATCCTGGAAACCCACGTTGCTGGCAGATCCAGAATCCCTTTCCAGGCTTTTGTTCGTCCAGATCCTGGGCTCGAGTGTCGTGGTGCCGTCACCTAGCGGCCCCTTAGCATCTGCCGGGAGCCCGCTCCTGGACGGGCGAACCAGCCGGTATAGGTCAAGACGCCCAGCCCGGCTAACGAGTCAACTATCGCCATGCCCAAGACTGGCGTATTTCCGGGGCGAGAATGACTTTGTCCCCAGTGTCCCCTTGAGATGAGAGCCCCATTGCACTCTTCTGCTTGCCTTGGGCAGTGGAGACCCCGCCTCGTCGCCCCACCGATTCTCCCTCGAACGAGCCTGACGGGTACAGAGGAGGCGGAGGAGGAGAAAGAGGAGGACCCTAGCGAGTGGACAACTGGGACTGGAGAGAGGCAAGCTCAAAGAGTGGGAGATGGAGGCAACGGCCTGAACCCAGTCGCTGCTGGCCCCAGAAAAAAAAATATGGCCGGGTGGGCAGATCTGTGCTTCATTTATGAAGTCGATTGATTCCTGCCCTGCCACATGGCCTTCGCTTCCTCTGCTTGCTTCAACCACGTCCCTCTCCCAGTGTCGTCGTTGAAATTCCCGTGGTCAAGCCCAGAATATTCTCCCATCCCCTCCCAAAAAGTCGGAGCCTCTACAGACACCGCCCATCATGACGGGAGACCACGAACACGGCCACCATCCTGCCCATCTGAAGCACAGGTGAGTCACGATTCGCCCTATCCCGACCTGGTGGCCGATTGACACAGACTGACATGCCTTTGTTTTGTTTAGCCATGCTCACGAAGAGGCAATTCCTGGAACCGTCAACTTGCAAGCTCAAGGTGCGCCGCCTCCGCCCATCTACTCGGCACAGCTTTGGCCCTAGCCAAGTGGCTTGAGGCTTTGCGAAAAGCTAATCTATACGATGCTAACACTTCGTATTCAGAGGGCGATGATACCGGCTACGGACAAGCTCTGTTCCCTGTGCCAGCAGACGACCCCAACGACCCGCTACAATGGGGCAACTTCAAGAAGACAATGATTCTGTGCATCTGCGCTGCGTATTCGTTCCTGGGAAACTCGTCGTTGCTCGGTCCCTCGGTCTACATTGGCATTTACGCTGAATCATTCGGGATTGACCCCAATAAGGCTTCAAACCTGATCTCATACCCCAACCTGGCCTATGGCTTTGGCTCTTTGCTTCTGGTCCCCGCCTATCTCAAATTTGGCCGACGACCTGTTATGCTCATCTCCATTATCTTTGTAAGTCGCGGATCCTCCCTGGAGTTCGTTATCCGAACACCATAAACTAACGAAAACCGACCAGTTCGCCGCTGGCCTGATCGGCTGTTCGCAATGCGACTCATACGGCACTTTGATGGCTTGCCGTATAATCCATGCATTTGGCTCTGGAGTATGCGAGGCACTACCCGTGCAGCTAGTCAACGACATCTTTTTCCTGCACGAGCGTGGTCAACGGCTGGGCTACTACACTGTTTGCCTGTGCTTGGGTGCCACTGGACCCTTATACGCCGGCTACATGCTTGCGGGCGGCTATTCGTGGCGGCTGTTCTTCTACGTCGAGTTCGCATTCGCATGCGCTCTGTTCATCCTGGCTTTCTTCTTCGTCGAGGAGACTTGGTATAAGCGCGAGGAGATGAAGAGAATACTCGGAGCCTCCGTTGAGGCTTCTCCGACCGAGAAAGGCGTCGAGGCTGACTTGCACGAGGTCACAAGCCCTGCGCCAGTCAGGAAGTCGTTCGTTTCTACGCTCAAGCCGTGGGGCGTGTACGATCGCGATGTCTCGTTCTTCATGACTGCGGCTCGATCGTTCACATACTACGCCGTACCGTCTGTGTTCTGGGTGGTCTCGACCTATGGTATCTACATTGGTTTGGGGGCTTTGGCATTCAACTACACTTTCCCTGCCAAGATTGTTGCTCCTCCTTACAATTGGAGTCAGGTAAGCTACGACAAACCCTGGTACCCAGAGGAAAATGACCAGAAAGAAGCTGACTGATGGGAAAACATAGACTAATTCCGGCTTGATCGCTGTTGGTAATGCCGTGGGCTACATTCTCGCCATTCCCTTCACCACCTCCTCCGACCGACTAGCCGCGTATCTGACCAAGAAGAACAACGGGATCCGCGAGGCCGAAATGCGTCTGGGCGTCCTCCTCCCGGCCATGCTGATTGGGCCCGCCGGCCTGATCGTCTACGGCTACACGGCGCAGGACAACCTGCACTGGATCGGCTACTTTGCGGGCGTGGCCATGTGCAACTGGTCGGCGTACTTCTACTTCACCTTCACTCTGGCCTACGCGGTCGATAGCTACACGGTCAACCTGTCCGAGATGCTCATCGCCATGAACCTCGGCAAGCAGGCCATCTCGTTCGGCTTCGGCTTCAAGATCCTCGACTGGATCCTCGAGAGCGGCTACGTCACCATCATCGCCGGCGTCTTCTGCGGCGTCCTCATGGCCAACGACCTCATGCTCATCGTCTTCATGCTGTTCGGAAAGAAGATCCGCATCGCCACCAGCAAGACCTGGCTGGCCCAGATGCATCGCCAGACCCATGTCGTGGGAGAATCTCATTAAAGCAAAGAAAACACCAAAACTAAGAGGGTATTGGAAGGGGGAGGGAAAACGAGAACCATTCGAACATCAGCTGCATGCTACAACTACTCTCATGCGGCGCGCCGGGCTCTTTGTGTTCGCCCGATCTTTAGCCTGCTCGCTGTCTTGTCTCCATATTGACATGTCTTCTATACAGGGCATCTTTGTCGAACATTCCCGGCAATGCTTCCTTATTCTGTTGGATGTTATAGCAACGGACCCCAGGACGAGGCCAGTGAATTTGATGTGATTTCCTTGGCTATAATGTGCCGGTCCGGCAGTGAAGAAGGTAGTGTTCACACACTGAGAAATGGGATTTTCTCTTCCATCTTGAAGCTCTACATCTCTTTATCCTCGCTCTTACACACGTTGTGCTTCGATCAAATCCATCAATCATTCACCGTTTCCCACATCCCCTTGGTTCGACCTTTCGTTCATTCATCGTCCCGTTCGTTCTTTGTCCACACCGCGAACATGGGCGTCAACACCTTCACCATGTCTGCGAAATTCGTCCTGGCCCTGTCCTTGTCCTTCCTTGTCCTTTCTTCTCCTCAGGTGTTGGCGTCGGTCTTGGCCAGTGCTGCGTCCAACGTCTGCGCCTGGGACGGTGCGATGCCGGTGCTGTACCACGTGTACGGCACCGACGTGTGCCCGCCCAAGTTTGTGCTCAAGAACGGCGTTGATTGTGAGGATTCTCCCATCGATGCTTACAAATGCGCCAGCTTCTGTCAGATGAAGACCACCTTCTACTATGGGCCAGAGCAACCCTATTCGGCGATGCCCATGTGCACTGGCGGTAAGGAGCTCGCAAAAAGAGCAGTCCCCCTTACCACAAGCCCCGTCGATTGGAGCCCACAAGCTGACGACGCCTGTAATGTGGGCATATAGGAATCTCTTGCACGTTGACCGAGTCCAGGCATGTCGGCTACAATATCAAGGGTAAACTGAACGGCAATTTCAAGAAGGGAGCTATGACACTTGGGTCAGTAATGAGTTCAACCCAGTGCTTCTGGCCATAAGACTGACTTGATTGTTTGTTCTCGGCCCCTTTTAGCATCGCCGGCGGCCTCAATTACAAAAGTGGCCAAAGTGAGAGCTTCAAGTTTACCAAGATCCTCAAGCACAATGAATGTGGATATTTCACCTTCATCCCAATTCAGCGGGACGTCTGTGGAACTTACTCGGAAGGAACTTATCCAGAAAGTGGCCGGCCCTGTATCGACACCACCACAGTCGGCAATGCTTGCGCCGTCGACATGGTGACAGTCGAGGATCATTTTTATTGGTTCAAGCGTGTCATCCGTGGTGTCGCGGTCTTTGTCTATCTCGACTGCGCGACTCTCGAGCCTCTGCCGGACGAGAATCAAGAAGCTCCCTTCAACAAGCCTGGTGTTCGTCTGCCTCGGGGCTTAGCCCTGGCAAATGCTTACAAGAACATGTGGAATGCTTCGCGCTATGGCCCCGTGGCCGCACAGTCCGATACGGCTGTCTGCGACACCGACCAAGTCGCCAATGCGACTGACTGTGCTGAAGTCTTGGCTGATGTCTCTGAACGTGGAGCCGAGATGGTTCCGGCGGGCAGCGCATTCCAGAATAAAGAAGTCACAATTTCGGTGAGTCGTGTTGTGCTCTTTTTGGTCCTTTTTCTTCCTCTGCCTACCTGGAACTTTGCGCCGAGCTTGGTTGATACCACTTCATGTCGCTTTTCTGTGTCCGTCTCAGATGAGGAAAAAGAAGAGATGCTGATCCGAAAATCTGCAGGCCTCAGGCAACTGTGCCCTGTATCTAACCTACGATGAGGATTGGACGCATACCTTTTGTCTGGTCCCCTTGGTGGAAGTCTCGGCCGCAGCGCAGTCCCTCTACGACTCTTGTGGGGACCACAATACTGGCATGGTTGGAGGAAGTCATGTTGTGAGACACGTTGGCAATTGTGGAGCTACGGTCGCTTTTCAGCCGAATCCTGACAATTGAGAAGATCCCATGCCCCGTCGTCGGAGCATGTAGGCATATTGGTCACAACTGTCTCTCTTCAATTGCCGTGAAGGTTGGGTAAGAGCATGGTGATATGGAAAGACAGAAATTTTGTACCGAGTAACGACCACGACTGGCAGATGTGGGTTGAAACAAGTAGGGGAGGGGGCTGGCTATCTTGGGCGCAGTTACCTCAGGCCTTTGGAAGAACACTGCAACCGTCATCATGGCGAGCATAAACACAGCTTGTTCTCAGAGAGCAAGTTCCTCAATCACAGAATGATTTTGCTAGAGAGAACATACCCTTTCGAAACCATGATCTTTCCGCCTCCGTTCACAATTTCCAAGTCGACAAACTGAAGTACGGATCACTAGGCCCGCTCAGGACCCAGCATTCAGCAAGCCTCCCCAGAAAGCTCTCACAGTGCCTAAAATTTGGGCCCGGAAATGCCCCATCCTTTGCCTCGTGTGTGTTAGGGTCCTCGTCTTTTAACTCGGCGGCATCACAAGGTTAAGCGGTTAGCGAGCCCCAAAGGGGGCAGCGCCGGGTGTGCTTTGTGCTTTTCTGGTCCCAGCCCCGGAGATTCTTCTGTGGCCGAGAGATCCACCGAGTTACTGGGGTTGTGGAGGCGGGCTGCGAGGAGGGAGAGTGGAGGAGGGAAGGGGGCGGCAGACTAACGCCGTGGATGGCAACGCCATCTGATTAGAAACTTGATTGCTTGGACTGGGGAGGTTGGGGCAGCTGACCTCTTCCGATCTCCTTTGGATCGCTCTCTCTCTTTCTTGTCCCGAGCTCTTCTCTCGTTGATGGGAGTATCTGGTGCTGTCTTGGATGGCTGAGTGAGAGAACAAGTGAGCCAGGAATGAGTGAAAGACTCGATGAATGACTGCGCCATGCACGGAGTAACTGGCTTCCTCTCGGTGTTTTAGATTCTCCGGGTCCCGGACGCTGCGCTTGAAACCCCAGAAAAATCCCTTGAATCCTTGGATCCATGCATCCTTGAACCCTCCTCCACTCACCATCTTCTTCTTCCTTTTCTTTAATCCCAATTCGCTGGGAGCATTTTCATTCTTGGAGCCTCCCTCCACTTTTCTCGCTGTCAGGGCTTCCACACACAAATCAGCAGCCATAGGCCGTCTATTGCCTCTCCGCACACCCATCTCGCCCATCTGGCCCTTCCCCCTCCTCACCCGTTCTCTCTCTGACGCCTCTCTTCCGGTCTCTAACAAGACGAGTGGCCAAAACAAGACCCCGAGCTTGAAGGGCGAAACATCCAGATCTCCAGGCTATTTTGACTAGTCCTCTGCTCGACCATTACACAGTCTCGACCTCATTACCTTCTGTGCCTTCCCTCCACCGCTCCCACATTCTTTTCCCAATTCAATACCTCTCCCACATCCTCGCACAGGTCCCTCCACATATGCTCAAGTCATGGTCTTGCGACAGTGTACCGTATGTGGCCGCCGTTTCACAAAGACTGAACACTTCAAGCGCCACGAGCGCTCTCGTACGTCAAATTCAGCCTACCCCGCGCTAGCCCTTTACTCATGCATTTCCAGACACGCGTGAACGTCCCTATCCATGTACTATCTGTGACAAGGCTTTCTCTCGCAGGTTCGTGATTCCTTCAATCTGCTATTTGTAGTTCGAGCTGGTACTAACCACACTCTAGCGATGTCTTGTTCCGGCATATGAAATGCCATGCCCAAAAGAACGACAAATCAACTACTGCCAATGCTTCCTCTCGTAGGAACACCATCTCAGAGGGCGTCCCCCCTCAGCCTTCCCAGGATGATTTCAACATCAACTCTCCTGGTGCTTTGGCCAATGGACCTCATACGGGTATTCCCTTGATGCAGATTCTCTCTCCCAGTAACTACCTCTCTCAGACCGGGAATGATCCTTCTCAACCTGCCAGACAATCTTCGCTAGATGTGTCTAACCCTTTTCTTGATTCCTCGTCGAATCCTGGCAATGCTCTTAGCATGCAGCTCCCTGGCTCGGCGTGGACGATGCCCTCCCCCATCACCACCATGAACAACAAGACTTCAAGTTCTTCACACGGTCTGAAACAGTCTCCATCGCAGAACAGCGGTGAAGTGTCGACCTTTGAAACTTCAATCACTAGCCCCCACAACCCTGGACAGACTCCCAGATCCGAGATTGTGCCCAACCAATTTTCGGACAGCCATCTTGAGTGGCTTCCTCAACCGGACAATCCCAGCACCAGCAATTTTCACGATCCTTTCCAGATGTGGTTGTTTCCTTCGCTCGGTGATCTGGATCAATCTCCCGACTTCCTGCAAACCTATGGCATTCCTGACCCTCAGCAGCCGTACCAGGACTCAAAAGATTTGGTGAACGGCAGAGCCTATGACCCTGCGGACAGGACGAAAAATATCGCCAAAGTTCCACGAGAACGCTTCTCTAGGGTTCAGCGATGTTGGAACCCACGTCCAGGCCGTGCCCATCGAATCATGCCAGTTCTCTGGAGGGAAGTCGCATCATCACCAATGGATAATCTATTCTCGGAATCGCCTATCACAGATGACTTTCGGACCGCGTCGAATTGGGGTCTCGACACTGAATGTCGAGTTCGATTGAGAGACACATTCCGCACTCCCGCCCCGTCAGCATATCACTCGCCTAAACTGCAAGCAGTCGTTGATCCAGCTCTCTCCTCACAACAGCCAGCGAACGAAGAATTCCCTCCCGCCGAAATTCTCGACATCGCGCTAGGCCTTTTCTTCCGCCGATTTCACCCTACCGTCCCATTCATCCATATTGCAACGTTTTCTGTTCGGAATACTCCTGCACAAATGCTATTCGCAATATGTCTTGTTGGTTTGAGCATTCTGGGAACCACCGGTGCCACCAGATTCGTATCGAAGATGTTTCCCAGCTTTTTACAACGTGTTTGTAATGATTTATCAGCCTCTGCAGGATGTTCTGCAACACCGACACAACAAATGGTTTTGTTTGCAACGGGGTTACTGACGTTGAACTTGTCTGTTATCACTGGGGATAAAGATTGCTTTAATCAGAGTCAGATGCTTTATGTCAGTCTATTGGCTATGGTCCAGCAAAACGGGTTGTTCGCCGCCGGTGATGGACAATCCCTCGATGCGCTTCTATCCGAAATGTCGGAATCCGACGATCGTTGGAAAGCGTGGAGTCGGATAGAGTCGGCCAAACGTCTGATCCTCGGACTGCTGCTTTGCGATTCGTGGTTCTCAAATTTGTTGTCCAAGGCCCCGATTGTGAGATCGGAGTCGGTCTGCGTCGTGGCGCCTTGCGATGAAGCCCTCTTTCAAGCCAAATCCGCGACTCAATGGCAATCGCTGCTTCGTAGCGGGAAGAGCCAGAGTGCCCCAACGTTCAGGATCGAGGACCTGCACAAGCATGATATGGCACCGATAGGGAAGTTAGGGTACCTGGGGCGTTCATCACTGCTCGCATTACTCCAGATCCAGGTTCTTGAAGCTTATCAACGACTCATGCCTCCGGATCAATTGACCATTGGGTCATACATACCCTGGCACGTCTATGCTGGCGATGCACGCGCGAGCACACTTGTACCAGCGCTGCTTGCGGCCACTCACACCGCGGGCCCACTCTCGAAAGTCGACGACACGAATTGCATTGTTCTCTGGCACAGTCTATGCGTCATGCTCTTGTCAGATTTTAGGATGTTTGAGTTGGCGGCCGGTCGACACGGAGCTGCCCCTGCGACCGGTGCACTCGAGAGCATCTCCCAATGGAGCCAAACTCAAGCGGCGCGCCGGGCGTGCGTACACGCAGCGCAGAACTTCAAACTCATGTCTGAGCGCCGAGTCAGCGACAATGTGACAATCCATAGCGTAACAGCACTGTTCGCCTCCGCACTCGTGTTGGGTCTCTATCTCTTCATGGTCAACCCGAGCTCGGGTCGGCAGGGCACCGCGCCCGTGGAGCTAATGGACGCGGACCCCGACTGGGCCGAGTTGGGCGATATGGGCTTCAAAGATGAGAGTCTGGACCCGACAGCGGCCGAACGAAATCTGACCACGAACCGCGAGGACGAGCACTTCAGTTTGGTGTATCAATTCGTCAAGTACGGTGGCGCCCTGTCCTTGGGCGGAGTGGCACATAGTGGAGGATACGAGGGTGCCAGGAGGGTGTTGTTGGATTTTGCAAACCTGATGGACGGGATCAGCGGCAGGAGGCTGAGGACGTTTACCCAAGTGTTGCATATCATGAGCGACGATTTGATGAATGTGGATCCGGCATTGTAGCCATTTGGACGAGGCTGAGATATGCAAAGGGGGTTAAAACAGACGCTGTGTGTGCTGGACATCCTGAGCCGCCGATTTGATGGGCTCTCCGACGTCCATGCAACGTGCTAGAACCTATCTAGGCGTGTTGAAAATCTTAAATGATACCCTCGAGGGATGAATGTACATGTTGCATGTCTCCTTCAGCACCTTCTTCGTCTTCCCCCTGTCTTTGGTGTTCGTACTCCTTTTCCCACCACCGCCAAGCATCTCCGTCTCCCTGTTCACCACAATGTAGAAGTTCGTTCAGTCACTCGCTGGTATCCTTTCCCCTGCTTGATCGACACAGATATTTCGTCCAGAGTGTAGAGCACCGAGTATATTGGTACATACCTACCCTCCCTCCCTACGGTGTGGCTCCGCTCGGAGAAATTCCTGCGGGGCGGTCCTGGGGCGCGGCGGCACATTACTACCTCCCAGAGGTACGCTTCCACACGGCCATGCAGGTCGTTACGTACATACCGAAGTACAAGCCACAAGTACCTAGGTAGATGCTCGTAGGTACAGGACGTGCGAGTATCTCTCATGCCAAAAGCACCGAGGTGCCGAGGAAGCACGTGCGTATCACCTGGCGGCGCTTACTTGTATGTTTGCCCGTTGCTGTCGAAGCCGTGGAATTGAGACATTTTCTTTTTGGGGGCAAAAGGACTGTTTTTTTGGCTGGCTGTTGAAATTGAAACACCCTTGTTTCAATAATGCGAACAACAACCAAGCAGAAAACTCCCCGTTCGTGTATTCTCTAATTCTATAGATCCCTTCTGCCGTATCTAAGGTTCTAGGTTCTATGTGTATAGATAGGTTCTCTCTAAGGGGGCGTAACCCAGAAACACACACACATACACACAGAGACACATAAACACACATATGATATCCCGACGACAAGTGCCGTCAATCAAAAACTCCGGTCTAATGATGACGACGATGTTGATGACGATGCAAAATCAACTCCCAGCCAAACCCCCCCAAAGACCAACGCCCTTCTGTGCGATCATTTTGTCCTCTTTTTCCGAAAAAATGTCATCAAATCACTTCTGCCCGAGTTTCTTGAGCTGTTCATTGATGCCCTTGAGTTCGCCGAGCCGGACCTCCTCGCCCTGGTGCAGGACGCGGAGGTGCTCCTGCTTCAGGCGGCGGAATTCCTCGTCCAGCCGTTCGTGCCACGGGTAGAGGACGAAGACCTGGAAGCCCAGCGCCGACGTGGCGATGACGAAGTTGGTCAGGGAGACTCCTCGCGTGAATATCATGGTTGATTGTGGGGACCACAAAGCGGTTTTCCTCGTTGGCGGATGGGGAGAAGAGTAGGGAGGTTTGGTTTTGGATGTTTATACTGTTTCGTGGGTGCTTTGGTTAGAGGAGGTGGGAATATCCTTTTGAATGCGTGTGTGCTGGCGATAACGACAACGACTTACTTGGATCCCACGCTGCTTCGGGGGAGGGTTTGGGTAGAGGTAAATCAAGCGGTCAAAAAACTCTTGCGAGCGAGATCACAGGTGACATACACTCAGACGGACAGAAAAGCGATTGGAAATCCTGTGGACGAGCGTGTGAAGGATCGACAGAGTTATCTTCTTCCCCCTTCGAAGGCCTGTTGAACCTCCAGGTGCTGAGGATAAGGACAGTGGGAAAGTGAACTTCGAGAAACGAACAGAGGTGAAGAAAGAGAAGAGAAAACGAAAAATGGCGAAAGACGAGGTCTCGTTCTCGTTTTCTGCTTCGGGGAGTCACGAGACAAGATGCCCAGCCTGACGCTAGATATTGATCGGAGAGAAAGAAAAAAAAAAAGCGCCCAAAGGACTGCAGAACCTTACGAGTCAAGCTCTGGTTTCTTTCCTGCCTCTTCTGCCCGGTGAGGGGAGGTGACCTTGATTCGCCCCAGTGGCAGCGTTATCGGCGGTGGTGAAGGGTGAGAAGTGAGATGCAGTTCTTTCCGCCTGCGGTTTAGCCTTGTCGCGCCATGTGGATGTCGTGCCGAGCGAATTCTGCAGCCTTGCTCCGATCTTCGGCCGTGATTCGGAGTCAAGGCCCTGCCAGCACGTCGACTTGGAGGCAAAACAGGTACCACGAGGTACCTCAGCGCTGTATGAACTGCCCCACGGAACAATCGAGATACCCACCCACGACGACTCCCGCCCTGCGACAGAATAACAATCTCGCGGGAAATGAGGTCCTGTAGGAGGACCACTCCCCAAAAAAAGAGAGGGTTGGATAAACAATATACATCAGAGCCTCCACTTCGAAAGCCTGAGACTGCCTTTCGCCCATTTACTGTGGTGCACAGGAGACAATATCTGTTGAACAAGACGCCTGAAGTTGACAGTCTTCCAACAAGGTCCCCGATGACGCCACTGCCTGAAGCCCCTTCCGGAGTGTTCTAGCCCTGGTCTATTCCAAGGACTAAGCCTTGGGTGTCACCATCTCTGGGCGAGTTCGTGCTAGCCATGGAGGACATTCCCGGTGGCGGCGACATTTGCCGCTGCGCCTCATTGAGAGAGAGAGAGAGAGCACCGTACAATTACACAATATAGCAACATTCCCAGTGTTCCAGAATGCTGAGACCGTTCCCTGCCAGTGTCCCAGTATGTTGCTGAAGGCCGAATCCCGATGGCTGAGGCGAACGATCCGAATGAGTGGGATGCAACAGTTGTCCACCTTCGACTCCTCCGACACCCCCACGTGCCGCGTCGGATCAACATTGTTTCAATCCTTCCCACGGAGAACAGGCGGTAGACTTCGTGGGCAATCACACTAGCGATGAGGGTCCATATCTTCTCGCGTTTCGTCTCAGCCTTGCCGAGACTCCGAGGCATCTTCCGATCGGATGTCGACCCTGAAAGTGCCCATGGATGTGGTGACGCCTCGAACAAAACTCCTCTTCTAGATGGTGACCAGCAAGTTCTCAGAGAATGAACGAGAATTCAAAGCAAACAGCCCAACTCGTTGATGCAGTCATTCTGGTTCATGGTATTCATCAATCCTCCGCAGCTGCGGGGGTTCTTCACAATCTATATAAAACACCCGTCGGGTCATCGTCACAGGTCAAAGTCATCATTCCAACCCAATTTATCGTAAATATCACCCTCCTCAGCATCCTCCGTGCGCACGTCCTTCTGCTCAACAGACCATCGTCCAGGCGTCTTCGTCAAACCATCAGTGCTTTGCGACCACTGAAAGCTGTCGTCCATCATGCCGCGCCCCTTGCCGCCCATGACTCGATCCATCATGCGTCCGGCCTGCTCAGGAATCTCTGGTGCGTCCCGGAATACATGGTCCAGCGGCACTTCAGACCTTTTCACCGGCGTGAACAGAACTGGCCGGCGCGACCGAGTCATGTGCAAGTTTTGCCCGCTGTCGATCTCGTCAAAACGACCAATCTGCCCTGGTGACCCGGAAGGAGCATCGAGGTCAGACAAAAGCACGCTTTCCCTACCTAGATTTGTTCCTTTAGATGCTGGGGTCGCTGCGATCGTGAATCCGTCGACCACGTTCGCTGAAGGGGGACAAAGCCCAGGCAAGTTCAGCGGATTTGAGGTTTTCTTTTCAGTCCCGCGTGATGGCGTCTCATGGATGGCTGCAAGGACTGCTCGTTTTGTGGCTGACGACCTTGTGGTGCTGTTTGAGCTCGGTATTCCAAGACGTACAGGCCGAGGCTTGATCGTTGACGAAGGAATTACCGTCGCCGGATCTTGTCCCTGAACCGTCAATTTTGGCGGTTGCGGCAACTCTGGCTCCTGCATGGACTCTTTGATCCTCCTCGCCCTGGGGGTTGCAGATATCTGGACTGCTGCTCTTCTCTCCTTGTCCTTACTCTTCCTGTCCTCTACCTCGTCCATGAACAGACCCGCCACGGTCCTGCGATCAGGCTTCTTAAGCGCATCAATCGCGGCCTCCAATTCCTTCTTTTGCTGAGCCAACCGGTCAAGCTTGCGCCGTTTCAGCTCATGTGCTTTTTGATCTGCAGCAAGGTCGATTTCGCGATTGCTGAAAGAGAGCGACTTTGATAGATTGCCCCCGCGAGAGACCGGCCTCTCCGAGGGTTCGCGCTTTAGAGCTGGAATTATAGGGTTATGCGTCATGGAGGCTACTACGGATGAACCGCGGGACAAGGTAGTTGGCGGAGAGGTGTGGCGATTGAGTTGGTGGTCCTCACTGAGAACCCTTTCGAGAGTCCGTTTGGCCAGCGGCCGCGCTGGTTTGGACTTCATGAGTGATGATACTGAGGACGACTTATGCAGAGTCACTGCAGGTGCTGGATGAGGTTCTTTGGATCGCTTGGGCGAAATTTCGGGTCCGCCGAGCTTACGGGATACTGATTTGATTTGCTCGGGAAGTTTGGTCGAGTAGAACGGGAGGAGGACGTTCTTGCAGAAGTCCTTGAGGGCGTCATTAGGTTTCGAAGAGGCGGTGGTGCTGCCATTGTTCTGGCTTCTGTCATCTGCTGCAGCGAGGTCGTCAAGGCTGACAGTGTGCCAGATACATAGACGGTCGACAATGGTATCGATCTCACTCGACCAGTTGCGCCGCTTCTTCTCCTTTGGTGGCCTTTTTGGAGTTGTGGCCAAAATCTCGTTGTTGTCGTCCTCGATCGACTCGACTTTGACGTCTGGATCCGTTGCCTGCACTGGCTTCGCAATCTCAGAGAGCCGTGACCCTGCGAGTTCGAGCAACATGGCCTCTAAAATTAGAAGCATTTGCATCTCACTTTCTCGCATACGCAAGTCTGCGAATTCTTTCCGCATCTCCTCGGCTTGTTTAGCCGCTGTATGGCTCATCGCCTTCAAATCTCTGCCACGCCACCACTTCGCAACGAAGTCCTCCTCATCGGGCCATAGACAATCCTTACCCAGCTTCGCTTTCTTCTTCCGAGACCTTTTCTTCTTTTGAGTTGCGTCTTGTCCAATGAAATCTTCTCCTTCCTGCTCGAGGGCCCTTGATGGCAGTTCTTTGATGATTTTCGCCAAAGATTCCTTGTATTTGAGATCAATTTTCTTTGTAGGCAATATACTTTGCTCATAAAATTCGGAGAGTTCGGATATTGCTTTTGCAGGATCTCCCCCTGACCGCACATGTGCTCGCGCCCGACTCAGTGGTCCTTTGACGTAAAATGCCAGGGAGGTTTTAGAAGTATACAGGTGCTCAAAATACTGTGTGCGGAGTCGCTCGTGCCCCGTAGGGTCCATGTCAGTATAAGGGTTTTGAGATGTAGGAAGAGGCGCGGGTACAGAAGGAAGAGCCTCATTTAGTGGAACAGTGTTGTCGACTGGGTTTCGCAAGCCCATCTCCGCGCTGTGGCTGACTGTTATGGGTCTATCCGACACAAAGGAGGATGGAATAGATGGTGATTGTATAATGGCGTCGGGGATGGTGATCTGAACCATATCCTGACCAGCCAGATCATCCAAAGAAGCCGTAGTCATCGGCTGAAGGAGGCCAGGAGAGCTCGATGAAGCGACGGAGCCGTGCACGACGGCGCGCTCCTTGGTCTTCAAGATTGACATCCTGGCTAAGGCACCGCGTCGATTTGTTGGTTTCTTGGGACTCTTCGGAGTGGGCAACGCTGTCAAACTCGAGAATGATCCTGTTCTTGTATGACAAATGCGAGGACCGCCATCTCCCTCTCCCCGTAGTAATTCCTCAACTTTGACCTCTGCTACCTTTCCAATTGCGGCATCATGGCACCATGGTTCCAAAACCAAGTTGTGCAACGCACATGCAACATAGACATCTTGGCCAATCCGCTCAACGGCATAGAGACCGCCATTGGGGATTTGACGCACGAGCAGGATGCGTTGTTCCCATTCTTCCACAGAGAGAATGGCCGCTTCAAAGATCATGCCGCAAGCACCACTGGAGGTGTTGAGCCATGCTAACGGGAGACATGCTCGAGCGACAAGCGTTACCGGCGCGAATTTGAGCGTTGCATGCTTCGGAGAGAGTAGCTTCGCAGCGAAGACATCTGATTGCGAGCCATTATTGTCGGGCTCAATATCGTTGCTTTTCCTCTTCCTGCTGTGGATGAGGTTGGAGGAGTCCAACGCGACGTTCAAACTGCTGTCAGCAGCTGGAACGAGTATTGGTCGTTGGAGATCCGAAGGGGATGATGATTGCATATCGTGCCATTACGAAGGTAAGAATATTTGTCAACGTCGAACAAATCACGAAGAAAGTGGCCTCCTGGTCGGAAAAGGGTACGCGGTGAGAAATGGAGACTTTACGTCACGCGTCGAAGATGGGGCTGAAATGCAGCCTTGCCAACGCAGCCTCGCGGTCCAACATGCACGCATGGATGACAGCGATAGCAGATTACACCGCACCTGGGCCGAGTTACATCCCAGTTACCTACCCTCTAGGAAATATCTTCACTGGACAGAGCTTGTAAACCATGTAATAATTCTATCCACGACTCACGGCTGATTCGCAGCCGCCCTTATGAGCTTTATCGCTTAGTTGATGCTTCTCAAACTGAGAACAGAACTCTCTACACAATGACTATACATTCCATAGCCATCGTTATGGGGCCACGGATTTATTGAACACCAGTAACGCCAAAAGCTGCAACATCGCTCCTCATCCGAGAACAACAGCCAGAACCACAATCAACAGGACTACGGCTAAGATGACTAACAAGCAACAAGCCTTGTTTCTGGCCGATTTCTGGTACCGGCTTGCGCTTCGTAGTTCTGTGTCGGCCCCCCGAGTGTCGGTCAATGTATTCTCGACGTTGATATCGATGGCATCAATCATGTCGCCTTGGTCTCGAACCAGATGGGCGACATCTCGGAATAGCTCGTTCAATTCGCCAACCGATTGTTCGATCTGTCGGATCTCTCCTTCTCGTTCGATAATTAAATTCTCTTGGAAATCGACCTCGCTTTGTTCTGCGAGCCGAGGTTCTTCGAGCAACTGGCGTTGTTGACCACCCTCTGCTGATGGCGATTGGCCTGACTGGGCTTCCTCAAGTGCAGCTTTCGACGCTCGTTCCCTCTCTATGGCCCTTCTCTGGACCACTTGGAATTCGGACAGGGCGGAGGCAAACTCTCGTGAGAGTTTCTGATTTGTGTATCGTTGTGCAGGCTAACTGCGGTGTCAGTGTGTTTGTGGCATTAGCGAAGTAAAGCTACTGACATTCAAATCTGGCCATGTTTGCGCCCTCTTGACCCCATCTCCCACCTCTTTGAATCCCTCTCGGGTCTCCTCCAGCAAATCATGTATCCTCTCTCGACCTCTCTCGGTATCCTTTTTGGAGAGTTGATTGGAGAGCCGCGAAATATTTGAGGTCAGTTCGAAGAGTCGGGTAGAAAGCGACTCGGTGAACTTTTGAAACTCTGGATCATCTCTGTATTGCGGGTCATCCTGCCTTCGGGTGGTGGTAGGTTGCGACTCAAGTGACGATAGTCTGTCGAACGACATGGCGTTCTTCGTGGGCTAGTTGTCCCCGGGTTGTCGTCGCACTGGCCACAGGACTCACCCGAATATATGTAGAGCACGGCTGAGGGTGAATGAACTGATCACTGTGAGTGAATGGTGGAAGCCTGCAGAGCGGGAAGGAAAGCACTTGAAATGCGGCACTTGCGAAACCAGCCTCCTCCGCATCACGTGGACTGGCGTCATTCCCCGAAAACACGTTGCCTGCTGCATAATTTTGTTTACATGTTAACGACAATTTTGAAATCCGTTAGGAACTGCGCTTTCGCTCCAACTTCATTGGGCCTCACCTGTCCAGAATCCGCGATTTCGTTACCCGCAGCGCTCGCTGGTCGAAAACTGCTTTGCTATATCATGACAACATCTTTCTAGTGGTCTGCCGACAACAATGGCGAGTCCCGCTGCCGGCTCCTTGAGCCCTCCCCCTCGACCCTACCGACGGTTCCTGACCTCCGCCCTCCATAAACGATTTGTGCATGCTGCATTGATCTCACTCCTCGTCGCCCTCAATAATGCTTTTTGGCTCGGTTCGAAGAAAGACATAATCTGGTCATGGTTCCCTTTCGGACCTGCTGGAATCAAGGCGTTGCTGTTTTTCATGTCCAGCCTATTCGTCTTCATCCTCCAGATAGCCACCCTCAACATCGGCAGACAGACGGCATTTTCCCCTTTTGCGGCATTCAGAACCAACTTCCTTAGTGTATCAGCTGTGCAGACGTTGTTCTGGTACTTGGTCTCGGGATGGTGGTTCACTGAAGCTTACATTTGGTCCTCCCCAGAACTTGGCTGGATCACAAGGGGGAACCACAACACTCCCGACGTTCTGAATGAGAGACCTATATTCTTCCGTCTTTACGCCTTACTTCTCGCAATCGCATATGCAGGGTTCCATCTATATCGAGGAAACTCAACACTCATCATCCCCGTCTCGAAACTACCAAGCACACCGAACCCGGATATCAAAGCACAGGAAACCCACCCGGTCGAGCCTATTCAGACACGACTACAACGCAAGTTGCTGCCTTTACTCATGGAAAGTACCCTCATACCAGCAGCCGTGATCGTCGCGGCCCCTTTCATTTACGGCATCTTCCTACGAAATATCTTCTGGCAGCTACATCTTGCCATGGCAAAACCGTTCTTCAACCTATCAAGAGCAAACGCCCGACCGGTAGGGTATCCTCCTCTACGGCCTTTGTATCTTCTCCGATGCTTCGGTGCCGGATTTCTTCTCATTCTAACATGGGATCTAACCTCGATCCTCTTTTTGATTTACCTCAATCAGCAACCTACAAAGTCTGGGTTGCCACTTTCCGCTTCAAGCAAAGATCCCAACGGAACACTTCTCAACGGGTTAAAAGCCAAACGAGATGTCGTGAGAACTTTTGCCTTTTGGGAGCTAGCTATCATTGCCTCCAAACATAAGGAACGAAGGAAGGCTATTTTTGAAGATATTGAAAGACCCACTGGGCCAATGTGGAGCCAAATGGTACAAGCTGGTTTGAAAATCTTGCAAGAAGTGCAAACTCGCATTGTTGGACCTCCACCAGCAGCGCCACAGCCTAGCGTTGCGGACCACATCAAATCCCTACCGCGCATTGTCCCCGAAGTACCGACTCAATCGATCTTCCAAGCAAGCCCGAAACCAGGCGTGGGTGAGAGGCTGCTGGCGAGTCCGCTGCGACAAATTGGCAGTAGTCAACAGCCCTGGCACCCGCCTATCGAGCAGACGGCCAAATCGGTCGAAACAAAATTGCTCGAGTACGCGAAGCCGCCAGGTACAACTCAAACACCAACCAAAAGTCTTGCAGAGCAATGGATGACTGCTCTAAAGCAAAGTCGTGTCGGCTGGTTCTTCGCCCCTACAAATGCCGCCAGAATCAACGCCGTGGTGCTCGGGTCCCCCTATGGGAACGCGGCATTGATTGTTGATGTAATTGAGTCGGTAACCAAAATTCAGGTTGCTAGTCTCACTGAAGATACCTACGGCAAAGCTACTCCAACGGTGCCGGACACTGTTAGAACATTTACCAAAACCTTGAACATAATCGAGGACCATGTATCAAAACACAAGCAAGGTGTCACAGGTGAAATCGAAGAAGTTGAGATCATCATCGCAAGATTAAGGGCCGGGCTGAAGGAGTTGTTGTCTGCTTTTCAGGTATACTTGATTGATCAAGGCTTGGGTATCGCCGACCTCAATCAGGCAAAAAGGGCGGTCCAGGCACCAGGGCCCGACGAAGTGCAGGAAAAGCCCAAGGCCAAGGCCGTCGAGCAGCCAACGCAGAGGCGGCTCTTCCAGAAAGACGCGCAGAAAAAAGGTACAAAGGACAGGCAGCGGATATCAGAGGATCAGATCCCGAGATTAGAGCCTTCGGAATGGTCTGGATCCAATCCTCCAAATGGCCGTCTGTTCCAGAGAAGAGAAATGGAACAAGCCAGGTAGCACCAGAAAATCGAGTTAGATCAAGGACTTATTATCCACGGCGCTTGGTTTCATGAAGCCACGGGCTCCCTGGAAATCCAACCCTTCACTTCGGGCGCCTCTCTTTTTCTCTGACTTTCCTGCTGGCTATCCCAGAACACACCTTCTGCTCCAGGAGGTCTTCCTTGCCCGTCTCTATCGTACGTACTCTCTTCAACCTGGCCCTCCATTTCACCCTTTTTGGCCACCTCCCAGACGTCCTCTCTGGCTCTTTCGCAGGCCTGGCAGATTTCCTTCATGTTTTCGTCGACTTGTCTCGCTTGCTCTCGCATCCCCCGTCTGAAGAGACCCGCGAGAAGGCGACCAACTTCGTCATGGAGACCATTGACGCGGTCGATCAGTCTCCCCACACTGGCAACGAGGTATTCCTCCTCGTACACCGACCCCTTTTTGCCGCGGGCACGCTTGCGTTCTTCGCGACGTTTCGTCTTTGACGTCTTCCTGGACACGTTGGAAGCCACTGTGCCACCAAACTTGCTAGCGTTGCTGCCGTAGCGGGTGAAGAGGCTCTGGCCACCCAAGGTGCTGGCGTCCGTGGGTGCGAGGGAAACGTTGTCCGGGATGTCTCCTGCCGCGCCGTCCGCAGCGCTGGTGGGATCACCGCCAAAGAAAGCCAACGGATCCTCCTCCTTCTTCTTCCGGAGCTCGACGATGCGCGGGACCTGTGCGTTCAGTTGCGCGCGACAGTCTGCGAGAAGTTCGAGGATCTCGCCAACTTTCTCGCCCAGCCCTGCGTCTATGATCTGGTGGATCTCTGAGATGGGGTGGTTGTCGTGGGCGAGAATGCGCATTGCTTCCGCAAAATAAGATCCCCGGCACAGAAGCTTTGCTGCCTCGGGAATGCTGGAAAGATAGTCAACGTGGATCGTCGCCGCTGCTCGGAAATCGCGATTTTCATCCGTCAGCGTTGTTGCCAGGCTCTGAGCGAGCGATTTGAGTTGCGTAGCCGCCAAAGGAACGAGGGTAGCGCAGGCCAATGCCTCTTGCCACTTGTGTGCCAGTGCATACAGCTTGTACGCAGCATCGTAATCGCCCAGGGACTCGTACAGTGTAGCAGCTTGCGCGTGCTGAGATTTTTGAGCCGTCAGATATTCAGCGTACATGCGGGTTATTTCCGTGAGATGAACTTGATCATACTTGTAAAGCTCCATTGCCGTGGTGTACAGGGAATGTTTGACCGTGTAGGAAGCAGCTTGCTCGTGCTCTCCCATCGCATGTAACGAACCCAGTGCTTTGCTGTGTTTCTTGAGGTGGTCGTCAATTGCATACTTCCGCTTCAGTTCCGGCATATCCTGGAGAGATTGCAGGTAGGGCATGTATTCTCTTGGATCTCTCGAACTGTCATTCTGCGCGACGAGAAGTGCCAAGCCGAGATTGTAGAGCGAGAGAGCAGCGTCGAACAGGAGGGATGGGTTGGGCGTGAGGAAGAAGAGGTGAGAGATTGCAGTGTCCGCCTCTTCTTTGGAAGTTTGGAGAAGGGTCGAGACCAGCGTCAGGGCAGAGAATAAATCCGGAGGACGCTTGCACACATGGGCTGTTATGATGGTTTGCAAGTAAGACGAAGATTTCGAAGCCAGGCTGGAGAGGAACGCGTCGGCAATCTTGTTGATTTTGCTCCCCGGAACAACGTTGGGTGGTTTTAGATTGGAGGCAGAGGGTGGCTCAGGCTCAGGTTGGGACTGCAATGTTGTGTCCCGGTAGAGCGTCTGCGTGACATCCTCGTCCTTGAGCTTCGAGAGAAAGCCATCTACGCGGCTGGGTTTTCTAAGTTGATCGATGAATTTGGGCACGTTGGACAGGAATGTGTCTGGGTCATAGTCGTGTAGGATGTTCATATCGACCTGGTGGGTTTGACAAGCCAGAAAAGCAGCAAGATAGTCCTGTTGTTTAAGGTGCTTGCGGATTCCAGAAAGAACTAGCAGGCGAGGGTAGATCGTCTCGAGGTTCCCGCGTGGCATCTGGAGAACAACGGCGTAGATGGATGGGACAACCGTCACGATGCGTGCGCCTCTTTCGATGTTTCTGCAGCGTTCGTCGATCTCTGGCGTGTCTTTGGGTAGTTGCATGGCTGAGGGATGGGTAAGATGGACGAATTTTAAGAGATGTGAGGATGTTGTGAAGATAAGGTGTGTGCAGGTCAACATGTAGGACGTGACTTCGCGGATAAGAAGCATGTCGTTGACGTACAGGTTTCCCTTGAGCGATAAAGAGACTTTATGGTAGTTTGGGGCGTGGCCGTTCGTCTCACCGTTGCTCTGATCATATCCCGTGTAGCGAAGCGTTAAGACGGAGCTGTTGGGCTGACTACCACTTAGTTTGATGGATTCCAGACCCCTCGATCCCGTATAGTCTGAGAGCTGGACTGTTGCATTCTCAGTCGGATCGGTCGCGAAGAGAGACTCAGAGAACACGTCGGTCATCAGGCTCTCAGAACGTTCAGGCACAAGAACTTGTTCCCAAGATATGCTCGAACCCTCGTGCCACATTGACTTCCAACAAGACGCTGCCCTCGTTGCTTGCATTGGCGCGATGAGAAATATCTCGTCGTTCCTGAAGGCGATCTGAGTATAGTGGAGAGGCTCCGGTCCTGTCTGAAATGTCGGAAGTTGATGGGCACGCCGCTCGACTGTCGTCGTAAATACCAGGTCGCCTTTACCGTTTGCACGAGTCTTCCATTCACACAGTTCCACCGTTCCTGTCGTTAGGACTGCAACTCTTCGGCCATCTTGACCGACGGCGCAGTCAATGATATTGTGGTCGAAAACGGCCTCGCAGAAAGCCATTGGTGGCGGCACACCGGCTTGCTTGAAGGGTGTGAGTTTCAGTGTTCTGCCATCGACGACAGCGACGATGCCATAGTCGTGTGGAGGGACTATGCTACCTGCTGACACCGCAGAAAGGAAGGTGAGGTCCAAGAGCTTTTTGGTGTTACCCAAGGACGCTCTCAGAGGTGCTTCGGGATGCCACCTCAGTGGCCAGTTGGAGGGCGATGAATGAAACAGGACTTCTTGCTTCAGATAGTAGTGATAATTCCCCATCGTCCAAAATTGCACCCTATCCTTGAAGGCGACGGCCAGGACTGTAGAGTCTGTGTTCCAGAAAAGGGAAATGCTAGACGCCCACTCATCCATTTCTTCTTTAGTCGTTCTAAGATCAAACTGGCCATGACGGAGACCATTTCTCTCGAAGAAGACGACCTCCAACTTGTTCTCAGCTCGCCTGGCACTAGCAATGAGATTCCCTGAGGGCTTCCAGCTCAAGGCAGACTCCAAACCGTCGACCGGCTCACTAGCACTGTCCAGGGCAGCCTCACGCGTGAAAACCCGGATGACTCGGCGTTGACCAGGCACCACGCTGCTTATGGCAAGGTATTGCCCGTCTCCTCGCCAACTGACCGTAACTTTGTTATCCTCGAAACGGCTCAATCTGCCCTCATCAACCTTTTCTGGCACTGTAGGATCTCGCATAGCTTTTGCGCGTCGGCCTTGAAACTGAGTCTCCTTGTGGCCCCAGCCAACCGAGACATGTTTGGAAACTTTGAGATCTTCTGGAGATAGAGTACCTTCATTGAGCGGTTCGAAAGTCCTGCTCATCAGTACGAGCGTGTCTGCACAGGTGACAATGGCTAGTAGTTCTTCATCTGGGGCCCAAGCGGCAGCACAGATTCCGACGTCGACGGTGCCGACAATTTCGATCTTTTCTTGTTCCGGACTCGGATCGTCGCGCACAACCACAACATCTCCGCCGGCCAAGACAATGCAAGATGTTGCAGTGTCTGGGAAATATTGAAGCAGCAGAATTTCATCACATTCTAGGTGTGGGAGCGGGCATGGCGAGTCCCATGAAGTGATGGTCACGAACTCGCCTTGACCGGACGAGGTCTCAACTCTTCTTTTCAGTTCGATAATGGGCTGCGTAGGAGTTGGGCCAAATGCACAAATTATTGCATTCATCGAGGTGTCCCATGCTGTGGCTGTTAACGGCAGACCATCCGGTAGCCGGGACTCACGATATGCTATTGTCCTCAGATTTCGCATGGTGACAGTCAGTGAGTCGGCATTACATTGCACTGCCTAATCGTGGACGGGAAAGTTGAAGGTCTGTAGGAAAATAGGTATTTTGGAGAATAAAATTTACTGCAAGGTTACGCGCATTCTGATTGGACAGCATTCTGGTGCTCCCTGGGTATGATGGACGGGGCAAACCAACAGCAAAGGCCATAAGACATCTTCGCAATGAGCAATTGGAGAGATTGAGAAGCAATAGACATCCATAGTGGCTGAAGGGATTTTATTTCTGGCTCTGTACAAATTCCAGTTGCGAGGGTGCCATTCCCGCACTGGTTCCTCACGCGATTTGACATTCCATGGCAGACTCCAAACTCTCCGGATCTCTTAAGCCTTGTATGTGTGCCAGACTGTCTGTGTGTCAGTATATCTCTTAGGAAACATTCTGCGTCCAACGCTTACCGGCCAAGCCGAAAGGAATGGCGAATCCGGTGACTGTACTCTCCATTTAGTCTTGTACGCCTCCCAAGTCGAAAGGAGCCTTACACATGAACCCCCAGTATCGCAGCCAGAAGAATCTTGTCTTTGTGTTGAAAGGCAAATTGGTGTAAGGTCCTTCAGGGTAATGATAAGGGCTGAAGTTGTCTGCTCGACGGACAGTGGAGGAGAAGCCGCGGCGGGCGACAAGTTGGGTCGCCATTCTGGCGCGGAGGATAGCTTGGGCGTTCATCTAGAGGCTGCATCAGTACACTACCGAGACCAAATGTGTTAGCCATACCGTTATCTCTCGCTCGCTCCAGAAATGGTGGTGGTGGAAGAGATGTACAAAGTAAGGTGATGTCGGCCCTCAATTGATCGAAGCTGCTCCTTAGCTCTCCACTGGACTTGGCAAGGCTTTCGGCGCACCTTCCATTTACAGACTTTCACATAATTTCTTTCGTCGCCTTTCCGCTACACTGATTTTCACAGCCGACTGTCGCGACACTCTCCCTACGTGAAGAGCACAGCCTTCAACCCTCCCTGAAAATGGATGAGCTCTTCGAAGTTTTCGAAGAAAATGGCCAGGCGCCACCAGCGACATCGCTCACTAAAGCGCAAAGAAAGCGGTTGAAGCGACAGGCCAATGGCGAAGTGAAGGATGGTCCCGACGGCGAAGAAGCGACTGCTCCCTCTAGTGACAGGAGTGCCTCGGTTTCGGAAGATGCTGATAAGGAGATGGTGGATGCAGACGCTCCAGATGTCAAACGAATGCGTATGGAAGACGAACCCGAACCGGTCGTGACCGATACCTTCGAGACCGAACAATCTAGAGAAGTCGCTGCATCGGCTGGCTTGCTACCAGGCAAGGAAGAAGAGAAGGTTATCTTGTCACACCAAGTTCGTCACCAAGTTGCTTTGCCGCCAGACTATGACTACGTACCCATCTCAGAGCACAAACCACCTGCAGAACCTGCTCGGACCTGGAAGTTCCAGCTCGATCCATTTCAACAAGTCTCTATTGCCTCGATTGAACGAAATGAGAGCGTCCTCGTCTCCGCTCATACCAGTGCAGGCAAGACTGTCGTGGCCGAATATGCAATTGCTCAGTGCCTCAAAAACAACCAGCGAGTCATTTACACCAGTCCCATCAAGGCGCTCAGCAACCAGAAATATCGTGAGTTCCAAGCCGACTTCGGTGATGTTGGTCTCATGACTGGAGATGTCACCATCAACCCTACAGCCACCTGCCTAGTCATGACTACCGAAATTTTGCGCTCAATGCTTTATCGCGGGTCCGAGATCATGCGCGAAGTGGGCTGGGTGATTTTCGACGAGATTCACTACCTGCGAGACAAAGTCCGAGGCGTTGTGTGGGAAGAGACAATCATTCTACTTCCTGACAAAGTGCGCTATGTTTTCCTGTCAGCCACCATCCCCAACGCAATGCAGTTCGCTGAGTGGATCACCAAGACCCATAACCAACCCTGTCACGTTGTCTACACAGACTTCAGACCGACCCCTTTGCAACACTACTTCTTTCCCGCCGGCGCGGACGGGATTCACTTGATTGTGGACGAAAAGGGTGTGTTCAGAGAAGAGAACTTCCAGAAAGCCATGAGTTCGATTGCCAACAAACAAGGTGACGATCCTGCAAATGCCTTGGCCCGTAGGAAGGGCAAAGGAAGGGACAAGAAGTTGAATAAAGGAGGCACTAAGGGTCCCTCTGATATCTACAAGATTGTCCGGATGATCATGACCAAGAATTACAACCCAGTCATCGTATTCAGCTTCAGCAAGAGAGATTGCGAGGCTTACGCCATTCAAATGAGCAGCATGTCCTTCAATGAAGAGTCGGAGAAGGCCATGGTCTCGAAAGTTTTTGACAGCGCCTTGGAAATGCTTTCGCCAGAGGACAAGAATTTGCCGCAAATCCAACACTTATTGCCCTTGCTGAGGCGAGGTATCGGTATCCATCACTCCGGCTTGTTGCCAATTCTCAAGGAGACCATCGAAATTCTGTTCCAGGAAGGATTGATCAAGGTTCTGTTCGCAACCGAGACATTCTCCATCGGGCTCAACATGCCGGCTAAGACTGTCGTCTTTACCAGCGTGCGCAAATTTGACGGTATCTCACAACGATGGATAACGCCTTCTGAATTTATCCAAATGTCTGGTCGTGCTGGGCGTCGTGGACTTGACGAACGAGGTATTGTTATCATGATGATCGACCAGCAGATGGAACCAGGCGTTGCTAAGGACATCGTTCGTGGCGAGCAGGATAAGCTGAACTCCGCCTTTTACCTTGGTTACAATATGATTCTAAATCTGCTTCGGGTCGAAGGTATCTCCCCCGAGTTTATGCTTGAGAGATGCTTCCATCAGTTCCAAAACACTGCCAGCGTGTCTGGCCTCGAGAAAGAACTGCAGCAACTGGAAGCAGAAAAGTCGGCAATGGTTATTGAAGACGAAAGCTCAATCCGAGCCTACTACGAGCTCAGGAAACAACTTGATGTCTATGCCGAAGACATGCGTATGGTGATTATCCATCCCAACTACTGTCTGCCCTTCATGCAGCCGGGTCGTCTGGTGGAGATAAAGGATGGAGAGCATGATTTTGGCTGGGGAGCAGTCCTGAACTTTACAAAGAGAAGCCAAAGCAAATCGGGTGAAAAGTTGACACCTCAGGAGGAGTGGATTCTTGACATTGCTCTGGAGGTTGCTGAGGGACCTGCCCCAGCAACAAAGACTTTCCAGTCTCTCCCGCAAGGAATCCGTCCTCCTGAACCTGGTGAGAAGTCCAAAGTCGAAGTCGTCCCGGTCTCACTCAAATGCGTCCAAAAGATCTCTCATATTCGCATATTCCCCCCTGCCGACATGACAATCTCGGAGGAGAAAAAGAAAGTGCAGCAGGCATTGGCAGAAGTGAAGAGACGATTCCCTGACGGTCTGGCTGTGCTGGATCCGATTGAGAATATGAAGATTACAGATAACTCGTTCAAGGATCTACTTCGCAAAATCGAGATTATGGAGTCTAGGCTGGTCGCCAACCCACTACACCACTCTCCTCGCCTAGAGGGTCTTTACAACCAGTACGCGGCAAAGGTGATGCTTACCAACAAGATCCGAAATCTAAAGAAGCAAATCCAAGACGCACATGCAATCATGCAACTGGAAGAGTTGAAGTGCCGGAAGCGAGTCCTTCGCCGATTGCAGTTTATCAACGAGGATGAAGTGGTCCAACTCAAGGCTCGTGTTGCATGTGAGATCAGCACTGGCGATGAATTGATGCTTAGTGAGCTTCTCTTCAACCGATTCTTCAACGACTTGACGCCAGAGCAATGTGCAGCAGTCATGAGTTGTTTTGTCTTTGAAGAAAAGGTCAATGAGGCCCCTAACCTAAGCGAGGACCTTGCGAGGCCTTTGCGTGAGATACAGAGACAGGCCAGACACATTGCCAAGGTGTCGGTGGAGTCGAAGTTGGCCGTGAACGAGGAAGAGTACGTCCTAGGGTTCAAATGGCAGCTTATGCCAGTAATCTATGCGTGGGCAACTGGGAAATCTTTCGGCGAGATTTGGTAGGTTGCGGAAAGGCCGCTGGGAGTGGCAAATGCTGACTGTGAACACAGCAAAATGACCGATGTGTACGAAGGCAGCTTGATCCGTACTTTTCGCCGACTCGAAGAAGCACTGCGTCAAATGGCAGAAGCCTCGAAGGTCATGGGGAGTGAAGAATTGGAGAAGAAGTTCGAGGAGGCGTTGAACAAGGTAAGGCGAGATATCGTGGCAGCTCAGTCACTGTATCTCTAGACTTGACAACACAGGTGACGAGCGGACGATCGATGCCTGTCCTTCCAACCCAGCCAATGTCTGTGGGAAAAAAGTTTTTGTGATTGCATGATACCCACGGCTCTGTTCGATAGTAGACATGCATAGGTTCATGGCGCTTGATATGGGGAACCAGGTGTGATGCTGTTGCCTGAGACCACGTTGATGCCAGAAGACCGTGTGCGTTCATCGAATTTCTTGCTTGTGACACGAACCATAGTTACGGAGGAGCTCTACGTAGCTTTCCCTTGCCCTGTTCTTGAGACAATTTAATTGGATTCGAGCTGCGAACTGTGACCTGGCGTGTCCCGCTGGGTGATTGTAGAGGGACTGCACGTGTCCGCAAGCCATTCCTTTGTGCCATTCGCTCCACGGCCTCGTATTTTCATTGTCCTCGTTACTCCTTCTGCAAGTCGATGGAAGAAAAGTTAACCACCCGCATTGCATGAGCCCAGTCCTCGGTTGATCCGAGGAGTGGGTATGGATTGGGCAGCGACCAGCACTTTGTAAGTGAGGTGGGTGCCTAAAAGGCTAGCTAAGGGTCTGCTCCAGTGGCCGGCAGCAAATCAACGGCCCCAAGGCTGCCCCGACCTGCGGTTGGTAACTGCCTAAGAGCCCTGAAAGCCCTTGGTTCATTGGCACTTCGACCCGCAGCTGCCACAACGCCAACTGACAAACTGACCCTCCACTCAGACTTCAAACTTGGACTTCCCTCCCATCACATCACATCCACAGCACCACATCACTTCCCGTCTTCCAGCTCTTCACCGCTGCTCTGCCTCCCGTGGAACTATCAGAGCAGCGTCCTCTCTCCCTAACTATCATCTATCCCATCTTCGTCTTCAAGTCTGCAACAAACAACTCGTCGACTCTGCCCGCCAAATTGCAATAAACACCGCACCTGGATATCATCGGGCGTCCAAAGGCCAGAGCCAAAATGAATAGCCTGGCCACGCCCCCCGTTCCTCCTCACTTCCATGAACATTCCCGTCTCTCTCCTAACAGATCAAGTGAGTAGCGTCCATTAGATGATTCCTAGCAGCCCGCTAACCACCACATCAGTGTCTGCCTCTGGTCCCTCTCGGAAACGAAAAGCCTCCCCCTCCCCCGATCGAGATGATGAGATGTCAACATCACCTTTTCTATCAAACGCCCGCCTTCCCACTGCCTCTACACCCAGCTCACGAAAACGGGCTCGTCCAAATCTGGTCGGGAGACCGTTATCGGTGGAAAGACTCCTTGAAACACTGGACAAGGATTCTCTAACGTCTGTGCTGAAGACTCTGTGCGAGAGACACCCAAGCCTTCGAGATGAAGTTGTACAAGTCAGCCCTCGACCCAGTATCCAGAGCACTCTACAAGTCTTGCGTCAATATTATACACGATTGATGGACTCTTTCCCTCTCGGACCGAATCCTCGTTCCGACTATTCCTACGATCGAGTCCGCCCCCAATGGCACGAACTGCTTGATGCCCTCACAGACTTCACCCCTCACTTCTTACCACCAAACGAACATCAGTCATCGACGTCGCTGGAGTATCTGAACGATGTTACGCAAATCATCCATGATCTCCCGGAGTGGGACAATCCACAGCACAATCTCGCAAAACAAAACGCCTACGAGGAGATCTCGAAAGCCTGGGCTAGTGTCATCAAAGAGGCCAGCAAAAGAGGTGGAGGATTCCAACTACAGTTCAACGGATGGGAAGAGAAACTACGAGCGCATAATGAGAAGAGTGGCGGTCGGTTGAGAGAAGCATATGATGAATTGATGCAGGCACTCGGCTGGCTCAGACAAAGTAACCAACCGTCACAACAACAAAGTATCCGGCAACAACTATTTTCCAACACTTACGGCATGGAACAACCAATGATTCGAACCGGTAACTGGTAAAAAGAAGAACCGGAAACAGCCCAGCAGGCGGTCTCAAACAACGAAACCAGCACACAACTGCATCAAAGTCATGGATACACGTTACACCATCACGAATTTCCTTTGTTCTGGGCGGATGGCGGCATGGGTGCATATACCTTGGGATTAACGACTTGAAACGACCAGCGTTCGACTTCCCTGCCACTTTCGTGTTACGGCCTTTTCATTTGTCTTCATGGGACCGGATGCGTAATTCAGAACATACATGTCGGTCAAGGACAGTCTCTTACATTAACACCAGCATTCAATCGGAGGTTGAAGGACTTTGCATAAAGCATTGAGAGGAATATATGATGTACAGGATTGGTGTGGGAATGGCAACAGAGGTTGTGGCGAGGAGGGACCCCGTTGAGTTTTTCTCCGAGCCGCATCAACCAGCCCTCCATCCATACACAGGTTTGAGTGCGATTTACCTCAACCTCTTTCTTCCTACGATACCACCTCACAGGCAGGGGTCGGGGTTAGGCACAGGGTTCAGGAGGCATCATTATCCATCAATTTCATCCAGTTTGTGTAGGGATTGAGTGAATCGGAGTTGTACCTAATCAGGAGATAGACTTGAATTGACTTGAGATTTGTACACAAGCAGGGACACCTCGCCTTTGCCGAATGACTGCATACTATGCTCTATTATTATACAATGGATCACTATCTTCTTTGGTGGCGTGGGGATACCACCAGGCTTTGCTGGCTCTCCTTCGACTATGTGTCACGTCTACACCCATTCGCCTGATATCACCTCAACCCAAACAACTGTTCCGCTCTCATCCGCCATCCCTCGATGGTATTTAGCTTCGGCCGTACGTCGAGGTAAAAATTCAAAGCGTTATTTCCTTGCTTTGTGTTCTTGCCTTGGAGGGCCTTGCCCTGGTAGAAATCAATGACATACTCGACTTTGCTCCCGTCGCATCGCTGGACGACCCAGTCGTGTCGATCGAACGGCTCGGTGTAGCCCCATAGAGAGTTCCACCTCGCCTTGGGGGACTTTGCTCCGGCGCCCAGGCCCTGGAAGGAGAGCAGTCTGGGGCCACCGCAGGCGTCCGAGGTGCCCTTTTCCCACCGCTTGATCAGCACCCAGGCCTGCTCGTTGACGGCGTTATGGATCGGGATGATTGCGGATATCGACGTGGCCAGGTCGGTCGGGTTCGACGACGACAGCGTCTGCTTGCGCATCACGGCGTGGAAGAATTGGTGCTCCGACGGGTAGATCCAGTTGCCGCTCGCTGAGGCGCCGGTCTCGGACTCGGAGTTTGCTGGTATGTTTGTGCTTGTGCTTGTGTTTGTGTTTGTGTGTGTCGGTGAAGTTGTCGGCGGTGTCTGAGAGGGCTCCTGTGTGGATTGGGAAAACGCGCGGGGGATGGAGGAGACCACGCGGCCGTGTGAGAGCGGCCGGGCGGCCTGGTAACCTGAGTGAGTCTCGACGGTGGGGTCCTGCGAGATGCGGTCGGAGGAGCATTCTTGCGACGATATCGTCGTCGGCTTGGGGAGCGGAGGATGCGAGGCCGGGAGGGAGGGATGTGTCGTTTGCGCGCCTGAGCGTGCTTCTCCCTGTGACGGTGACTTCTTTATCTGCTGGGCCTGTCGGAGCCATATCTCTCGGGTCTTGGGGTCGACGGGGCAGGCCGAGGCGGGATCTGTAGAGGGTTGCTGTGGGTGGTTGAATTCGCCATGGGGAGGGATCGAGGACGCTGCGGGTGGCGCTTCGGGCTCCGGGGCGGGATCTGCTTTCCACCAGCCCATTGGGATATCTGCTTTTTTTTTACGGTGTATCAATCAATGTATAGGCGACTGTGGAAGTGCAGAAGTTCTGTTTCGTGGCGATAGGGAAAAGTGTCGATGCGAAGAGTAGCTCGTTGACTTTTGGAGAGATCTGAGGATGCGGGGAGCGCAGCCTGATCGCAGAAATATCGAGCGAGAAGGTTTAATTAGCTCGTGTTTTCGCAGGTCAGCCTGATCTCCTCTCCTGCTAGCCTTGTCTGCCTCCAATGATGTGGACACCACTTTCCTGGCCGTTTACATGTCCTAGAACCGTTCCAAACATGTCCTTGAGTGACAATCGATATCATTCGCCTTTACGCAAATATCCTAGCGAATCAGAGTTGAGTTTCAGCACAGGCCTTACCCTGCTTCTTTGGCCTGATGACCAAGAACATGCATCGAGCAGAGCCCACAAAGGTTCTACTTCCCAACCGCCGGATGACTTGCCACGTCGAGAGAGGCTGCTGGATGGTTGTAACATCGCCTAGATGCCTCATATAGCGAACCACGAGGACGTGAAGCAATCATCGCGAGCCTGACTTGCCCATCGCAAAGGGCAGTGTTGCTATGACCAGCTTGGCCGGGTAAGTGGCTGGCTCTCTGGCCGGAGGCTGTGCTGCCTCACTATGACTTGTAGTGGATGTGTTGGCGATCCAAGCGCCGGTCACTCTACAACGTGGTTCCTGCTGCTAGCCTTTTCTTTTCCTCCAACTCGACCTGACTCACGGATGTCATCCCCACCACAAGTCAAAAGAGGGAGAGCAATTGGCAGGCTCTGAATGAATATTCCAGATCTGTGGCAAGAGAAGGCAATGAGCCTCAACTCATAACGGCCATGATGAGTTCCGATACTTGCAGACAAGTATGAGCCATGTGCGGTGGCTAGATCCACGCCATTCATTCAGAAACAATTCGAGGAGAAACCACATTGAATAGACGGATAGGCTCTCTGCTCTGGGAGATTTCGGACATGTTAATGAAGCTAGAGAAACTATCTGGCGTGGCCGCAGAAGACCAATAGTAATAGTAGCGTTGCGCATATTGGGAAAGAAACCAGAAATCAATGCTACTTGTGATCAAATTGACCAGAAATGCCTTCATGCAAGGTAGCTGCTGAAACTGCCGAATGCCTCATCCATCTCTTGTCCATGTGGCTAATGGAATAGTCACAGGCCTCGAATTCGGACAGGTGGGCTCGCGTTGCAATGAAGTTGGCTGGATTGCGAGCAGCGTGTGCATGCGGCCGGATAATGCATAGTGAAAATTTATGTACCGACATGTTGTCTTGAACAAGGCATTGCCGCTTTCAGACTCACTGGACACATTTCTGAGGGATGAAGTTCTCCTGTAATGATAATAGTAATATTTGGAACCTGTTGCTCGTCGAAATGACTGCGTCCCATTAAAGTGAAAAACCGGTGAGGCTAAGAAAGGGTACTGGATTAGGTATACGCTTAACTAGATGTGGCATGACACGAAGCAGCGGCGCGGATCGATGATTGTGGGCCATATAATTTTCCAGCGTACTTGGGTACACACCGTTCAGGTGAAGCCCAAAACAATTCTTCCTGGTTTACAGCGTTACAGCCTCAGTCATGTCTAGCTCAAATACCGTGTTCCGGGCAAGTACCACTGCCCCAGTCAACATCGCTGTGATCAAGTAGGTACGCCAATGGCCCCTCACTTTGCACCCTCCCATCGCACGCCCCAGACGACGTCGAAGTTCAAGACAGATCTAACTAGCGCAACAGATACTGGGGAAAGCGAGATACGGTCCTGAATCTTCCGACGAACTCGTCTCTGTCCGTGACATTATCTCAGAAATCGCTACGAACTCATACCACTGCATCATGTTCCGAATCCTTCACGGGCCCGGACACCTTGGTGCTCAATGGAGAAAAGGAGGATATTCAGTCTTCAAAGAGAACACAAGCGTGCCTCAAAGTCCTTCGCTCGCTGCGTGAAGCTCTGGAAGCCAAGGATGCTTCCCTGCCGAAGCTCTCGAAATGGACCCTGCGCTTGGTGTCGACCAACAACTTCCCTACGGCGGCCGGTCTTGCCTCTTCAGCTGCAGGGTTTGCAGCACTAGTCAGAGCGATCGCCGACCTCTACGAGTTGCCCCAATCACCGAAGGAGCTTTCATTGATTGCTCGGCAAGGCTCTGGATCGGCCTGCAGGAGCCTGATGGGTGGCTACGTGGCCTGGCGGGCTGGCACGAAGGAGGATGGAAGTGACAGCTTAGCTGAAGAGGTGGCACCAGTTTCACATTGGCCGGAAATGAGGGCGCTGATACTGGTCGTCAGTGCCGAGAAGAAAGGTGTCCCATCAACTGCAGGTATGCAGACCACGGTCGAGACATCCACTCTGGCACCGGCAAGATTCAAGGAGATTGTTCCGAAAAGGATGAAGGAGATTGAGAAAGCAATCCAAGAGAGGGACTTTGAGACTTTTGCGCGGGTCACGATGCAGGATTCGAATTCGTTCCACGCCATCTGTCTGGATTCATGGCCACCGATTCACTACTTGAACGACGTTTCTCGTGCGGCCATGAATGCCGTGGAGACGGCCAATCGCAAAGCAGGAAAACTGATCTGCGCATATACGTTCGACGCGGGGCCGAATGCGGTAATCTACTACCTGCAAGAACACGCACACCAAGTGGCAGGAGTGTTCAGAAACATCTTGCCTCAATTGCCAGGATGGGAAGGGGAGTTCGGAGAGTCTATTCGTCCGAACGAGTATGGAGGGTTGGAACAGAAGACGCTGATGACGCTGAAGGCGGGTGTGAGTCGGGTCATCTGCACAGCAGTGGGAGGAGGGCCAGAGAAGGTGGAGAGACATCTGGTCGACGCAAGAGGGAATGCTCTGGTGGAATGATAGCATGTCAGGCGTGAGGAAAGCGTTCGCATCCAAGGACGAAATTTCGACCGGCCGCGCGAAACAAGAGTTGTTCCTCGTATTGCGTACCCTTGGGCATGTGTACGACGAGCATTTCTTGCCTTACCTGGGCGAAGTTGCCTCGGTGTTTTCCCTTGAAGTCTCCAAGCAGCAACCCAGTGTGGGTGGAACAGGCTAGACATCGGCTATAGGATCGCGAAAGGGCTTAGTTGGTCTGCGGTTGGGAAGGAGTGTGCATACCTAGGTAGGTAGTGGGCGCATAAGGTGCGAGTCGCAGGCAGGGCCTACTGCCCCTCACTGCTCGGTCCCTGGGCAGCCCCGTATAAGTAAGCACTCAAAGATACGGAGTACGGAGCACGGAGCACCCTTACCGCGCTCGGTAGGTGATGTCTGGGGGCGAGTTACCTGCAATACCTCGTACTTTTAGGCGTTCACACGATGTCTTGGGACGCCTGCCGTGCCCAGAGGTACCCAGTGTCGTGACAGAGCCATCATTCACTCCTCCCAATGATCGACTCGGGCACGTCGACGGACTGTCTTGCTTGCCGAGGTTCTCTGTCCCTAATTGTTCCATTCTTCCTGGCGAGTCTCTCCTCAGACGGAGTACTTTACTAACTTGCCAAACTATTAACTAATCCTGGGCTCTGGAACCTCGTATTTTGGTGGCCGGAGGATCGGGGGCATATAGGCCTAGTCCATTTCTCCTCGTACAAGCGAGTCACCGCCAGCCACGTCCCCCGTTTCATATATTTCTGATCTGGCCGACGCCTCCTTTTCTTTTCTTTCCACCAACACCTAGCCAAGTACTCCGTAATACACTCCGGTTCACCATGATTGCCGCCGACAACAACTTCGACGTCATTATCATTGGCGCCGGCATTAGCGGCATCAATTCTGCCTACCGTCTTCAAGAAGGTCTCCCCGACTACTCGTACGCCATTCTCGAAGGGCGAGCGGAAATCGGTGGCACCTGGAGTCTGTTCAAGTACCCTGGGATCAGGTCCGATTCTGATCTTCATACCTTCGGCTTCCCCTGGGATCCATGGAAGGAAGACCGTTCCATCGCTGACGCGGGATCGATTCTGCGATATGTTAAGACGACCGCCGCTAGACATGGCATCGACAAACACATCAAGTACCAGCACAAAGTCGAGTCGATGAATTGGTCGACGGAGAACCAGCATTGGGAAATTGATGTCACGGTCGACGGGACCGAGAAGCGAAAATACTACTCACGATTTATCCTTCTGGGCACCGGCTACTATGACTATACTCAAGGACTCAATACCAAGATTTCCGGCATTGAGAATTTCAAGGGCACCGTCGTCCATCCTCAATTCTGGCCAGAGGACCTTGATTACACAGACAAGAAAGTCGTTATCATCGGCAGTGGCGCCACTGCTGTGACCCTCCTCCCCGCCATGACCGGCAAGGCCAAATCGGTTACCATGCTTCAGCGATCACCCAGCTATTTCCTTCCCATCCCTCTGACCGAACCCATCGATGGTCTCATCAAGCGGATTTTCCCCGAAAAGTGGGCGTATCAACTCATCCGACTCAGATTTCTCATGGTCGGTTTCCTGTTCTTTCAATTTTGTCGACTCTTCCCCAAAAAGGGCCGATCTGTCCTACGTGAAGCCACCGAAAAGGAGCTACCTGCCAATATTCCTTTCGAGCCTCATTTCGTTCCTCGGTACAATCCCTGGGAACAAAGAATGTGTATCACGCCAGGTGAGTTTTGTTGACACACGAACCATACGCTAGGCAACCCGCTGACTTATCCAAGGTGGCGATTTCTTTGCGGCATTGCGCACGGGCAAAGCCGACGTTGTGACCGACACAATCCAAGACTGCAGCGCCAACGAAATCAAACTCACATCGGGGGCAACTCTCCCTGCAGACATAATCATCACCGCTACCGGCCTCAAGATTCTATTTGGTGGCGGTGCTAGTGTTTCAGTTGACGGTGAGCCCTACCAAATGAACCGGAAATTCATCTGGCGTGGTGCTTTGCTACAAGACCTACCAAACTTCACGTTCATCTTTGGGTACACCAATGCCAGCTGGACCCTTGGGGCCGATGCCACTGCACAATTGTGGGTTCGTCTCCTCAAAGAAATGAAGGCCAAGAACATGACGAGTATGATTCCACGAGTCAACGAAAAAGAACAAGTGGCGGAAGTCCCTCTTCTGAACTTGAACAGTAGCTACATCAAGGCTGCTCAGGAGGCGGACACACTCCCCAAGGGTGGTGATCGGGGGCCGTGGGTGCCTCGGAGCTCGTACCTTCGAGATATCTGGCATGCGAAGTTTGGCGATATTCGCACCGGGTTGCAATTCAATAGGATTTCGACCTAGATGTAAGGTGGCAGCCAGGTGTCCGATGGGTTCAAGGGGTTTTCAAGGGCGTTCGTTGCGTGCCGTTTCAGCCTTCTATTACTAGTTGAACAAGACTGAATTATCCCCTTCATGGTTGCGAACAAATTTATAAAATTGATGCTATGTTTGGCTGTCGGGTATAAGATCTTCCGAGCCGAAGCCCGTCGCCGCCGCTGCTCTGTCGGCCTATAATCTTCTCACGCCGCCTGGCCGTTTTTTTCCTCTGTCACAAATTTATTTCTGACCGCCCATTCCCTTTTGCCACGTTCTCAGCCTGACTCTTCTTTCCTCTTGATTTTAAACCTACCTCTGAGAATATTTTCTTCCCCTGTTCACCAGTCTACCATTTCCCACTCCGACCTTCTCTAAATTAAGAGACGCTTTGACGCCCCCACCATCACCAGCCTTGCACACGTCTCTTGACCTTTTTCCCCTGCAATTCAAGTCCGGCAAAATGGGCAACGGAGCCAAGGCCGCCCAAAAGCGGGAGCGGAATACGAAGGATGCTAAGAAGGAACCGAACAGTCAGTTGAAGAAGGTACGTCTTCAATTTTTCAATTTCTGATTAGTGTGCTTGCTTTTCGTTTCTACGGGCCACTACTCTGAACGACCCTATGTCCGAACTTGATACGGACTCATTTTGTCTGGCCATGGCTGCGACTTCGTGACGATGTGATGAACATCGGTAAGGCTGGGTCTGCCTGTGGTCGTAAGGAGGCCAGATCAATGTGAAGGAGAACACCTCCTTTCGGTGGTTCTGATCAACTCCCTTGCTGTGTTGTGGTACCAGTCTGCCATTGGAGAGGGACGTACCATTAGATCCCAGGGGACCCTGACTTCGGCAGCCCTGCTGAATCCCAGTCTTCCTGTCTCGGTGTTCGGGTAAGGAAACAAGGCCAAGAGAACAAATGTCCGTCGTGACACTCCGACGCATCATCTTCTCACTCTGATTATAGAGAGTCTTTTATTTTCTTCCTGGACGCGGCTCCACCGTCTCACAATCCATATCGACAACGAGCTCTTCCTAGTTCCCATGCCCGTATTCCGTTGACTATCTACCGCCTTGGCCAATTCTGTGTTCTTGCATTCTGTCTTCTGGCGCCGGATAAGATCGCTAATGATACTGACAACCACATAGAATGCAGCAGCCCAAACCATCAAATGCAAAATCTGCTTTGCCACATTCCAGAGCACTTCGGCACGCAAAGGCCTGGAGGATCACGCCTCAAACAAACACAGCAAGAAATACGAAGAGTGTTTCGTCTAGCTCACAGCATCAAACCAAGTCGAGATTCAAGGAGAGAGACGGACGAGGAGATATGTCAATGCATGTGGTCCACTCTGAGAATTGTCAAAACTGGCTGGTGGGCAGTGAACTCGTCGTTGGAAATGAGGACAAACCGATACGGGACGAGCTGCTACACGGCTTCTAAGTGATGGGGCCGAGCAGGGGCTGACGAGGAGTTTGACGCTGCGTTTCTTAGCGAGGGAGTTACGGGCTGGCTTTGTATCTACGTGCATTCGGCGTCAACTCTGCTGAACAGACCGTATGGAGAAGAACCCAAGAGCATTATCGCGGCCTTGTTTCTATCCCAAATCTCTCTTGATTCGCTGAAAGACTTGCTGCCTGTCCAAGTCTTCCAGACTCTGTATTTGCAGCTCTCAACTGTACACGGCTTCTTAGTGGTGGACGATGTCAGTTATGCACCACTGCACACGTATACGTGATCCAGAAAGTCCATGTCTCAATTTCGAATCGCCCAATCTCATGACCATAATTCTTGCATGTGAAGGTTGGTTCTATCGACCCCCATTTTAGCTTCGGCGGAGTTGAGCGACGTGACTCGTTCGGCTGGTCCGTTTTTATAGCCATTGCATGCATGTTACTAGTAGCATTTCAGCGCTTGTCCATCCATATCGCCAATGCGCCCTGTGACTCGAGTCGATAGATAGATAGGTAATTTTTCTTGAATTGGGCATTTTTGGGACATGTATCTTCACTAAACAAGCCCGTCATAGGTGTCAGGACTGTCAAATCCTTGCGCGCGGCGTGGAATAGTTGGTCTATGCTGCATTGCCTCCCCTTCGCATCTTTTATGCATTGAGGAGAGGGAGACCACAGAATTGCAGACGCGATCACCAGTCAGGCATTGGCGCCGGCACTCATTTCGCCCACATTCACCTGTGGCAGACTCCGGGAAATGAATGGGCTTCACCTTGACAAGCCCAATGGTGCGTCGGCATCAGGGCCAGGCCCCGAGAAAGGGGGCTTGACCCCCGCGGCCCCAGCCTTGCTCCATCGCTCGCTGCAGTCTGAACCCTACCAAGTCACCGGTGCGAAGGGTCTGTACTTGACTCTCTCCGACGGGCGGACAATCATGGATGCCTGCGGCGGCGCCGCGGTGGCGTGCTTGGGCCACGGCAACGAGGAGGTCCTGCAGGCGGTCGTCCGCCAGATGAGCTCGGGCGTCAGCTACATCCACTCCCTGACCTACACGACCGACTCGGCGGAAGAACTGGCGCACCACCTCATCGACGGACCCCAGGGCGCGGGCCGCTTCGGGCTCGAGCGCGCGTACTTTGTCAACTCGGGGAGCGAGGCCATGGACGCGGCCCTGAAGTTGGCCAGGCAGTACTTTTTCGAGCTGGGCCAGACGTCCCCGACGACGACGGGGGCCAGATCCCACTTTGTGAGCAGGAAGCAGAGCTACCACGGCACCACCGTCGGCGCCATGAACGTGAGCAGCAACCTCCCTCGGAAGGTACCTTATGCGTGTTTCCAGCTGGACAATGTCAGCTGGGTCACCCCCGCGTACGCGTACCAGTACTCGGACTGGCGACGGGGGGAAACCGAAGAGGAATTCGCGCAGAGGCTGGTGGACGAGCTGGACGCGCATTTCGTCGAGATCGGACCGGAGAAGGTCGTCGCGTTTATCGCGGAGCCGCTCGTCGGCGCCACCAGCGGATGCACACCCGCCCCCAAGGGCTACTTCAAGGGAGTCCGGCAGGTTTGCGACAAGTACGGCATCCTGCTGATCCTGGACGAAGTCATGAGCGGCATGGGCCGGACGGGGACCCTGTTCGCTTTCGAGCAGGAGGACGTCGTGCCGGATCTCGTCACCATCGGCAAGGGCCTGGGCGGCGGGTACGCCCCCGTCGCGGGCGTCTTGATCCACAAGAAGATCGTCGACGTCCTGCGCGCGGGCACGAGCAGCTTCAACCACGGGCACACCTACCAGGCCCATCCGGTGGGCTGTGCCGCCGCGCTGGCGGTGCAGAAGATCCTGCGCCGTGACGGGCTGGTCGAGAACGTCGCGCGGCTGGACCGGTTTCTGTACCCTCTGCTCGTCGACACGTTTAAATCCTCAAAGTACGTGGGCGACATCCGCGGCCGCGGGCTGTTCTGGGGCATAGAATTCGTCCAGGACAAGACCACGCGCGAGTCTTTCCCGCCGCAGGTGGGCTTCGGCGGTCGCTTCCAGGCCATGGTCTTTGACCTGGGCGTCGCTGTCTATCCTGGCTCGAGCACGGTGGATGGCAAGAAAGGCGACCATGCTATCCTGAGCCCGCCGTACAATGTGACCGAGGACGAGCTGAGGAAGATCGTCGAGGTGATGAAGACGGCGTATGATCGCTTGGAAAAGGAAGTGGACGGCGAGTCTTGGGATCAGAAGGCTGCAAATGGACATGCGAAGCCATATTGAACTAGACCTAAACATCCAAGCGGGCCGCGAAAGATCAGAAGTGGTCTGAGTATTACTATTACCCTGCGCTGCTTCCATGCATCACAAAGTCCGCCCCATTTCTTCCGAGCTCGAAGAACTCCTCGATAATGTCAGGCCGTGTGGTTTGACCTGGCTTGATTTCCCAGATCCCAGGATCCATTTCTTTCTTTAGTGCATCTTTCTCCTTTGAAAATGCAATCATCGTAAACCTCATAGAACCAACCCTCTGGGGATGCTGCCTGATAAAACTCCAAACCTTGGGCCGTTGAGTCCCTCGAATCCAATTCTTCATAATGCATGCCATAGAATGATAACCCCATTCGAGCATCGTAAAAGCCTGCGGATTTTTTGCGTTCCTCTATCGTACCGTGACTTCCGCATTGCCCCTACTCTGTGGCCGCGGAATATCTCCCAGTTCATTGCCAGTCCCGCTTTGACCCCGTTTCCGTCCCGGAAGAAAATGGAAGTGGTGCTTGCCTTCCTCCTTGTTGGCCGCATTCGAGGTGATGGTCTCGCCGTTGGAGTCGCCAAATCGGGACAAGAAACTCTTCTTCTTGGATTCTTGAGGCTTGCTTGCATCTTCATTCAGCTTCACATCCTCGAAAATGGGATCCTGTGCGGCGGTGGGTCTCTCGAATGTAGTGCTGCTTAGTGTCGAGCGCGTGGGGAAGCGGGTCGCTGGTCGCGAGTCCAGAGATGTGCGGGAGGTGAAGCTGTCGGCTTGAAGGATTGGAGAGCGGCCGGAAATGTCCTGCGACAACGGTCAGGCTGCTGTCAAGCGTCGTGTCAGGATTATAACCTACAAAAGATCTCCTGTATGACTCGAAGGATTCGCGGGAGATTGTGAATGCCTCGTTGTCGTTGAAGCATTGGCGGTGGTTGGTGCTTGCGGAGGACGGCGATTTTGACCAGAAGGACGGTTTCTCGGTGGGCGAAGGCTGTGAGACAATCAGCTGCTGTGCTGGAAGTAATCGTTGGGACCTCATACCGGGAGATATTCACCGCTGTCGTTAACGGCTTGTGCAATGTTAGCCTCGGGACAACGTTTATTCTGGTGGGGGATTGGGATGTCGCATACAACTCAATTTGAACTCGTTGGGCTCGACCGTCTTCTCTTTGATCCCCAATGCTAATGAAGGCTTATCTTTGCTATAAGGGCTCTTGACATTGCCGTCGAAAGAGTTGGGGCGAGCGTTCTCATCGTTGGTCTCAATGGGCGCCGTCGGACGTTTCGAGGTAAAGGGCATGCGGAAGGGAGGCATGTTGAAGGGACTAGGACTGTTTGTGTATCGTCAAGCGTCTATTACAGGGAGAGAATGTGTATATGAGAAGATCAGAATGCTTTATGTTTTCACAGAGAGAATATCGGGAGACAGGATGTTTGGGAGGAAGAGATGCGCACAAAAGAGGTCATTGTCACGAGTCCCGGTGGTATTGTAGTACGTAGTGCCGTGGGAAGTGTTTAAAGAAATCCAGAGCCAGAGCCAGCAGCCCGCAGCCCGCAGCCGGGTCCGAAGACGGGCAACAAACACCAAGGGTAACGCCACGGCCTGCCCACCTGGACACCTGGGCAGCACCGGGAACGTGCCGGGAAGCCGGGAAGATTTTCTACTCTCCCACGGTAACTTGTAGGCATCTTGTAGCGCGCGATGGGCAAAGTTACGCCAGTTTGACGGGGCCTCTCGCAAGGGTCATTGGGCATCTTTGGGCGCCGATCATTAACCGGAGAAAGGCCCCCCTCCCTGCGCAGGCCCTCAATCCAATGGGCACCCCGCGCACCCAATGGGCAGTGCTCCTGGCGGCTTTGTCAACTCCAGTCATCCAGCCTGCATGGGCTTGTCGCATCGCATCCCCATAGATAGCATCTCGTCCTGTGTTTCGTCCACCACTCCCTTGAAGGAGTATTGGGTCTTACGCTTTGCATGCAGGTACAGGATGCGGGAGGGAAAATTTTCTCATCAATGGCCTTGATGCCTTTCTCACTGGGGGCGAGCTGGTTCAAGGCAAGTGCACAATTGATGATTCATCTCCACCACCGTTTGCCATTCAAAGACTTACTGTACCTAGATGTAGATGTCTGTTGATCAAGAAAGCTTCCTCCACACTTTGCCATCCTCCAGCGAGCCGAATGACGTCGATGAACAATCCCTGTCTTGAAAACTTGGAGAATACCCTCGCGCCCACATTCGGAAGTCGGCATGACGACTATCTGATCGCCCCCTGCAAGCCAGTCTCCATCTCAGCCTCAGCCTCATCTCCTTTTCCCGATGCCTCACCTCTAGCCGTCGCCCGGTCGATACTGTATCACAGCAGGGTTCCTGCATTTCGATAAGTGCGCCATTGTGCAGACTGCCGTCTCCTGTACTCTTCTATACCTCGCGTTACTGTGCCGCCGTATTGACCTTCCTGTGATTTGTTTCCTCGCGTCGATGGAGAAAGGAAAGCTGTGGCTGTCCTACAAGACGGGCGATTCGACCGCATGATGCGGTGGTAACTTCATAGGATGGGCTTCGCAAATGAGCTTGTCAAGACAATCAACTGCTGCATGACCAAGTCGGACGAATGCAGGATGACACTGGTGGGCAGAGATGCGTCCCGTGCCTGCTGAGAGGTTGGTTTGATCGATCCCAAGCGTTTGGCGAGCACAGTCCAGGTCTTCACGCGTTGGGAGTTGGTCGACGATTTTTCTGTCTCTGGTTGATTTCACTCTGCCCTTTTCCTTCACCGTCAATATTACCAGGTGGAAGCTGCAGACCGCAGATGGCAACTGCACGGTTTCGTGCACGGCTGGAGCAGGTGCTGCTGCCCTCCTGCGTCACCACTACCACCGCGACGACAAAGTCGACGGCGCCTGGCACGTTATCAATTGCCTTCCCCCTCTCTCGAGTTTTCCTTCAGTCCATCATTAGCAGTTCAGCCGACCACATTGCAAACTGCTCTATCATTTCTTTGGTGCTGGTCTCCATTGCTCTTCGGAAATGGGGTTCTTCCTTTTCATCCTTCCGCGCCTCTAGCATTCCTACCATACTGTTCTCCGGCAACATGCTTGACCCCGTTCCGGAGGGCGCTGTTTTCTTCTTGGAGTGGCCGATGTGGGCCCGCTTAGCTCTTGTGAGTACGGGCATGCGACGGGTTGAGAGACTTGACTGATCCTTGTGCCAGATCTTAGGTGGCTTGCTTGTTCGTATCCGTGTCCTCAATTTGTCTCTTTCTGACCTCCTCTCAGACGATTATCCTTACCACTGCCTTCGTTGTCAAGCTGAGAAATTGGGCACGGGACAGAAGGCTGGAAAGAAGAGCAGCAGAAGAACATGCCGAAAGAGGGGAGATGACTCTGGTCAACTGCTTGGACGAAGATATACCCTTTGGCATCCGCGCTTTGATTGAAGATCCCGAAGTCGAAGGGGTGTGGAACGCTCGAACGATAACTGCTTTGCATCTTGATAGAGCCAGGTCTCCGCCTCCCTCGCGATTGGCGACCAAAGCTATTCAATCCTCGTCGATTTCCTCCACCTCAATATGCGATTCCATGGACATAGGACTAGCGTCTCCAGATGGTGAGAGATATCAACACTGTCACTTCTTTTGGCTGACAATCGACAGCCCTAACACCGTTCACGAACTCCACGGCGTTTGTTGATCCACCAGCTGAATCGTCAACCTCGAAGAAAGGGAAGACCATTGTCATAAGCTACAACGGTCCATACAATCGCACGGAAGCTGGCGAGGTCGTGCCAGGTCTGGCAATTTCCGGTTTTGTACTCACCACGGTTCTTATTACTGACACTCGTTACACAGATATTGTTCCTTCAATGACAAAGGACGAACTGAGCCCATCGCCCTCAAAATTGCAGCTTCGTCCCATCATCAACCTACGATCTCCAGGAGCGCGTAAGTTTGTCATTGGTAACAGGCAGAGAAACAGTCAAGGACATCAGAGGCTAGAAGCTCGTTCTGACCTCAACCCTCTGGAGCGCATGGAGGCTCACAGACGCTTCCATGCCGCAGAAAGTGGTCAACTCCTCCCGAGGAATCGGCGGCACACTGACATGGTCCTGACACCAACATTCGCTCCATCTCTTTCCGATAGCGAGGACAGTGACGACTCTGCATCCCGTGCTCTGTCGTGGCCGACTCGAAATGGCAGTATCAATCTCGGCAAGCAGTTTTCTCGCAGGGCGAAAAGGATGGAAGGACCAAGACCTGTGCCTTTCCGCGCATTCGTCGAGTCCTTACCCACCACAAAACCTCCTCCTTCGGCGTGGACGGAGAAGACCCAGGCCAGAGTCGACGCGAAAATCCTCCCTTCTCCCAAAACGAGTGAGACGGCCTCCAATACTTCTCTGCACAGCCCGAGCTCTTCTACGAGTTCAATGTCCGCGACGACTACAACGTCACCCGCAGGTTCGCTCTCCATTGCAAATACTCGATCGCGGAAAGTCAATGCTGGATTTGAAATACTACCTGCCGGCACACTGGAAAAGGGACCCAAGGTCAAGGACTTTGGGAATCGGCACGAAGAACTGGAGATGAGGAAGAAGCCTAAGAAGCTAAAGAAGCGGTCGCGCTCAAGTTCTGGAAGTCGACGAAGTTCAACAGAAAGTCGGCGACTCAGTAGCGACACCTTTTGTTTGCCGGTTCACTGAGTTTGTGGAGACTTTCAATCCGTGTTGGAATAGGGTTCTTATAGCTTTGGATCTGCATCATTCTACAAGGCTATCCATTCGTTGTTCAGAGGCAATCCCGTCCGCAATGGGCGTTTGTTGGCATACCTCAATTGTCTTGGGAATTAGTTGTCCGGCTTTGCTTTACACAGCGCACAGGGACCCCGCAACGAAGGCACTGACCTATCATTGTTTGGTCACTGTAATGATAATAATGATAATGGCTTTAGAGAAGCATGCCCTGCTTCGGAGTTCGTCTATCAACCAATGCCTACGGCAGTCTATTTACGCCAGTTTTTGCGTAGGGCTTCGAATCTCGTTATGTCTTCTACGCCCACACTCCGTCTCACTTCGGTTTTGGCATGCAGGAAGTCCTGTGTGATTATGGTATCGGGTCCCCCAGACGATTTGATACGGCGCACGGCGGCCAGCCCAGCTCTCCTCAACAAAGATTCCAGATCTGCACCGCTAAAACCGTCACATTCTCTGGCAATAGTGGCCAGCGACTCGTCAAACACCAAACCGTTTACTTTCTTGCAAAGCGTCCTTAGGATCTCCACTCGTCCCTCAGCGTCCGGCAGGCCCACGTACAAGAACATGTCCAGTCTCCCCGGGCGAAGCATGGCCGGATCAATGATGTCAGGCCGGTTCGTGGCCGCGATGAAATAGATGCCCTCGCGAGAGTGGCCGACGCCGTCGAGTTCCGCGAGCAGAGTGTTGACCACGCGGGCCGAGGCCTCGGAGCCGCCGCCCACGCCGCCGTCGCGCGTTGGCACCAGCGCATCCAGCTCGTCGAAGAAGACGATGACGGGGACGCTCGAGCGCGCCCGGGTGAAGACCTGGCGGACGGCGCGCTCCGACTCGCCGAGGTACTTGTTCAGGAGCTCGGGCCCCTTGACGCTGATGAAGTTGGCGTGGCTGGCGTTCGCGCAGGCCTTGGCCAGCAACGTCTTCCCACAGCCCGGGGGACCCCAGAGGAGGGTCCCCGACCAGGCGGGGAGGCCCAGGTTGGTGTACACGGCCGGATCGAGGATGGGCGAGATCACGGTCTCGTTCAGCTCCCTGATGTGGTCGTCCAGGGCGCCGATGGAAGAAAACGTCGTCGACGGGATCGTGGCGAACCCTTCTCTCAGGGCGGAGGGTTGGATCTTCGGCAGCGCGGTGAGGAAGTCCTCGAAAGTGACGAGGAGGGTTTCGTCGGCGGCCTCGGATGACGGAGACTGGCCCTTGATGTATTTCACCAGTCGGCGAAGCGATTTGATGCTTTCTGCGTCGGGATGCTTGTCGAGTTGGTTGTCATCATCGACGTCCATGACGTACTTGTCAGAGTTGGCCTGGAGGACGTCTAGGTAGCGCTCCATCGCCATCGCCGAGGCTGTTAATACAAGGTCGTTCAAGTCCGCGCCGACAAATCCCGGGGTGCGTTTCGCCAGGACGTCTAGGTCAACATTATCGGTCATCTTCATTCCCTTGGTCAGAGCCTCCAGGATCCTTGCACGATCGGGTTCGGTGGGTACTCTCATGTTGATTTCCTTGTCGAAGCGGCCCCCTCTTCGCAGTGCTGCGTCGAGGGTGTCCAGTCGATTCGTCGCAGCGAGGACGATCACCGGTTTGCCGTCCGTCTTCTCCAGCGTCAGATCGTCCATGCACACGGACAGTTGCGCAACAATCCGTTTCTCCATCTCCCGCTGTGCAGTCTCTCGCTTTTGAGCGATGGCGTCGATTTCGTCAATGAAAAGCAAAGATGGGGCACAGCTCTTTGCTTCCTCGAATAGATCCCTCAGAGCCTTCTCGCTTTCACCCGACATGCCCGAAACGATACTGGTGGCGGAAACGGAAATGAAATTGACTCCTAGCTCTGCGGCTAATGCGTTGGCTATCATTGTCTTGCCACAGCCGGGGGGTCCGTGCAAGAGGATGCCACGCGGTGGTTGGACCTTGTTCGAGGCGTAGATCTCTGGCTTGCTCATGGGGATGACGAGCAATCGTCTCAACTCTTGGATGACCGGGGTAACACCACCTAGCGACTCTAACGAGACGTGCGTTGGGGGAGACCTGTCGATTGAAGCATTGCCAGCTCTGCGCTTCTTGGGGCGGGGTTCGCCATTCGTAAGGCGTTGTGTGGTAGCGACTTGAGAGGATTCCATATTGGGGGTTGAAGCTGCTTTTGGTGTAGGTGCAGGTGACACGGCGGAAGTTGACCAGGCACTGACGATGCTCTTATTCAATTTATTCGACAGAGGTTTGTGTATTTGCCGCTGCTGCTGCTGCTCCTCCTCCTCTTCAACAGCCACAAAATCTTCCGAACCAGATTCCTGATCCTGCTGGATGGTTTCGAGGACCCGTTGGATGCTGTCCTCGAGTAACTTTTTCGGTCTCCGGTTCAGACTTGAGTTGGACGCCCGAATCTCGTCGTATACCACGGCGAAAGACAAAGAGGTGTTTTGGACGTCTCCGTACTGCGCGCGGTCGTCGATGATCTTGCGGACCACTTGATATACCTGCAAACATGTGGTGAGCACAGATTTGGTTGTGGTATGGGGCAAAAGCAGCATACCTCTCTATCCAAGCCTTGACCCAGAGTTTGACGCCGACGACCGCCTCGAGCCATGCCGCGTAAAGTGGGCGGCAATTGTAGAGGGGGTTAGAAAACTAAGATGTTTCGTGGGCGCATTTTCACGAGTTTTTTGTCTCGACGCCTCCACGATCTGAGCCTCGTCCCCGCTCGCTTGGCCTCGAAATTTTCCGGCGGATCATTTACTCTCCGAGGCGCAATGCCAACAGTAATATTACGAAGCGTCACAGCACAGCGGTACGAACAATGGAAAGTTGTTGACTTGCTCGTATTTAGGGGCTTGTCCGCCCAGTGTCTTGCCATGACAAGAGGATAGTTCCTTTTTCTAGCTAATGTGGTACACGACATTGCCGGCCTTCCAAGCGTGCCGCTATTGTCAAGCGGCGATTGACTGCACCACGCCTGGCACCCCGGAGAATTGGACATCTTACTGAGATGCGCTTGTCTTATCGTCCCTCTTGCTAGAGAAGCCCAGGTCGCCCAAGTGTGTGTGGCTAAAACTTGTTCCGTACTTCAGACCATACCCCAGCATGCGGTCCATGCCAATATGCGCGAGCCAACTCAAAGCCAGTCCAGTGAGGGTCTTGTTATCTCGTGCCAACCCCATGCACAGCAAAAGTATGGGAGGCGTTTCCGTATGAAAGGTGTTGTACAAGAAGGCGCCAGCCGAGGTATTGGCAAGATATCCCGCCATACCCAGATCTGGGGTCAGGAGGAGAGCGGCAAAGGTCCACCACGACTGTCTGGAACGTGAATAGGCCCAGATGGTTGAACCGAATATGCAAGCACCTTCGAGCTGCAAGAGCCTTCGCGGCCAGGTCTTGACAAAGCCGTCGTTCATGGCGGACGTATTGGTGGAATCAGATAGAGAGGGCGAGGGAGAGGGAGAGGGAGAGGGAAAGGTGTGTAGATGGAGATGCTGAATAAACAACCGTGGAATTGATCCGATGAAAACTGCGCGGACGAAACGTTGGAGGTCAAAAGGTGCTTCTCCAGCGGCGGAGCGCCCTGCTGTATGATGTCAACAACAGTCCTCGATGTGCCTTGTGCCCATCCTTGGATCTTGACCTGAAAAGCAGCGAGCGCAACAACAACATTCACGACCTGCAGGAAAGGCGCCGGGGTCGTGATGCTTTTCCCACTCGAGAAGCTATGTGTTACTACCACTTCATTCGGATTGTTGCCATCCTTGTCGGGGCTATCCATCTTCGGCAGGTACATAATCTACCTTGAGGGCTATACAGTCGAAACAGGAAGGTCAGAAGGCGTAAGTCTTCCCCGTGCTGCGCCTTGTCCATAATCTGCTTGGAAAAGGTCGTTGCATCGGCAGTCGCAACGACGGTCGCGTTTCGGCCCCTCTTCACTCCCGGTATTCATTCTGTCTCGAGTATAGTCCTTTTCTTCGTGCCGGCCGCGTACTCTTGTGGAGACGGAGCCCGGTGCACCATACTGTGGCTTGCTGTAGCGCGCGATATATGGCCCAAAATGCTCAGAACGCGCATACATGACACCGAGCAACCACCTCCTTAACCCATTATTCTCATATTTGTGCACTAACACCGCCCGTTTCGCCGTTTGGACTTTTCAGCCCAGGCGCCTTGGTCGCATGTGCTTGACAATGCCTGTCGGGCACTGCAGCGCTTCGCTCACCTTGCTGGTCGCTTCCCTCTTCATCCCAGCCACGAGGCGGTAGTTTTTCCTCAGCCTTCTGCCTCATTGACCGCTCTTGCTCCTCCTCTTCCCCCTCTTCCTCTTTTCTTCTCCTTCGTCGTTGCTACCCCCTCCGCCTCCAGCATCTGGTTGCGACTGTGGCCGATCGTACTGTTTGCCTCTGTCGAGCTTCACCATGCCCACAGCTGTCGCTGAGTCCACCAGCGCCGCGCAGTTTTCCGATTCGAGCTCCCCTGCTTCCACTGCGCCGTCCACTCTTCCCAGCGCTATCGCCAACACTACAGCTGTGCTCAGTTCCATTCCCACCCAGGCTGACGCCACTGCTACCACTTCTGCCACATCTTCGAAGCCAGCGAGCAACAGTGACACTCCGGGCCGAGTTACTGTCACGACAACGACCACGAGTCTGAGTACAACTACCGGTACCAACTCCTCCTCGCCCGGCTCAGGAGGAAAGCTCTCTTCGGGCGCAGCGGCTGGAATTGGGGTTGGAGTCGCAGTCCTGTTCCTCATCATCCTCTCGGTTATCGTTGCTGCTCTCATCTTGAGGCGGCGGCGGCGGCGGCGTGGTCTAGCCGAAAAACATCAGCACCAAATCATGTCAGGTGTATACTATGAAAAGCCGGAGCTTGAGGACACAGGAATGCCAAACAGAAGCTTGCTTCGCAGTGAACTGCCAGCACAGAGACCGAGTTGGGACGGTGGCGATATCATTTCAGAGCTGGAGGTTTGTCTTCTGCCCTCTTCCCGTTACTCGCATATCTTTGCCCTTGCGTTTTGAGGTTCGAAAAGATCTTTGGAAACGGAGCCATCATCTTTTGTTTTCCCTGTTCCGTCTCCTCGACTCTGACTTGTTTCATTTGCTTCAGGGTTCACGGCCAAAAATTCCGACGCGTACGACAACTGCGGAATTGGGTGCAGATTGAACGGAACGAAATCATCATCCTGCACCAGTATCAGCTCGAGGGTGAAAACGCATATGTTTTGTTGTCCGGGACAAAATCGCCACCGCAGCTGGAGCTGGCTGGTGTAGACTTCTTTCCGCCACATTGAGTGAGAATCGTTGCCTCAACGGTCTGCACGAACCAAGACCAATTTTCCGTGGACTGCAGAGTTATTGATCCTACTGCGCAATTTCACCGGCCCAGTAGGCGAGAAGGAACGCAATACGACCCTTGTTATGTTCAGTTGCGGACTGGCAGCTGAAGCGAATCCCATCATGAAACATGACAACGGTGTGCCGCGAAGCACATGTAATATAAGAACGTAAGTCAGCTGAGACCATCACAACTTCCATGATCCTCAGACATATATGGCGAAAGAGTTCTGCCTCTCTCATTCACCTACCTCTTGCGCTCCCTTATTGTCGTGCTGAATAGATGAAGTATCACAGGGCAAGCCAGGGGAACTTACACAACCTTGTCTTTTCAATTTGCTAGCCTCGTCATTGTGGCCAAGTGACTGTGTAATCTCCTGCGCATGCCATGAGGCTCTTTGTCCTCGTCTCAAATCCTTTCGTAGTTGTTTCAAACCCTTCACAGGATAGATTGGGGATGGGAAGAAGTGCCTGCTGGCAAGACCCTTATTGTCCAGGATTCGATGCCTTGTTCGACGAGAGCCACACTCTAGTCCTTTCGAGGCGGTGCAAACAATGGCATGAAGGTCGAGCTGTCAGACGAACTCTCATTTGACGTGTCGCCGTTCAGCCTCATGCAAGCCCGTTGTATCTGATTACGCCACACCTGTTCCTCTTCTGTATGTAGCGTGTGCTCGATGGCTGTTTGACTCGCAAGCAAGGACAAGGCAAGAGGTCGCTTCATCGGAGCGAAGTGCCAAGGCTCCGCCCGAGGTGGGCTGAGCGTCTGGATTCTGGGGAAGAAGAATTGGGGCCCGTGGCTCAGGCTTGTGAGGCCCGGACCCAGACTCCAACTCAAGCACCAAGCCGCCAGGGGGGGCCGCCCGGGATGACAAACGAGGCATGTGGCATTTCAACTGTCCTTAATACCATTTCTCACTTCCCTGTCTGCGCGCTTCTCACAGATGACCCCTAGGCAATCATCAGAACACTGTCGTTGATACCTATTGACAAGTCCGCTTTCCCGTATGTCAATACCCGTCAGCCGCAGCTGACAACCCATCTCTTCCTCGATGCGCACAACGGCTCGATGATTCGATGATTCGCATTGCTGTCGCTAGGCCCACCGTGCCTGGATGCCCGTCCTGAACCCTTTCCTGCGCGCGCTCTTTCAGAGTAGTGTGCTAGGTCATGCGCTCCCCGCCCAGAACTACGTTCTTCTTGTCCCTACGACCGAATCCCTCCTTTACGGCCAAGACCGCGAAACCAACAAGAGGTACACCGACCATGTCGAAGACGAAGATTTCCTTGGAAGCCACATCCTCCGAATCATCCCTACGACGGCGGAGAAGGATGGAAATGTCCGCGACGGTCGTGGCAAGGCGAAAAACTACTCGACCGTCAATGGTCGCACGGTGATCCTCAAGGAGAATACCGTGTATAGTAACAAGGGGTTCAAACATTTGAACCAGGCGACTCTTTTGAGCGACTTGCTGTACTATTCGCCGGGAAATGATATGCAACAATGGCTCGTCTACTACATTTCGAAGCCACTGACTGGTCTCTTCGAGGCGTTGCCCATCAAACCGGCAATCATTGGGGAGACCCGAATCAACCATATTACACCTGGCACCTCGTCCACATCTTCAGAGCCTCCGACCCCGAAAAAGAAAGATATCAAGACCTTTGGTCAATTGTTGGAGAACTTTCCCATGATTCAGCGACAAATGCAGCCCGGCCTAGAAAGATTGTTCAATGAGTTTAGTAAGGAATTGGGAAAGCCTCTCCCCCCGCCGCCTTCGCGCAGTCCAACGCCCAGTACATTGGACGGGACGACTCAAGCTTCGGAAACTGGATCTGTCAGGTCGAACGGTTCTGTGAAGTTGCCGTTCAACTCTCCTGCGTATTTCGAAGATGAGGAGGATCTCATGCGGACGGCCCTGGAGACTGCCGTCACAGCTGCGATCGATCTGTTTCAAGGTGTCGACAAGCAGCAGCTTTCCTACTTGGGTGCAACAACCGATTTGACCGGTCCCGACGTGGAGAAATTGATAGAACGTTACGTGGCCGAGTATGTCCATCCTACTCTATTGTTTCCTCGATTATGTGCGTTTCACAAGGCGCAAGATCAAGAACTCGATCGGCGGATACGACAGATGGAATGTTTAGACGTCTCTCAGGTCGGGATAGTTCTTGAAGACGGAAGAAATGGCAAAAGAGATCTCATCAACCGGGTCAACCGTGGTGTCGCGGTGTTTCGAAGGATGGGCGTTGCCGGGAGTCCTCAAGAAATGCTCGATATTCTTCTCGAGACCCAAAAAGTGGTATCGGAGCCACAGGGTATTTCGGATGAAGAAAAAAGGGCAGTGGCTGCAATGACGATAAACGCGGATATTCTGGTGTCCCTGCTCCTCCTCGTGGTTACTCGCGCTTCAGTCAGGCATCTCCAGGCAAGATTGTCCTATATGCAGCGCTTCATTTATATTGACGACGTCGAAAGTGGCGAAATTGGGTATTCACTGAGTACTCTGGAGGCCGTACTGACATATCTCGCAAGAGATGCCGGTGGTCTGCGAAAGGCATCAAAGCAGAACCAGTTGCTCTGGAAAGCAGTCAAAAGTGGAAAGATCGACGATGTCAGATCAATATTCGAAGAGTCGGCCATTATGTCAGACGGCCTTGTCGAAGAACCTGCGGAGGTTCCATTGTCTAGGAGGACAACAGCATCTACCAAATCCTCTGAATCATGTTCGAGAGCGACCTTGTCGCGAACATCGTCGAGTGAGGGTGGTCTGTCGCACGTATTTCCCTTTCAGGCAGCAGAGAGAAAGAATCTGCTACCCAAACAGAAGAAAAAGGTGCAGATGGCAGCTAGGAGCATGTCAGTCTCATCGGCATTTTCACATTCATCTAGGGCCGCCACAATCGAAACGTCGCTGAGCGGGATTGAGGGCGACACGTCTGTTCAGAGTCTGGCCCAAACACAAGATGCTGTAGGAAATTCGGTCCTCATGATGGCGGTTGAAAACCAGCGGCCAGAATGCCTTCGATACCTGCTGAGTCTTACAGAGCATTACAGTCCAGAAGGAGTGCTGTCAGATGTAACTCAGGAAGGGGCAACATTGTTGAGCGCCGCAGTACAGTTGGCCAACATGGATCTCGTTAATATCATTCTGGGTTATGCTGAGCAGCACGCCGATGAGCAAGTGTTCCGCGAGTATCTGTCTGTCAAGGACTCTCGGGGACGGAGTGTGGCACATTACCTATTCAATACTCCTCAGCTGATCAAAAGACTCGCAAATGTCCTTCCCTGGCGGCAAAAGGATAAAATCGGCCATACGCCTTTGTTTGCCATTTGCCGGAGTTATGACCACGCTGACTATAGCAGCATGGTCTCGGAAGCTCTGACGGCTGCAAAGGAAGCTCAACAAGATGGCGGCCCGCTACGCATGGAAGACCACATAGACAACAAAGGCAACTCCTTGCTCCATATCGTCAATGATGCGACTATCATGCAACGAATTCTGCAAACTTGCGAAGTCGATCTGAACGCCATGAACGACAAGAAGTTTACCCCGCTGATGTTAGCAAGCAAGTACGGGAGAGTCGACATGGTTCGAATTTTCCTCAGCGACCCAAGAATAGATCTGCATCTGCGGGAGTCTCGGGGACTGACTGCTGTGGAACTGGCAAAGGATGACGAAGTACGGAACAGAATTGACGACTTGACATTGTTCTCGCCTGCAAATACAGCCGATGGCACGGGAAGAATTACAGCGATCGTCCGGTCATTCTTCGTCGAGGATGGCTCCACAAGATTCATCCTCAAGTCTGGCGCCCCGAATCCCGCGGTCTCAAGCACGACATATACCATTACCACAAGCCGACGCTCGTTGCAAGACTTTGAGAACCTGGCGAAATGGCTATTGATGGATTTCCCAGCGTCATACATGCCGACTATGCTGGCCTCGAACTTCCGGAATCCTTTTCAGCTACACTCACGACCGTCGCGCGCAGCACTATATGATATCCAGACTAGTCTTGACCGGTTTCTTAAGATCTTGTTGAAACATCCTACTTTCTCCACGCACGAGATGCTCTGGGAATTCTTCCTCGTCCCAGACATGCTACAAGAACAGATGGCCGATCGAGCACGTCTGAAAGCCGAACTGATACGGGAAAAGATCAACGATGAATATGATCCACTCATATCCCGGGCAGACATGATTGCCGTGGACGGTCTGGTTTCTCATTCGAGAGACATTGTGCGGAAAATTAATATCTGTACTAGATCGTCCATACGGAAGGGTCACGCTTATGTTCAAGCGCATGCGGACTTTGCGGAGGCGTTGAGCTTGTGTTCGGTGGCCTTTGCGACAATGGGATCCCCTGCGACGACTCTTTCGAAGATGCACGTTGACTCGTTTTTGAAATTTGCCGCCTTGATGCATTCCGAGCCGGCGAGTTCTCCTCTGCAGAACTATGTTTGTAGTTTGAGCTCCTTTCATTCGACGGTCGCGGCTGTGCAATCAGCACTGCTGAAGCCGAGCGCGTTGATCGACCGGATCACGGCAGCTCAAAGGGCGATGGACAAGGACAAGTCAAACTTGGTGAACAATTCAATCCCTAGAAAAGGAGTCCTGAAGAATCTCAATCTACCATTCCCGGGCACCGAAGAATCACGTATAAAGGTGGTTAAAGATACAGAGAAGAAGATCTTGGAAAGAGGATTGGAAATCGACAAGTTAGGCCGAGAGTTGCGGTATTCTCAGGAGGTGGTCGTCGGGGAGCTGGCGGGCTGGACGACATGGAGGCAAGAATGGGGCCGAGCAGAGATGAAGCGGCTTGCTCGAGGGATTGTGGTCCGGGAACAGGAACGGCTGAGAGGCATGCAGAGAATACTCAGGGCCTTGAAGGGGAGCTGACGTGACGAGCTGACGTCCATCTCGGGACCCTGGGTTTGCACAATTAATTGGTCAAAGAGGACGACGCGAGAAGGGAGTGTGTCTTATTTCTTTTGAGCCTAATGTTTAGTGGCAGACGAAGGACTCGACGGATGAATGCGGCATGTATAAAACCTGCAACAGCGGATGAGGTCGATCCATCAAATGATACCCAGCCGGAATGGGACTATGGTATAGAGCAGCCAGTACACTATCTATTCGTCGTCAAGGAATTCATATTTGTTTGTCTTTCATGCTTTGTGTGTTCTTGAATCCGTAATCTGCATATCATACATAGTCTTGCCATGCCATGCCATGCCGTGCCGTGTTAGACGGGCTTGGGCGAGTCTATACCGTTCCCCGTCTGATCCATTTTCCCTTGTAGCCGATCTAGCCGTGCGTCACCTTCTTGACTGTGCCGTCCTTGTCGACGTGGATATTCAGCCTGTGTGCACGCGGCAAGACGTGCAGAAGTTAGCCCAGACAGCTTCATACCGGTCTCATCTGTAGCCACGACAAGTACAGTTTTGTCAACATGCTTGTCCGCCCTCGCTTTCCTCCTCCTCCTCTTCATTCCCTACCTGCTTTATAGCACCCAGCCGCCTTCACATGTGAGTTTTGATCCCACTCCCATTCTCCGATACCTCCTCCCATGCCGTCCTCACATTGGAGAACGGCAAATGGAACCGCACACACAGACACAACAGATAGCAGGGTAATGGAAAAAGGCAGCGTACCGGTCTGGGTTATGGTCCATGGTCATCATCCCGCCCTCCTCGACGACGCGGTGGTTCTGCGGCAGGTCCTTCTTGGCAAACTGCGTCTCGGTGCTCGTCTCGCCCAACCGCTTGCCCATGAGCTTGTCCATCCACTCGCCGGTGGTGGTGTTGCCGCCGGTGTTGTTGATGCCGGGGACGACGAGAGGCATCTTTTGGGTTTCTTTTCTAGGTTCTTGTGGTATTGGGAGAAGGGGAGCAGTAAGGAGGGGGGGGGAAGATGGATACGTGGACGGGGGTCAGGGCTTGCTTGAGGGGTTGAAGTCTGTCTTTCCTCAATGGTGGTTCTAGGAAGAGAGGGGAGGATAGGATTGATTTGGGTACTATCTCGGTAGGACGAGTCTCAGGGAGAAGAGAGAAGAAAACAGAAGCAAAGTAAGGAAGTACAGGGGGAGTGAGAGGTCTTTTGTAGGGGACTTGTACCGTTTGATTGATGCCTGGTGTTGCACCTCACATGCCTGACGATAGACAAAGTTTCGCACGCAGTTGGGGAGGGCAAAGGACATGACGTCGTTCAACCGAGACTAAGCAGCCCTCTGGTGTAACGCATTACTGGTCCATGCGAGCTGCATCTGCATGTATCTGCGTCATTGACCGATGAACAGGTGATCGCCTGTGGTCAATTGGCCCTGCATCTGCATACAAGTACATATACTTTTCCCGAGCGAAGAATTATTTTGTATTTTTTGGAAGCCCCTTCCATCCACCCCCCCAAAGAGGCAAACGTGGCTGGTCAAGTTAGCAGCCTTATCCATGGCTATCCAGTTTTGCCCCCTTTCCGGCCTCCTTCGTGGGGGTCATCAATGACAGGACCCATGCTCGTCAAAGGGATAAAAGTACATTGCTTTGGAACCCCCTCTCCAACAGCCATCAGTTGGAACAAGAATGTTGATCTAAAAGCACACACATCAGGACCGAGCTGAGTTGATCCTGACAACCGACACATATGAGAGCGTAGAATCCACCAGTGTTGCCAAAGAATGCTCGCTAAATGCGGAAGTATCGACACTCTCGGCTGCAACCTTTTGCGCCAGAGAGATCAGATGTAATCTCTGGCCGCCTTCTGCAATTCAATCATCCTCCACCCTCTCGTCTCGGGATTGTTGACTTCTTCTGGTATTCTCGTCACCCCAATGGCGTATGTTACCAGCTGCACCTTGTCTTCCATCCCTGCCGCCAATTCATTCGTCTTTGCGTTGCGATAAACGTGGACTTCTTGCGTCCGACACGTGATGATGAAGACGGGGATATCGCCAGGCTCCAGTAATCGAGCATTCAGGATGTCGACATGTCTGATGTCTAGAATCCGTCCGTCCGATTTCAAACCCGCCTTGGTGTACTGTTCCATCAGAGCTGAATAGACTTGGAACTGTGCCGCTGAGAGCCACAATTTCAAAGTTTCGACGTCGCCCTTAACGTAAGCGTCGAGCACCTCTGGCAAAATGTATTCTCGCATATCCCGCAGGAAGGGCTCCAACTGGAAAGAGGGGTCCATTTCGCGGAATTTCTTGATGACCATGGCCGTCTCATTCTCTGCAAAAAACCCGGCCACTCGGTCGGAGATGGAGCGCGCTGTTGAGATCAGGGGGTTCTCGGATTCTTCATATGTCGTTTTCATGTTGAATAGACTCTGCATTAGCTTGGAGTTCTCTTTGAAACTGTTCCATTGCTCTCGCCATGCTGAGTCTTTGTGGACGGTAATATTGGTTCCGGCGCTGCAATAATTGTTAGAGGCACACGTTGTAGAGTGCTTTCGGGGCGCACTTACTTTGGATCTTCAACCATGGGTTCGTCCTTTTTGTTGGGCGATTGTGCTTCTTTCAATCTTCGGGCTTCTTCCCTTTTTCTTCGCTCCTCCTTCTCGATCCAGCCACCATATCTGGAGCTGCTCCCATCATCAACTGCTTCCGAGACGTCCTTGAACGCCTTTGTTTCCCGAATTGGCCGAGTGGCTTTTTCAATCCCACGACCGGTGGCGTTGACTCCTTTTCGCACACCCTGTACGACAGGCGTTTCCCAAGCCCATGCCGCACCCTGGCCGATGGCGCTGGCTGTGCTCTTCAACGCTTGCGATGTGCCCTTGGATGCGGCCTCGGAGGCCTCTCGCGCCCTTCTTACAGCATCGGATTCGGTAAACTGCTGGACGGAGCCCGAGAGTTGTTTTGTGGATTCATTCCACTCTTTGGACGCCTTGAATTCTGTTCGGAGGGTGTCGACAAAAACTTGCCAGGGAGTTTTGTCGCCGTGAGGTGGTGGAGGTGGAGGGGACTCTTTCCCTTCCTTTTCTCCCTTCTCTGATTTTTCCTCCTTCTGATCCTTTCCCTCTTTTTCCTCACTTGCTTCTTTTTCTGGTTTGTCGTCCCGTGGCGGATCTCGGACTTCCTGTTTTGGGTCTTCTTTAGACTGGGTTTGTTGGGACCGAGTTCCGGATGTATGGAGAGATCGAAGGAGGGTCTGGTTCGAAAGGATGAGTCTGGGGGAGAACGGGGTCAGGTGTAATGAGGGATTGAGAGATTTTGAGTGTTGTCCTGACTGGAGTAATCTTCTGTAGACTGCTGTCCTCCCATACTGCGCCGACGTTCGGAGCGTGGCAAGTTGACTGGTGGCTGTCACATAATGACGGACACCAAGAACAGGTGCGCGACGCAGTACAGTCATGCTACGGAGCGGTTATCTGCAAGCAGGAATAAAGAAACGAGCAGAGCACTGAAAGAAAAGAGTTCAGCAAGCTCGTTCATAGTCAGTTGATGCAACTTGAAGACGGCGGAGGAAATCGAATTTCGGCTCCGGCTAAGCTTCCTGTTCCGTTGTAGATCCAATTGCATCTTTCTTGCACCACGGACTGCACAGTGTTCAGTGCACTGCTCCTTTAAACTGGCGACGACCACATCATAGACAAGGCAACATGGCGCATCCAAGGGCCCCTTTGCTGTCGTCCATGTGCAGATCGTGTAGGAACTCCTACCTCACGCAGTCACGACGCGCCATCTCAGATTCAAGTCCAAGCTCTTCCAGAGAACCAGAGCGCCAGCCCACCAGACTGTCCGAACGTCTAGGGATCAAAGTCAATGAAGAAGTCCCTGCAAAGGAGACTGATGCTCTGAGCCAGTTCCACGAGCTTCTACGCGGAAGTTCGAACAGCAACGCAGCGTCGCCAACCACGAACAATTCGATGCGCTCCATCTTCCAAAGAGATCTCCGGAACGTCGCACAATCTGCACAAGCAGAAGCCGCAACGCGACCTTCTGTCAGGAGCTCGTATACGGACGAGCCATACCACATTAACGTCTACGCCCACCGGCACAACACCCACATCACGTTCACCGAACCGAATCGTAATCCGATCTTATCCTTCTCGTGCGGCAACCTGGGACTTCGCAATGCCCAAAAAGCATCCTACGATGCAAGTTTCCAACTGGCAGCATACACCTTTCGGAAAATGGCAGAGAAACAGTGGAAGCTGGGAGGCAGCAAAAGCAACAAACACAACAACAACCCATGGTGCACGCTATCAAACATAAAGAAACCCGCGTACAGTGGTTCCCCAGGCGCGGGAATTGAGGTGATATTTCGAGGATATGGGCCTGGAAGAGAGGCCTTCCAGAAAGCACTGCTAGGGACGGAGGGGAGGATGATCAAGCCCTTAATCGCGAAGGTGACGGACGGGACGAGATTGAAGTTTGGAGGAACCCGGAGTCCGCAAGTTAGAAGGCTAGGTTGAGCAGGAGGGGGTTTGTATGTTGTACGATTACAGTGAGCGGATGGAAGCAAAATTTCATGCTTTCTGCTCTCGGATATAGACTCGCATGCAGAACAGCCCGCAGACTCTAGGGGGAAAGGACCATTTGTGAATCCACCTATCTATCTATTCCGGTTCCTTCTCAATATCCTCCTGGTGAATTCGAGAAATAGTCACCACCACTAACAGGGCTCAATCTCACTGGTGACGGACTCGAGCTTCCCTCCGAGCTTTCCTCCGTACCTTTACTCCTCGAGCGCGGTATTTGCAACGTCCCTGCGCCAGACACTGTGCGAGTGGGCTCCAAAAGGGTCGGCTTGTTCCTGAACCCCACGCCGATGATGACCCTCCTCAACGCATCCCCTCTGGGATCAATGCCCATCATGAACCTGGCAAGTTCGGCGCACAGCTCGAAATCCCCCTTTTGACGTGCCAGTTTCATGAGGCGGATGACATAGCCCTCGAACTTGCGGGCGTCGTAGGACTCGGATTCGTCGTTGCCCTCTTCTAGCCCCTGGAGAACGATGAGGTAGCCGCCGGCGGTTTTGAGGTCCTCGAGTTCGAGGGCTTGTTCGAACAGGGTCAGAGGGGGGGGGAGGTGTGCGAAGAGCGTTCGCCAGGACGAGAGCTCTGTTTTGCGGATGCATTGCACCACGGTCGATAAATATGTGGTTGGTGGGAGCACGAGTTGGAGAAACGAAAGGACAGCCGGCAATGGCCCCTGCGCCTCATCTTCTTCTTTGTCCCTCAATGTAGGTTTCCGATCAACTTCATCGTCGAGGACATTGTGTAGCAGAATTTCCAGCGCATGAGGAAAGTATGAGAGGTTCTGGTACTGGTTGGCCAGGCCGAATGCGGCGGGGGTGTCGTTTGCTTCACAGAGTTGGTGGCGAAGAATATAGGGAAGGAAAAGTTGGGTGCGAATGCTGGAGCGGAATTGGGCGAAATTGACGTCTCGCCTTTGGAGAAGCTCGGATTCAATACCCAGCACCACCCCTTTGGTGAGCAGGATGGATAAAGGGTAGAAGTCGATGGACATGGACAGTACTGGGGATGTGTTGAGATCCCCTGCAGCGTGGTGGAACAGGTCACGCACATCGGGCCAGAGACGAAGCTCATCACCGTTGAATATCCAGAGAGAGTCTCGCAACGAGTAGTTCTGCTGGCTTCGTAGGGTGAATGCCGATCCAGGTGACGGTGTGGGTGGCGCTGATTCATCCAGACCAGTGCTGAAGTTGAAGTATATCTGATCCCGCATGAGGATGTAGTACTCGACATGCTGAGCAACGACGCGCATGTCGTATTTGAGCTCGTCCTTTTCGTTCCGAGACGCTTGCAACAATACCAACTTGTCGTCGACGAGGAAAAGGACGGACGCGAATTCCACGTCTCTGGAGGGATCTCCGTTTCGGAGCTGGGAATCTGGCACGACCCAGCTGACGGACCGAACTCGACTTGGTGCACGGACGATGCCGTGAAAAGCGATTTGGCCCACCTGCACAAGCTGTGCGCCTCGATCAGTTATGTTGAGGATATAATGGTAGAGGATGTTCTCGTAGGTATAGACCAATAACGAATCTTCTCCCGAAGGGCCCACAAACACGATGGGCATGGAGAATGCTTCGTTATGCAATGGGAAACGGCCCAGTTCGAGTTCCCGCGAGTACAGTCGCAAGTCGTACCCACTAGTATTCTCAGTTGCCACGGCAAGGACATGGTTGAACCAGCACATTCCTCCACGGACTGCAAACGAACTCTCTACCGACAAGTCGGAGAAAGTTTTCCACCTTCCACTCTGAAGACTGTAGTGGGCCAAGCCTCGACGGCCAGCAATTGCGACATATCTTCCGTCTTGTGACACAACGCACGACTTGATAGGCCACTGATTGTGTAGATAGACATGTGGATATTCGGCGTGATGCCAAAGGGATGCCTCATTCGATATAGAAGTCAAGTCGGGGAGTTCATGGCCACGATAGACTGTCAGCTCCGTAGGAGTTTGGAGAAGAGCACGAACGAGATTTGCGCAAGAAAAACAGCCCATAGCCGCGCTCCGCGACATTTCTAACTTCCAGATTCGGCTATCATACGGCGTCGTGAGGAGAATTTCGCCGCCTGCACCGATCCAAGTAGCTCGCTGGACAGCGAGGAGCCATTTCTCGGCATTGGATTCGGCGTGTGTTAGGTTCTGGTGGAAGGTCGAAGCGCCCTCCTTTCCAAACACTGACCACGTACACCAACCGTGTTTGTAGCCGACAAAGAGACAGTAGCCATCGGGAGACCATATAAGACATGTGATAGCGCCTCTGGACGATGGCGAGGTGGAAGCCCGGAAAGTGTGAGACAACGGGATATTCCCGGCGTAGTCTTTTGCAGAATAGCAGATGATTTCTCCACTCGAGGTAGCAACGGCGATGAGTGAGAATCGGGCATTGATACTCGCAAATGTCGCGCCTGAGGGTGATTCAGGCTTGTGAAAACAGTAGCCGTCAAACAGTCTGGTGGATGGGTTTGTGGATCCCTTTGAGGAGGGAACAGACTCGTCTGAAGACGGCGCCCGTGTCAACTGCGGTTTCATCCGCTGCACGGCATACGCATGGCCGTCCTGTGACAGCCAGACTGAAAGGTTCATGGCTCTGTCATGGATCATGGTTGATATGCTCGACTTTTGGGTGATCCAGTCCATCCTGTTCAGCAGCTGGGCAACCGCATTGGAGCCATCCTTCTGAAGGTCCCATCTAATGCACTGCACGGCAGCCGGTTTGGTCGTTGCCACGATTATTTCCGAGTCGAGGGCGTTGATTGAATTGATTCCCGCATCGATCTTGATGGCTCTTCGGAAGCGCAGGAGGACCTCTGGCACCCCAGCAGTCTCGTCTGTCCCAAAACTTCGCATGACATTTTGACGTTTTGCTTGGCTATACCCATACTGCTGTTGCAGGACCCGGGCAGTCTGGTCGCTCTCTACAGAGTATAGCATCAAATAGGCCCCCGCTGTGCGAATGACCAAGGTGCTTCCATCTGGTTTGAATGCGACGCCAAGATTCTTGCCGTAAGTTTCCAGCGACTTCGACGAACGAGAGAGCGAGGCGAGGACAACCAAAGGTCGCGTTGACCAAAGATCTAAGCGAAAGGGGCTGATCGTCGCAAAGAGGTGGTCATGCCGCGCAGCTTGAAGGTCGACTATGGCATTGGAGTCGTCATCCGTCGAATCATTCTTCTCTACGTCTTCCCTCGAGCCTTCTTCATGGCCGGCTTCTGCCTCTTCGGCTTGGTGTGCGGCTAGGGCGCTGGATCCATGGTATGCGAAAATTTGCGGCACGCTGCATGGCCAATACATAATTCAACGAATCAATGCCCAGCCACATGTCTGTTGACAGTCATCTTCTTCCGCGCTGCCACCGCAATTGACTCCAGGACTTGTCGAGGCTTGAAGCTGTCGTCGAGATGAATTGCTCGAGATTTCGGGCTGATCTGATTGATGCCAAGCATATTATCGACTAGTCCCAGATGGGAGGATGGTGATGCCGCCCTGTGCCTTGGCTTGACGGTATTGAAGAACAGATCTCTTTGGAGTTTGGACTCGAGGACATCTCCAGACAATCGACACGTTCATAAACACCCCAAATTCCAGGCCCAAACAATGGCGCTATCGTTGACCTCGAGCGTTGCGGATCGATGCAGAGTTGGTTCCTGGTATCATGAAACTGTTGTTCGTCGCTGATCGTTCAAACTCCAGTTACCGGAAACGCGCTTTTGCGGTGTTCTACGACACGACTCAAGTTAAAGGTAAGCCACATGCGCCTATTTTGCCGATAGAGAACTTGAAAACAGTGTGATAAGCATGAAATTCCCCCAGCCGCGCCGTCTTCGAGACAATCTCACAACCCCAGAGTGGCCTCACAGTGCCAGTCGATCCATCCCAAGAGCTCAGAAGCGAGCCCCGCCTTACGCCATCTCTGCTCAACGAGATGATGACTCCAACGCCTCGCTGAATTGCTCAAGACTTTTGCCCTCTTTAGACATCAACAGGGTCTTGCAAACTCGGTTCTTCAGAGTCGGCCCTACATCGCTAGATTCCGGAAAAGGTGTTGTTGAGACCCGGCTAGCTGCTCTAGTTGATAGAGTTGGGTCCTCAGCTGTTGGATTTCATTGGCCATATGCCGTATCTCCACCTCCGACTGGTGTATATAGTTGATCGCATTGGTGAAAACCTCAGCTTTACGGACCCTGTCGCCCAGCGTTGATGGAGGCGAGCTGCCTGTGGCTCGGCGCCGTGTCATCCGTGGGTTCGCCCCTATTGCGAGGAGAGTGTCATGAAGCTGAAGTATCTTATCCTTCAAATTATCGCGGTATCGACGCTCGATTTCTGAATGGGTTGCCTTCGCTTTCAGCATGAGCGCTTCGGGATCGCTCGATGGCTCTTTCGATTTTGGCTTACGACCTCTTTTGGCTGTGTTGGTCGAACTGCTAACGGCGGAAGTTTCCCGAGAGTTCATAAGGGAGTTCTCTGATAGTTTCCCACTGTAATTGGCGCGCTTGGAGTTGGACGGACGTGGAGGTGAATTCAGTACTCTGAGGCTTGCGGGATCCGGGTCGCTCGAAGAAGGCTGTTGAGTGAAAGAGAGATATGGTTCGGGCGTAGCAACGCCAGCGCTGAACCCAGTCTGCCCCAGATACGGGGAATATGTAGAGGTTAGACCACCATCAACGGCGTTCATGTCCAAGGCAAGATCTGGAAAAGAATCTTGGCCTGGCCGCAGGAGAGCGCTATCCGCTAGAAATGTGTAATTCACGGGAGTTGGAAGCATGGGATCCTGGTCTGCTGAGAGCGCATTTCCATTCTCTGAATAGGCAAATTCGAGGAAAGGGTCGTTCGTCGGCTGCGACCGTTTCGTTAGTTGGGGTTAGGAGAAACCGACATCTCAGACCACGTACTGCTTGGTCATCGAGGGCAGCCTGTCCAAGGCCTGGAACAGATGCAAAGGCCATGTTTTTTCTTCACGCAGCAAAATGATTTCTGGTTGTTCTTCATGAATGTGCGATGCAATGCCCAGACTCACGGGACACTGAGAGAAAGGGGCATTGATATATCTCTCCATGCTGGACCATGTGGCTCGTCGACACGGCGAGATCCGCCTCCAAGCAGCCGGGTCTGACATCTAGTACAAAGTTTGCAAAACCGCCAATATGCAAGGAGCCATGTGGTCCTGAGAAGGTTTTCTTTGGACTCTGCCTTAGGTCCAGGTACCGTGTACGAATCCCCAAGCAAACACACGTTAGGGTCTCTGGACGAGGGCTAGAACACGTCGTCCTGCAGAGCGCATTGAGGATTGTTCTCGTGTCACCCTGGCAGTTTCCTTCTAGCCAATCAGCGGCGCTGGAGACACTTCCATCCGGTCTCTGTGGTGTGCGGAAAGTACCGGAACTGTCTTGTTCCTGTTTGGGCCACCAATCAACAACGCCGGGTTTGTTTCCAGCGGTTCTGGTTGGCGGATGACTTTCCACGTCGCGGCTGATGCTTCTGACGACCAGCGACAGACGAAAAGTCGATGCTTCCCCTCTCCGTTTGTACCAGGAAGCTTTGGCGGATTATTATTCCTCTCGTCCGTCAGTGGACTAGCACCTGACCTTTTCTTTGCGTCAGACCACCCCACGACCACTGCAACAAGGCTATACCCTCATCTGCAAAGGGCAGAGGATACGACAATCATGGCCAGAATTGCCCCGGATTACCGGGATCTGGCTGCAGCCTCGTCGGCCACCGCTCCTGAGCCCGCAGTTCCTCGGGGGTTGAAGAGGAAACGTCCGAACACCAAGGTGGCCTGCCAGCACTGTCGCCTGCGGAAGTGGGCTGTAAGTCGCACCTCCCCAGCTGCATCTTGTCAGCCACCCCCATCACCATCCGTGATCTCCTGGTTTGCGCCGTTTGAATCGAGCGCATGTTGATAATAGATTATTTAGTGCGATGGTGACCGCCCTCAATGCTCGTCGTGCCTCAAACATGGTGTCACCTGTGTCTACTCGAGTATTGACAAGTCGGAATCGCATATCGGCATCCTTAAAAGAGAAAATGATGCCCTGAGACAGCGATCCGAGCATCTAGAAGAGCTACTAGATCTCCTGAAAAACTCGCCAATGGATCTGGCCCAGCTGACGTTGTTGAAGCTTAGATACGCAGATCCTGACTCGGTGGTTGGGCTGTTGCGCGGTGGCAGCCCCAGGAATCGTCTTTCTGAACAGAAGACGGCCCATGCATATCTCCCTGAGATCCAATCCCATCTGGAGTTCGCAGAGATGGTTCAACACCCGGTTGCATATCCGATGCTGGGCATGGGGACGGATAAATTTCCTGTTACGAGTATGATGCCAACATTTCCCCAGGGTCAGATTCCGCCGCCCCTGAAAAGGGAGCAGAGCAGCTCTGATAGTCCTAAAAATGTCCCGGATCCTCTGTTTAGTGATGCTTCACCAGCTGTGGGAGCGATTACTCCCGAAGCAGCTACTATCGAGCAACAAGACACTCATCGTCCTAATAAGATTCAAATCCAACTTGGTCCCCAGCCGCCGCCTAGGTATCCCTTGGACCCCCGACTGGGTGGCTTGAACATTGAATTTTGGACGAATGTTTCTATATCTAATGAGTTTGCGGCCGGGGCGATCTCCTTATACCTAGAAACGGATCATCCCTTCTTAGGCCTGTTCGATGCGGATTTGTTCGTTGATTCCCTTGTGAGTTGCAGCTTGAGGTTCTGTTCTTCCCTTTTAGTGAATGCGTTGCTCTCCTATACCTCTGTAAGTATAGCCGAACCCCACGCCGCCAGCGTCGGCATCAGTCACGCCACACAGCTATTACTGACCAATACTTCAGCAAGGATACAGCTCCAAAGATCCGTCAGCTCTGAGCAGGAGCTACGAATTCCAAAGCGAAGCCGAGCACCTATTGACAGCTGGAAACCTGTCCGATTCCCTGTCCAACCTAGCTGCCTTGACCCTCCTATGGATAGGTCATATATGCCATGGCTCGGGTAAAGATGGACTACCCAGTGTGATTGCCGGGATCGAAATGGCCAAGAGAATGAGGCTGTACGGGGTGTCAGATACACTGACAACCCACGACTGGCTATCCGAGCCCACGGAAGACCGGTCAGCGACCGCGCATACCGCGTGGGGTTGTTTCAACATGTCAATGTGAGTCAATAAACTAATGCGTCACGCCCTCTGGTCGTTGTTGGCCCTAAAATCCTTCAGGGTACAAACCCTCTACGCTACGTCCGTTGTTACAAAATACCCGCCTACGGTCCCCATTCCTGGGGCCTCCGAGGGACAAATCTCTCCAGCCGACGATGCAGGGGCGTCCAAGATTAAGTTTTCAGGCCCTGGGGATACATTTCAATCGTTCTGCAAATTTTGGAAGACAGCGTCGACTATATTGTTGAAATATCGTCCTGCCCAGGGTGAACCCAATGCCACTCTTGAGTTTACGTTGTCGGAATATCGCAAGATTGTGGGTTTAACCGACCTGCTTCCCAAGAAAATGTCATACCTTAGCGGTGCTGAAAGCCACGTGTTTGTGTTCCAGTAGGTGCAATCACCCAGACAGATCTTGTTCGGCTCAAGCCGTACTGACTGGCACCAAGAGTCTGGTTCCACGGATTGATTCTGGATATTTTTCGTCCCCACATCGCGGACAAGGATCAGCACGGCTTCAGCTATTTCTCCCGGAGTGCAGCTTTGCCGCAGGCCATCTTCGCCGCGTCTATCAGGCAACTAAAACAGATTATCCTCGTCTACGGTAACTACCCGGAATCTTCCTACGATATCTGGTGGCATATTGCCTTGATGTACGTCGCCAACGCGGTTGTCAAGGAAAGGGGAGACCCTGAGTGGCGCCCCTATTTCCTGCTCTGCCTCTACCACTACAATATCCTCGCCCGCTGCTTCGGCATGGTTCAATGGATTGTACCTGGACTCCTAACTATCGCAGTTCAATCTGGAGCCATAAGCAGCTCAGAGGCCCATTACATGAAGGAAGAGTTTCGTACCAATCAAAGAGTGAAAAGACCCCAGGGCAGTGGAGCGGGCTTTGTCTTGGATATGGATCGTGCGATCACAGATTGGAACGCAGCACAAGCCGACAGCCTCGCTGCCGAGTTTGAGGACCTGAGTTTGTTTAATGAGTTTACAGATGGCATTGTCTAACGCAGGTCCTAGATCCGGAATTTGGCTCCCACGCGATGCCGTGGCTACGACGGCAAAGGGGGTCTCACTACCCCAAGAATGCGCCTACCACGCCGGGCATTGGGCGTCCTGACGGGGACAGCTACAGCGATGTCCTCCCTTATCGAGATACATGTGTCCTATTGTAGCATCTTTCGACTGCATCTTCAATGGCAGTGGAGTTTTAGTTGCAACTGTGACCCTTGAGCGTGGTTTTCTCCTGCAGCATGCATTCGTGAAGCTGGTAGATTATCCAGTACGGAGTATTTAACTACCTAGCAAGCTGGGAAGTTGAGGCTCGCTAGGTTCCCTAGGCCTCAGCAGCCTGGAAATTTAACTCGGCCTTCGGTATATGCCGGCCTGTTCGTCAGCACTTTGGCCGTTGGTTCGCAGGGATTTGGCTGCGCCGCCGCTTTTAACCAGCCTCCATGAGAACCTCGGGTGCCCGCAGAGAGTAAGTATCCTTGCTCTTGATCCTTTGGACATCTCACGTTTTGTTCAAACCTCCCGATGTTCACCACCTTCTCCAGCTACGAATCTCCTTCGCCCTCAAGTCCTTCCCTTACACCGACTGCGGCGAGAGCTTGCGATACATGTCGTAGACTGAAAGTCAGAGTAAGTCCTAAGTCCTTGGTGCATCTCTACACTGGAAAAATCAACGCTGAAGAACACACCTAGTGTGGAAATGCGAAATGGATAGCGAGTTCTTCGTCGCAGGCCGCAGAATCTTGCAGGCAGTGTCTCCATGCGGGCTTGAAATGCACTTACGACGAGAAGCCTGTGAAACGTGGTCGACGGCGGAAGGGGTAAGCGTGAAAGCGAATGATCATCCGTAACGTTTGTGCCTCTGACCGTCGCCATGCAGACACGCTCGCGAGACCATTCATCCGTATTCTGGGACTCTCCTTGATTTGAATTCTCCATCCTCTCAAGAGCTAGGACTCTCGCCCGCAGGAACGAGTAGAGATCTTGCGGAGCCAGAGTTGGGCTGTCCACCCTATGGCATTCCACCTGACGCAGACTGCGAAAGATTTGAAGCTGATGGCCAGAACCTCCCATCTGAATTACAGGGCTGTGATCTCGATACGGTTCCAGCCGACAACAATCAGTGCTTAGTTGCAGATGTGATGCTCCAAGATGACGAACTGTCTAGGGGTGACGAAATCTGGAGCGCCATCGACGAATTTTTTGACACAATGTATGTTGTGTTTCCCGTCCTGTCATACGCCAGCCTCGCCACACGTCTGATCATCGAGCCAGCATGGCGCGCCATCCCTGAATTCCGCACGCTACTCTTGGCTATTCAAGCGGTGAACGCAGCGAGCCAGTTCCGCATGGCTCCAGGAAACAAGGAACACCTTTCAGAGCTCATTATCCAGGTTGAGAGGTCACGCTTGGATTACGACTTTGCCGACCCAGCGACGCTCGACGCTGTAGTAATCTCTTTGTTTCTGTTCACTGCCTATAACGTCCTCGAAAGGCACAACCGTGCATTCTTGTACTTGGATGAAGCGCTCTCTCTCCTGGAAGTGGTGGAGCCTTCCGACGAAGAAGAGCGGCGCAGAAAGATACAGATTGAGCAGGTCCTCTTCAACACAGAGGCAGCAACTCTGGCGATATATGCAAATAAGGGCAGACGGCGACGAGCTCGCAGGCCTCGGAAGATTCCCGGCGTGCCGACGATGGCGTCACATGCCCTCGGTGCTATTGATGAATCCGACAGAGTTGCTCTGCATTTATTGAGGCGCCTCACTGAGATACATCTGGCCGAGAATGCAGATGCATTCGAGGAAATAGATATCGAGTCTGAGGCTGACATGGCAACGCTGTTCGGCGCCGTTTTTCGACGCCATCGGTACTCCCGCATACAAGCTGCCGACGTGGTTGTTACGCGACAATGGCAGCTTTCTACAAAACTTGTCGCTAGTCTCAGAGAAGGCCTCGGGGTCTCGCCGACATTACGGAAATCAGTCGAATTCCTAGGTCTTGCAGCCATGTCTTGGATTTGCTTACTTGGTGAAGGTGAACTACGAATCGTGGGCCTCGGGAAATTATCTGGCCTTGCGCAGAATATCTACATGCTCGCAGGAAGAGGCCAGTGTCAATACATCCTCGGTGGCCTCGCGGGCGCTGTCATCAAGGAAGATCATGAGAAAATCTTTGCACCACAACTTGCAGAAGTGGTCATGCCTTTGATCTCGACAGTTCCTTTATCGATAAGTGCACTGCCGCACTGCGAGTATCAGAGGCTGATGCCTCAGGCACAAACGGCGATGCAGGATGAGCCTATGAGCGGTGCCGTCTTTGAGACCAACAGCGATTTCTGGAAATCTTCGACGCAGGAAGATATTGGACAGACTTATGATTACAATTCGCCAGACCCCATCGATCGATTTATCGATCTCTCTTAAATGGACCAAATTAAAACTTGAACTGCAATCTATTCTACCTCGAGTCAGGGTCTTCTCAGCTCAATGCTGCCATGAAGATGTCTCTCTGATTCTCAAGCCACCTCTTCGTCACAGCGGCATTCATTGGAAAGGTGAAGCCATGGGGAACACCAGGGAGGATCTCTTCAGTGACGTGTGTGCCAAATGAGCGAAGAAGCTGCGCATATGCCAAACCCTGAGGCATCAGATAATCGCAAGCGGCGACTGTGATGTGGGTCTTGGGATGGTGTGCGATGTCTCTGGCCATCAGAGGAGATACCAAAGGATCGTCTATGTCGGTTGAGTCGCCGATATAGAGGTCTTGGAATGGGACGGTCAGTAAGGTTGTCGTGTCGTTGACAATGGCCTGTGATACATGAACAACATACCGTATAATTTCTCGAATTCCTTGACCACCAGCTCCGGAGCGGATGGCACGTCTGCAACTGCTTCCTCGAGGCTGCTCCTTTCAAGCCGCCGTTGCTTGTTGAATGCATCTTGTGCCTTTGGGTGTGCAGTCACAGGGACCACGAGGCTCACCAGCCGCAGACTGGGATATCCCGTCACTGGACGCTCCTTGGTGTGTTTGATACCAACAGCTGCTGCAAGGTTTCCGCCTGCCGAAGCACCCCATAGTGCTATGCGCGAGATATCGATATGGTATTTCTCAGTGTTTCGAATTGCCTTGGGAAATATCCATTAGCCTTCAAACAACCTTTGCTTCGGGACAAGTGGCAAGTGGAGGACATACCCATGCAATTGCCTCGGTGCAATCGTGTAGAGAGGCTGGAAATGGGTGTTCGGGGGCAAGCCGATAATCGACGCCCAGAATGACAGCGCCGAGCTCCGACGCGAACAGTGTCGATATGGCTGTCATTGCAGTCAATATCGGGTGTGGATGGCACAAACTGTGTACATGGCCACTACTCACTGTCGTCGCCACAAGGCTTCCCGTGGATCCAACCGCCACCGTGGAGCATAAGTATTGCAGGTCTCAGCTGCTGCTGCTTTGAAGTCTCCTCTGCAAGCTGGGGCTCATACACCCGTATGACGAATGTGTCCTGGCTCCCATCTGAACACTGCACGGAGACATCGCTTATGTCGATCTTGGCTTCAGGTCGTCGACGTTGAATGTCGCATCTCGCTCTATGTTCGGCGAGAGGTCCTTTCAAGAAAACATTGTCGATCCAGCGGCGCATGGCCTGGACATCGGTGCCTCCTGGTATTGCCGTGAAATCGGCGGGCAGCTTTGCCAGTTCCTAATCTCTAGTCAGTATTGCTCTCCTTGTTTATATTCACGTGGCCACCCACCTGTAAGAAATTGAAGTCTGGGGTTTGAAGTTTGTTCGTCGGATTAGGATTCATGCCCTGCATTCTGCAGAGCAGCTCCAGATCTGGTGACGCCGGGACATCCTGCCCATGGAGGGTAGATGCCGGCTGGACATCAGCTGTCCCGGTAACTGAAACTGTGGCCATGTTTTGATCGGCTCTGGTGAGGGAACCGGCCCAGCGGGAAACAGCCAGTGCTTTTCATTCCCATGATTGCAGTGGGCGGTCCAGAGAGCTGATCCTCGGCAGGTCAAATGGATGGACCATTTTGATACGTTTGGGGAATTCCATTTCTGGACCAATTCTCCAAGTGGCTTAGTGAGGCGTACATTTGTCAGCGCTTGGGATTTTGCAAGGCTGGGATCCAGTTTTCGAGCTGCTTCGCACCCGGCGTCTATAGGGCATTGCTACAGACCGTCTGCCCCATTAGGACTTTCTCTCTCTCTCTTACCCGCCATGGAATTCCCCATGGGGAGTGAGTGGATCATCGTGTCCGATCCTCGAGACTTTGGCCACCCCTGACCGAGGGCAAGTGGAGATCACGCTATATAACATACGGCTATCCGCCTGAATACTCGAACAGTTCTTCTATGTTCTGCACCACCGATCACTCTTGTTATCGAAGCCATGGGTTTGTTCACGGCCAAAAACGAGGCCACTCTTCACCAGGAGCATGTCGCCGAAGTCTCCCAGGACGCGGTCGCAGTTGATCGCAATATCCATCATCCCACCGGATGGTTGAATTGGAGGGTTGTCGTCTATAGTGAGTATAGATCCTGCATCAGGCTGGAGAATCTATCTGACATCGCATGTCTAGTGGTCATCGTTGGCCTTTCGATGGGTCTCTATGGTTATGACAACAATTTTGTCGCCCCTCTTTTGTCTTTGCCCTTGTTCATCCAGAGATATCAAGGTCCTGGAATGGCCTTCACAGTAGGTGGTGGCTCGCGGTCATTCTCAAGCATTGACATTGGACTAACGTGGACGCGCTAACTCTAGGCACGAAATCTCGATGTGCTTGTCACTGTTCCCCTCGTGGGCGCGGCTATGGGAACGTTTATTGCATCGCCCGCGATGAAATACTTCGGGCGGAAGAAGACGTTCATTGCGGCTTACTTCTTGCTTTGTACTCCTGGATCATTCTTGCAGCTATTTGCCCCCAATATCGGTGGTATGACGGTGGGAAGATTTTGGAACTGTGAGTGTCAATATCACTGCCACGCTACGAAAATGTACCAACTGATGTTTCAGACCTTGGAATTAGTATTCTGACAACCACTGCTCCGCTTTACCTTGCGGAACTTGTCCCTGCCCACGTGCGTGGCAGAGCAGTTGGCTTTTGCATAGCTGGAGTGGGCGCAATAGCGATCCTTGCGACCACCATCGTGTGGGCGAGCGAGAAGATCAACGACGAGCGGCAGTACAAAATTCCTTTGGCGGTACAAGCAGCCTGTCCGGTGACCTTTGGCCTTCTGACGATGCTCTGCCCCGAATCACCCCTCTGGTATGTCCAGCACGGCAAGGTGGAGGAGGCACGACGCGTGCTTATGGTCATCCGCAACAACAAGGCAGAAATTGTCGATGCGGAAATATCAATTTACCGAGTGTCTCTTGCCGAAGAAGCCGAAATGCGAAAGCAAACCAGGTTCTGGGACATCTTGAATCGAGCCAACATCAAGCGCACCCTCACCGCGGGAGCTCTCCTCAGCTCAAGCCAAGTAGGCGGGCAAATCTTGATCGGCACCTACTCGACCGTCATCCTCGTGCAGAGCGGTGTTGGGAATCCGTTCCAGATGACCATCATCATCACCTGCCTGCAATTTCTGGGGACCATCATCGGGCCTACCTTGGTGGACAAAGCTGGGCGCCGACCTGTGGCACTTGTTGGCTTCTCGGTCCTCTTCGCCCTCGACGTCGCCGCTGGCAGTCTGGCCGCCGGCGGGCTGAAGACGAATGGCCAGAGGCTGGGTCTTGCCTCGGTCTTCATCATCTTCGCCTTTGCGAATGCCGTGTCTTTCCAGTCCCTGTAAGCCCACTCCACCTCAAAAGCTGCACTGTCGGTACTCTTCCAGTGTCCATGCTAACTCACCTGCGTCCAGGGCCTTTGTCCTCCCCACCGAAATCGCCACGCCCGCCCTTCGCGAGCCCACGGTGGCGTGGTCCATGTTCTGGTCGTACGTGACGGCCGTGATCACGACCTTCGCCGTTCCCCAGCTCACCTCGGCCGACGCCGCGAACCTTGGTGCCAAGGCCGCCTTCATCTTCGCCGGCTGCGTCTTGATCACCGTCATCTGGGCGTACTTTTACATCCCCGAGACGGCGGCCCGCACGGTGGTCGAAGTGGACGAAATGTACGCGCTCAACTTGCCGATGCGGAAATGGAGACACTACCAGTGCCAGTCTGTCCATGTGACGGCGGAGATGGTGGAGCAGAAAAGTGCAACTGTTGACGATGCGGGCGCTGTCTAGGAGAATGGTCTTGATGAAGCCCATCGAATCAAGCCAACTCTTCCGCTCTTCCAGTATAAGTTGGTACTCGGTCGGCAATAAAATTGACTTCAATTGCACGAGGGATCCCTTTCAGGTGGCTAGAAGTACATAGTCAAGATCTCGTCGTCTTCCAAACTACATAGCGTCTCCCTGGATCAGTCTGCTCAGCCGCCTCTTCAACGCGATTTGCAGGGCAACAAAGAGAAAAGGTCCCTGTCTCGGGTAGCATTCAGGTCGCCAACTGAGAAATGTCTTGCCAATTGCTAGGTATCCAGCTCTCACTATGAAACCCCGTAGCTACTACACACTGGCTAGGACGGCAAACGCTCGGGCGTCCTAGACAGGAAGACGCTCATTACACGGATCTCAAACTCCAACAAATTCTCCCAAGCCAAAGAGATCCCGAACAACTTCAGACGAGTGACAGTATGCTCCGGTCCATCACCCACAGAAGGCCGTTGAGTCTTGAAAGCCTCTTGTGACACCAAAATTGCGGGTTCCCTCGTTGGATCCCACTTGCTGGAACGAGCGGCACGTTCTGCGCAACGGTCCTCAGGAATAGGACCGGCCCTCTCTGTCGTCGCTCTCCACGCTCGTGATCCGCATACGCGGGCTCAGCTACCTCGAGGGAGGACTGACATACCTGCCTTTGGGGGGGGGTTGGCGGGATTCTCGCCGCTCTCCTGACTGGCAGCGTCTTTCTGGGCCACCCTCACTGCCCTAGGTCCGCGGTGTTGCTCCGTTCAGAGAAGAGTCCGGGAACGTGTGAAGGCTCTGCTGCCAAATGAACCGAGGGCAGAGTCTTGGTCCATTGCAGCTCGCGAGGGATGATGGGCTGCCTCCCTGGACAACACAGGGGCATTCAAGCACGGCGCTCAGCTCGGACGGGCAGTGTTTTCTCAAAATACTTGGCCCGTCAACCGTTAGAAGGAGAACAGGCCAGTGCGTCGAAGCATGAACCAGTTTTTCCTTCCTCCATGGTACCCCCCTTTATCATTTGGCAGGGGAGTCTGCATCGTCTTTTGATGTTGGCATGCTTCAGTGCGAGCGACCGAGATTGTATTCCATTTCGGTCCAAAATCGCCCCTGAATGCATCTTCTCAATGAAGAGAAGAGATGTGGCTTGGGCAGGGGGGAGGAGAAAGGAGAGAGGCTGGAGGTATTTGTTTTAAAGCGGTTGACTTCGAGTGACTACCCTGCTCGTACAAAAGCAGCTTCTGTCCCTTCGAATAGATCGTAATATAGGCGATGAGTATCCCCCATGTCTCGTCGTCTGCAAAAGCCCACCTAATCCTCAGCTTGATCATGCCACACCCCGCACCTCGGGTTCGCGACAAGCTATCGAGGAACCAATAGGACCGCATCTGAGGCGAGCCTTTGGATTGCTGAGTCACTCTGCCGTATCCCTCATCTGGGCTGGATCTATTCGTATCACAGGGTCAGGCGAGAGGGGGGGGGGGGAAGGAACAAGACTTTGGTGCTACCGCAATCTTCGGGCTGCCCCTCCAGAAGCCTGCTTTCCTATCTATATCTATTCCTCAACCTCTGCACCTTCGCGGGCAAAGAAACCGTGAGATTGTAAGCGTGAAACGCCCCCTCCAACATCGTCTCGAAAAGGACAGCGAACCCGGGTTCAAAATGCCCATCATCGACAAAGATGTGCCCCAGACCATCTCGATCCCTTCAGCCACGCTGCGCAAATTTACGGGATCTCGAGTCGACCCCTACACCCGCTACGTTGCTTACAGGCTCTTCCGAGACCTGAACATCTCGGTCCAGGGCCAGAGAAACATCAACAATGCGCTCAGCAATCTCCCGGTCCATGTGACCGTCGCACCGGGCGAGAAACTGTCCTTCGGCTGGGGTCTGTCGAATGTCATTCGTGACCAGGCCGTCCACGAGGGCTCCTATGAGCATCTTGCCATGATGATCGCGTTGGGAGAGAGCTTCCATGAACCTTACGGCGCCAGAGTCCTGATGGCCATGGCCAATGCGGCGGCAGGCCCCGAGGATATGACACCCCATTTCAGTCAATGGCAGGCCGCGCTTCACGGATGCAACGGCATATTCGCTACGTCGGATTTTGGACTGCTGGTCGAGGACTATCTTCAAATCGACCCCTATCCCATCGTCTATCCCGTGTCGCAGGTCAAGAGCATCGACACCATCTTCCCACCGAGCATGATCGCCCAGGCGCTGCAGGCGCTGATGCGCGTCACAAAGGGAGAAGCGAAGCATGTCACGCTCATAGGCAGCGGCATCATATCGTGGTTTGCGGCAATCGCTGAATGGCTGTGCGATCTGCGGATAGTCGTCTATCAGAAGGACGGGAAAGAGCTGCGCGCTACTCACCCAGATCAAGAGCCCCAGCTCACGCTGGTGTTCGTACCGGAAGCCGGCATTAAAGCATCCTTCGACCCATGGAAGCCCACGGGACCTGCCGTCGAAGAATTGTCTCTGATCGACCGGACCTACTCGGCGACTCTCCATACCACGAGGTTTGGAGGTCGGGTTGCGTGGCAGTCACTGCTTCCGCGAGTGTTTGGCAAGAGCTTCCATCATCTCGACCATGACCAGTCCAAAGCCTTCGGGACAATGATCGGCAGCGCGGCACGGATGTTTGAGGGTTTGGCACATGGCAAAGGACACGAGGAGCACGGGCAACTGGTGTCGGTGCAAAACCAGAGCAATACCGCGTCGTACGGCGCCGGTCTCATCGAAACCATCACAAACTGGCTTCCCGAACTGCGCAGATTCCAGGGTCGCATGGAGCGTTCGTTGAAGCTGTCTCACGAAGATGCCTCAGCCTCGTACGTGGACAACCTGACCAAGATCAGGAAGGCCTGCCACTGCGGCATTTGCACGTCCAAGGACGAGGTGGAAAAGGACAAGGAGGGTCTTCCGCCCGACCACGGGTACTGTCTGGCGGTCTTGGTTGAGACGGTGATTTCGCTGGGTCTGGCTCTTGCTCGGATGGCGGTGTCGGCTCATCTGTACCCCACCAGATCGGGCATCTACAGCTTCTATCAAAGTCAGGTGGCCCGGAGAATGGAGGCTCGTGGCTTGCACTGGACGATGCATTTCAAACTCGTGTATGGCAACGTGTGGAACGCCCCTGACGCCGTGCGGCTGCAGAATTCGGTGCAAATTTTCGCCGGGTCGAGGCCGCAGAAGGACCTGCCCGACAACTTGGTCGCGCTCTCACACGAGGGATGTTGCGCATATTTCATGGATTTGGAAAAGAGAATGAAGTCTTCGTCAGATTGTCCCCAGGTCAGGCTGATCCGAGTGGTGCCTGGGGGAATCAACGTGGGCGAGAAGGTGTTTGACAGGGCGTGTATGGGACCTGTGGAGGGTGCCGACCCAGACGATCCATGGGAAGACATCGCATACGAGCATCTCCCCGAGCCTCTCTTCTTCAAATGAGGGCAAGTCGACAAGAGTAACCCATTTTGGGAAGGTCTCAGCTACCCGGAACAGGTGGAGAGTCTTTGTGTCACAGGATGGGAGGTGTTTGTTGAGTAGGCCAAATCTTGCTCAACGACCGCCACTGACGGATCAATGGAATATTGTTTTGTTGTTCTTTTCTTTTTCCCGACTCCTCAAATTTGTTGGACAAGGACGAAAGGGGCGACGCCATCACCGATCGGAGGGAATCTCGGGGTCTATGAAGGAAATCGTGTACTTGTAAAGTGGTGGGGAGGAGTAGGGCGGCGCCAGGAGGGCAGGGCTAATCTGACTTGTTCGAGAGGTTGGTTGAGCAGCCAGTCGCAAGAGTGGGAGAGAGACGCGGAGATGGTTCGGGGGAGCATGTTCGAATTGAGATCATGTGGTGCGATTGATCGAGTCGTGTCCGTATGTGTATTTCCCGGTGAACGTGGCTGTAATGCGCCCTCTCTGGCTGCTCGCTGCGAGCAGATCTGCGGCGCCCGTGTCAGCAATGACTTCTGTAAAGACGACGAAACCGCGCGAATGACAACCCGTGTCTGTTGGCTGCTAAGCAGAGTTTCTTCCCCCTTTCACGGCCCCTGACTGGCTCAGTCGATGGCTGGTTACAGAACAGAAACAGGCCCAAAAGCGCATCCCGCTCTCATATCCGGACGAGTCCGACGGCGGGGAGCAACCAGGCCAAAGCACCCAATGACGAAACCCACAGGGCTTCCTCCCGGGCGCGGCGAGCTTGTGAAGCTCCAGACCTTGCCTTTCGACCTCACGAGATTGTTGTTGTTGCTGTCGTTTGTTCGCTGTCGCCCTTGCTACAAAAATCCCGCGAAGATAGACGAGACCAGCCAGCTCCCGACCTCACAGGGGGATCTTGGAAGCTCGCCTCTCTCTCGCTCTTCCTTCTTATTGCCTTGAAAGAATCTCCCCTCCATCTCCTTTTCAGCTCCCCCCGGGTTTCGAGTCTCCAGTCTCCAGTTTATTCCTCGATTGTCCTTTTTTTCTTCTTCTTTTCCTCTTTATTTGTGTGTTCGTCTTGTATACTTCCCTTGCTTGGTCTGATTCCCAGCCCCCCCTTGGGTCCTCCTTTTGCTCCACCATGGCCGCCTCAGCGCTCTTCAAGAGCAGATGCAGAAGGGCGAGCTACCTCAATGTGCGTACACCACTCAGTGCTGCTACCCTGGGCCGGAGCTTCCAAATATAGCTTTATAGAAGCTCTTCTCGAAGCTCTTTTGCACTGCCTATATGTCGTTGGCTTCGGCCTCATTCGACCTGGTTGCGTGAATGAATATGGCTAATGGTATGAGGACAGAAATTGGCCAAGGCTGAAGATCTCATTGACCTATTCCCTCACGGCTCATATATCGGCTGGTCAGGCTTTACAGGTGTGGGATATCCCAAGTACGTTTTTCTCGTCACACCATCCAACTCATCTTTATCCCTCGATCTCCACCCACCTAGTAGCCTGGTGCTTACGCAAATTCTCTTTGGCCGGTAAAACAGAAAGGTGCCAACCGCTCTCGCCGATTACGTCGAGAAGAATGGTCTCCAAGGCAAGCTCAAATACAACCTGTTTGTGGGTGCCTCGTCTGGAGCAGAGACCGAGAACCGATGGGCTCGACTGAACATGATCGAACGCCGGGCCCCGCATCAAGTCGGCAAGGAGATCGCCAAGGGCATCAACAACGGCAACATCAAATTCTTCGACAAGCATCTCAGCATGTTCCCCGTCGACTTGATGTACGGCTTCTACACCAAGCACAAGGCCAACAATCGCCTGGATGTTGCCATCGTTGAAGCCTCTGCCATCACCGAAGATGGCGGCATTATTCCTGGTGCCAGTGTGGGAGCGTCTCCGGAGATCATTCAGATGGCGGACAAGGTAGGATCACAGATAATCACCAGAGTCGGACCAGCCCTGAAATGGCTGACCGCCTCATCAGATCATCATCGAACTCAATACCTCCGTCCCCAGCTTCGAGGGTCTACACGATATCACAATGACAGACCTCCCTCCGCGAAGAAAGGTACGTTTGTAGCTCCCTTCGCCCCAGATCTTCTTAACTGACCAGCCTCGTCACAGCCATACCTGATCATGGCTCCAGAGGACCGCATTGGGACACCGCATATCCCTGTCGACCCAGAGCGCGTGGTAGCGATCGTCGAGTCCGATTATCCCGACCAAACAACCGAAAATGCTCCTGAGGACGATACGTCCCAGGCCATTGCTCGCAACCTGATCGAATTCTTGGAACACGAGGTCAAACATGGCCGGTTGCCCACGAACCTGCTGCCTCTGCAATCCGGCATTGGTAACATTGCAAACGCTGTTATCGGCGGTCTGGCTGTAAGCACGTCACAGAAAGAGAGCTTTTGAGTTCGGATCTGCTGACCTCTTCTTCAGAAAGGAGGAGCCAACTTCAAGAACCTGAAAGTTTGGACCGAAGTGTTGCAGGATTCCTTCCTCGACCTCTTCGACAGCGGTAACTTGGACTTTGCCACTGCCACTTCCATTCGTTTCTCTCCTGGAGGGTTTCAACGCTTTTATGATGGCGTAAGTGTCACACATGTCAAGATTCACCTTTTGCACACTAGGGCTAAGGTCATGTAAACAGTGGGAGAACTATCACTCCAAACTCATCCTTCGATCTCAGCAAGTGTCCAACTCACCTGAAATCATCCGGCGGCTCGGTGTCATCGGCATGAACACACCAGTCGAAGTCGATATCTATGCTCATGCCAACAGTACCTGCGTGTTGGGCTCGCGGATGCTTAACGGTTTGGGTGGTTCCGCGGACTTCCTCCGTTCATCCAAGTATTCCATCATGCATACACCCAGTACACGACCTTCCAAGACGGATCCTACCGGTGTGAGCTGCATCGTGCCAATGTGCACGCACGTCGACCAGACCGAGCACGACCTAGACGTTGTTGTGACTGAAATCGTGAGTGTTTTCCCCAATTATAGTCTGTCAGGCTTGTAAGCTAATTGGATGGTGAAAATAGGGCCTTGCAGACGTGCGAGGAATGTGTCCTCGCGAAAGGGCGCGCGAGATTATCAAGCAGTGTGCCCATCCCGACTACCGACCCATCCTTCAGGATTACTTCGACAGAGCTGAGTATGAGTGCTTGAAGAAGGGTATGGGCCACGAGCCGCACCTGCTATTCAATGCTTTTGATATGCATAAAAATCTGGTGGAGAACGGAACCATGAAAATCAGTGGCTGGAAATAGATAACTGCAAACAGCAAGTCCACCGCTAGGGCGTGAGAAGAGATGCCCGTTCAGACTTCCAGGGGCGGATTGGGAGATTTGACCGAGATGTCAGTTATTCGTGGCAATGGTTGAGAAGGCGAGAGGATCTGGACGTTTGTATCAAGACCCATATCCCAAGGGAGTTATAATCGGAGTCCTTTCATAAACGAGGGTTCCCACTTGGATAAGCACCGTTGCTTCTTGCAGCTTCAACACCGTAATCGGGATTTGTACACTTCATCCACTCTTGTCAGCATGTGGCCTACAAGACCACTCCGAGAAGGTCCAGAGAAGACTCGAGGCGCCATTTGACACCAGCGTAAGATCATGCCCGCCAGATGCTGATTGGTTCTGACGTAACGAGAGGCGGCATAGGATATTGACTAATCCAGCCGAGACGCTTACTTCGCGTATAGGGAGAATTCCTTTGGATACTCCTCACACGGGGTATTGAGCGGGGTGGAAAAGGCATTGCCGTAGAGGCCTTCCCTGAGACACCTCATTGCACCATTGCTGACGATTCTCGCGCCATCGTCGATGATGCCCTTGGCAGTGTGAACTGGCGAGTGCTTCGACATATAAAAGCACCGCGACGGCCCTCGCGAGAAACTAGTGCTCGAATGACCGTAACGACGTGCACCATAGGGACTTATGGTGGAACAAGCTGAGGTTTCCCCCTGACAAGTGATGAGAGTCACCCTCACCTCACGCCTTTGCGGCGACATCTCCCTGGACAGGTAATGCTGACCTGCCTGTTTGACGCTCTGCCCCAACGTCCCCACTAGCCGTTCTCACACCAAGGTTTGCCATAACAACAATAGGAAGCGACCCTCGTTCCAAGTCACGCGACTGACATTCTTGTAAGCCCGTTGTATTGGGAAATCGTTCGAACCAATTCATCGCTCGATTTTCTCGAGGCGGGCTGACCGTGAGCGCTCAAAGAGCTATATAAATCCCGAGTTTGCAATCGAGAATTTCTCTGCTCTCGATATCGCTCCCAAACTTGGGTAAAACACATCTGGAAGCACAATTCAGCTCTCGTTCCCAACCGAAATGGATCCGACTTTCTATCGCACTGCAGCGGAGGCGATCTCTGCACCCCCAGAAGAATTGGCATATGTGGTGGCCTTTGACAGAAAAGGCCAGAAGCATGACGCATTGACTGTCATTGATTTGAAACCTGGGAGGACGTACGGTCAGGTTGTTGGCTGGACCGATGTTCCAGGGCTAGGGGACGAGTTACACCACTTCGGCTGGAATGCGTGCTCCTCTGCCCTCAAACACGAAGGCCACAACATGGACGGCTTGCAACGACGTTACTTGCTTGTCCCTGGCTTGCGCTCCTCGAATATATACGTCTTCGACGTCGGGCCCGACCCTCGCCAGCCAAAACTCGTCAAAACGATCGATGGGAAGACACTGTCAGACAAAGCTGGGTACTCTCGCCCGCATACATTACACTGCGGGCCTGATGGAGTGTTCTTGACGTGTCTTGGGGGTCCGGAGGGCAATCCGGATGGCCCCGGCGGCATTGCTCTCCTGGATCATTCGACCTTCGACGTTTTGCGTGCTTGGGAGACCAATCGTGGTCCCCAACACTTCCATTATGATGCTTGGTGGCACTTGAACAAGAATGTCCTTATTTCGAGTGAATGGGGAAGCCCGTCCATGATCGAGAACGGAATCGTTCCAGAACTTTTATTGGGAAACAAGTACGGCCACGCCATTCATTTTTGGGACCTTGCGGCAGGAAAACACCACAAGCGCGTTGATCTAGGTGAAGAACACCAAATGGCACTCGAAGTCCGCCCTTCGCATGATCCAGAAGCCACTTGGGGTTTTGTTGGAGTCGTGATTTCAACAAAGGACTTGTCGGGGGCCATTTTTCGATGGTTCCAGGACGGCGGCGAGTGGAAGGCAGAAAAGGTCATCACCATTCCAGCGGAACCTGCCGACGAAGACTCTCTGCCTCCAATTCTGAAGCCGTTCAAAGCTGTTCCCCCACTGATAACGGACATTGACCTCTCAGTCGATGACAAATTCCTCTATGTTGCCTGCTGGGGCACTGGAGAGATGAAGCAATATGATGTCTCTGATCCAGCGCATCCAGTTCAGGTTGGCTCGGTGAGGTTGGGAGGGATCGCGAAGAGGGTGGCCCACCCTGCGAAGCCCGACATGCCTTTGGCGGGTGGACCTCAAATGGTCGAGGTGTCGAGATCTGGAAGAAGTCTCTATTTCACCAATTCCCTTTATGGGGCTTGGGATGACCAGTTCTACCCTGAGGGTGTCGGCGCTTGGATGGCCAAAGTGGACGTCAACCCGAAAGGCGGTCTCAAGATAGGTGAGTTAATGCTGCCATTGCTCCAACGCAGACAAAGTGGTGGTCTCAGCCTCTCTGCCATGCTAACTGCGCGCTCTAGACGAGTCCTTCTTCCCCCAAGGTTCCGACTTTAAGGGTTTGCGTGTGCATCAGATTCGCCTTCAGGGCGGAGACGCGTCTTGTAAGTTGTAATTGCTCCGCTCCAAAGGCTCCGTGGTTCCTGAGGGAATCGTGGTCATTGGAAGGTACTCGTTGTCCGCTAACACGTGTGTGCAGCGGATTCATATTGCTATCCGAGCAATGCGAGCAGATTGTGAACAGTTAAGGGCGATGGCGATGATGATTGGACCTAAAGGCGGTCACCTGGGCGTGGGAAATTGCAAGCAGCACTCTTGAAGCGGCCATTTGACGAGGTTGCGGCTCTGGACTGTGGATTGCGAGAGTGTGGACTGTGCGTGACTGTGTTGGCTGCGGTGGGAAGAAATCGCCGAGCAAACGCCGTGTGGCACCAGCGAAATTTCTGTTCTTGCATTCGACTTGCATTCTTCTTCCTCGACGAGACTGTTCACAGTTTAATGCAATGGATTCTGCCTAAATTCTTTCAGCTCTGAGGACCACTCCTCTCTTGGTCTTTCTCCTATGTGGAATAGTACCTGCTTGCTACCAATGCCCGCGATTTTCGGCCTTGTTTCCGCCCTTCACGGTGCCACTGACCGAACATGCCCGGCATCATGCGTCATGTTTACACTTCCACTTTCTGACTGCTTCTGTTCACGGTCTGCAGACCGCGAGGCTATACCCTTCGAGGTGCGTGTCTGAAGATCACTCCTTCGCATTCCAAGGACACCTGGGTCTGGTCCCACCAATGCAACCAACGTCGCCCGTACCCAATCCCCTGTGTCAAAGATTGCGTTAGGTTTCCCTCGCATCGGCATGCCGTCGGAGAGAAGGAAAGGAGCTGATATCGCTTTCTCTCTGGCATCTCTCTCCAGCATTGATATCGTGGCTTATCTAACGACTTTCTCTCGACGTGCAGTATCCTAAGCCAACTTCGTTCAAGGAGGCACAACGGCTATGCTGCCACAACCTCCCTGCAATCCAAATACGATCACATGTCAGTCACGGCGGTGCGGAGCTGCGGATGTGGGACTTGAAAGAGACCGCCTTCTTCAGTCTCACGACCCCAGTGTCCGGGGGCAACATTGCAGCATACAAAGTACACGCGATCCAACTCCAACGCCTTGATTTGGAGACGAATCCACCCCCGCGTGGAGTGTCGATCATCCGTATGACCCAATCATGACGATTCGGCCTTTGGTATTACTGTTAACGGCATCCCGAAGTGGAACTGAAGATGGATTCACTCACCATGATCCTTTATGATCATAGGCTATTGGAAAATTTGCCCTCAACCGATACGCTTTTCGCCGTCCTCTCTGCCGATGTGTGAAGCGCGCATGAGCCCTTCGGTCGATCAGAGGGCGATCAGCGAGGAAAATGTGACTTAATACGACCATATAAAACGGCGGTTTCTGACTCAGGGAACACCCAGTCGTTGATCGCTCTTTTGCGCAACGTCTTTCTTTGTCAAGGAGCCTGCAGGATCTGTCTAACGCCGAGGACGACAACATTGTCAATAGTCAGGTCATAATGGGTCGCAAATACCTGGGAGGCTCAGGGAGCGCCCTGACTGTTTGGATCTCGCTAGCTGCGTCAACTGTTCTCATATTCTATGGATATGATCAGGTATGCTCTTAACTTTTCCATCTCACCAACGTGGCTAATGGTAACGTTCTCTTGTCCAGGGCGTATTTGGAAACGTGTATGTATACTTTAGCAATGGCGTCCACCACATAGCTAATGGATTGATAGTCTCGTTGGAAAGGATTTCCTCCAGACTATGGGTAACCCCGATGCAACTGTGCAGGGCACCCTAACTAGCGTCTATAATCTCGGGTGCTTCGGAGGCGCGCTGTCGACATTATACACCGGTGACAAGCTCGGCCGCCCGCGCACCATTATGCTTGGGAGCTCCGTCATCGCCATTGGCGCCATTATCCAGTCCGCCTGCTATTCGAGAGGGCAAATGTTTGCAGGCAGGGTGGTCGCAGGCCTCGGGACAGGCATGAACACGGCCACCGCTGGAGTTTGGCAGTCGGAGACCAGCAAGATGCGAAGCCGTGGCAAGCTGGTCATCATTCAAATGGCCAATTGTATCACTGGATTTTGCCTGTCGAATTGGCTCACTCTTGGATTCTCGTTTGCCAAAAGTTCAGTTGCCTGGCGATTCCCACTTGCCTTTCAATGCTGTAAGTCCCCGACCCTGTCTCTGGCGACGCGATGTGCCGTATCCTGCCAGAAACTGACCCCACGAATAGTCTTTACACTGCTGATATGGTTGATGTGCCCTTTCCTCCCGGACTCTCCCCGTCTTCTGATTCGAAAGGGAAAGCACCAAGAGGCACTGGAAGTGCTCGCAGCTCTCGAAGGGCATGGCGCAACCGCCGATTCACCGTCGGTGCGCACACAATACAACATCATCAAAGACGTCTTGGATAAAGAGCATGCACAGACCTATAGTTGGTGGCAGCTCCTCACCGGCCGAGGCCCTTCAGGAGTCGTTCGCCGAATGATCCTAGGCGCCTGGATGCAAGCAATGAACCAGATCAGCGGCATCAACGTGACGTCTTACTTTCAAACGTGCGTTTTTGTTCTCTCCTGGAGCTGAATGACACTGATCGTCGGCAGATATATCTTCATCCATGCTATCAATCTCAACGAACTATTGTAAGTCAAACCACATATCACCACTAGTCCACTTCCGGACTAGCTTGTGGTCACCGCATCCAGCCCTGCAGTCTGTCAAGTCGCAGTCTTTCTGCCTTACTCGACACCTGGACATTTATGAAAACGGCTTCGCAATCTATTTGGTCATTGTGACCACTTCTCCCTTTCCCTGCTAGCCTAGATACCGCACTCACCCATAAAATTCGGCAAGCAAAGATCACGATACTAACAATGGATGTAGAGCTCGAATCCTCGCGGCCGCCGGCTCCGTCGACTACCTTATCTTCAGCTTTTTGGCGTGGTTCGTCATCGAACGGTACGGACGTCGCCGGGTCATGATGTGTTCAGCGTTTGCCTGTTCCATGTGCTGGACCATTATCAGCATTGCGCTCGGGCTATCCCAGAACGGTAAAGGAGACACGTACAAGCTAGGTGCCCTTGCGACAACCTTCTTCTTCGTGTTCTTCGCCTCGTTCGGAATGGGCGTGCTCGGTGTCCCGGTGAGTATCTAGTTCTTCCCCATGGTTTTCACTCGTTCCTTCCGACGCCTGGCTACTACCTCGCCTTCGTCTGCCTTACTCGTACATACCTACCGCATTCATTCTCGAACGAATATTCAGTCGTGAGAGGACTGACGTTTGTCAATAACCATAGTGGCTCTACCCCACCGAAATCAACCATATCTCTTTCCGTGCCAAGGGTGCTTCTCTGGCAATGTCGACGAACTGGATCATGAACTACGTAAGTCGTCCTCGTCTTAATGGCTGGCATAGGCCTGCCACATATGCTCCCGAGGCAGAAAAGATCCCCGTCTACCTCGCTCTTTCCAAGCGGCACTTCGGCCAATGAGATAGCTCTAACATCTTTCCAGATGGTTGCTCAAGTGACGCCCCCGGGTATTGCCAATCTAGGTTACAAGTTCTGGATTATCTGGGCCGTGATCTGCTTCTCCTTCATACCCATAACCTATTTCTTCTATCCCGAGACGGCCAATCGGACACTGGAGGATATTGACCGATACTTTGCGGAACATCGAAACATCTTTGTCTTCCGGGACCAAGTTGCCACGCAGTTGAAGAGGCCGGAGATGTGGGAAAAGATGGATGAAGAGGTTGCACGAAGGGCGGAAGAGGAAAGGATCAGGAACGGCGAGCAGGTGGAGAGGGATTCCGAGGATATGGAGAAGGGTGAGGAAAAAGTGGTGTACATTGAGAAGTGAACAGGTAACAGGGTAATCATCGCACTTGGGGAAAGGGAGAGACGAGCAGACGAAGAGACAGGACAAGGCTGAGCGTGGAGCACAAGAAAAAGGGGTCGACGTTTTGATAGATATGACGAATACCATGTGTCTGGTCAGAATGCCCTCCTCTACTTATATGTTCTAGCCGTGAAGAAAATGAAGTCGCCCTCAGGCCCATCTTAATACTTGGTCAAAGGGTGCCGGTAAGGCTCAGACGAGGGTGCTCGCTACTAGCATATTACGCGCTACGCGCACCGATATGGGCGGCGTACAATCATTACGAAAATTGCGAGGAATCTTTCAGGCTATATTTCAGGATCCAAAGACCTTCATCATCGGTATTGGGCAGGGCGTCCATCCACGAAGCATTTTTTCAAGGTGCCAGCATGGTCAGCTACCAGATCGCAGAGTCTGCAGTAAGACTGCCTCATCACGTGATCTGAAGCCAGAAAGGTGCCGGCGCAGTTTCCCGAATGGCGTTCTTCCGCAATAGGAATATGAGATTGGCCATGGATCAAGGAGCTGCTTGCTCTTTGAGAAACCGCCGTGGACATGCGCCACTCTTCTGAGAGACGTGATATTGGTTGACACCAGGAGGATGTATTGGCATCCAGACAGGATGAGATAGATGGTCTTGCCTCATCTAATAGAGCGGAATGTCCGGAGTGGAATGTCGCTTTCTGCCAGGACGCCTTTCGTTGTTCCTTTCTGGACTCCTTGAAGCAGACTACAGCACCTTGTATTTTGACTCACATTATCTTGCCACTATTCCAAAGTAAATCAGTTGGTGGCGTCCCGGAACTTGCCAGTTTTTTTTTCCATCGCTACGACCAACCTGGATGCACGGAAAGAGAATTGCCGAGTGAGCCTGCGACAATACCCGTATCTCGTTTCCCTTCGCGATTGTCCCCTTTCCTTGACACATTGCGTTCGGAAAGTTGAGCTTGAGATTCGGGAATCCAGAGAGCGAGCCATCGAAGCGATTATCATTCACCAGTCTCGAAATACAAGGCTTCAGGCATGAAGGTGAAGAAACGCTGACGACGGCTCGGTTACGCTCTTTGTGAACCCATTGATCGAACGATACATCCTCCCAGCCACCCGTCACAGGTCTACACACCTCGAACGCAACACTCAACAGTGTGAAATGTTCATAAATATGGTAGAGCTAGTGGCTCTGGTTGGACAGGAGGGGTCGACGAGTCGAAGTGGAGGAAGGATTGAGGCAGTGGACTGGTGTGGGCGACGAGCCCAAAAGAGGCTCGCTGTCTTCTTGCACCCTTTCATCAGGGAGAGCTCTGGAGACTGCGCGCCGGCAATCGCGTGAGATATGAACAACGCAGTTTTGTTGTCGTCTCTATTCGGCTCCAAAAGATACAAGCCAAGCATGGCGGGGCATCGTAGTTAGAGTAGAGCAGACAAGAAGGGTCACCGGAGGAGGTAGTACGAGGATCGATGCGATCATGTGGTAGAGAGAGGGACTAGTTTCGTACGACCGAGCAAGATGAAATCAGGCTGGAAAAGGTCAGCGAAAGAGACAATCGAAGGGAGAAAACAAGGGCGTGGTGGATGGGTTGAGAGGGTGAGGGTGAGGGTAATGGTCCGGATGCATGGCGGAACCAGCAGGATGCAGGAAGCAAGCGTGAAGGAGCAGAAGGAGGTTGAAAAGGTCAAGAAGGAGTGCCGGCAATGATATCCTTGCAGAACATGTCATCATGGGGCGAATGCAACATGAGCAACCCAAAATGCAGGCGACAAAAGGAGCATGGGCGAGTGGACTGAAGAACTGGCTGACCAGCGAATTGTTGCTCTACTTTCCACTGCGCAGCTTCAACTCGAATCCGAACCCCGCCCGAGGAGTGCAGCGCCCTTCCACCTTAATTTCGTACGGTGGTGGCTCGTCGGATTCCGAGACGGAGGGTGATTCTGGCTGAGTTGGGAATTCCCGTGGGTATATTCAAAGGGCCGCTCAACACGCCGGCAAGTGTGCAGGATAAGGAACGCAAGAAAAGGACACAATGACAGAGGAGTTGGGAGAATGGAGAGAGAAAAGAGCTGGGCGGAGAGAGGAAAAAGAGTGAGAAAAGGTGAGAAAATGGAGCAGGTCGAAGGAAATGGGTCCCGGCAAAGGGTGGCTTGTGTTCCAGGGTAAACACTAACAAAATCATGGCAGCCATTGATTCGTGGCTGGCCATCCTCGTGACGCGTTCTCCGTTACGAGGGGATGAGAAATGAAGTTTGAGCAAGCGCAGCGACAAGAGCTGCATGCAAAAGAGATAGGCAACAAGACAACAAACTTGGTTGAACTGTGCGGACAACGGACTAGGCCTGCTGGGCCCTAAGTCAAGCGCTGGACTGGCTGATCCGCGGGCTAACAGGCGTCATTCCTACAAGGGCCTCGGGGCAGTCGAGGCACTCTCTCCTACGGGGAGGCTCACCAGGGTGAAAGAAAAGGACTGCCCAGTCAAAGGCTGCAGAGAGCGTGCTCCTTAGTGCCACCTCGCCCAGTTGTCCCAGTTGGCCGCTCGCAACGGGAGTGGTCAGTGAGTGGTCCAAGCACCCGGTGGACCTCAGCGTTTTGCTCCCATGCTATTCCCAGCCTAGCCCGAGCCCATTATTATTCGCCCTGCCAGTGGCCTGAGTTCCAAGCTGCGAAGGGGGGGTCGCTGCTTGGGGCCTTGCGCCTGGCACTGGCTCGCTGGGAGTTTGGCTTTGGGGGTCCAGGGTTGGTCGGGTGGGTGCCATTTTTTGCGTGAGCAGCAGTCCGAGCAGGTCGGTCTCTAATTCACGCTGCTGCTGGCTGCTGGCTGCTGGCTGCGCATTTGCGTCTCGCAGTCCCTCCATGTACCCATCCATCCATCTCCCTCTCGCCATCTCTTGTCTCCCTCTTTTGTCATTCAGCAATTTCTTCCCTCCTCGAACACATCTTCGACAGCACCGTTTCCTCGCCTCACGGTTCTCATCTGCCGCAGCCTTTTTCCTTCCCTTGCCCTTTGTCTTGTGCCACCATCGATAAATCCGTCGACTGTTGCCAGCCAGCCATCCCTCTCGATCCTCTCACAAGCACATCTTCCACTTCGACATATCTGCACCCGACCGTGCTCGATAGACTCGAATTACTCTTCAGAACCCGTCTGATATCATCGACCCCCAATCCTGATCAGTTTCGACTGTTTGCGATACCCCTTTCTCTTCTGCGCTCGTGTGGCCTCTCTGGTGACCAAGTGGTCCACCCCGTCTAGCGACTCTTCTTGGACGGAAAAAGACCTCAAAACGCATCAGAACCGCAATAGGCGCCAGATCCATTACCTTCCCACTTGCGCGATACCCGGAGGTCAACTTTGGGTTGCCCTTCCCTGCGTGGGAGTCACCCCGTCCTAGCGATGCGCAACATGCGACAGCCCTTTTCATAACTGAAGCAGAAGACTAACAAGAACCAAAATCCGACCGATGAGGAGGTACTCTGTCGGATTATGACAGAGTCCTCCCTTCTCACCACGCATCCCACACCTACCCACTACCCGGTCACCGCCGCTCCCTCCCTGGCCTCTCCCTTACCCAACGGCTCTCTCTCAGACACCAACGCACAAGATGAGGAGGAATACACCATCAAATGCATTTGCATCTACGCAGATGATGATGGCAATACCGTCTACTGCCCCAAATGCGACACCTGGCAGCACATCGAGTGCTACTACCACGGCAAAAAGGTGCCCGAAGAGCATTTTTGCGCAGACTGTTTCCCTCGAGATCTTGACGTAAAGAAGGCCACTGAGCGACAACGTAGGCATCGAGAGGCACTCGACGGCGGTGACCGGAAGGTCAAGCGACCAACCTCCAAAAGTCAAAGAAAGAAGCACAAGGATACGAGTGCGACGGCCGAGCAGGTGAATGGCTGGCATCACGATCGCCATGAATCTGTCGCCAGCGCAAGGGATGGACCTCCTGCGAAGAAACCAAAGACAAGCCACCGGACATCAGGTTCTGTCATTTCAACAAACGGCGAATCTCGAAAACGCGCCACTTCCACAGCCCAGTCGTACCCCAGTCCTTCCAAATCACCCCAAGATCTCTTCCGTTTTCCTGCCATTCCCACGTATACCACTGATTTCCTTGAACTCTACGAACGGGACGAGGGAAACACAAATGCCCGGGATAACGAGCAGACAATTCAGGCTACCAATATGCTCTTTGCATGGCGGACTGACCCATCTTTGGTGGTCAGCAGTCCCGGACAACAACCAACAGCAAAAGCTCCCTTTGTACGTGCAAATCATGCCCTGGATCAAAGCACTTGGCCAGAAGTCTCGGTGGAAACGATCCAGAAGAAGGATGTCGAATACGAAGGCAGATGTCCCACATGGCGCTTTTTGCGCGTGCAATCTTCCGTGAAGAAGGACGAAATTGTTGGCGAAGTTCGTGGCCAGGTCGGCATGCTGGAAGAGTACTGCCAACAGAAGTCTTCATCGAACAGATGGCAAGAGTTGAGGCATCCAGACCCCTTTGTCTTCTTCCACCCGCACATGGACATTTACATTGACAGCCGAAAATCTGGGACTCGCTTTCGATATCTGCGACGGTCTTGTCGACCCAATGTCACCTTGAAGACATTTGTTTCCGACAACGAGACGCGGCATTGTTTTGTCGCTAGCAAAGACATTCCGGCGGGTGCCGAACTCACCACCATGTGGTTTCTCGACTCGGCAATGTTCGCAACCGATGATTCTGAACAAGCCCAAAACCGACGCCTCGATTGGGTCAGCCGTGTCCTCGCGAATTTTGGGGACTGTGCCTGCGACGCTGGTCAAGCATGTTTACTTGCACCCTTCGATCGAAGATATCCAGCCAAACCGGCGGAGAGTGCGCCAAAGGAAAAGGGAGGCAGGAAAAAGAAAAGTAAGATGAACCATACTATCTCGCCCTTCAGTACTGGACATGCCACCAACAGTCGCGCAGGAAGCGAACCCAAGGCACTCGAAGACGAAGACCAGTTCGATCGCCGGTCAACCTCTGGGTCTTCTCGCAGCGGTATGTTGAGCAGAGACATTACCCCAGTCAATGTCGCAGCTCTTGACGCCGACCCGGTCCTTGGAAATGGCCTGACTGCTCGAGAACTGCGCAAAATACAAATGGCGGAGAAGGCGTTTGCGCAGAGGGAACAAGAGAAGAAGGATTCAAGTGGACAAGGCCAGCAACGGAAAAAGAAACGCACAAGCGGCGGTTCAACGTTGAGCACACCGAATGCGAATGCCTCGAAGCAACTCGGGCACCAATTCACTTCGCACCCCCACACACCCAACAACCATCCTCTCAAGTTCAGTGACGGCTTGTCGGGGTCGCCACCGCCTCCTCGCGGTTCTGCAGGTCGAGGCAAATCGACGGAGACATCCGGCAGGGTGGACTCGAGGATCCAGCGACCTGTATATGTTAGTGTTGCTGTACAAACGGATCCAGAACAGTCTGACATGCCCATACCTCCACCAGCCAAGAGGAGGAAGTTCTGCACACCGACGCAGCGATTGCTCAGAAAACTCTTGGAGGTTCGGGCCAGTCATGGGCAACCATGTTCTTTGCAAGGCCTGCCTGCCTCAGCCTCGAGCCAACAATCACTTGTACACACAGCAAAGACGGAAGATGTGGAAATGAAGGACGCCAACGACAGTGCGGATACCCGAAGTGTCATGTCTGCCGAGACGGACGGGCAGTCTCCCCCAGGAAGCAGCAGCCCTATCAATGTGGGGGCCACCACATATCCTCTCCCGTCACAAGCGGCACACACGTTTAAAGCCTTCAGGTCTTCCCCTGCTCCGAAGCTGCACTTGTCCACGCTGCCACCAGTCCCGGTCTTTCCGACTTCGGCGACTTCTGCTTCCTCGTCATCTACCTCGGCGACTACTCCCGGACTGACGTCGACCGCGACCGCACAGTCGCCCATTCCATTGAACTCGGCGTCGTCTGGCTCATACCCTGCGGCGATCAATTCTATCGTCACTCCTAGCCCCGCACGGAAGAAACTTAGCTTAGGAGACTATATGAGTCGTCGTCTGGCGTCGACTCCTTCAACTGAGAAGTCGCAGGCTCAAGCTATTCTGGGCGCAGGTGAGACTGAGACATCGAAAGCGATAGCAGAAGCGGGACAGCCGTCTCCTGGGAGTGTTGAATCAACCCCCGGTAATGCAAGATCAGTTGAAGTCCCTGGTCAACCGACGCCTCAAGCGGGTCTTCCGGGTGGTGCAGCCAAGGACACCTCTATGAAGGAAGCTGAAGAACCAGCATACAGCCCTCCTGACGTCTTGCCGCCGGGAGCAATACCTGCTTCATCCCCGCCCAAGGTGAGGAGTGCTGTCCCAGCATCGAATGAAACGATCAGCATACCAAAGGAGATGTCGAACGTCCTGGCCCAGCTGGCGCAAATCCACAACGAATCGAGGGGTGTGCGATAAGTGTATGATAAGGGTCGGAACTGGCGTTGAATGAGCAGCCTCTTGTTGTGTCACGAAACGAATAGAAGAACTTTTGGACCTTTCGCGAGGCTTGGACATGCAGTGATGACGACACAGCTTATACCAGAAAAGACGGGGCGAATGGGATTGATGGGCATCCGGAGCATCAGGGTCAGCAAAATTCGGGAACTCAGAAGGCGGGAATATGTGGGCGTTTTATCAACACAATGTGGGCTGGTCATGTCTGTTCACCATGGATGGAGAATCGCGACAGTGAGCCTTATGCGAAGGTGGAACGAGGTCCAGGCAGTCCTGAGAACCTCCCTTCTTTTTCTTTCTCTTTTATCCTGTATATATATGTGAGCTGGCTGAGCCGTGATGGCCTCGCTGTGTGTGCCATTGTGGCGATGCAGTTGAGCGGCACTTGTTCTGTCGCTGTGTTGAGAGAAATAGCTGATACCAATAGCGCCACATTAGGTGTTGAGTGCAAGTTCCCGAGCCTGATCGTGATTTGTGTCTCTTCTCAAAGGTACAGAAGTCAGGGTGAGTGTGAAGCTACAGACTGGGCAATTCTAGACGATACCCATGTGCAAATGAACAACATGCAGAGTCCCCGAAGTCACATATAAGAGGCCACGTCGTCGCCCGCCCCTCCCCCTCGATTATCATTATTTGACTTGTTCCCTCCCATCCCACCAGTTCCCACCTTCGAACGCAGCTAGAGAGTAGTGCCCAGTACCTATCCCCGTCACTCCCCCCAGGCTCCAATGGGGGGCGTACCCGGCGCCTCTTGAGGTGTCCGTCTACCGGGTTGCCCTACCCAGGCAAGCAAGGGTCCCGGTCGGCCTCCCTCTCCCCCACTTGACCCTGCAGCCTCAACAAACGCTCCAGATCTACAGACAATGACATAGCCATCGCATGCTCACTACTACTTTGACCTTACGAGGGGTATTGTCATTCAATTGATCGGCTTTGCTGAATAGGGTATACTCCCCTCACCACCAGGTGCGGTCCTCGATTCGATCTTTTTTTTAATTTATTATTATTACTACCACTCGACCTGCTTTTGGAGGGGTCTTTGGCTACAGGACTCTTCTTTTTTTTCTTTTTGGTTCCTTTATCCTTTTTCTCTCTATTGTTTTCCCGGACTCACTCAATTCTCGCTCCCAGGAGCCCGACAGTCATGGCTTCTTCAGGCCCGATCCCTTTCCGCCCAGGTCCCAACACCGGGGTCCGCACGCCCACGCGACAAGGCTCGGTGGATTCACGAAATGAAGTCTACGTCCAGATGAACCATTACATTGGCATCGACGTCGGCACGGGCAGTGCCAGGGCCTGTATCATCAACGAGGCCGGCGACATTGTGGGCTTGTCGTCGGAGAACATTGGTCTCTGGCAACCTCAGACGGGATACTATGTAAGGGCTTCGCCGGGATGGGAGAGAGAGAAGGGGGGGAGGCAAGAACTCCTCCGCGTTTCGAATCTTTCTCTGACAAAGGGGTCGCACGGACACAGGAACAATCCACCACGGACATCTGGCGCTGCATCTGCCTGTCGGTGCACCGGGCCATGACGCAGAACAACATCGACCCGCACTCGATCCGGGGCATCGGGTTCGACGCGACCTGCTCGCTGGCCGTCTTCACGCACGACACGGACGAGCCCGTGTCGGTGACGGGGCCCAACTTCGACGCGGCGCAGAACGACCACAACGTCGTCCTGTGGCTGGACCACCGCCCCGTCGACGAGACCAAGAAGATCAACGCCACCGGGCACAACCTGCTGCGCTACGTCGGCGGCACCATGTCCATCGAGATGGAGATCCCCAAGGTCCTGTGGCTCAAGAACAACATGCCCAAGTCCCTATTCGACCGCTGCAAGTTCTACGACCTGACCGACGCGCTCGAGCACATCGCCACCGGCAACGAGAAGCGGAGCTTCTGCTCCGTCGTCTGCAAGCAAGGCTACGTCCCCGTCGGCGTCGACGGGAGCGTCAAGGGCTGGCAGGAGGACTTTTTGACCGAGATCGGCCTGGCGGACCTGGCCGAGGACAATTTCAAGAGAATGGGCGGCGTCAATGGGGTGGTGAGCCTGTTTCCTTACACCCTTTCACAAACACACAAACATGCTTCTTTTCTTCTCCTTTTGGACACGAGATATCAAGCCGCATCGCTTTACCCCCATTTCAATCCTGTGCCTTTCCGCTACTCGGGCTAACCTTTTTCGTCCCTTTTTCGCCTCAATAGAACGGCGAATACCTCTCCGCGGGCGAACTGGCCGGCCATCTATGTCCGCGCGCCGCCGCAGACCTCGGCCTGCCCGCCGGCATCGCCGTCGGCAGCGGCGTCATCGACGCCTACGCGGGCTGGATCGGCACCGTGGGCGCCAAGGTCCAACTCTCGGCCGACCACCTTTCCCAAGAGGCACCCGCGAACGACCAGTCCCAAGCCTTCACCCGCCTGGCCGCCGTCGCGGGGACGTCCACCTGCCATCTGGTCATGAGCAAAGACCCCGTGTTCGTGCCGGGCGTGTGGGGGCCCTACAGGGACGCGGTGATTCCGAACTACTGGATGGCCGAGGGCGGGCAGTCGGCGACGGGCGAGCTGCTCAAGCACGTGCTGGAGACGCACCCGGCGTACAACCAGGCGCTGTCGCGGGCCGAGTCGACCAACAGCAACGTCTACGACTTCCTGAACCAGCACCTGCTGGACATGCAGGAGAAGGCCGGCGCCCCGAGCGTGAGCCACCTGGGCCGCCACTTCTTCTTCTACGGCGACCTGTTCGGCAACCGCTCGCCCATCGCCGACCCCACCATGTCCGGCTCCGTCGTCGGCCTGTCGAGCGACAAGTCCCTCGACGGCCTGGCCCTGTACTACTACGGCACCATGGAGTTCATCGCCCTGCAGACCTGGCAGATCATCTCGACCATGAACAACGCCGGCCACAAGATCAGCTCCATCTTCATGTCCGGCAGCCAGTGCCAGAACGACATCCTCATGTCCCTGGTCGCCACCGCCTGCGACATGCCCGTCCTGATCCCCCGCTACGTCCACGCCGCCGTGTGCCACGGCGCCGCCATGCTGGGAGCCAAGGCCGCGAGTGCCGACGCGAACGGCAAGACCGAGGATCTATGGAGCATCATGGACCGGATGAGCAAGCCGGGCAAGGTCGTGCGGCCCAACGAGGACAAGAGCGTCAAACGCCTGCTGGACGTAAAGTACAAGGTCTTCTTGGAGCAGTGCGAGAGACAGAGGGAGTTTAGGAGGATGGTCGATGAAGTTACGAATGCTTCTTAAGAGGTAGACAAAAAGAAAAAGTTTCTTCTGGAAATCCGTCGTGCTGGGATCGATCTGTCTTCCTCGACCTCCTTGAATGAGGGAGGGTCAGATATCGTGCATGGCCCGCTTTCCAGCCGTACGTTGTAAATATCAGCTCCACAAATAAAAGCCTGGGTCTGCTGCAGGCATAATCATTTCCAGCTGGTGCTCTCTATATCGAGTCTTGATGCTTGCATCCCGATGGCTCGCTAAGTGACGTCCGACTGTCGATAGATGTCTGCTCATGCGGGCTCAGCCCTCCGAGGAGTCTGCGTCGGGTTCTCGTCGGAGCTGTCTCACGCCTTTCACCACTTTAAAAGGTAGTTGGCGGAGCATTCGAACGAAAGACATGCAACCAGTTCTTCGGCCGTTGACATTGAAAGCGACCGATTTTGCGGGCCCCACGTGGACTGCTGGAAATGCCACTTGTGCCAGCTTAGCCACGTTCGATGAAAAGTCGGGCCAGCCCTGTTTGGCCTTTCTGGCTGCGAGTGTAACTCGCCCGGCCAGGACGGCTGCTGGGGCGCCTGCTGGTGCACTCTACTAGCCAATGAGGGATCTTCGTCGGTCTGTGCAGTTGAACAGAGTCCAAGGATATCCTGATCAATTTGCTGCAGACTGATCGCGGTGGTTCTTCAGCATGCGTATCTGCTGCTATTGAGAAGTAAGGAAGGTCGCTGCTTCAATTCACGAGCAGACGAAGCGGCAGAGTTTTGTTTGCCACATTTTTCAAGCTTCAGTGATTTGAATCGTTAGCCGTGGTCCCGTAGTCAGTGACGTGATCGCTGTGAACCTGGGGCTCGTCAGTAACCATCGAAAAAACCCGCTCGGTTTGGAGAGAGGAGCAACGCACATCCTCAGAGGGTTGGCCAACTTCCTGGCCAGGGGCGGTGACTTCGGCATCATCATCGGGGTGGGGTTTCAGAAAGCTTTTCATCAAACCCAGCATGTCGTACTTGCACAGCGGGCAATCGTGATGGCCGCGTTCAACCCAGAGGTTGAGGCAGTTGGCGTGGTAGACGTGGCCACATCGGAGTTCGCGAATCAGATCGGTTTCTTCGAGAGATTCCAGGCAGATGGCAGTGCTGCGGATGTCAGTCAACGAAGCGTGGAAAACGGGGGGGTGAGTAACGTATCAACTGAGAGTCGTGGAGAGCGTTGCGAAAGTCTGAACGTGTTCAACCGATTTCTCGGCCCTCCAGTGTAGCAGTGACTGCGCCGGAGCAACTTGTTCGAGCTTTTTTAACCTCTTCCGATGCTGTGAGGCTGCTGACGTAGCGGACAGGCTGGAGTCCTCGATCCGCCAGCCTGCCTCTGTGATGTCTGATTCAGCATCAGATCCTTCGTCTCCGGCGCCGCCGAATCTATCGTAGAGAGCGCGACTTGTCTCCCGTCAACTTGTGCCCTGAACAAGATTGGATATCCATGCCGCTCACCACATCATCAAAAGTATCAACACAAACCACAGCATCCATGTTATTTGTATGAAGACGGCGATACTGTGAATATCTGGATTGTTTCTGTAGGGAGGTTGGAGGTCGGCGGGCATGCCAGGGTATGCAGCGACCGAGCCATTGGATTGAAGGATGTTCTCGGCACTCTGGGGCCAAACGTCGGCCTCGGTGAGGAATTGCTGTCTGGGGATGTACATTGTTTATGACTGTTTCCCGGGGGGAGGGGGGAGTATGAATTCAACGCAATGTCCAGGACAAAATATTTTTAGCCAGCCAAGATCTGGGGTTTGGACGAACTGAACAGAAAGGAATGGCGTAGTACATTGAAGAAATATAATGAGACGGCTATCCGAGGAAGCATGGTCGCAGAAAGAAACTGTGTGATGGAGAGAGAAACGTGAGAATCCGAGAATGAGGTTTGGCAAACTGAAGCCTCAAAGTCACACAACAGTCTTGCCATGGAGGGCGCGCCATGTGATGCGCGTTAGTGACCTGCCCCAAGCCGCAAGACGGTTTTTCGGATGGTACGATGCGTCTGTCTGATTCTAGGCGTCTTCCCTTAGAGATCGATGACGACAACAGGCATACTGTGGACGCTGGGCATGCATTAGACTTGTTGGGTGGTGGTGGTGAATGTGGTGGTGTGATCCTGACGATATTACTTACTTGTACACGTGCAAGGCATTGTAATAAGAGTCTTCACCCAGATTCTAGGCACTTCAGCGCCCCGCCCGGGTAGCCTTGGGTCACAATGGCAGCACCAAATTGCTAGCCCAGCGAGCCAAAAGAGCCCCTAAAGAACCTCTAGCCCGGTGGTCCTTAGCGGGATCTTCCGGGCAGCCACCCATCTCCGGGGTATCCGAACAGGGCCAAAGGCGGACATCGGGTTCGGGTCATCGGTGCAATATTGATCCCATCCGGGCACCTGAGATCTGTCTCTCTCACCCCTCCCCTCTCACGACACGGATGCTGCTGCGTGGTTCTTTGGGGGGATATTCTAGTCTTGTTCAAACTCCCTTTCGCTGGACTAAAGCTATGATTCGAGTTTTGGGACAGATGACGGTCATGAATTATTTGGATTCTGATTTTTGTACAGCCTTGTCAATATGGATCCGGTACCTTTCTTGTTTGTCGACGTCGACGTCGTAATAACCCAAAAATGTCCGCTTTAGTTGAACGAGCGAATTCTCATTGCTGCCTCTGCCAACCTGACCGATTCCATCTCCTGGCCCTTCAAGACGCTGACTAACAGGTTCTCGCCGTTACCGCCGACCGCATGTACCACCACGTTTTCACCGTATCCGCAATCCTTCTCCGTTGGGCCGGCTTCATCGTACTCTGCAAAGGACTCCTTTGTCACGCCGTCCTCCGGGGCGAGGAGAACTGTGCTGGCGAATTTCCTGGCATCTTCATACTTTTTAAATGAGCCTTCCACAATCGTTTCCCGGGCCTCGCCGCTGTCGTCTTCGTCGTATAACACTATGGTCTGCACCACGTGGTACACGTCGCCGTGCACTTTGTGATCTTCCGGGTTGCTCTCGAAGCCTTGCGTATTCGGCGTGGTCGCTACGCTCACGCGGAAGGTAGTGCCGTCGCCTGATTTGGCAAAGACGCAAAGACCTGATTTTCTCTTGATGTGATGGATTTCAAAGTCTGTCTCGTTGGTGTCGTATTCGGTGAACCATTCCCGCTCATAGCCCGCCTCGAAGAGAGTCTTGTGCGCAGCCGCTTTGGCGGCCGGCAGGTCTGTGAAGGTGCCGCAGATGCGCAGTTTCTCGATTGCGAGGTTGGGGTCTTTGGGGATGTTGGAGATGCTGAAGACGATATGGTAGAGGTTTTCGTCCTTGGTGCCGTTGCCGTTTGCTTTGGTGGCCATTGTTTCTTTGTGTTTATGGGTGTTGTGTGGTCAAGTTTTCCACTGTCTAAGTACCTTTGTTGTGAATCTCTCTGGTTTCTGTTGGACCACGAGAGTCACGGAGGCACAGCGTCTAATATGATATATTCCCCCATCGCCTCCTCAACCGACAGGCACGCCATTGATTCGACCTACGCACAGATCGTGGCGTGATGTTCATCGAAAACGGTTGCTGTCGGCTCATGAGATTACCTAATGGACCCTTAGAGATTTGGGTGTTTTGGGCATGACTATGGGCGAGTCTCATCTCAGTTCTCAGCTGCAAGGTTCTAGCCTTTGACAGGGCCGAGCGGGACTGCAGAGAAGATCCAGCCATACGAGGGCCTTCGGGGGTAGGGAATGCCTAAACTTTTTGTCGAATGACCAGTTGTCCCAACAGGAAGAAAGAAGACACACAAAATTGGCGCGGATTCCCTGGAACCGAGAGATGCTCTGACAATCATGGTGTGATCTTGGGATTGCAGGAAAGCCACAGGCTGCTTCAGACCACAGTGTGCATTTGGCAGCCCTCCTCCACATTTCCATCCTCATCATGCAACCTCTTTACTCGGACGTGGTACACCTCCTACTTGTATGCTTGCGTCAACGCTCTGGGCGTGCCACTCGCTTGGGTTGGACATCTCACGTTTCCAGCTACGATGACGCAAAGGAAGCACTGGGTTTTCTTCAAGATCCCGCACGAATAGCAGAGAAAGATGCTGGATGCAAAAGATAATATCCATTGATCAAACGCGTACGATCACAGACGCTATCCCCAGTATCGTAGCGTCGAGGACTCCAAGGTCTGATTCGACCGGACTTCTAGTAGCCATTTTCGCTGTTCCAAAGCCCAAAAGCTCCTTCAACGCCGAGTCCTGTGCTTTGCCCATTGCAGAATTACAACTTTTGCTCCGTTGCCGCCGCCGCCTTTGCGGCTTCCTCCATTTCATTCAGATGGCTCTCGACCTCGTCTAGGTGTTTCCGCTGAGCCGCGAGCTTTTCTCTCATTTTCCGAATACTATACACAGCGGTTGTGAGACGCCGATCAAGAGACCAAGGACAGATAGAGGGCGGCCACTCACTTTTCTATTTCATGTTGCTTGAAATACATGTTCTCCAAGACTTGTTCCCGGCGATTGAATGGGTCACTGGCAAATTTCCGGGTCAGTAAAGGGGCCTTTCGGATTCAATCGGCAGAAGTGACAGAGGGCCTACCTGACAGCAACCCCGCCTGGCCGTACTGCGCCAGTGTCGCCTTCACTCCAGCTTTGCCGTGTGGTGGCAAACGATTGACAAAACTGAGGTGTTCGGATTCTGGTCATACAGCTTCTGGGAATTGATGTTCGAAGCATTTTGCTCGAGGTGGTGGAGGAACAAAATTCCAATCTCTAGATTTCTGAACGGGTGTGGTGTTGTAAATGTCTTTGGGGTCTGATGGGTGAAACCAAGACGCTTGGACAGGCGCAGGCTGCGTGGCCGTATATAAATGTAATGTTCGAAGTTACATTTTTGGTTGTTCCTGAATTCGACTTTGCATGGCTGGATTGAACTGAGGCATAAAATGAGTGGTATGACTGCACAGATCTCGGTGAGACCCAGCTAGGCCAGCTGGGAGCTTCAATGGAGCTCTAGGCGGCTGCAGGTCTCTCCTCCAGGCATGGCGGCACCCATGGTTGGGCCTTTAACGCTCAAGTGGGACGGTGCCAGCGGTCGAGATCTCTGCGAGGATTCAGGGGCGGAGCCCTCCTACGCGTAGCTCGCATAATTCGTACAAGCAACAAGTGCCTCGAGGGGCACCAGCCATGCATCCAGGTAATGCGTCCGTCCATTGGGGCCACTCGCTGACTGCTGGTGCCGAGACATGGCGGTGCAACATCACACCACGGCACTTTGAAACTTTCTCACGCGACGTAGTGATGGTACTGCCAATGGGCTGCAGCGTTCGTCCTTTCATCTCCAGATCGCATGATTGTGTGTCTGCAAAGCTTCCATGATCATGAGGTGAGGCTTCCCGATGCTTCAGGCATCGACCATAGGAAAATTGGCACAGAACCATGGCATTGTTCAACGACAGGCACATGACCTGCCTGTTGTTTTGGCCGAGGGACGAGGATGCAAACTGGAAGACATATACACGAGCCTGTCTCTCGACGCTCGGGGAGTTCAGAGAGTGAACCAAGGTAAAATCCAAATCTGAGAACTCTTCTCTGAAAGAATCTATCAACTCGAAGTCGAAGCCCTAGAACGTGATCGAGTCACCCAACAAACAACAAACAACAATAACAACAACTAACAAAATGGCTGGCTGGTTCTACATCACATCCGACATTGACCCATACCCAACAACACACATCTCCCATACCTACCCGGAACCCGGACATCACCTGCACCACATCCCAGTTCCGTATGTAGCACACAAGGTCTACACCAAGTTGCATGACAGAGACGAAGACATCCATCAACCAACGACCGATGTCCGCGAGACCCTAAGCAACTTCTATCTGGAGGTTGAACTGCCAGGCGTCAAGGAGCACACGGAGCTTCGTCTACGTTGGACATCAGACCGTACGCTGCTGCTGACGAGCAAGACTCACAGGCCCGACATTCCGGAAGGGGAGTTGGTCGAGGAGCCAGGCCCACCACCAGCGGTCACAGTGCCACTTGAGTCAACGCCAGCTCCAGCTGCTGCTGCTGATGCTGCACCACCGGCGCCCGAGGCGGAAGCAGCGCCGGCGGCCAAAGCTGCCGAGGAAAAGCCCTCCAAGAAGCACGAACCTCACTTGACCGTGCACGAGCGGCAGGTCGGCGAGATGATCCGGGCCTTCAACTTCCCCGTCGACGTCGACCGCGACAAGACGCACGCCAAGCTCGACGCCGGCCTACTGAGGATCGTGGTGCCCAAGATCTTGGAGCACGGCGAGGCCAAGCACATCCACGTGCCCATCCACTTCACCTCGCTGCCCACCGTCACCAGCTGAATCAAAGGCCGGAGCCGCAGCCCGAGCCGCCAGCAGCAGCGAGGGCGTCGTCGACATCGCCCAAGTGACATTGTCGAAGTGATTCCCGAGATGGACTGGAGGATTGCATCTGTGTTGTGCGGCGAGTTTGGAGAGTACGATAACGTTGACGATGATGCGGGCGCCGATTAAAAAAAAAAAAAAGGTGGGTTGGAAGACTGTGTTGGATTTTCCTTTGTATATGAAGCAGGGCAAAAGAGAGGGAGGCAGTGATGCAAGGAACGATCTGTGTATTATTATTATTTGTTGTCATTGGAACGGCACAACCGAACCAGGCGCGAGATTCCCCTTGCCCCCCTGAGGAGAGAAGGATAGCTAATGTGTAATGATATTATTCTTACTTTCTCACGGCTTCTTTTGTTCGTCTGCCTTCGGGCCTAATTGACCATGTCAACCATGTAATACTACACCATCCTAGCACGGCGATTTGGAGGCAGAGAGGAGCGGGGGGGTTAGGACGAGGGAGCGTTCCAAGTTTCATGCCAGAACCTAACTCGTTATAAGGCCACCCAACCCTCTGCGTAAGGCTCCGTTCGGATAGGGGGGCCAGAGCAAGCGAAAATGTGACAAGAATCCTTCGCCTTCTTCCTCCATGGGCAATCTTTAGATTCTCGAGCACAGTGGAAAGCAAGATGAGTCGTGAAATAGTATGTATATTTTCATCAATACGTGAGCAGACGTTGATCCCCTGGATGGTATGTATATACAGGTTATTACATGGGAAAAGAGGGCGGTTCACCCCCCTTTCCTCCCTCTCTCTCTCTCTCTCTCTCTCTCAAGTTCGCTTCAATCCCGCTCTTTCGCCCAAATCAAGCAGATCCGGCGCCAATCTTTATTTGAACCGAAAAACGAAAACACCAAAAATAAGCCTCTATACACCGAGCAGGCGGGGGAGAGAGAAAGAGGAACTTTGGAGGGGGGAGGGGCATTATTACTCGTAAAATGCATCGCTCCAGACGTCCTCCTCAATAACATCCTCCTCCTCGTTCTGCTCCACCCACTCGTGCTGGGCCTTGGTGTCGTCCTCGGGCCACCAGCCCATGGGCTCCGATTCGTGCGAGGACCGTCTTCTGTGGGCGTCGTGGTGGTGGTGGCCGTGGGCGTCTTGGTGCTTTTCGTGCTCGTGGTGGACCTTGACGGGGGTGACCTCGACGAAGCTGGGTCTCCGCTCACGCCGTTCCGCGGCCTTGGCCATGTCGTCGTCCGAGGTCGACGAGCGGCTCATGGTCGCCGGGAAGGTCGCCTTTGCGTACGGCTTCTCCATCGGCGTGGTCGGGGGAGGGGTGGTGCCGGTGTTGAACGTCTCGGAGGGCCGGACTTTGGACTTCTTGATCATGGGCCGCGCAGCCTTGTCGGCGGCGGGTTCCAGAGGGAGGAACTCGGTCGACAGCGGGGGCGCGAGGTACAGGAAGTCGCTGTAGTCGGTGTCGTTGTAATTGGGCACGTAGCCCGTGTTGTTGACCTCGACTGACGCCGATGTCTTTGCTTGGTGTTCTGTGGTGGAGGTCTGTTTGGGCGGAAGGTCAGCCACAACATGTCCACTGAAGCCCATTGACAGCCCCATAGGCAAAAAAGGAGTTTACTCGGGAGAATCGGGGGGTGTGACATACCGGTGCTGTGTGGGACATCATCTTGAGTTAGATTGGATGAAGTTTTTGTTTGGCGGTGGTGGTGTTGGTGTTGCTTGAGGGGTGCAGTAGACAACTGAGTTGACTGTGATCTGGTCTCGGTGAGAGCAGGCGAGTTCCTCTGCCCATTTTTATGTTCGGAATCTGCCTCGTCCTCAATCGCTGAATATGTCTCTGTAGCATCCCAAGGGTGAGTAATTCGCGATACCGATACTGCTCAGACCAACCCCTTGGCTGACGAGGGGCCATTCGGGATGGTCTTGCTCAGGCTACCGGAAACCGCCGTATACGGAGCCATTCGCGGCGGTGGTGTGGTGGACTGACTGCAGACCTCACTACCTCACTGGGCCTTTCCCTTTCCTCTCACGCGCGCTTGGAATGCGCGCATCCTGTTTGTCTGTTCCATCTTTGACTTCTCTTGGGGCATCGCATACGACCAGAGTTGTCTGGCTGCCTCTTCCCACCACCGAATTCCCCCATCGCTCATGGTATCAGGTATCACCACCCGTCACCCGACTCGACTCTGATGCATCAACACCACCATCCCACTCTCAAACCCCTTGCATGCTGTCTGTGCGACGTGATGAAATGGCCGCATCTCGACACCGGGTTCTCGTCGTTGACTCGTCTTGTCGTGACTATCCCATCCCTCCTTGTATCGTCAATGGCGCCATATCGTGCATGGATGTTGCGCCAATTTCACCTGGAACCCCCAATACCCCGGATTTGCACCTCTGTCCCTCCTGGTTTCTCTTCAGCATCCCGAATCCTAAGGTTTGGCATTGTTCTCCGCGCTCTCTTTGCAATCATCTGACGCTTAAATTTCACCTCGCCCTTGCAGCCTGGACGGTAGCCTATCGGAAAAAATGCTGATGGTGTGAGTGCCTCCCCCCCCCTTCAAAGTGGCCAACGTCCACTTCAACCAACGTACGGCGTTCCACTGCACAAGATCGTGGCCTCATTCATAGAAGCCTCTCCGGAAGCCTGGATCCTCCGACGGCATTTCGGCAATCAAGTGATCTTGTATTTGAGGGGCTGTGCCACACTGTCTGTCCAATCGTCATACGCATCCAGTGCTGTTCTGTTGCAGGCGGAGCATTCATCTCGTGAAGTGGATGTGTTTGGCATCCTGTTTGCCATCCATGGCCGTCCAAGTCCTTCCCTAGCGGCAAACACAGCCGGGCAAAAATGTCTCTCTCCAATCATGTTTGCTCATCCCCAGACATATAAAAACATTAACCCAGCCGCTGGGCGTCGATGTTCGGAGAACGCGAGAAAGATACGATGCAACAACCCCAGATATACCAGAAATGGTTGAAATTCCCGTTATAATTACCCCTCCAGACTGTCACCCTCTCGCAGACAAACCAGACCAGCAAGAACAGGCTGACCAGATCCTGGATGAGCCTGATTTTTCTCCCGTCGCGCACGAGGTGAACCCAATGACTACCTCCACCACAGTCACTACAGCCAGCATCGCCGCCATGGTTTCAGAGGGCACTCAAACCGACCAGACCGATCCAGTGGCCGGCCACGAGACTCCGCCTGCGAAGACGTACAGTCCATTTTGTCCGCTGAGCCCAGCACGCTCTCGGTCCGACTCTCCTGGACCTAAACCTCACTTTCCTCCCTTCCCGCCGTGGAGGGAGCTTCGCCACCGCATCTATGGCCCTCATCCAACGCACCCTGGATATGCGGGTAACGAGGCAACCATCGAGGGCCATCTCTCCCCTCCCGAAGAGCCGCCAAAGTGCCCCATGACGCCACAGGCCGATCTGTACCAGGGTCAGTCACCATCCACGTTTGGGATGCAGTTCGACCGTCCCACCAAAACATACTGGAGAAGGTACACCAAGCCAGCAACGTGTGCTCAGAACTACGAGGACCACAAGCACCGGATGTTAATGGAATGGCTGAACCGGAGGAACTCCGTGTGAGCCTCGAGACGCGTAGGATCCTCAACCCCCACGAGGTCGAGGTCCATGCTTCCTGAATCCGACAAATGGAATGTCGGAACTTAAATGTTGGATGCTGCTATGCAAGGTTCGACAGCAGTATACTGAGCTGTTCGTTTGGAACCATCATGTACACAGCTGGCAGGAAGCCACCAACCAGCGACCTGTTCACGTTCTTGTTTCTTCTTCTTTTTTTCTTTTTCACCATTGTTTTCAGGACTGGAAACATGTTGCGGAGAGGAATCCCTGTGATTTTGCATGGCGGACTTTTTGTGCCGAATTCATGGCATCGAGATTGGAAATCAACAGCAACATTAGCAGCGGGATGGGCCAAATTGTCCAGGTCGATAATTCTGGTTGGACGACTTTCTGCTCGGTTGGTTTTGTGCTTAATTCTTGTCGCCGGCTGAAGTCTTTGGGTTAGTCGGCTGGATGTATATTATCTGCACTCAAGTATCATCATCGTCCACATGATTCATGATGTTCATGTATCAATATAGATCTGGCGAGCTACCTACACGCCGCCCCTCTCTCCCACCATGGGCCATGGCCTCGTGGCTCCGGGGTCGCCGAGTTCTACAAAGGTTCTACACAGCTCAACCACTCTCTTTGTTCGGGAGCCCCTTGTTCGAACGAACCTCCTCGCGCCATGTCTGTCCACATTTCCTGCATGCCCCCGCCGAGGTTGCCATGCACACTCACTATATGTCTTGATCCTGCCGAGCCCCTTTCAGAACTACATCACCGAGACGCCCCTTCATCTTCTACCTGCAACCGCCCGCCCGCCAGCTGCGCCACGACCACCACCGTGTCCCTTTTTCTCTCTCAGAAAATCGCCACGCCGTTGACCGGACTGGCCACGCCGCCGGGGACGTAGCAGGGGACGCTGGCGACGAAGAAGCTCCAGCGGCCCTGGCGGGCGCACTCCTTGCTGAGGGCCTCGAGGTCGAGCAGCTCGCCGATGTTGCAGCCCCAGCCGGCCAGGAGCACCTCGTGCATGCTCCAGTCGAAGGGGGTGGGCCAGCGCTCGAAGCTGGGGTGGTCGCTGGCGACGGCCGAGAAGTGGTCCCAGATCCAGTTGAGCACCTGGTCCGACTGCTCGACGCCGCCCAGGCCCGGGGGCGACATGGAGGTCAGGCGCTGGATCTCGGCCTCGCCCTCCGGGGTGGCGACCATGGAGCGGTAGGACTGGAAGAAGCCCGAGCGCACGATGAGGATGTCGCCGAAGCGCGGCGTCGTGTTGTTCTGCCACTTGAGCGTCTCGAGGATCCACTCGAACTTGATGGGCGACGTCTCGAACTGCTTGAACACCCCGTCGCCCACGACCTCCCGCCCGGGCCCTTCCTCCAGCCACCGCCGGAAGTCGACCAGGATGCCGCGGCCCATGACCCCGCCGCGCTCGACGGCCTTGTGGATGCCCAGCACGTTGGGGTTCTGGGCGCCCTTGGCCGACGCGCCCGCGATGTCCTCGACCGTGGTGTCGTTGTAGAACCGGCCGGCCTGCTGGTACCCGAAGTGGCGCAGCCCGTCCCACTGCGTCGAGCTCTGCGTGTTGAACGACCACGTGTCGTCGTGCACCACCCGCGGCTTCTTCTGGTACACGTCCTTGACGAACACCTGCCGCCCGAACAGCGGCTTCTGGCCCTGGAAGTCCAGCGGCGCGTCCAGCGGCACGCGCACCCCGGTCTTGATCTCCGACGCCGCCGCCGCCGCCACCGTCGCGGGCGTCTGCCGGTTCAGGAACCCCAGCTCGTCCGTCGCGCCGTAGGCGCCCCAGGCGTTGAGCCGCGTCGCCGCGTGGGTTTTGTTAAGCGGGAGCGAGGAGAAGGGCACGGGTGGACCGGACATGATGTCTCGCGTAGCCAGGCTCTTACTTTATTGTGACCTTTGTATATGACGAAGATGTCTTCAAAGGGGACTTTTTGCTCGAGACGACGTTAGTGGTAACTGGTTGATAGCAATAGCAACAGCGCCAGAGAGATAAGAGGAATGAAAACTGACACGCCTAAGATCTTTTCAGAGTCTGAAACCTGGCAAACCTGTAAATATACACAACGTAGATGCTTTCCCTGCTGCTTGTCAAAAAAAAAACAATAACATCCCCCCCTCCCCCGCGCAAACAGTCTCACTATTCCCTGCCCTATATAACCGACCCGAAACCAAGCCACGGCAAAATTTGGAGAAAGAGCCCAAAAAGAACGGGCAGCAACGCCGCCGGCCGCGGCGTATCCTTCTTTGCAACGAGACTACGGCCACTGCCCGAGAAAGCCCGTGCTTGTTGAAGCTCGGCACATCAGGGCCAGGCAGGAGGTGGGGATTTCGACGTGAGGGGGCACGAAACGGTTTGATCCCCTTCTTTGCTTCCACTACCGACCGAGTTACTGTGTTGATATCGCGATGAGATGAGGGGGGTGAGTGGGGGGAGGGAGGTGGCGGCGGTTATTGAGACCCCAAAAGGGCACCGACCAGACGAACGCGAGGGGCAACTCACCGGCGGCTCCTTCATAACCACTCGCTGCTACTGTGAAGCAATTGGGTTCGTCGTTTACGCCTTGGAGACACACGCCCAGAACCCGAGCGGTGGATCGGGCTTTGATCGGACGAGACTGCCGAGGGGTACCAAAGAAGGGGGCAACCGGGAGCAGCCTGCAAACCTGTAGGACATACTAATGAGGGAAATAGAAGAGATAGCGAGGCACGAAGAAAGATATAGAGAGAGAGGCGAAGTATGAGAAAGAGATACAGAAGAAGAAGAAGAAGCAATCTGGATTGGATTCAGTCCGTCTATCTCTATCCTGTGGTCGGCTGTCGATCCGTGATCCCTCTCGATGCGCAAAATAACAGCCTTGGGGGAAATGCTTACGTCCCATCCACCTGTGCGCCCGTAGAAATACAATGCCCATCAAAGAACCACCACCCGCATCGTCCCTGTGCCAGCAAGACCCGAGATAAGTCTCTCCATCTATACAACTCATCCGGTCACCGTGGCGAAAGACAGCCTCGTGGTGCGTCTCGCTGTGGCCGAGTACGATAGAATCCCCTTCAGCCCCTTTCCACCCTCCCCCTCCCCCAACCCACTTGGCTTGAACATTATTGTTGGTACACAGGACGTAATCCTGATGCTGTAATACGAAAGATCCCCAGGAAACTTTGTCCGAGAAATTTTGTGTTTTGCCTCTCGAAGAAATTGTATACCGCAAGACTTTTTTGCCCTAGACGCCATAGGAGACCGAGGGGTTGCAAGTGGTCTCCGCTTTGCCCTAGGATGTTTCCCTGAGCCGATATCCTCCCGCAATCACGAAGCATGGCCATTGACACCATTGACCAAAGGTGCCGGGAAACCCGCAACCACACTGAACTGACCGCCTGCTCCGGCCCAGATCAATTTCTTGTCTCTGACAGCCGTGTTGTCAATCAGAGTAGCAAGTTCAACATCGTCCGAAGTGCCCTGTCCCGTCTGATAGGTCGTACTGAAACCCCATGAATACGCCTTGCCATTCTTGTCAATCGCAATGCAATGGTCAGACCCCGCGGCGGCCATGAGAGCCTCAATATTGGGGATCTGGGTGGGCACAATCAAAATCCGTGGGTGGCCGGCTGAATCGCGCACAACGTCGTCCTCCGGAAGCTCCTTGACTTTCAAGCCTGATTGGTTTCCGTCAATTCGTCCCCAGACCAGCAGTTCGAATTTGTCGGTGACGGCAACAGTGTGATGCGACCCTCCTTGGATACATGTGACTTTACCAAACTTGCCGCGAAGCGTCTCAATAACGATAGGCATATGCACGTCATTGCCTTTCGTATTGCCACTCTCGTCGAATTCCTTGGGAATGCCCGTCTGCCCGAAATTGTTCAGGCCCCAAGAATAGACATCGCCGTTCGACTTCACAGCAAACGAATTGTAGGCCCCTGCCCCAACGTATTCAATCTTCTTGAGTGTGCCAATGGCCGTCGGTATCAAACTGTTTGTTGCTCTTCGCTCCAGAATCCTTCGACCCAGTTGATTCTGTTGCCCTGAACCCCAACAATAGACGGCGCCATTATTCTGCAAGGCGAGGACATGATTGGCACCAGCTGCAAGCTGGATGATTTTGCTGAGGCCCTTGATCAGCTTTGGTCGGAGCTGGATCAGCGTGGTGGGGTCAAAGCCAAAAATGCCTTCATTCGAGCGAAATGTGCCCCATCCGTACACGTCGCCCTGAGCCGTGAGAGCAAACGTGGCACTATCAGTGCAGGCGACCTGGGTGAAGGTGATATCTTCAGGAACACCCGAGAGGTCTACTTCGCCCGGGGTAGATTCTCTTGGGTTGACTGCTGTCTCCGAACCGCTATCCGAGTCAGAGTCACTCGCATCTTCATCGATATCACGAAGACCACCTTCCCAGGCCGTGTCTCGACCTAGAGCGCCCTGGTCATTGACACCCCAGGTCAGAATCTTGTTGTCGTGGGTCAGAGCCGCAGTGTGCATGCCACCAACTGACAACGCCACCACTCCCACGCTATCCGGGCTGAGATTGGGATTGTATCGCGGTCTCTTCACTTCCGTCTGGCCCTTGGCGCTTCCCAGGCCGAGTTCCCCAGAAGAGCCTTCTCCAAACACATAGACGTTGAGTTTCTCAGTTGGAGGGTGATTGATCTCCGCCTTTGTTGCCTTGGGCTTTTTAGCTGCTGGTGGCTTTGCTGCAGGTGCAATTTTTCCCTTGGAGGACACAGGTTTATCAACTTCGGGACCGGGCGACGGAATCACTCGCGCTCTTTTGACGCCGTTTGTTTGAGGTTCATGATCAACTTCTGTTTCGGCCTTCCGCTTGCTGGTCTTCTTCACAGGCGCCTCTGTGGCTTTGACGGCAGTTTTAGGCGATGTCTTCACAGAGGCAGCGGCTTTCTTGCTCGCGGTAGACTGCTGTGGTTCAGCCTTCTTAACAGGTTTTGTTTTCTCTGCCGTATTTTTGGTTGCCTTGGCAGCTGCAGGCTTTCGGGCACGAGTGCCAGACATGTTTGGCTAGGTGGGTGACGCGACGAGGAGACTCGGATTGTGAGACGGACGCAAAAGGGAACAAGCGGTTCCTCGGGGCAGACAGGCTGGATACCGAGTGTTGTTCGTTAGGAAAATGGATTCCAAGCAAAGAGAAGAGCCTTTTCCGAAAGGACAAGGACGTGGCCGAGGTCAAGGCAGTTGAGCGTGATGCAGTGAGGCGAGCAGTGGTGCTGCTGGGCCAAAAAAAGTTGTTAGCCCATCAATTGTTGTGGTTATTGGACGTGACACGAGCGCAGCCGCACAGTCCGAAATTCCGCGTGACTAAGCACGCAGCGCCTCGAGTTGGCCGATATCTCCTGACTCTGGAGGAAATTCACCATACCGCAGCGAAGCCTCACGATACACTCGTATGTCCATCGTGGGACATAGTTATGTGACAATGCGGCAACTACAGCTAACCAAGGACAATTGCGGACAACGCGGTAAAAACATTGTGGATGATATGTGAGTGGCTGTCTCATATTGGTTCATACGGCATGTCTGTAATAAGATGGACCCTTTGTCATCTTGACTTCCTTTCTCATCTTCGAAATGCTCCTCTGCAGCTCCTCTAGCCGGACGGTGTGATGCATATTCGAGGCAGGCTCAGCTGTTTTCGACGGTGGGAAGGAGTATGACCCGCCACCCATTCAACGGCTTGTTCACATCCACCAAAACCCGCCCATTCACTCAACAATATCGCCCACTGATGGGGATAAGTGTGTTGATGACCGTGCCTTTGCCATTTAGACGACTGGCTTCAACTCTCGATTGCCTTTGGCACGCGGGTTCGGCGCATTCTCGTTTTCCTGAATGTAGAACCGACGAAGCAACATGATGGCTTCCTTTCTGAACAGTCCTCCATAGCTTGGATAGCCCTCCTCAAGACCCTTGTCAGAATGAACCGGAAGCACACTCCCATTTCCGCCAAATCGATCATTGCCACAGCCAAAGTAGACGCAGTGTATACCATATTGCCTCAAGGCTGAAGCACACATAATGCATGGCTCAACCGTAACATACAGGTCCGTTTCCTTGAGTTTACTTGCTGGCATCTTGGTGAGAAATTGTGCGATGGCGAGAAACTCCGCGTGCCGCGTGCCGTTGAGAGATCGGTTGGTGTCATTCATGCCCCGCGCAACGACTTTGCCCTCGTAGACCAGCACACATGCGACCGGAGTTTCACCTCCGCGAAGAGCTTCTTCGGCAACATCGATTGCTTGACGCATGAAGCCCTGATGGAGTTCGAGGTTTTTGAGAACTTCAGGATGAAGTTTGTCTTTGTCGCTGGCGGTCTCGGGCTTGCCGTTGGTGGTCGCCATCTCGTCAGAATCTGAGAGATCTATGAGGTCCATGTCAGTGAAGGAACAAAAGTCAGAGCCTCCAGGCCCAGGGAGGCCCTTGAGGAAGTCCATGGTGACTACATCTTGACTCACTGAAGAGCAAACAGGAGAAAAGGGCGTGAATTTCGTGGCAGATTTCTACAGCCTCGTGTCTCTTCGTATTCGGTTTAGTTGCCCTTTGTAGCAAATGGCGGCGATGGGTGTGAGTTGGTGATGGTCGGGAATGAGGCGGACGAAGTGAAATGAAATGTAATTGAAGATAAATTGCTGTCACCGTCACGAAAGAGTTTGTCGTGTTGCAACTGCCAAAGATGGTCTTTCGCAGCTTCCTGCTGGTGCTGCTCGCCGTTTGTACCTGCACTGTCCTTGCTGCGAGTGATGCTGCGGCTTCCAAACTGCCCAAGTCTGTCACTCTCTCGTATGAATTGATCGGATCTCCCTCAGTCAAGCCGCTCGTCACTGTCTTCTACGACCCAAAAACTTCTAAGCACGCCTTGTCGTCATGGACTCCTCCGTCCCTCGACTCGCTCAAATCTACCAACCCCGAATCTACCTCATCGAAGCTGCTTCGCATCCTTTTACCTAATGGCAGCTCTACCGTAACCACCCTCGACACGTTCGGCGACGATGTCCACCAGAAAATCGACCTCTGGATATCTCCAGACGATGGATCGGTCTTCTCTGCTTCGGTCTCCGGCCTTTCACCGCCCCCATTGTCCGCAGAAGAAGAACGCTACAGGAAGAAAGTCGCTAGAGCCAAGGCAAAAGGGAGGCCGATCCCACCTCCGCCTCCAGTGCCAAATACAAAGAAAGCAAGAGAAGAAGCAGCTAAAGCAGCAGCCCTCCATGAGCCCATCAAAGTCAATCTCATCACCTCCGGCCCCGGCCCCTCTCCTGATCTAGCGACTCGGAAACCACCTCAGGTCGATACTGAAGGCAGAGAGATTCCGCAGGAAGAACAACAAGAGAAGAGCTTCTTCCAGAAGTACTGGTGGGTGTTTTTGATCGCTACCATGCTCATGATGACTGGCGGTGGTGGGGCAGAGAAATGAACTCTCGGGCAAACACCCTCCTTTGAAGCATTGGGCCTGTTACTCCAGACTGCCGGAAAGGAACAGTGGCTACGGCACGCCCCAACGAATCTCTAGGAAGCTCGCGTTGTTCACTATCAGGGGTATTACTAGATCGACTCCCCGCGTCTCAAACTGGCGTCTTAGCGATGGGCGAGTGGTGAAAGCAACCTTGTCGACTTCCTATCCTCCGCTGAAGCTGTACGCGAGAAACATGTACACATTCCATTGTTCCGGAACTCACCAGGCAAAGCCGTTAGATCCATTCAACCTTCCAGTTTGGCAATACACCATATAGGCTCGACGGAGTTCCAAAATTGATGTCGCAGCTAATGCAGAATATCATCTCTGGGAAGCTCGCGACGGATTCGCCTACCTCTTCCCCAGACACTGAGATCCCAAACCTGTAACCCTCTGTCTGTTAGCACGACTAGCTCATTCTCGGCAACCCTCCTCCGTGGAGGTCTTTTGCGCTTGTCCCATGGCTCCGATTCTCCTGATTCAGACAGCTCCGGAGCCGGGGACATTCCACGTTCCTGACCTGTTGACGTATCATGGGACTCGTCTCGTCTTCCTGCAGTTGAAGTCTCCATCAACTCATTTTCTTTGCCTTTGGCTACGTCTAGCTCCGCTAGACTTGGAGGGCTCGGTTCGGGAGACTCAAGGACGACTTTGCTTGCGGAACTATGGTAGTCAGGAGGACGAGCGATGTGTCTGATCTGGCCGATCAGTTTAGTGTCCGAAAAGGGTGCCGGTGGTATTTCGTGGAAGCTCATACTCGGTTCCTGCTTCTGGACTTCGGTGTACGTATTTTCTGAAAGGGCTTCAGCCGGCAAATTTGGTCTCGGTGACGATTGGTCATAGGACTGTGGTAGCCCGGAAGGCTGCGGTCGATCTTGTTGGTAGATACCATCATCATCTTCCTTTTCCTTTTCCTTCACTACACCTCCCTTTTCATCTGCAGCTCCTTCTGCCTCCTCACCCTTTCCGTATATATCTCCTGCATTATTTGTACACTCCTCGTCAGCCCGAGGCAGCTTCCCTAAAGCCCAGCTCATCTTTCGTACCACAGCTCCACCGTCCATCTTCAATACGAGCGGACGGAGCTCAACAATGCGTTCAAGGGGCCAACCGTCTCTGGTATGCGGATAGAAGAACAATAAGTCCGAGAGCGAGGTGGATGTGCTGGAGGCGACAGATGCGGCTGCTTTCGGTGGTATCGGAACCGAAGGGACCTGGACGGGGTTTGCAGCGGACGGTGGAGGCTCTGAAGTCGAGAGGGGGTTTTGAGTTCCATTACCGTGGCTGTTGTTGCCAGTGTCATCCCCGGGGACGCCGTTCTGGTCGCCAACAGCCATATCGTCTGCTACGCCCGTGTCGTTGTCGTCATGTTCGCTTTCGCTGCCACTCTCCGAGCTGCTCTCCTCCTCGCTGATGGCGTCGCCGAAATCACTGTCGTCGTCCCACGTCTCGTCGCAGAGCGCCCGCGGGTCCAAAGCATAAACGAGCACTCGATCCCACTGTGCGACCGCGATTCGCTCCCCTCTGGGCGATACACATACAGTATCCAGTCCCGTCAGTGTGGTGTGCTGAGGAGACCACCCCCACAATCGCGCAGCGACGCGCAAATCTGTTCCGCGCAAGGCATCGACATCTGTGTCGTCGACATCTGCTTCGGAGATGACGTCAGCGTCCAGTTCAGAGTCGTTGTCGACGTTATCGTTGTTGTTGTCGATGTCGTCGTCATTGTCTCCAACGTCAGGGGCCGCGGTGATGTCGGCATGGGGTCCGTCACTGGGATATAGGAGGACGTTCGAATGTCGTCTCCTCCGGTAATCTCTCGGTGGCCGGGGCAGAGCGGGCAGATCATCAATGGGTCTCGAGTGCGGACAGAGGTCGTAGAGGACGCGCTTGCGGATCTGCACAATCGTGAGCACCCACGGGCCTGTCCGGAGGAGGCCACTCGACCTGTGCCACCGAGTCGACGGGAGTCTCGCCGTGCCCACGCAGAGCGTGTGGCTCACACATTCCGCGTCGGGCACCATGAGGTCCACGTCCGCGATGTCCGGCCAGCCAGTCGTCTCGTGCGTACTGAAGAACGGCAGGCCTAGCGCGAAGTGGGCGCCGTAGATGGACGTGTTGTTCGTCTGGCGGATGCGTCTGCGCAGCGCGTTCAACGAGTGGCTGTGCGACGGAAAATTCACGGGAGACATCACGGGGCTGAAAACGCGGCTGCGGACGGCCTCGTTGGCCAACAGCGTCGTGAACGGCACGCTCGACCCCGGGGCATAGAGAGACAGGCGCCGGCCATTTTTGAAGAAGGAAATGGCGCGTGGTCGCAGGGGGAAGTACACGAGACGCAGATCCTGCCCGACGTTGTAGCCGCTGCGGTTGAACTTTTCGCGCACCGACGTGACGGTATAGGTAATTCCGCTCCCGTCAATGTCGTCGTCCGAGTTCTCCCGCCCGAAGTCGATTCGATCCCCCGACCGCGACCGATAGATTGCACTGGGTCGGTCGTAGGGGTAGAGAACGCAGACGTTATACTCGCCCTGCTCGTACCGCGGGAGGTGGTCGGCTGTGTACAGGCAGACTGTAGCATCTAGCGACGGAGCCAGTGTGTCGGGGAGATCCCACAGAATGGCGCACTCGAGACGGCTGTGGACTGCCAGGTGGACGGGGACCAGAATGTTGTCGTTGATGGACTTGTGTGTCGGGACGGGGAAGAAGACGGGCCGGTCGTTCCTGAACATATCGTAATGGAGGAGATGGTAGCGGGATCGAGGCTGGGAGGAGGAGGAGGCCTTGGATTGGTTATTCTGCTTGGACGGCGAAGCCCGATCGTACCGAGGAGACCGATGCCTGGCGAGTTGCCCTTCAAGAACCTCTTTCACAGAATCCTTTACCGGGGTCGACTCGGGATGGGATGTGTCATGAGCGGGGTCGTCTTCGGGCGGTGTCCACGCATACAACACCGTGATGTAATGGCTCTTCTGTACAGCTTGGATGATTTTCGCACGGCCGTCTGCGTAAGGTGACTCGATGCTCTCGCCGGGTAAGTCGTTTTGCCAGTTCAACCTGATTCGGAGGCTGTTTTTCAGGACGAGACACACGTTGTTGCCCCACTCGCTCTCGACGCCGAGGCATGACGCTCGGGGATCTATACTTCCGCCGCTGCGGTTGGAGGGGATTCCCCAGCTCCGACAGTCCGCGGTGAAGTTGACGCCATACAGGTGCGAAGCGGCGCGTTGCCGGAAGATGAGGAAGAGGTGCTCGGTGGGGATCGAGCGGTCCTCCAAGCCCACCTTCAGGCCAGGGACATAGCGCAGATGGTGGAGGATGACTTCTCGACTTTGCGATGCCAGTTGGAAAAACCTGCGGGTGACCTGGATGAGCTGGAAGAAGGTCGGGGTGGTGCTGTAATAGAAGATCTGCTGCAGGATTTCCGAAGGGACTGCACCAAGCGTCGCGATGTCCTGAGGCCGCGAAGCTACTAATTGGTCTGACATGCTTGTTGAGCTGGGCACACCCACCTCACATCGCATTCGAGATGGAAAGACAGGTATGTGATCAGAGTGCGCTTCTCTGGAGTGATGGAGGTCAAGTGGGAGGTCGTCAATTACTTCTGCTGTCTCGCACGAGCGCCCTGTAACTGCAGCCTTGGGGGGAATCCTCGAAGCTGAAACAGCCTGTCTCGGAGACTCCACGACTCTCAGAATGCCAAACCGGCGGTGCGAAAGCAGAAGCAGACAGAGATATCAGTACTTGCGGGCGCGAGGGCAATGGCAGCAAAGAAGTAATATGTCGAGACGAGGGGGATTCAGCGGAAGATCAGGCCTGGAACTGGCCAGGGACCGCCAGTGATAGAATAGAGTCTGAGGGTGGTTGATGCCTAAAATTGTATGGCACGATATAATTGGCCACCAGGGGGTTAAAGGCAAATAAGACTCATTAGCCTCGCGCTAGTGTCATGGAGCTATCCTGGGACAAGGCTGCAAGGCTGAGTTACCCAGTGCCATCCGCTGGTTGTGGTCTTTAGAGAGTCTTAACCGGCAGAGCCTGTGACATGACAAGCATCCACCGCCAGTCGATTTCCATGCTGACCGTTGAGTTCCAGGAACAACCAGCACGATCATCCCCCGCACCCTCCTACCCACCTGTCTATCTAACTCTCGTTGTAAGGGTGGACGATCATCACCGTACCCGATGGATACTCTTTCAGGCGGCGTGGAGAGCTGTTTTGATATCTAGAATGAGCAGGCGTCTACCGACTCTCCAGTGTTTCTGCTTCAACGTGGACTCGAGGTCCTATTACGGATTCGGGTGTCTCCGCCCACAACAAGCAGATCGCATCGAGCCAGTCAATTTGTCCGAGATCCCCAAAGCACGGCATTTATCTCTATCCTTTGTCTGTTGCTATGAATTTCGGTGCATCTGTTTCTTCTAGACACCAAGTTCCAACAAGGATGGTCCGCAGGATCAATCGTGCTAATAGTAGCAGGAATGCAGCCCCTATTTTTGTCTAGCCTCGCCAAGATAGCCAATTTTCAGGGGGGTCAACATAGCAACACTCTTCGCTCTCCCACTCTGGTGTTCGACAATGAATTGAATTCAGATTGTGAACTGGCTGTCACCTGTCGGACAGCAAAATGGTTCGGCATTCTCTACATGGAGGATGGCTAAGTTGCATTTCCCGCACATCTTTATTTGGCGGTCAACACTCGGAAGGGTGGTGGCTTGGCCCACAATCTGTTGTTAACATCGCCGCCTGCTGGCGTTCCCACTCTTTGTGATATGCACGATACGGGGACACCATAGACAAAGAGACACAAGGATGGCCTAGCGCTAGCTGTTGGCTGGCACACACTCCCTCTGCAGCAATGGACAAGCACATCGACCTCTTCTCGTCGATGGAGCCGTGCGGCCGCCGCTCCTGTGGGAGCAAAGTTCCAGCCATGACAGAGTCGAAAGACCGAATCCGTCAGATGAAATCTTCCGACTGCTCATCATCGGAAATATGTCTTTGTCATGTCGCGAACATTTGAAGTCGATGTCGACATGACCCGCAGGCCAGAAAAAAAGGGGTGGGTCGGTTCCGCCGACCGGGGAGTCACCGGGTATTTCGGTAACTCGAGTGCAGATACCGCGATGGACGCTTATGAGCCCACGGAGTACATTCATTCCATCGGGAAGGGAAAGACAGTTGTAGATGGTTGGAGAAAGAAAGAATCAGGCGCGTCCTCGCAGGTGCAAGAGGCATTGCTGATTCTGGTCATAACATCAGTTTGAAAGGTTGTGATATCGGACTGCGCACCGTTTCTGTCAACATCCACATCTCTCGCGAATAGATCCCTTTGACGGCCACAGTTGCTGCGGGTTATCCTGCTGCAGGACCAGCAACTATATCGGGGTTTGGAGAGAAAGTGATTTCTGGGACACTTCGCCAGATCACGATGGGCTCGATGGGCGGCGACCTGCCCCCGACAGCGCCGGCAGCCGTTCTGACCGGCGCATACGGCGAGCCTTACACCATCAAAGACGTCCCGATCCCCGTGCCGTCTGCCCACGACGCCCTCGTGGAGCTGGAGTACAGTGGCGTGTGCCACGGTGACGTCTACGCCCGGGACGGAGGTGGTCCTGCCCCCAAGGACCCCGTCCGACCGCTGACGGGCGGGCACGAAGGGGTCGGGAGGATCGTGTCCATGGGCACAGACGGGCGGGACGGGTTCAAGGTCGGCGACGTCGTGGGCATCGCGTGGAGGAGCTCGGTCTGCGGGACGTGCCAGGCTTGCCAGGCCGGGTCGGAGAATCATTGCTTCAACCAAAAGATCACAGGGGCGCACCGGGACGGGACCTTTCAACGTACGTTTCTACTTTCCTTGAGATTGAAAACACCCTCAAATCCACCGGCGGTGCAGGCTGACGGCTTTCTTGACTCCTGTCGCAGGGTACATTGCCTTCCCAACCTCGCAGCTGGTGCCCATCCCGTCGGGCGTCTCATTACCCAGCGTCTGCCCAATCTTATGCGCCGGGGTCACGGCCTACGCGGCGCTGCAACGCATGTCTCCCAAGGCAGGGAAATGGTGCGTGGTCGTCGGCGGGGCCGGCGGCCTGGGGCATCTGGCCATCCAATACGCCAAGGCGATCGGGCTGAAAGTGCTCGCCATCGACGGCGGGTCGGCGGAGAAGGAGCAGTTTTGCGCCAAGATGGGCGCCGACGTCTTTGTGGATTTCACCCGTCCGGGCCTCGTGGAGATGATTGTCGACAAGACCGGGGGCGGGGCGGATTACATTCTCGTCCTGAGTCCGCACCAGTCGTCGTACGAGTGCGTTCTTCTCTCTCCGTCTCTCCCCGTTCTATACAAGTTGATCTTGGATTCCCACTGACTCGCATCGCTGCCAGTGCCGCGGGAGACTACGCTGCCTTCGGCGCGCAGATCATGGCCATTGGGATTGGAAATCTGCAGTAAGCAAGAACGATCCCCCTTTTCCAAACACCCAAACCCTGCCACGATCCCCTTTCTCGGCGTGTCCCACTTGCCCCCTTCCAACCCGGTTGAAGTCACTCACACTGTGCATCCCTCGCTGACCCCGATCCCGTTGTCCGGCCCCAGCATGTCCCTGCGCCCGCTGCTCAGGAAAGACGTGCTCGTGCGCTCCAACCAGACGGGCACCAAGGCCGACATGCAGGAGGCGCTGCGCATCTTCGCGGCTGGCAAGGTCGTCCCGGAGCTGGAGGTCGTGGCCCTACGGCACATCAACGCCGCGCTGGACCGGATCAAGCAGGGCACGGTCATGGGCAAGTTAGTCGCGGATTTGACGGGCGGTGCTGGCAAGGAGAGGTAGACACAGGAAACAAAGGGAGTATAGAAAAGGTGCCACACCGTACCACGCACAGTGAGTGGCATTACAAGGACTGGTTGTTTTCGCGATGTTGGATGTTGGCATGGCGGGCAAGGTCAACCTTCCTTGCGCGGGACGGTCACGTTGGGTATAAAGCGTCGCATGGTGTGCTCTTGAGGACTCGGTCTGTAACACACAACCGGACCCAGGCAGGTGGATAGATGATAGATTGCATGAAATGGAAGGATCTATTGGACTGTCAGCTCAATGTCTGACCAGGACTCTATCTCTTGATATCTCCTTCCCCTCCATCTCTCTGCGCCCAGAAGCCTACAGGAGGAGAACAAGACAAAAAGGGCTAGAAGTCTAGAGTCTCGACCAAGCGACATCCTTCCCATCTCCTCCTCCTCCACCGAGCAAGTCTGCCTCGGCGAAGAGAGACGCTAGGAAACCCCATTCACCTGCTGGCCCGAATGCCACGTCCCGACGGCCATGGAGGTGGGGTCGGCGTTGTACTTCATGAAGATGGTCTTGAGCTCGGTGTAGGTGTTGAGCCCGTGCAGCGACAGCTCCTTGCCCATGCCGGACTGCTTCCAGCCGCCGATGGGCATGTCGACCGCGCGCACGGGCACCGAGCAGTTGATGCCCACCGCGCCGGCCTCGAGCGCCTTGGCCACCCGCACCGCCCGGTCGAAGTTCTGCGTGTACACCGATGCTACAGATCGCGAGCGGAGGGGAGAGCGGATGTCAGCTATTATTCAGTTGCTCGAAGCGGATTGGGTTGCGTTCAGGAGGGGTCGGGTTGAGCAAAAGGAAAGAGAGGGGAGGGACAAGGATTCGATCCACAATGAGCAGCCCAGGAAGACGAAAAGAGAGGGGGGGGGGGGGAATGAGGGAGAACAAAGCGAAAGAGTGTTTGTACTCACAAAACAGCCCAAAGTCGGTGCAGTTGGCCTCGGCGAGGACCTCCTTCTCGTCCTTGAACGTGTTCACGATCACGACCGGCCCGAAGATCTCCTCCGTGTAGGCGGCCGAGTCGAGCGGGACGTTTTTCAGGATGGTCGGCTCGATGAAGGCGCCTGTCGTGCCGTGTCGCTTGCCGCCGCACACCAGGGTGCCGTCTCGGGCCCCTTGGTCGACCAGCCGCTGGATGTGGGCCAGCTGCTTCTGGTCGACCTGGGGGCCCTGGAAGGTGCCCGGGTCGGCCGGGTCGCCCAGGGTGACCTTGGCCATCAGCTGCTTGACCATGTCGATGTACGCGTCGGCGACGGACTCCTGCACCAGCACGCGGCTGTTGGCCTGGCAGTGCTGGCCGCTGTTGTGGTTGATGCTGTAGTGCGTGTAGCGCGCCGCGGCCGCGAGGTCGGCGTCGTCGAAGATGATGGCGGGCGACTTGCCGCCGAGCTCCAGCGACACGTTCTTCAGGTTCGAGTCGGCCGCCATCCTGAGGATCTTGCGGCCCGTGGCCACCGACCCCGTGAACGAGATCTTGCGGATCTTCATGTGCAGGCCGAGGGCCGAGCCCGTCGGGTCGCCGAAGCCGCTGACCACGTTGACCACCCCGGGCGGGAACCCGGCTTCCTGGACCAGCGAGGCCAGCTTCAGCGAGCTGAGCGGCGCCTTTTCCGACGACTTGAGCACGACCGTGTTGCCGCAGATCAGAGCCGGGGCGACCTTGAAGGCGAACATGATCATCGGGACCTATCACTCAGCCGTTGAGGTTTCGAAGACGAGGAAGACGAGAGACTCGTCAGAGGAATGGTGGGAGGACTCACATTCCAGGGGATGATCAAGCCGACCACGCCGTAAGGCTGCCGTACACTGACATTGAGGAAGTTGGGGGAGCTGAGACTCGATTCTCCCAGGATGTGGTATCCGCTGCCGGCGAAGTAATTGAACACGCCCACGCACGCCGGGATGTCCATTTTCTTGAGCAGCTCAACCGGCCTGTACGGGAAGATGCAGGTCAGCTCTCTGGTGCCCGTCTTCCCTGAAGGTAAAATGCAAGACTGAAGCTTTCCCGGACGGGGGAGGCGGTGTTCCTTACTTGCCCATACACATCGAGTCCAACTCGGCGAGCTGCTGGGCATCTCTCTGCACGAGCTGGGCAAACTTGAACATGTACGCCGCTCGTTCATGGGCGGCGATGTTGCTCCAGTGCGGAAACGCAGCCTCGGCGGCCTCGACTGCGAGGTCGACGTCCTCCTTGGTGGCCTCGTGGACGCTGCATATCTCTTCGTCGTTGTAGGGATTGGAGATTTTGAACGTCTTGCCTTGCTTGCCTGGGACGAACTATTGGGGAGCGGATGTCAGGTATTGGACGTTCAATGATATCCTGTCAGAGAGAGAAGCAAATACGGCACATACTTCGTTGTTTATGAAGAGCCTCGTTTCTATGGCGTCGGGCTTCATCTTTGAGATGCTCTATCGTGGCGAATGGTGTCGAGCACGGCCCGTATCCTCCACAAGGCAAAGGATTTCCCGTATATCAGGTCAGAATGCACAGGAGCTACTCCTCGACAACAAGTCCTTCAAGATGGAAAAACCGGTACAAGTCGCCAATAATTGGTGGACGGTCCGCCGGGCTGTTCTTCAGCAATGTCATCCCTAGTTGAGTGCATGAGGTTTGTTGCTGGGCCGGGGATGAGATCCCGAGAGACCCCCGGCCACGGCCAGGCCGCACAAACACGGGAGAAAGGGGGGGAACGAGGCTGAAGAGTTTGGTTCTCCAGCTGCGTATATTACAACGTTGGGAGTCTTTGCTTCCTGGGGAAAGTCAACGGGAGTTACTGACGGCCATCATTCCCCTTGCCGCGGGGCAGTCACCAAGGAACGGAAATGGTCTATTCCACTGTCTTTCAGGCTACCTACCGTCTTGGGCACCAAACACTTTTTAAAGGGGGCCTCCACAGCGACGATATTCTTGGGTTTGGGTATGAAAGTCTAGATAGAAAGCACCTCTAGGCAGTTAATCGACCGCAGCCTTTCGACCGATCCGTCTCTAGTCTAAGCTGGCCCGCAGAGAATGGACAGCGGGATCACGTCCAAAGCAATAACGGCGTGTTGCACGGTTTGCGTGTCCTCCTACGGCGAAGATCCCAACCATACATATTAGCTGCGCGGCCTTTGTTCGTCAGGACATGATGGCTCGTCCAGACGATTCAGAAGCTCGGCATTTGCCCCCTAGCACAGGAGCCTTGGGGTTGAGTCAACAAGGATCGTGGGAGAACGAGCTGCGCCTCATTTGCTTTTCCCACAGCCCACGTACTCGTACGCAGTCACACCGCGGGGGCCACGAGGCGGCAAACCTGTCTGCGTCATAGGAGAACGGGGACTTTTATGAGCGCTTATGACGATGCCTTTTTTCGTGACGGCGTGGCTCAGCGATCAAGTGATTGTCGAGGGTGGGGGCGATGCAAAGGCGTCGATGTCATTGTGTTGAATATCTGGGACAGCCAAGTCTTTGCACATAACGAGTACGATTTGTGGTTGTTCGGATGGTTGATGACAGGACCATCAGAGCTAGAGAAGAAGTGTAGCTGGTCATCAAAACCAGTGAAAGATTGTTCCTCGTGGTTGGTGGCAAGGCTGAAACGGCTTGCAGAAAGACCACGCCACAACTATGGTTCAGACTCGGACGAATTCTTTGTTGTTACCGTAGTAGGCCTTGCAGCTGGGGGGGGGGGGACTGTATCGAGTAGACCAGGGCTCGAAAGGCGTCGTGCTATGCTATTTGATTCGCAAACCACCAGGGGAGTTTTGCATATCTGCATATCTGTGTATGTAGGGAGGCGCCCTCGAGGTCAAGCCTCAGAGAAAGGGCGCACGTACGTCACCAACATTGATAATGTGTACCGCGTATTCGTAGAGGAGGCTCAATGATGAGAGAGTGCTTGTGTCTTCTCGTACGAGGTATTACTAGCAAGGACCTATCCGAGCATGTAACGACGGTTGTGCACACCCTTGCGTGCCAGGGCCCAGCAGCCACATGGCCGATGACTCGACCGTCTGGGTCGGCCAACAGGCCAGCAGGCCAACCAGCCACCGACCACCGCGGTCAAATTCGGGTCGAAGGGAGGGAGGGGGGGAAGATCCAGAATCCGGGCAGCAGTGAAGTACGGGCCTCATCGGCCTCAAGGGGAGGGCAAAACCGGGTCTAGATTGGATGCGGCTTAGGCAGCGTTGGCCCTTTTTTATTTTTAAAATTGCGGCGTTGCGTCGGGGCCACCGTTGGTGGTGATAATCAATCACATCACATGGCAAGGAGCCACTACTACTACTGGGAGATACCCCCCTTTCGCCCTCTAAGAATTCGCGAAATAGTAATCGCATCGGCCCGAAGACGAACAAAAAGTCCGTCCACATGGCTGTTTCTCTGGGGACAGCGACAGCGACAGCGACAACGACAGGGGCAGAAATCTGATGATGGAAAATAGTAGCCAGCATCGACGACTAACTGTCCTCTCCTCACATCCATACTAGGTCCCGTGGAATGAATCACAAAGCTGCAAGGACGTCCAATCGATCCACGACTTGGGGGAGAAATTGAATGCTTTTCTGGATACAACACAGAGCGAGGATGGCTCTAAATTGGACACATATGCACACACAGCTAATATCGTAGACAATACCAAATAGGCATTAGGATGTTGGACTCTAGCCGAGGAATATATGTTCCAGTATCCAAAAAAGAAGGTCGTGTCATCAGGGTCATCAAGTGATGCCAAAATATTCCCTTTTCAAATATAATAGTCCCAAGGATTTTTCTTTGTCCCAATATACGCGCTCGCTTGCTCAATAATGCCCGAGAAATAACCAAAGATAAAATAAATAAAAAAAAGAGAAATACACACTAGCTGGATCAAGGGGGTATCCGTAACCAAAGAAGATTCAGTCTTTTCCTCCTGCTGGACCTCAAATCGTTCTCCGAGGGTGGGCGAGGAGCTTAATAGCTCTGGCTTTGGCTTTGCGTCGAGTTCCGGAGCTTCTCCTTGGAATCGCCTTGCCTCCATCGCCGCCCGCTGACCAGCTCCCACACGGCCAGTACGGCCACCACGACGCCGAGGATGAACAGCGGGATGAGGTTCCATCTCCAGCCCCGCATCAGGCGAAGGTTGTTGCGGATGTCGCGACGGTCGCTGGCGTGCGCGAGAGGAAGGGCGAGGACTGCGACGAACCAGTTCTCGGGCGTCCAGTTGTCGAGCGGGTACATCTTTGGCTCCGGGTTCGCCGCGGCAACCGTGAGGTTGATGGTCTGGTCGTCGGTCTGGGCCGTGACCACGAAGGTGTAGATCAAGGCGGAAAGGGTGAGAAGGGCCGAGAGCACGGTCATGACGACCCAGAAGACGAAGATGCCCGAGTGGTTGGTGGCTTGTGTCTGGAAAGGCCAGTTAGCAGCGAGCCCTCTAAAACATGTCACTTCTGGAGAGTGCCCAAAACGTACCCTTCTGGCTCGTCGCTTCTCATACCAAATAGTGAGCAACCCCAAAAAGCCGACCAGCACAATGGCGGTTCCTGCAGCGCCGTTGCTTGTATGCCCTTGGTTGACCAGAAGCCCCTTGGGCTTGCCGTGGAGGTCGAAACTACCATTGGGAGCGTTGATGGTGAAGAATCTCCCCGCCCGGTCGTGCAAGAAACCAACCATTGACCCTACAAAGCCGACCTCGATGACCCCATCGATCATCAAGAAGGACATGGCAACGTACAACGGTAAATAGTTCGACATGGTGGAATGAGGTGGAGGGGAATATCTGATGCTATCTCCAATGGCGAGGTATTGAATTCGACAAAGGAATTCGCAGGAAGAGGTGAGGATTTGTGTTTCGTCTTCTGGGAGGGATGAGATTATAGTATATTAGGTCCGTGATCTCAGCACAGCAGATGGCAGTATGACTAACAACAGCCAACAGGAAGGCGAGTGCGGTGTGTGTGTGGCAAAATCCCAGGTGGAACGAAAGCGGGGGGGAAAGGATGCTTTATAACAAAGATGCTCTTTGGGCAGCATAGGCAGGGCATTTGGGTTTTAAGGCTGAAAAGGCATCGCGCCTTGCATCAACAAGCAATTTGCTTCGCACCTCCAAAACTTACCCTGTATGGAGTTAGTGGCTGAAGGCTGCGTCCCATGGAAAAGACAAGGTGCATGGGACTGCCAGCTTCTCCCTCGTATTCTTGAATGCCGGGGACTCGTGTGCCTGACGGACATCTAACACCCAGATGGGAGGCCCAACCCGTGGCACCCTGTTGGCATGCCTTGGTTGCTGGGCACTCGGTATACAGAACCCGCATGGGGAAGGTGATTGCCTCCAGCTGCCTGCCCCGTGTTGTTATTTTCGAAGAATGAACGAGTCACTAGGTGGACGATCAAGCCTCTCTCGGGGAGACAGGCTGCAAAGACATTTTCAGGCCAGCCGGTCGGAGCCAGCGAATCTCGACCCTTTAGGAGCCTTGGCTGCTTATCAAACGGGCAACGGCGCCGACGTGTCCGTCTCATTCTGGCTGCTGCTGTGGAACAACTCGAGCCAGCCACCCGGGGGCAGAGGTCTTGGTTCCTGTCGGTCGGCAGAAGTACTGTCGAGTTATATCGTGACAGCGGCCGCTTTGCAGTCAGCTGGGAAGCAGTGGCTGACTGCAACATCTTGTATGGCCTGCTGCTGCTGCTGCTGTTGCTTCTCGGGGAAGAGATTTGGGCAAGACAGAGCAAACCCATCGGGAAAGTGGCTCGATAGTAGTGCTGACAGGGTGGCTAGCCCCGAACAAGCTAGGACGAGAAGCTGAATCCAAGCAAAGTCTCGTCCAGCGTGGCGTCCTGTGCCCAATAAGACAATATTCAGCTGTTGATCCAGCGCGGCTGTGGATTCAGCAAGCCACACAACGATCGCACCTGTAAACGAGCACCCGGACACAGCCAAAGGGGCGAATGGCGAAGCAGGAACCCACCTGCCTGGGCATGCTAAGATCCCCCAGTCTTTCGGACACCTTTGCAACGGCGAGTTGCCAATTTTGGAGATTGGCACCGCTGACCTGAGAAATTTGAAAGGATTTCTTGGAACACCGTCTTGTTCCTTGGCCTCGTTGGACGGCCCCCGTTCGGACGAGCTCGCCGAATTTCCGCAAGATTTACGGAGGATCTAGAAGTCAGCAGCAGAATAATTATATGTATCTTCTGTGTCTTGAGGTGCTGCCCGACAAGGAACAGCCGGGGAGAGTGTGAGAAAACCCAACAGATGGACCAGGAAGAGGGCTGTACCAGGACCAGGACAAGACGCAGAGTAATCGCATCACATCCATGGTGCCTTCTCGCGAATCCTTCCCACGATCCCAAGGGAATGTGGGCGATTTCGGCAGTGGCCACAAACTGGAAGGACAAGTTGCATCCGACCACAGCCGCCTTCTCTGGACCAAATCCTCCTTTTTGCCAGTCGATATGCTCTCATGCTCAGCTCAGCAAAGGGAAGAAGTCGATGATACCTCATGAAGGGGATTAGCCACGATCAAGACCCGGTAGACGCAGACGAGATTCTTTGGTCCTGCCCAATGTCATTGTTGAGTCGATTCGTCGCAGAATCATGATATCCAAAAACGGATATGCAGTATATATAATATGCTCGCGCACCTTCTTCGCTATGCAAGCCCTTGAATGAACCCAAAAGCAACGTCAAATGCCATGCGAAGCATCCCAAAGCCATGCACGGCTGGCTTGGAGATCCTTTAGCCAAAACCTCCCGGCTGCCAACAACGGGAAATATGCACCTCATTCCATGCTCGGCGTTCAATCATCATTGCCCCCCTGGCTTTTGTTTATTTTTATCAAAAAGTCTCAACCGTGATAACTCCGTCTTGGGTCTGGTAGTCCCGGTCGTTTCTGATGCTCCGAATCCTGCACCACAAGCCACTGTAATATGCTCTCGTAACACAAAACAAATTGCCGTAAATTCTGTACCATGCTCAGTCGCTGATGTCGGAAGTCATCCACTGTCTTGGCCACCAGATCAACATCATCCCGATTCACCCAATCCCCGTTGTCAACATCCATTTTATCCTCCCCGGCTTCATGAGAAAGCCGCTGCCTCTTTAACATGTCGATGACAGAATCAATCGTGCAGAATGTACCCGTTCGCCCACAGCCTGCGCTGCAATGTACCAGGATTGGCCGTTGTCCTTCAGGCGCTGCGTCGTCTGGTCCCATGACGTTGGACGGAGTCCCTGATCCTCGGACGTACTTGTTGACCTGTTCCACAAGTCCAAGCAGCTCGAGGGGGCTTGCCGGAGCTCCAAAGTCTGGCCAGTCCGCGTAATGAATCTGAGTGATCTCGCGCATCGGCTGGAAAGGGAATGCCGAGTGACTCAAGGAGAAGTGGCGAACCATCGCGGTAGGGATTTTAGCAGTCGGCGATTTCACCTCGTCTCGACCTCGTTCCCCTGGAATGTTGGCCGTGGTTGATCTTCTGGGCGCCATGGATGGTCTGGCTGTCGGTGCAAGTTTGTTGGCAAACTTCTTCGTTTCCAAGCTCACTTGGCGTTCAGAGAGCTGCTTGAGCTTCAGAGGGCCATACTCGCCAGCTTTCCAGTAGACATGACTCTTGACCTGTCCCCCTTCCGCTTCGGCTGTCAGCATAACAATTACACGGACATCCTGCTCCCAAACGACACGCCAGAAATCATTGAACGTTGCAGGAATCGGTGCTTGGGTGGCGATATATCGTCGATTCGAAAACTCCGCTTTGACGTGGCTGGCATTGACATAATCGCAGCTACCGCTCGGAACATTTTGCAATCGAACTCTCGTGTGGTCAAAGGGAAAGATATTGTTGTATCGGTTCTTGGAGCCCTTTTCGATCCCGGCAACTTGGATCCTCTGTGGCTGTTCTGTGCGCGGCGTTCCATACGACACCTTGGCCGTGAGAGCTTCCTGCATGCGTTTCTGTTCCGATTTCTCAATATTGAGGAACCGGTCCGACACCAGCTTTCCTTCGTCCGACTTTGAAGCGGCTCTCTTCAACCACGCGGGCATATGTCGTTCCGTGTCCGAGCTCATGTCGGTAGGCTTTTTGATGGGCATCTGCCCAACTCCGTCCAACAGATCCATATTCTGACGAATGTTCCCAAAGAACGGATTGGCGGCCGACTTTTCCGAGGGCATGGCACAACCTCCGGCCACCGGCAGGGCATCCTTTCCTGGAGCTGAAATGGACAGTGGTTGTGAAGATGCTCCATTCCCCGATTGCACAGGACCACTATCCACCAGTTCCGGAACCAGCTTTTGGAATTTCAGAAACCCACCCTTGACCACCAGCCCCGTGCCCGTCCAGCCTTCGGATGTGAATTTCTTGAGCACGTTTAACGGAGTGACAGCCTCTTTCGGCAAGGCAGAATTGGCGTCATACACTATTATATAGGCACATTTCGGCCAGCGCGCGAAGGTCTCTTGGTCTCGTGCCGATGAAAACGTCTCGGCGAGCCTTTGGACGTTATATGCGGGTCGCTTCAGAAGTGTCGTGGGGATACATAGATTTAAAGCTCCTCTTATCCTCGCCGTGGCATACTGCTGATATACCCTTAGGTCCAGCACCAAAACATCGTCTGGTCGGGTTTTGACGAGCTCTGCTATTTGGGTCGGGGAAACGATAGGAGGAGCGTCTTTTTCGCCCGACGAGGGTAACGTGTCTGAGCGATGGGAAGTTATGGCGGCCTTGAGAGGGGGTGTACGTATACTGTTATCAGGTAAGGAGAGGCGGGCGTGTTGGTGGTCGGCAACAGTGTGCTGGGAATTGATAGGTCCCGGGGATTGTCGTCTTGGAATGTCAAAGAAGGATATATCTTCCATCTGACTACCCTGTTGCTGTAGCGTCGACCCTCCATTGGATGACTTGGGGTTTCTATCTATCGAGGGCCGCTTCGTGTGAGGGGAGGCGGGAGAGTCGACGCGGGAAGCAGTGCTCGTCGAGTTGTTTCGAGATTGGGAAGGTCTGAAGGCCGTGTTCAAAGCAAACCTGTGATTGTGTTCCGACTGTCTTCTAAATGCTTCAAACTCTGGGTTTGCCTCGAGCGGGATATGACGGGGTGTCGGGGCGTTGTTCGGAGCAGCCGAGTTGGGGTAGGTCCAATTTTGGCGAGCATGTGCGCCTGGGTTGGAGTCGGGTGGTATGGTATCATCGCTGCCCACGACAAAGCCAAAGTAGCTGGGACTCGGGCTCTTGACATCTTTGGGTGGTTGAGCGGATCGAGCAGTATTGGGAGACAGGTGAGGTGGCATGGATTGTCCGACCGAGGCGACCGCAGGCTGCGTACGTGGGGTGGTCGAGGGGCGGGAGGAGCGAGAGTGGGAGTGGGAGTGAGAGTGAGATTTGGAATGCGAATGCGACTGTGAGTGGGAGTGAGAATGCGAAGAAGATTTGAGGGAAGCCGTCGCAGTGGCGGACATGGTGACGTTGGCCAATTGGCCTGAAGCACCGGGTGAGGTCGACTTGATGTGGTGGATGGTCATCAAGGTCCGTGGCCAAGGAGACTTGTTGCTATGGAGTCGACGGCGAGAATATTAGATCCCTCCACACGAAGAGGGGGAGAGAAAAGACAAGGTTGGAAACCCCCCAAGCAGCAGCAAAGGGTGTCGAAGGGACAAGAGAGTGTCGAAGGGACAAGAGAGGGATATGAGGCGTTGCGTCCCGAGGGTGTGGATGTGGATGTCGTGGGTGAGGATGGTCAGGCGCAGGCAGGAAGTGTACGGGTGGTGAAAGCGTGCAGGTGAAAAAGCAGATCTGCCCCCAAAGATCTACGTCATTGTGGTTCTGGACTGTGCACGCGACAAGGCGGACAGCGAGGTGGAATGTGGAAACATTGTGTTGGGTAGGCAAACAAAGGGATATATTGTTTTCTCAGCTGAGAGAGTGAATCACTAATTCAAGGGCAACTTTTTTTTAAGGTTGGTGAGTGGTGAGAGGCGAAAGGTGAGAGCTGCGAGGTGAGAGAATTGGCCCGATAAAGGGGGGGGTGGGTGTCAGTAGTAGTAAAGTGCCGCCTGTTAGATATCGTCAGGGGGGAGCAGCAGTACAAGTAGTAGCAGTAGGTAGGTTAGGTATGTAGCAAGCGGGCGCAGCTACGAGTAGGGGAGCACAAGCACTGAGTCCAGGCATAAAAGACCCTTCTTCCCAGGGCGACCTTTCGGATGGGAAATTGGCGCAGGGAACAATGACGTCGGTGGGAGGAGCAACGACAACGGGTGGTGGTGGTGGTGGGGGGCGGCAAAGGCCACAGGCCAAAGGGCGCCTCCGATGGGCTGATGCCCGGAAGCGCCTCTGGCCCAAAGGTGAGAGCCAGGTGAAGGCAGTAGCCCCCTCCCCTGGTTTTCGCCCAGCCCAGGCCTCAGCATACCTGTACCCGGTCCCTCGTAACTTGCATTCCCTTTGATACCGACTCCTCGTGGTAATACAGGACGTTTCCGAGGTTGGTGGCCAAAGGGGAAAAAAGGGTCTTCTGGGGAAAGGGAAAACAGGGTTTGTGAGAACAGGATTGACGCAAGATTGAACCCTTCGCTGACTCGCAACATGCTGTAATAATAATGGGTCACCTGTGGGAAAGGGACCCCATGCCAGACTGGTGGGATTGAGGATGGAAATAACGGTCTGGAACCCCAAGGAACATTGTTGTCGCATCTACACTGCTTCCTAGCGGAGGGGTGTGACTTGTACATGGTCCAAGGAGGGAGTGGGTTGTACAGTAGTCCACGGGCGTTATTGGCCCAGGGATTTGGATCAACCTCCGAAGATAGTCGTAGCGGGTGTGTGGATGGGTAAGAGGCGATGGGGGGGGATGGAGGGGATCGGACCCTTGTTGGCGGGCATGGGAACGCAGCGTTGATTGGAAATCAATCCAGATGCATGCCTACAATACCTGGGTAGGTATGCACCGATTGCTCATACTGTACCTACGATAAAGCCGAATAACAATTGACAACCGCAGACAGGCAGAAACACCAATTCCCCGACAAAATACAAACTCCCTCCATCACTGCAACAGACCTCTGAGGCGCACCTTATTCACAGGGCTGACCACTGCATCCCTCAACCCCACGTCATACTTACCTACAAGTAGGTACCCAGGCCACCTTCTACTGTTCGCTTATCTTTTCGAGTGACCCTTCTCTCACCTGGTCCAAGAGTACGGAGTACAAAGTACATCCAACTTAGCCCCTTCAGGGTCTCGCTGGTCTCGCTGGCAAAAGTGGCATGATCCACCACCAGAGAGAACCCCCTCCCATTCTCAACCATTACTCGCACCAAAATGCTCTTTGGACGACACTAGAAATGCGGCCGTGGGCACTACCCAGGTACCGCATGCACCCAAAAAGTGCCCTAGTCATCAGCCGGCATGTCGAAAACGTAAACGATAACGAAATGCAGCCGGTGTCTGGCGTGCTTCTGAGCGTCCCCAGCGGGTCGGGAGATGCCCGGTTTGGGAGAAAGAAGGGGCCTTCTGGCCAAACGTTCACATGTTTCCTTTTTTCACCGTTCCTCCACGACCCTTGCAAGTCTACAAAGAATGCTTTCCTGTAACGGGGTGGAATACACAGGTGGAATACACAGTGTAGACTCGGTACAGGGTCCATCTCCTTCCAGAAATGACCTCTGGTGGTGCTATATTGAGACCGAGCTACTCCGAACGACACTCGAGGAACAACCAGTGCGACACGTTTCGCTCGTCATCTGGGGCTGCCATGCGTGTCGGCTGCAGCCGAAGATGACGCCCCGTGCACACAAAGCAATCAAATGCCGTCATCTCCCTCCACATCCGTCACACCTGCATTCAGCCCGTGCTCCTGCTATGGCCAGAATCTTCTCGCCCATCTCGGCCTGCATCTAAGCGAGCTCTCTCATTCAGGTGACTCGTGCCGCCATGGCATTGGCTCAAGTCGTTCAGGTGCTTGTTTCCCTTTTCGGAAACCATGAGAAACCAAGCTCGTCCACCAACTGTTGATTGTCCACAGATGTTCCACTCCAGAACGCGTTTCGTGTCACCAGAGCTCCATGGGCAAATTTGTACTTTGCAGCCTAGACTCCCGGGGATGATGTTCCGCTCAACGCACGGCCGTCTCTTGAGGCTGTGGCCATGCAGTACTGGAAAGTATGCTCACCGCCAGTTTGGTTGCCTCGGCCCGTCCAAGTATTCATCACGTATTGCATCTCTGGCGGTGTCGACCAAGCGAGATGTGTGTACCAGCTCTTGCTCCGAGCAATTGCATGCTTTCGCCGCTGCGAGGAATCGAGATCTCGGAGCATTCGTCCGGAGGTCTGGACTTGGTGTAACGCACAGGGGCCCGAAGCTGAACGGGTAAAGATTCTTGCGCGGTATCGCCCACAGAATAGATGAAAGACCAAACCAAGGCAACAGTCGTATGCCTTCGTATGTCCAATTGATATGGGGCCCTCTTATCGCAGTCTCCCATCGGGCTCGCCCTTCCAGCGCTCCACGCGCTTCTGCTCCCAATTGTCCAGGTCTTTGGCCATGAGCCTGTAGTATTCGTCCCGCTCATTGAGCTCGCCCTTGAGGATCTTGCGTCGTCGCGGATTGTACGTGAGCCCGCCCTCGCCCGCCGGCCCGCCCTTCAGGCCCAGCTCCATCCTCTCGTGGTCCGAGACCCGTCTGTTCTTACGGTCGTGCTTCTCGTACCGCAGGGCTGTGGCCGGGGTGAGGAGGAACGAGGCCGCAACGACGATCGAGATGAACGGCAGCCCGAAGTACAGGAACGGATTGCGTTCCTGTTTGCGGTTGTACCACGCCGCGATGCGCGAGGGGAGATCTCTTGCTGCCGCGCTGCTCCCGCTGCTGCGGAAGGGCTTGGATTGGAACACAGGCATCGTAGTGGTGCGAGGAGACAGGGCACCGGTGAAGCCACAGGACGTTTGGTGTGTCGATGTAAATGGCCGATGCCGTTGGTGCCTTGGGTTTTGTCTCTACCCGTGGGTTTCAGAATGTTTATAATTGGTTAGCTGTAAAAGGCACCGATCAACAAGGAGAGGCTTGCTGTGGCGGAGATGGTGGCCGTCTGCCCATGGTTTGACTGTTGAGATGGAAGATGAAAATTAGACGGAGTTTGCATGCCTGAAGCTTCGCTCAGGAGACCCGCGGCGCATCCCCAGCCGAACATGACCTCAATGCCAAGGAGAGTGAAAACTGCTCGCGCCTCACCCCGGATCGGGACGGGGGTGATGCCGCCCTGTGCTCACCAATGCCGTTACTACATTGGGAAACCTTTGTAGATGTGGCCCGGCCACTACAGATAGCTACCTCTCCCGTAGCCAACTCATGTTATCTACTTGACCCTTACACTTCAGTGACTAGTGTGCTCTATCCTGCGATCCTCTTACCCAGTTCGATACTTACAAAGGATCTGTGACTGAAGGATCTCCACCTTGGAGGTACGTAAGAAGCAGCACTGACAATAAGGTTCTATAGATAGCTATTAGCAGCTTGAATAATAGGGTATAGTACCTATATTCAACAAATCTCAATATATTAAAAACAAAATATAATATTTCTTAGGTGTCCGGAATAAACTACTAAGCCTACTAGACAGCTATATATACCTCTTAGCCCTCGGGTTTCCAGATCGAATCACATGGCAGACGGCGTCGTAACCGTAAAGCAAAAGGAAGCTACCGAGTGAATGGATTCCGTGTCCTGTTTTGCATTAGAAGTAGAGGGAAAGAATATACAAATATTGTGCGCCTTCGTTTGAATGATGAAACGGCCGCTTCCTTGAATCAGAGTGCTTCGACTGTCCCAGCTGTTCGCCCGAGACTTCTCGCTACCAGAGTCTCCTAATCGTTGTCAAATTCTCCACACTGAACTTCCCGATTAACACTGCATACACATCACGGTGGCGGAAGAACCTCTCCGCAAGGACCGTTGCCGACTACAAGATCACCACCAGTGACAACGGAGGTTTCACCGGTCGCTTGTGAGCACACGCCCCCCGGAGGATTGCCACCCATGATGCATGAGTTGTCGGGAAACCAGGCCCAAATGAAGATCTGGTCGGTGCTGTGAAGAGCCCCTACACAGCATTGGTATGCATCAACCCCCTCCAGGGTGTCGTAGGCGGCGTATGCCCCGCCGACGCCGTAAGGGATGACGTTACCAATCCCTTGGCTGTCATACTGGTCGGCGAAGTTGTTGGTCGCGCAGGCAGCGTAGACGGTCGTGGTTGTGGAGAAGACAGTGTCTGTCTCAGTCGATGTGCTGGTCGTCACGTCGGTCTCGGTCGATGTCGTCGTCGTTGTCGTGGTGCTAATGACGGTCGTTGTCGCGCCCGGGGTCGATGTCACCGTCACTGTCGAAGTTACCGTCGTGGTGGTCGGAGGGGGTGTTGGACCCGTGACTGTGGTCGTTGTCGTAGCCGTGCTTACTGAGCACCTGGGACTAGGCTGCCACATCTGGCATGTGACGCCCTGGGGGATTCGTTGTTGGTTGGGAGAGATGCCTGGACCGTGCGGTGGGATCTGGGCACTGGGCTCGACGTTGGATTTGGGTACGAGGGCTTCGTGAACGAGGTCTCGCTTTTTCGAGACGGGGCTGCTTCCACCAGAGCCTGTATAGGAAGAGCCCGGCAGGCTGGTCTGGACTGGGATAAATGCAACAGGAGCAGGGACCGTTGATGCGACGCTGGACGTTGTGGTTGTGGTTGTGGTTGTGGAGACTGTACTGGTGGTGGTGGTGCTTTGAGTGTTGGTCACCGTCAATGTGGAACTGGCCGTGTCCGTCACGGTAGGACCAATCGAAGTGGTCGTCGTGACAACGGTAGACGTGGACGTGCCTTGGGAAGGAGTCGAAGTCTTGGTGACAGTCACGGTCGTGGTCGATGTGCAGGGAGTATAGTGGGTTGTCCAACTGGTAGTTGTCCTCCAAACTGCGGGAGTCGTGGCCATCTTGGTGTAGCATAAAGTGCTGGTTGACTGGGAGCCGGGTCCACGGTTAGGAGCTGCTGGATAGCCAGGAGCGGCCCACGAAATGCCAGCAAAGCCGGCCACAGCGGCCAAAACGCGAATATGCATGATTGGAGGCTGTCAAGAGGAACGAACGGAACGGAGGGATGCCTCCAAGAATGAACGACTTGGTCGGGAGGGACCAGAGGTAGAAAGACGGCGAGCCACCAGAACTTGTACCATATTCCAACACAGTGACTACCCCTTGCCGCTTGCAGTGCACGCCATAATTAAACGATCCTGGGAACGATGCGATTCACAACGCCCGAAAGCTAGCGTGCGCGGCGCGTATGGACAAATGAAGCAAGGCTGCTGCGAACGATTGTGGAAATTAGGGGTGGACATTACGAAGGTTCAGCTCTAGTCAGACAGCGCCAGATACTAAGATGCGATCAGACTATATTGACCAGAGCAGGAAATGTTCCAGACATGTGCAACTTGCATCATGATCTACCGGTGGTTGTCATGAATGCGCTTCATAATAGTTGGAAGAGACATACTGGGCCTTTAAGTTGGGCAATTCGATCAAGTGAACTTTGAATTGACTTTTGTGGGGGAGAGTGCCATAACAAAGAGCTCGGACCCGATAATTTCGCTTACCGCATCTGGCGCCCCTGTCACAAAACTAGACCTATTAAGCAACATTCCAGGGGGTAGACCTTTCTGTGCGTATCCTTTTTTCATGGCACTGAGACGCCATCTAGGTACCGAGTCAGAACTGAGGAGCGAGGGCTGTACAAGTGAGAGCGTGAAGGGGGAAAGTGCAGCCCTTACAGGATATAGCGTCGGAGGGTAGCATCTTGGTTCTTTATTGTCTTTGAGACATGCTCGTCTCGGCCGCAAACTTCGTCGACCTCTCTGTGTGCCCCTCTCTGGTAACCGTTGGCTTCAGCACGGGCGACAAGCAGTTCGTCCGCCGTAAGCTCCTGCTGGCTCAGCTGGCCCATGACGCTGGTGGAAATGACTGGACTCTAGGATGTCGTTGTGGGAGGGCTGGAGTGACGGTAATGGTAGAACCGCCATTTAAGAAGGGTCGCATTCTGGAGGAGAAAAGTTCGCGGCCCGAGAGGGCAGGAAGGGAGATTTAATACTTCATGGGTAGAAGGGATGGTTCGTTCGAGCGAGGGGGGACAGGAAAGTGGTCGAAAGTCGAAAAGGCGTCGAAGAGGGAACGCCGCTAATTTTGGCTTCTCGCTGGCGCTGCGAGCGGTAGAGCAGTTCAGGATGAAAGGTGAGTGTGAAAGTGAGCGAGGTGAGTGCGACAGTGAGAGGAGGGTGGGTGGTTATAACAGCGGCACGCTCGGGGTGAGTCGCATGCGAGCTCCGAGCAGTTTTTACTCTAGTACTATTGAGCCCTTTCTCCATGAGAGAGGTATGGGGAATATCTCTTATTCCCTCAGCTAGGTGCTACCTTCTATCATTAAATTATGCAACGCACCACTCCTGCTGGCCGCTCAGCTTGGCCTCCACGGCCAGTTCCCACTGGGCGTGCTCCGTATTTTGGACCATTTTCTCCTTTGCCAATTCAAAGTCCGGCGGCCGGTAAGTTTTGGTGGTCCGGATGACAAGGACAAGACACAGGTACGTGCCGTAGACCATCTTGGCCTCGTCAGTACAATCCATCAACAGCGCCCCCCGGAGCGGCGCAGGAGGGTCCGAAAAGTGGTTCTCCAGGACAAGTGACAGGCGTGAAGACGCCCCTGCCTTCACGACGTCCCATGGCTGCTCGGGCAGAAACGCAGCAGTGTCCTCGAAATACGCTTCGAAGTGAACCCGGGAATATTCCGTAATGCACCAATAAGTCACGGCGCCGTCTTCCTCGGTGAAGCAGAACTCGGACGCCAAGGGGTTCGCGAGCGGCCGGAATGCAAACCCTGGGGACGAGACCATCAGCCCACGCTCGCTAATGCGGGCTGGTCTGGAAACCTGTCGCGCGTGGTGTGGCTCGTCGAGGTCCGAATTGTGTTGGAACTCGTGGCTTCCTGGATCAAAGCCGTGGACGTTGACGACTCTTGAGAGCTCGGATCCCTCGGCGGAATTCAGAAATGACCGTGGCGCCCAATGATATCCCTTTAGGGCCATCCTGGGTAAGTTGGTAAAGATAATCCGCGCTGAAATAACGTCCTCCACAACCGATAAAAAGGCGGTCCACCGTTTTTCACCACCGTCCTCCCTCAGCACATCCTCCACCCCGGCGTCCAGCAACGTCGTTAAGCAGATTGCTTCATCGGAGGCCTTGCTGGTTTCCCTACACCGCACCTCGGTCAATATGTGCGAGAACAATTCCGCTTTTGTCTGGCGCAGAATGGAGTTGGATCCGATGCTGGAGGGGAGGACGTTCACTGATAGAATAGCCGAGGGGCAGGCCGCAAACTTGGCTGCAAAGTCCAACTGCTCCGACGAACTATTATTGTCGCCGTTTGCCGACGGGGAACCACGGTCGACCAAATCAGCCGACTCGGCATCGAGCAGTTCATCGGACAGCAGAACGAGCGCCCGCGTCGGCTCGTTCAAGTCATCGAGCGGGACGACCTCGCGGTGGGACGTCTGTACAAAGACCCGGTCGTTCAAGGCCCCTTCCTGCAGAGTCCACAGGCGGCCGCACCAGGGAGACACGCAGACGCGGGCCATGAGCTCTTCGATAGGGCAGTACCGGCTCTGGGCGTTCAACTCGGCGTCCTTGACCAAGACAGCGGATGCGGCTTCATAGACGCTGCGCATGTCGCGAATGGCTTTCTTTCTCGTTTCGAGATTGCTGACGGGGACGCACAGCGTGTCGATCCAGAAGTATACCCGCTCCAGACGCGCCGTCTTGTGGATGTGCAAGCCTTCCGGGAAGATATCGTCAAAGTACTCGGGGTTGGTGAGGATCATGTACTGTAGCTGCGATCTGAGAGCTTTCAGCTGGCAAATAGGCAGCGTGTTGGCTCTCGGATTGCCCAATCCGTCGGACCAGCTTTTGGGAGTCGTCAGCTTGTTTTCCTGTTTGCGTGGTTCCAGGGTCTACAAGATCCAACAAAGACTTACACGTGGGAGATGGCAACATATGGGGTGTCCCCCGTATATGCAACGACCTTAAGGTCCAGCGAATCGTCCCATTTCCCATTCTGGGTCGTGGTGGGACACCGAACCGATATGATGGGAATGTTCCCGTCCTGGATTATGGCGATGAGTTGATCGCTCGGCGGGCCCGTCTGGCCACCGCATCTGCAACTCATGCGTTTCGTGATCATCTTCGGGATTTGGAAGTGCATAAAGGAAGGCTCTACGGGACAGTGCGCCGTAACGTACACCTCTTCCAGTATATCATTGGCTGCGCACCGTCCTTTCGAACAGCGGGAGTGGTCCTTCTTGACGGTTGGCGGACCCAGCATCTTGAAGTAATACATGGCCAAAGCATTCCTATGTCGCCTCCACAGTTTGGCAACTTGCCCTACGCACCAACCTTCGCCCTCCATGACCGACGAGAGCCAAGGGCATGTAGGGACTACCAGTCTACTTGGAGGGTCATAGATGACCATGTGGAAGTACTGGATCGTCGCCAGGAGAATGACGACGGAGAGTTCGACTTCCCCGGGCAGACAGCTGCGCAGATACGTCGCTTCGGCATCGTTGGCCGCGGTTCGTAGTTTCCGGTTGAAGGCCTCCAGCACTCCAGAGGCAAATGCGAAATTGTACCTGATGTCTCCCTCATGCTCCGCCTTTACGGGCGGCGAGGCATACTTTTCTTTGTCGTACCACTGCTGCAATTTCTTGCCCAACGTTCGCGTGGTGATGAATGCTCTGTGCTTCTTCTTCTTGGTCCTCTGTTGCGCTTGTTAGGAATTGTGTAAGAGTTTGTGCCATTGTGGCCTGGCACGCTTGAGTGCGGTAGACTTACGAACCCCGACGCGTGTCGGATGAGATGGTGCCTGTCGAAAGTGATGCCGCATACCTGGAACACGGAGCTGATCAATCCGACGTAGAGCCATTCTTGGACGAAGGCGGCTGTTTGCGCAGCGTCCTTGCCCTCAAAGTCGGCATCCTGTAAACTCTGCGTGTTCCAGCCATGCCGCGAAGGGAAATCGAGAAATCCCTTGCCATCATACTCGATATGGAATTTCTGGCTTCCACCCAACCAAGGCACATGGATGGGTCGGTAAGGATGCTCGGGCGTAGGTATGTGGTCCATTCCCTGGCACGGGGGTAGTGGAGGGAGGGGCTGGCTGTAATCTTTCACCTGCACTTTTTTTCACCAGCTGCCACGCAGTTGGACCAGTTTTGCTTTAAGCCGTCTGGTAGTGAGGTATTACTGTGTAGGACGAAACAGAGAGCGCAAGATCAGACCACCCACTCCTGCACGCTGACAGCCGATTCGCGCTTGGCAATGAGGCCCAAGATCGTCCCTCGGAAGCCAATGCTCCGCTGCCAGAGCTTCGAGAAAGGCCTTTGGGAAGCTCGAGACTCCATCATCGTGGCGCCAAGTGGAAATTACCTGATCCGGCAATTCACAGACAAGGTTTGAGAGTTCTGGTCGCACGAAGATCACACACCGAGGAATTGTACCACGGAAGAAGGGGAAAAAAGGGCAAAATACTATCGGCGGGAAGTCCCACGGCAACGCAGAGACAAAGAAACAGAAAGAGAGAGGGAAAAAAAAAAACAGACACAAAAAGACAATAAGACTCACCTGACCTGAAAGTTGCAAACAACGGCCGAAACCCCTCCGTCGACGCAGAATACCAGGGCTCTCGCGTGAGGACATGGCGAGATTCCTGCCGTCGACCTGGTGGGTGTTGGACTACCGCGACGATGACCAACCCTTCCTCGGACTTGCGAGGAGCATTCCAGCGACAAGAAGGTGCATACAATCGGTGGTGACGTCGTCCTCCTGGCTGGGCTCACGGCGGGGGAGATCCGACCGTCAGCGAGACACCTCCGAGCTACTGCGAAGTTTGTGCGAAGCGGCCCATCGACCAAAGGGACAGACGGAGCAGGAGCATGTGAGTTGTGAGACTCGGGCCTGGCAAGTCAGCTCCATTTTGAGTCGCCCTGGTGGCCCCCCCTGAGGAGCCAGTCCTCAAGACCCTGATCCCCTTTGCAGGGACCCCCTTTCGTCCGTTTCAAGGCAAAGGCAGGCGAAGGAACTGTCTCCAGCGAATCGCTGCTCGCCCGGGGACCTGTTGGCGCAGCAGCTAACGGAGAAGTCCAGCCGACGACGCCCAGTTATGTAAGGTCGCCCCTCTCCCGCTCGTACCATCTTATGGTGGACTGATTGGTGGTCTGCTAGGACAAACTTCCGACCCATGTGCTGCAAAGAGTGGTGCCCAGGAATCAAGTTCCTACACCATCCTGTCCAATCACCATTACTCGACTGCGTCGACAAAGACAGCACCGCGGGGTCTTCAGGGTCCAGAAGCTGCGCGATCTGAGATCGTCGGCATGCACACTGACATAGCGGAAAACCTTTATGAAGAGCATCCGACTCGCCCTGGAACGCAAAAGCCGCCCGGTTCTTTGTTCCTTCACTGCAAACAAGCTGTAACTTGACCTTTTGGCTAACAGTTGAATCGCAGCAACACCCAACCAAGCAATGGCATTCTACCAGGAACCCTTTTTCCTTGACCAGGGGTCACAGCAATTTCAAGACGAAACATACTTTACCAACTTTCAGTCTGACACTGACGACCACGACTTGGTGGCAAAGGACCTCAATGCATGGTCGCTCCCTCTGGAGACACAGCAGACACAGCCCATGAGCTTCACCGTGCGGTCCTACCTTGATGCCCCCTATCTCAGCCCATGTATGGAACCCTTTGAGCCTGCTGGCGTCCAGACAGTCGGCCCCGCCCAACTACAGTTGAATAACCCAGAGTTCCCCCTCGACTACCAGGCTGGTCGATCGCCCGAGGCAGAATTCGCTGCACTCGGGCCCAGGGACGACGGCAGCGACAACTCGCCTCTGTCGTCGCCCAGCCTGGCCGACACTGAGACATACAGCTCCAAAAAGTGCCTTCCCCGCAGTCGTGGTGCCCCCCGCTCTTCAGTGTCGTCCTCGTCCCAACCGAAGAAGGGGAGACCCCGGAAGAGGCGCAACCAGTCCAACTCGTCCAGCGAGGATGAGTCGGCCATTCTCAAAGCAAAGTTCGCCCACTCCGTGATTGAGAGACGCTATCGTGACAATCTCAATGGCAAGATGATGCAGCTCCACCGCGTGCTTCTAACCGCAGAGACCAGTCAAACCTCGCCCGCCTCTCAATTCAGCGCCGCTTCCTCACCTACAGGGCCCACGCTTTCAGGCAGAGTCCGCAAGTCCGACATCATGTCCCGGGCAATCAACTACATCCATCAGTCGGAGGTCGAGATCCGACACCTGGATGATGAGATCAAGCGCCTACAGGACCAAGTCGGCGTCTTTCAGAAACTCGTCAACTGCGACGACTGCTCGGTACTCAAGGACATGGTGCAACTCGGCGTTCAAAAGCAGTGACATTGTGCTTCCCCAACAAGTTCTTTGTCGCGTGTCTTTCTTCCGCCCCGTGTCCTCGCCCTCCTCATCCGCCTCCGTCCTCCTTCCCAGGACCACCTCGTCTTTTTTCTACTCCGCTTCGCTTTTTTTTTGTTTTCCTATCTCCCAGTCTTCTTTGCATGACTGTCTGTGGAGAAGGTTTTGAGTGTATCGGTCCACAAGTGTATCGCGACCCTTAGCGTGGGTGGAAAAAAATCCTTGTTCTTTCAATGTTCCGGAGTCCATTGAAACGAGTCATCAAGTACTCCCCGTACAAAAGGTTATTTGTCGGGTCTATTTGGGATCTTGCTGCTATCGGAGGCAAACTGTGCTTTGTTTCTTGTCCCTTTTGGGTGGTTTGAGGGAGGGGGGAGGGAGTACTTTTTTCTTTAGGGGAATGGAATCTGTTTAGCGGCAGCCAAGCGGTCAGGGAAGGAAGGTAGACAGGCAGTGCCCGACGGAGAAGTAGCGGGAGAATCACGAAGCATACATTAATAGTGGTGGTGATGATGATGATGGTGGTGGGTGATAATGATGATGACAATGATGACGATGATGATGCATCGACCGGGTCAAGGTGCGTTAGGAAAAAGGGCAGCGCCGACAAAGTCTCGGAAGTGAGCCTTCCTCGAGTCGGGGAAATACCAGATAGTAATGAAAAATTACCCCTTTTAATCGAACCTCTACTGTTTGTCCCTGGGAGTACCTGGCGAGGGTGGGTACCTAGATAGCTACCATAGCGGAATCCAAGCCGATGCAACCAATGCCAGTCGACGGATATTTGTACGCTGCGACGCCAGGCACTCGGACAGCCCCCTCCTCGTCTACTATATAGTGCCTACTGACCCACCAACAATCTGGCGCGATATATCCCGCCCTTTGCCGCACGGGCAGGGGAGCGAGGTGCTATTCCTGGCATTCAACTACCGTGAGATGTTTTGGCGAGTGGTCCGGAATAATGGCAAATAGCAGGGCTGTTTGAACCGTACTCGAACGGCATTTATCTGGCTCGACGGTCGGCCAGTCGGTATGGTATTCTGAGTCAAGTGTCTAGAAACCTCCATGTCACCTGCGTCTCAGTCATGAAAAGAGGGCATCTTCCTGTCTTTCAAGGACGAGACCCCCCATTCAGGGCCCTGATATACTTGTACAATACACCTATCGAGTGTTGCAGGGGGGCGGAGCTCTCCGGCATCCCCGGTCCTTCGCCCCTGACACACTGCGAAGGACTCCTAAAATCCCGTTGGCATGGCTGGAGACTTGCTTTTCGCACCGCAATCTGTTCTTTGCAAGATTTCTCCAGCAAGCTTTCCTTTCCGACATCTTCTTCTTTCCCGTGGCTCGGACGTTCTCTAGTCCCAGTGGGCATCCACCGGCTGACGGGGGCCTGAGATGGTTATCAACTCTGGGGACATCTGCCTCCTTCAGGTGATACCCGTGGCAGCAGGGCAATAATACCCCAAGGCCGGCCATTGCCTTGGCGGACACCCTGTACTGGGACAGGAAAGAGCCTTCGAGGCCCGACTCCGATCAGTCGCTGGTACGATAGGGGGCACTGGGGAACCCTAGACGTGCATCTGGACGACGACATCTTGCTTAGAAGAAAGTCTGCTCGACCTCGCGGGATACTCGAGGGTCATGAAGCACCGACGTGGGCGATCCCGTCAATTACCTCAGGTGAAGGAGTACCAGGACGTGCCAGAGGAGGGAAATATCGCGCCCACCCGTCGAAGTCAGGAGGCAGGTCGGCTTTGGGTTCTTTGGGCCTCCAGATAGGATCCATGTCCACATCACCCATTTTTTCCTTGAGTGCTTGACGACCAGCAATGCCTCCGCAGTCGGCATCACTCTCCTCTTCAAAGCTCGACACACTGCCGAACTCTGTCTCGTCGTCGCTGCTCCATTCGAGGTCGTCCTCCCCACGACTAGAGAGCTCTTCATCGTCGGAAAAAGGATTTCGATCGCACTCAGCGTCAATTTCGACCGCGGTGACAACCACGGACTCTGGGGCCACTGGTGATTCTTCTGGTAGTTGCGGCTCGTGTGTCAATAGCTCCGAAAACTCATCCAGAGCGCCGGTTTGGTCTTCTTTGCCGAATATGGCGTCCTCCACCTGGCCATGATCAATATCTTGGATAAGAGCTAGAACTGTGGCGTTGCTCACATCATGTTCTTCCATGTACTCGGCGGCTTTTTGATAGACTGAAAGGTGCCCAATCATCTTTGTGAGTTTGGGCTCCATGTGCTCCGACTCCTGTTGGAGTTTCCACTGGGCCAGCCAGAGGAGCTTATAGGCAGTTTCGTCCATGACTAGGGTCATGTTGCTGGATTTGGATGGTTCAATGCCAAAGGATAGATGTCGAGTGCTCTTGTATTTGGTCTCACAGGGGAGATAATGGTTCTTAGACAACTAAATGGATTGAAGTGCTTTGTAGTTTTTGCATTGGGTATTCTGGACTCCGTGGTAACATCTACCCGAGGAGAGGCCGGGTAGGCATTGAAGTATGTCGTGTGTGCCTGGATACTCAACGGTCAGTGGTTGGAAGCTGTCGTATGACAAACTCATGAGTATACGACAGAGACGATTCGATTGTGCTTCTAGTCAGTTCCGAGGCACACGAAACGACACGCGACGGGCGTGTCGGAGATCAATCGCATGTCGGACGTGTCTGGTTCACCGTGATGCTGGGCTGCCTGGAGAATACTCCGAAGTGATGCGAGGACAGTCACGCAATACCATGTTCGTTCTCACTTGGCGGACATCTCCCCTCCTATGAGGTGTCGGCCACTGGGTTTTCCCATCGGAAGACCTCTTTCTTTCTTTCTTGCTCTCATACCTTCTCAGTCCCCGCTCTTCAGGCCTCAGTCCACAAGCCACGCTACACTGCCCATCCGCGTCTGCCGCTCCGAGATCCGATGACTTGGGGTGCCCAGGAAACATCACATTGTTTTTATTTCCAGGCCTCGATGTCAAGGAGTCGTCAGCCGACACTGTCCCAAGCCTAGCCCAAGGGGGCGTAACGTGCGACTTTGAATGCCACAAATCTCGAAAAAGAGGGAATTGTGTCGGAGACCGCAGGCAGCGCGCAGGAATGGGAGAAAAATTTGGCCCGGTTGAGGTGTTCCCGCGGAGGTGATGGGTCTGCAACCACGCCTATTCACGGCTAGACTTGGGGTATATCGATAAGCGTAGGGTTGGTGGAATCAGCCTAGGGATGGAGACTACTTGAGACTTTGAGCGATATTTTGGGGGCGACCCAGCAACGGGATCCCGTTCGCTGGGCACGAAATCTCAACGGGCCTGAACCTTCAGAGCCCCTAGGCCGGGCTCTGTTCTGGCTGCAAGGAACTTTACACAGTACGTTCCTCGGAGACATGCACAGATAGTCACACGAGAATCTCACGAATGAGAGTTGGAGGAAGTGCAGTGCGTTTCACGTTACTCGTCGAGACGGACTAAGCTCGGTGGCTCCGTTGTACCGCTCCGGTCATGTTCTGCCGCAACTTCTCGTCACAAGCGCCTAGGGTGACTTCCTCGCTAAATGATTAGTGCGTGTGACGAGATGTGACGAAAGTAACGAGATGGAGATGCATGACATCAGACGTCTGAACCGTGCCATTATCTCGAGAACGAAAAGGGAAAAAAATGGGGGGAGACGAGAGGAAAACATCCCATTGTTGTAGATGGAGATTTGGCTCCATTGAAGCACGTGCGCAACCCATCCTCAGCATTACCCAATGTTCCTCCACCATCACTTTTGGATTCATTTTCGTAGAGAACAAGTGTTTTGCAGAACACAAATATTATGATTATTCTCATTATGTTCAACAGACAAGCATATCGTCCCAGAGGCTATGGAAGTCAACCGTGCCGACGCGAGAACAGCTTCAGGGGGTATCATTGCTTTCGTGAAAACGTGTGCGCGCTGACAATGTCGTTCAAAGAACCCGCTTGATAACTTTGTACACAAGAGCTCTCTTCACATCAGCTCCCTCGGCCAGTCCCCCGTCCCTCCCCGCCCTGGATTGGCCCACCTTCTCCGAGAGTTGTGCTGGCGAGTGATAACCCGCCATCAGAGACCCTCCATTACGTGTTGCAAGAAAACAGTGTCACAAAAGAAACGGTGTTGGTACAGTGAGTGCTTTTGGTATCGGCGACAAACGAACGTGTTGGGGGGGTGAAAAAGGGCGTATGTGCTCGCTTTTGATCAGGCCCCGCGAGTCTCGAAACGGGTCTAGACTTGGGTTTCAGCGGTGCTGCTGGTGCCGCTGGCTTTCCTGTGGATCATGTGGACGTGGTGCTCGGTGGTGGCAGAGGTGGTCATCAGGGCAAAGACGGTGCTGACCAGGAAGAAGAAGGCGGCAATGAAGGTAAAGGCTTCGGTCGTCTTCCAGCAGGCCTTGTATCCCTTGCCAATGTTCTCCTCCCAGCCGACCCAGTTCTTGTTGCAGTCCCACTCAATCAGAGCGCCGAATGCGGAGAAGAATGCCAGGCTGAAGATGAAGTTGATCACGGCAAAGCAGATGGGGAACCAGTTGTAGGTCCAGATGGCGATGCTTCCGTAGATGATGGCAAAGCCAGCAAAGATCTCGGTGAAGCACAGACGTGCGCCGGGGTACTTTTCTGTATCTCTCCAATGGGCCAGGTACCAGCTGACGATACCAAGGATGATCTAGACAAGTCAATGTGTTAGCCCGTGTTCTTGTCCGGCCCAGTCACCCGCTCACCCACTCGATCAACCCTCGGGAAGCGGAACAGGTCAGAGCGGGATGACTGCACCAGCCACCAAAAGTGCCAACTGGGAGGTTTACTTACCCCACCAAACAAGGCCTCAGCCTGGTAAAGGAATCTGGAGGTGTTGCGGATGACGCCCTCGCTGGGTTTTGACATCTTCTCAAACTTCATCTCGATGGCTACTTAACACTCAAATGGTGTTTGTCGGAAGCGTAGAATGTGGCTTGTTCTTTGGACGAAACAGAAGATTCTGCTGTCTATTCGAGCTTGTTGATGAATGGGGGCTGCCACCAGATCCAGGCTTCTCGCATTGTTTATATAACTCTCGTCGCATCACGTCGACGACATGCTGCTGAAGCAAAAGATTGGAAGCCACATGGCCAGTAACAGGCTAATCACACCATCCACAGTGAGATGATAATGGTGCGACCGCAGCTCCTCCACGAATGGAGCGGCCATGGAATTTTCCTGAAGGTCCAGTAGATGGACGCAACAGTCGACATGCTGGGCTCGCTTGATTCAGAACGTGAGAATCACTCGCACGGGTTGCGGTTCGAGGACCAAGGACGGTAGAGGGTGCCAGTGGGAAATAGTATTTCCATCAGGTGAGGGCCAGTTTTGCGCTGGTACTGCCAGCCAAGTGGCATGGGAGCGGCTTGCGGATCGCGGGCTTTTTCCGGCTTTTGAGTCCCGAAGCACAAATCATCTCATGATTGCTTAAAGCCTGTTGATGCGGGACCGCCTGAGGAATCTACAATGGTACATTGGCTTGAACAGGTACATTGCTTTCAGACGGTGCAAAAGGATAACTTTATCAGAATGATGAGACCCCGGCATCCGCATCTCATTGAATCTTTAAAAAGTCGTAACACAGGCTCGGGCGAGTTCAGCGATCATCTTCTGGAAATATAGTCATCCCCAGCATATCCAAGAGAAGACTGTTCGTTCTAGTGAAGCCGTCAGCGAGAGTCATGAACAAGACAATTATTGCCCCGTCCGCCATGCGGCATCCAAGCCAGTACTCTATCTCACTGGCGCCCGCTCCTCCTCCTGCTGAACGGTGCAATGGGAGATTGGGCGTTGGCGATGACTTCTCCTATGCCAGAAGGAAGAAGAAGAATCCGCGAACCATTCGCGCTTGTGATCTTTGCAGGATTAAAAAGGCCAAGGTTCGTCCATCATTGCATTCTTCTTCACCTGTGGAAAGAGGTTCTGATCAGCGATTGCGACGACAGTGCGACGGAGACACACCGTGTAAAAGTTGCATCCGACGGGGAACCTCGTGTACATACACCCATGTACGGAGAAACTCCCGGCCTTATACAGTATTGGCGTAAGTCGACACGATTGCGCTTGATCATGCCTGTAGCTGATGGGTTGTGAAGCTATGCCGAAATGCTAGGGCGACAACAAGCCACCCTTATCGAAGCCATCCAGATACTTCATCACCGGCTCATAACGGGTGAGGCAATGGACGACCTTGCCGCCCAGCCCATGAAAGAGGACTCGAGTGTGAATGACATCCTGCAGCATCTTGGGTTGACTCCGCTCGACCTCTCCGAGGCTGACAGCGAGCACGGCGGAAGATACTCACAGTCAACCGTCTCACCGGCCAGCTCCTCCACCACTCCCCCTGCCAGTGCCGGGGACTGTCACCCAGCGCCTCAGCTGGAATGGGGTGACTACCAGGACCCATTGACAAGCCCTGACAAGATGGCTGGTATTGAAACTCCTGCTAAGCGCTCGCAAGGTCAGTCTGTTGGAGGCTTCGAGCCCTTAGCCACGGATGATCCATTCAACTATGACTTTTGGGGCAACGACGGTGGATTGGAGGCCCAGAATTTCCTCGAAACATCGCCGTCGCCTTATGACCCATTCTCAGATGCGCAGCTTGGCTGGGATTTCGCGGAAACATGCCCTCTGTCTTACCTCGCGCCTGCTGGGAAGTCGGGAAATCATCAGAACTTTAGACTTGTATTTTAGTCGCCATCAGCCTCGACGGTGGATGTTGCGAACGGCACCTTTGTTTCCTGGCTCAGGCCATGGCTATGTAACTGATAATATTTCGAGGTTGTGCTGGATCTAGGGGGGGATAATGGTCGGCGTCTGAGTTGTTCAGGTTGCACTATCGAAGCCTCGAAGTTTTCCCGTGATAGAAAAAGGGATCGTTAAAGCGGCAAGTCTTTGCCAAGGCTCCGAACTGTAACTGCGCCTGCAACTGCGGCCTCATTGAACGCGGTCAATAATTCCTAGACGCGACTTTCTGCATGTAACGATCAGTCAAGTGTTTATGCTTGGTAGCTCCCGACTGAGAGCCAGCATGTCGCTTTTTGGTCAACCGGCTTCTGGGTCGGGGACCTCCGGTTCCACCAATCTGTTTGGTGCTGCCAATTTGAATCCCACCACTGATGCGCAGGGGAAACGAAAGTCCATCTTCGACGCTTCCACCTCGCAATCGTCCCAACCCTTTTCCTTCCCAAGCCTCAACACCACGGCTGCCGCCACTCCAAGTGCTGCTCCAGCTGGTGGGCTCTTCAGTCTCGGAGGTCCTGCAAAGACTTCTGCCCCTTTCTCCTTGGGAACAACAACCACCACGGCTCCGTCTACAGGTCTCTTCGGAACGACCGCAGCTGCTGCCCAACAGCCTGCACCAACGACTTCCCTCTTCGGGGCCTCAAACACACAACAACCTGCGAGTGGTACTTCCTTTTTTGGTGGGACCACCGCAGCAAGCACAACTGCGCCACAGGCAACGCAACCAGCAGCTCCCACCCCGCAGAACAATCGAGATGCCGCATATTTCAGCAGTCTCCTCGAGCGTCAAAAGAAGAAGCCGAGACTATGGGCCGATGGCACCGGCCGTCAGAGCCAATTGCCTAGCCTTAGTATGGACCTGGGGGATCTGGCCAGACGTGCACAAGAGATCAGACAACGTGGGGCAAAACAGACGGAGCCTCTGCCCGACAGCCGTGCGCATTATCTGTTAGCCGGCTCCGGGGTTGCTCCCGGCCAGGCTTACAAGGACTTTCAAGCATTAGGCTCCGACGAGTCTGTCCCGGTATCACGCCTTGCGGCACAGGGTTTCGCCGACGAGTCTAGTGCGTATCTCAGAGATTTGAGAGTCAAAGGCCGGGAGGCAATACTGAAGGAGAGCATGGAACGTGTTTATCGTGAAGTCGACAACTTCATCGAGGAAAGCTTGGGCATCGACTTTGAGGAACAGAAGGCCAGGATCATGGAGCATCTCGGTCTGGCTTCTCCAGAAGACGGCACAGGACCCGATGCTGGCAGGTCGACCCCAGGTGGCTTCGGGAAACCCACGGGGCGAGCTAAGGAAGCGGCTTCTGAGGCATCCCGGCCTGCACGAAGTGTGTTTGGTCGCTCTGCTATGGAGAAATCTATCATTGGCACTCCCGGTTCTGGTGCTGGGACGACATCCTTCTTTAAGAGTGAAGGTGCTGCTCCTGTGCCGTCTGGGCCACCACGTTCGAGTTCACAAGTGCAGCGTGAGCTTAGAGCGAAGGAAAAATCATTCATTAGCAAAGTGGAAAACCTCAATCAAGCTAGGCTGCGGGAGGAAACGTACGCTCTTCTGCAACACTTTGCCGAAACTGAAGAGCAAAACAGGGCAGACACCCCCCGGCAAATAGTGGACGCCTACCAAGCCTTGCGAGAAATTACCAAAGAAGGCCAGTCAACAGTCAGGGAACGGCAGTATGCTCAGGCCTATTTGGACGAGACGGTCTCTGCTCCGGCCACCCTCAAACTGAAGAAGCAGATAGTTGAGGGCTCTCGGACCTACTTGGAAAAGGCATTCTGGCGAGAACTGCGATCGCTGATTGAGAAGAATGCGAGAGAAGCGGCGTTGGGGGGACAGCCGAGCGTCATCAATATTGTGCGTGCTTATATCCGACTGCGGGCTGTTCGACGAGATCTCGCACCGGATGGATCAGAGCTACAACAACTGGGCGGCGAGACCGGTGACTACTGCTGGGTCCTCATTTTCTACTTGCTGAGATGTGGTTTTGTCAAGGAAGCGGCCGAGTATGTGAACAACGACCCTGCCTTCCAGTCTGTCGAGCGACGATTTGTCTCGTACTTGACAGCGTATGCGAACAATCCAGATCGGCGACTGGGCCGCAAACTGCAAGACATGATCGACAACGAGTATCAAAACCGTACAAAGGTTGGTCCAAAGAATACGGTGGATCCATACAGGATCGCGTGCTATAAGGTGATCGGAAGATGTGACTTGGGCTCAAGACATCTAGATGCAGTGGGGCAGGGAGTTGAGGACTGGCTGTGGCTCCAATTCAGCCTTGCGCGAGAGACCGAGATGTACGAGGAGATATCTGGCGAGATCTTTGGGCTTGAACAGATTTGTGAGACAATCACCGAAATTGGGCAAAAACATTTCCAGAAAAATCAAGTCGAGGGATCCGGCTATGGCACCTTTTTCTTGATGCAGGTTCTCGCGGGGATGTTTGAACATGCCGTGGACTACCTGCACAATTTCAATCCACTGAGCGCAGTGCACTTCGCCATTGCTTTATCATATTACGGGTTGTTGAGGGTATCAGACTTTTCGGTGGCGGGCAACGCGCTCTGTAAGTGTATTCGTTTGCTTCATGTCGTGTCTCAGTGCTGACCCAGGACGCAGTGACATTTTCGACGACGCAGCAACCCATGATCAACTTTGTGCCGCTCGTGGCATATCACACAGGAACTTTTCGAACGGCGCTTCCTGTCCCTGCGGTGGACTACCTTTCCATGCTCTGCCTCAACTCCGATCTCCAACCTGCCAGCCTGGGTCTGGTCCATATCAATGCTTGTCATGAGTGCTTGCGAGAATTATGCCTTGAAACCCGTGAGTTTGCAAAGTTGTTGGGCGATATTCGCAGCGATGGCACTCGGATACCTGGCGCCATCGAGCTTCGGGCCAGGTTAATCCACCTTGACACAAGAGAAGAATTTTTGAGGTCCATTACCAGCCAGTCGGCGGCGATTGCGGATCAGCGCGGGCAAATTGCAGATGCGGTCTTGCTCTATCATCTATGCGAGGACTACGACAATGTTATTAGCGTACTGAACCGAGCACTGGCCGACGCTGTGACGCTAGACCTGGGCGAGGCACCGATGCAACTGCAACCTTTGAAACCGCGCAAAGCCAACGGTCAGAGCGAGTCGTCAAGCAGCACCCAGGGAGGACCTCAGTCGTCATTGTCGCTTACACAATCCACGTCGTCTCCGTTCGAGTTGGGGAAGAACATGATATCGTTGTACAACGAGAACGCCGCATACTTCAATCGCATTTCGAGCGCGAACCGCGAAATTTGTGGGGCCCTCATCCGACTGCTTTCCGTGCGGGAACATCTCGAAGCCAAACCTCCTCGTTATATGACGGCGTTGGAGGAGCTCAACGAGTTGGGCTTGTTACCATTGCGGGCGAATGGATCTATCCCGACAATCCGGGCGGCTGCAACAGCCTTCAGCGCCCTTCCACAAATCCTTGCTCGTTGCGCTGGAGTCAGTGTGGTCTGGGCGGTGCGAGCAATTGGGGGAGAACGAGACAACATCGTACGCAATGGCCGGTGGGAGGCAGGATATGGTGGAGATGCGGATGAAATGAAAGACCAACTAAGTAACATGGCCAAGGACCTGATGGTCTTCGCTGGACTCGTGAAATACAAGTTGCCGGGCCGGGTCTATGACATGTTGACTCGAGCCGGGGCTGAAGTTGGAGGGTTTTGAGGGAGCCCGTATAGAATGGCGCTCTAATGGCACTAGATGCATTGACGAATGTGTTGGAATGATCAAAGACATGGTTGAAGACCTTGTAGCGTTCAATAAACGTGGTCATATGTGTGGGTGCAAGGAAAAGCGAACCAGCAAATCGAGAAACTCATTATATTGAGGATGATGTCGGTGTCTGAGACACTCTGCTGCTTGTCGGTTAGCGGATTCAGCGTGAATACGCGACAGGCGGTACTGTGGCAGTGAATCCAACTCAATAAACACCTATATCGTCAGACTTGTTGCACAGATGGATTATGTATCTGCGGCTCGAAGCATCCAGCTACCCAAAGCAGCCGTGACACTCCTCCCTCTCCGCCATGAGGCTGCGAGGGTGTTGTTGTAGAGCAAGCCAAGCAACTGAGCTGGAGATCTTGATCGGGTCAGTAGAGTTTTCCGATAGGGTCGGGTAGCGGCGCAGAGACTTTCAAGCGACGCTCACCGACTTATGGCCTGCACGTCATGACAACGGAATAACCAAAGATGGCGAGAGCCAAAACCCCGTGCACTGGCCGTATCTGGTGAGGCTGGGTTGGAAGTTCTTAGATGACTGAGCAGATCTGCAAACATATGTCAAGTCATCTTGCACATGACCCCATGCACTTCGGCACTGGATGTGTTAGGGAAACTATGTTTTCTGAAGTTTGCCCTTGTCGGACGATGTTGGACAACTTCGACTTCGTTGGAGGCGCTTGAACTCTAGGTCCATATCAGGTTGGGCTCAAATGGCTTTTGCAAGCTCGACAGTGTCGAGTTCAAGTTCGAGATCGAAGATCGAATACCATCTTCTCAAGAAAGCATTACTGAGAATAAAACGCGGACCAACCTTCCTGCCTGTATCGAGTCCTTGAAAGCAAGAAATACAACTTCCATCCTCCAATTCGTGGACGTAGTCGCAAGCACAGATACCATAGTTAGAGCCAGACGGCGTAACCGTGAGACTAGGGAGCTGATTCCTCTTGCGACAATCGACCTCACAAAGCTCGTTGGAAACCCGCCTGGCGGCGATATAGCGATTCAGTGATGCGGCAAAGGTGGTAGGCATAGCAATGAAAGAAGTTGCGGTATCAAGGATGGCACTTACGTCGCGGACTGGACCGAATATGCCATCAAAGCTGCCACGTGCAATCAGTGAATCATCATGAGTGACTTCGGTGAACAGTTGGCGCTCGACATGTCCCGAGACACCTCCGGTCCCCTAGTTGGTACTGGAGTGAGAACGACATTCCCGAACGTCGACGACAAGGTTGCATTGTACCTTGCATGGCGTGGGCGGGCAGTCGGGCTGCGTTGGCGAGGTACCCAGAGATTGGCGCTTCGAGTGTCTATGACAACGTTGAAATACTGCGGTGGAGTGCCGATGCCGATTGTGTTGAAGCATGAGCCATTGGATATATCTTCGATGGGCAAGTTTGTCTTAATATGAAGCACGAGCTGGCCATAGTTGTTTGATAGAGCTCTTGCATGCTAGGGGAGACTTCCTTGATCGGGACTGCCCGGTGCTTGCTCGAGCTTTAGGCGAAGATGAGCAGATGTATAGCAGTAAAACATGCTCAATAAGACCAAGGGCATCTTCATGTCCATGCTGCATGACTTGACGCCTATCGCCGGGACAATGGCCGTCTCAAGATACGTACCTTACTACATCATGCTGGAGGGTTGGTATCAGCGACAGCGTCCCTTAGAAGAGACTAGTGAGCTAGTGGGCCAACACGCTAAGCTAAGAAGCTCTGCCGGTCGCGGCAAGAGTCGGTTCGAGCCTGATGGTCAGGTGCTCCTGGCCATTTGGGGGCGGCCCCCTTCTCGGAGGGTCGGGCGCTACCCGTGCCCTATTACTTGTGCAGGCACCCCTAGCACCCACGGGCAGAGAGGTACCCGGGTACGTAATCTTATCTGATGTGATCGCCGAATCGCCCTCCGATGCTCGCCCTCTCTGAATCAGGAGCCAGTTACATTGCCCGTTGTGGGTGTTCCCAACGCACCGCTTGTACATAGCCCACTTCCAACCTTGTGTCACCACTTGTGTGCATCCCAACTGCCCTGAGGTCCTCCCACGTCGTGTGTTGTGACGCCGTGTCGTGACCACTTCTTGTTTTCCTTGCTACTGTTGCTGCTACGATCGCCTAGCCATGATTTGGCCCTAACGATGCTATGCTCCTTGGGTCGGGTCAGGCTCCAGATACCACTGCTACTCCTCTCCACCCCTCGTCTACCACCAACCCTGAGCTCGAGCTCTCTACCCTTCCATCGTCCTCTTCTCCTTCCCATGCACAGCAAGATGCTGCCGCGTCTGCTGAATTGGGGCTCCAATCTGAGTCGGGTACTCCTCTCCAACCTCGCCGCGCCCACGAGCCCGTTGACTTCTCCTCGGTGACACAAACCACCCCCCCTCCGATTCAGAGGCCCCGTGGACTACTCTCCCGTGCTTGGAAAGCCATCATGTCCCGCGGGTTGCTTCTAATACGCTCTTCCCCGGCCCTCGGCACCGGTTCCTATGGCACTGTCCCTTTGGTGAATAACAGGGTGGATTCGGACCTGGAATCTGAGGACGAGGAGGATTCGCACCATCAGAGGGTCTCGAGAAAGCGGCGTGGGAAAAGAGTTCAGTCTGCCCATGATCTCCGGGATGATCATGGCAACTTCTCAGATGCGCGACTGATCTACCAACAACGACGCAGCTCAGAATGGGCGCATCGGAGGTCTTCCTCTGTTGGTAGTGAAGTCGGGATGGGCTTGGATGCCAAAACATCCTTCGCCTGTAACTCTGCGATTGCTCAGGGCAAGGCAGAATCTTCCAACTCGAGTGCCACTACTGCAAGTCTATCAGACATTGACCAAGAATACATCCCCTCTGCAGAAGATCCACCCGACAACTCTCCATACCCAGAGGTTCGAGCTTCGGTGCCGGCCACCGACAACACTGCTTTGTCTATAAACACTCCACGAATGTGGGCTCTGTCGCTGTTATTTGCAATAGGCGGCTCAGCTACCAATCTTTTTTTCTCATTGAGATACCCGAGTGTCGCCATCACTCCCGTTATTGCTCTGGTACTGGTTCATCCGATGGGAAAGCTTTGGGATTACCTTCTCAAGCGAACCGACGACCAGCAACAGTTCTTTGTAAATGGCTCACTCCAGAAGGATGACCTTCCAATGTCGCAAACGCGACTTCAACGACTGCGGTTATGGTTGGCGCAAGGCCGCTGGAATGAAAAGGAACACGCTTGCGTGTACATTAGCAGCAACGTCTCCTTCGGATTTGCCTTTGCTACCGATGTCATTGTCGAGCAGCACAAGTTCTACAAGCAGGATGTTCCCATTCTGTATCAACTCCTATTAACCATCTCAACCCAAATCCTTGGGTATGCGTTCGCGGGACTGACCAGAAGGTACCTTGTCCGGCCGGCTGCGATGATCTGGCCCGGCACTCTTATGTCGACAGCCATGTTCACTACAATGCACAAGGACGAAAACAAGCCCGCCAATGGATGGACGATTTCGAGATACAAATTCTTCATATACGTCTGGGCTGCAGCGTTTGTGTGGTATTTCTTCCCGGGACTACTGATGCCGGCACTGAGTTACTTCAACGTCATTACATGGTTCGCACCAAAGAATGTGGTGGTTTCAAACCTGTTTGGGGTCGCTTCGGGACTGGGGCTCTTCCCTATGACCTTCGATTGGGCGCAAATTGCCTACATTGGTTCGCCGTTGCTGACTCCATGGTGGGCTGCTGCGAACGTCGTTGGCGGACTCATTCTTGTCATGTGGATTATCGCCCCGATACTCTACTACCGCAATGTCCTGTTCTCGGGATATTTGCCGATACTATCATCAGCCGTTTTCGACAATACGGGGAAACCCTACGATGTGAGCAAAATCCTCACCCCCAACTTCGTCTTCGATAAACAAGCGTATGACAACTACTCCAAAGTATACCTTCCCATCACATATGTGCTCTCTTATGGAGTTCAATTCGCCGCTCTGTCGGCTTTGCTTACCCATACAACCTGCTGGCATGGCCGCGACATATGGCGACAATCCCAACAAGCCTTCCACGAGAGACAGGAAAAGAGCAGTGCCGAGTACCAGCCCATTCCAGACTCTGCCGAGAATGGCCATTACGAACCCTCTCTGCAAAGGGTTGACAGTCAGTCTATTAAGGCCGGAGGTGAAGACGTCCACAACCGTCTCATGAAACGTTATCAAGACGTTCCAATGACATGGTATGCCCTGACCTTCGTCACCATGTTGGGCGTCGGTATCTTTGTTGTTGAGTACTATCCGGTCCATCTCCCCTGGTACGGCCTTCTTATGGCTCTTGGCATCACCACCGTTCTCTTTGTCCCCGTCGGTATTGTCATGGCCATCACCAATCAACACAGTAGCCTCTACCTAATTTGCCAGCTGATCTGTGGCGTGGTCTTTCCTGGCCGTCCGGTGGCCAATATGGTCTTCGTGACCTACTGCTACATCTCCTCCGCACAAGGTATCAAGTTCTCCTCGGACTTGAAACTAGGACACTATATGAAGATTCCACCAAAACTGCTCTTCAAAGTCCAAATGGTGGCCACCTTGGTTTCCAGCCTGGTACAAATTACAGTGCTCAACTGGATGTTCATCAATATCCCCGGCATTTGCACCCCGCAAGCAATCAATGGGTTCAACTGTCCAATTGCCCGTGTTCACTTCAACGGGAGCATCCTCTGGGGTGTTGTTGGACCACAACGCTTTTTCGGTCCTGGTGCACTCTACCGACACCTGGTATGGGCTTTCCTCATCGGCTTCATCGCACCGATACTTGTTTGGTTAGTGGGAAGGAAGACCGCGAAGAAGTCCGTCTGGCGCAGGATCAATCTCCCTGTCCTTTTCGGCTCTCTTTCCTGGATCCCGCCTGCAACTGGGTTGAATTTTTCGGTGTGGGCCGTGGTATGTTTTATGTTCAATGGCCTTGTGAGACGAAGGGCCCCAGGCTGGTGGGGCAAATACACCATGACCATGTCCGCAGCGCTGGATTCTGGGCTGGCTTTCTCGTTGGTTATCGTCTTCTTTGGCTTTGTGTATCCAGGTTGGATGGAAGGGTTCAAGTGGTGGGGTACTGAGGTCTACAAGAGGGGGTGTGACTGGCAGGCGTGTCCATGGTTGAAGTTGAAGCCTGGAGAGAAATTCGGGCCGTGATTAAGGCATGGAGTGCCTTGAAAAAGGATGCTTCTGGACAAGAACGAAACAAATCCCTTGACATCTCGTCAAATCACAATGGAAGAACAGAGGGAAATCTGGGAATCAGAGACCAAACCGAGACGGTATCCTGATTCAGCAGCAAATACCGAAGCCGGATGGGATTACCGAGATTTGTTATTAGGGAGAGACCCGAATTATGCTATGGCCACTCGGCCAACTCGATATGCGAGAAGCAGCTAGAGATGTGAGTGATGGTCAATCATCTCGCTCTCTCTCATAGCATTGTGAAGGCAGAAATAAGGGAGAACGGCGGGTTGGATATCAGAGAGAAGGGACCCAGCGGGCGGGATTCCATGGTCTGAATCCGTGACATGAAGTTGCGACGAGCGACGAAGCGATTGTTATCTTCACACTTTCTCTTTTGGATTCCCCTATCAAGCAATCAATGATAGAGAAGTTCGCGCTCGGGCGTGTTTCTTCAGCTTTTTCTCGAATAGAGTTCACAATACAGAACTGCTTCGTTCCGACTTGGTCATGGTCTCTTGGCTCCTATCGAGGCCGCCACGTATGCTTCTCCCTCTGCTGTTGAGGGATTTTCATTTGGCGTTCCTGGCGGCAAGCCTCTGCTCCCACCACACCTTGATCCGCTGCACGTCAAAGCCCATCCCGACCAGTCTGGCCTCGTCACAAATGAACCACTCGCCTTGCCCCTGCCCGTCGACTTCGCCTTCCCCGTCGCGGGCTCCGGCTAATTCGGCGCCCTCGTCCTCCGCTTTTTGGCTCCCCGTCTTGGCAGGGTATTTGTTCAGAATCACGTCGCTTTCCCCTTCAGCAGCGCCTCTCCGAAGTCGATGCATGACCAATCCCCTGAACAGCGCTACGGTGCCCACAGCCGGGAGGAATCTTTGCGCGTCCACGAAGACCGCCACCGTGATGCCGGACGTGCGGTGCGAGATGGACGGATCGTGGATCTTGATGTGTCGTTTCGGAGGGAAGGGTGTGTTTGGCCTGTGGATCAGCGAGGGAGATACCCAGGATATCAGGGCGAGGATGGTGCAGGAGTAACCTTTCTGGACGGGGAGGGCGAGGAGCGAAGCGAGGCTATCGATTGGGGCTGCAGACATGGTGTTGGGAGGGCGGGTACTGGGGCCCTCATCTTGAACAGGCGGAGCGAGATCAGTAGTTGAGCCTGTATGGTCAGTTGGCCGATGATGAGGCAGGGCAATGGGACTGTGGTTATGGGCCGCAAGAGCTTCAGGAATAGAATCTATCCCGTCATCGTTGCCGTTCTCTCGAGGAGAGCGGTTTGACGTAAGCAGAAATGGTGTGGTTGCAAAGTGACCTTGTGCCGCTTCTTGGTTGCATTCTCCTCGTGGCTGCAGTTGGCCCCCAGTATTCTCCTCCATGGATACCTGTTGCTGGATCTGGCGAAGTGCGTCCCTGCGCTGATCAAGCCGGGACTGAGACACAAAGATCGTATCGAACCCTTGGTCGTCATCTGTATCATCCTCTGATGCGTCCTGGGATACCTTGTGTGCGGGTTTGGACGACTTGGGGTTGCTCTGCGTCTTTTTGGAAGCCTGCGCTCTGTTGTCGCGGTCACTAGCGTCTCTTCTCTTAGACCCGCCTCTGCCTGAAGCCGCGGTCAAGTCGTCCCTCGAAGCATGTTGCTTCCTGTGAAACATTTCGTCCTGCTCTTCGCGGAGGAAGCCGCCCTCAAGTTCAAGTCCGTCCTTTTCCTCTGATGTTTCCACGGTCTCTCTGTCCCGACCAACCCACGCGCAATCTTGTATTCCCAAATAGATCACTCGACCTTTGCCACTCAATCGAGGCGCGCTCCTCACCTGGAACCTGAGCACTTCAATGACGTCCCCTCGTTGTAGGTCCCCGAGCTGATTTGCCCGACAGAGGAGTGCCGGCGCTAATACGGCTTGGATCTGGAGATGGCCATCCGAGACCGCGAAACGAAAGCACCACGTATTATCTGACCCTTGCGCAGTTTCGTGGTCGTGGTCGTCATCGCCGGCAATGGGAATCTTGTCTGGGTCGTATTCTTGTTCGTCGTCACGATCGACTGCGTTTCTATGGCTACCCGCATGCGCTTTCCCAAATACGTGTTCGACTCGGAGGAGCAGCGATGGTGGGTGCACGCAAGTGCGGAGGAGTTCTGCGAGGCATCTTTTCAACTTGGGCAGGGCGGTGCCAGGATAAGCAAGCATGCTCGAGACGGTCCGGCATTGTTGGCGGCCGTCGTCGTGATGCCAACGACGGCACAGTCGGTTGCTCCGTGGGCTTCGCCGTAAATTGAGGCGCGACGCGTCGAAGCAACGCGCACACGCGACTGAAGCGCTTACTAAGCCCCTTTACCACCCTTTTCTCGACAGCCTCGCAGATCCCTCGCAATTGCTTGCAGGTTCTCGACGACAGTACGTTTTTCTGTATGTCATTCGCCAGTGTCAAGGAGTAGGTCCAGTCCCAGAGGCACTAAGACAATGTCAAAGACATCAGATACGACCAAAAGACTTAGCCCCATTCTTCAACTCTCGACTAACAACAATATTGGCAGACAGCATGGCGTGGATCATGGACAGCGAGTACGTGAGACCCTGCTGATTGACTTGTGCAATCCTGCTCGCATATCAAGCAACGAGACAGGTTCTTTCGGCAATGTGGGGTGAGTCTGCTAGGCAAGCCGCAATCCCGCAGATCTGGGGTAAAGCAAATCTGGGGGAAATAGTAGGTCCCCTCACTCGGCTCCCCATACAGATCTTCATCGTACCGAAGACTGTAATCAGTCCTCTTCCCAAAGCCCCTCTCAACTATTACAACCTCTAAGAGCTCCGCCAGATCGAATCTAGCTCAGTGGAGGAGATATTTCCTTCTACCAACCCTTGTATGTGGCACTGCTTCTGCTTCGACTTCTCGTTTTGAACAGAGATCAGCAATGTCGCCAACCGAGGTCTACAGACCTGCCTTTACAGATCCCCCTGGTACAAACCTCGCCGGCATTCCCGTCTCCAACCTCAGGCTGTCTTCGCCCTATGTCTCCTATGGCCTACCATACCAGGTGGCATGTGCGAAACACGTTCGCGAGACTTTCAAAGCCTCGAGAGTGTACATCATTGCCTCCGGGACACTCTCACGCGAGACCGACAGGCTGAACAGGCTGGTTGAGGCGATCGGCAAGGATAAGATCGTTGGCATCAAGAAGGGCATGACTCAACATACACCGTGGTCGGAGATATTGCGAATCACGGCCGAGGCAAGAGAATCCAACGCCGATTGTCTTGTAACGTTGGGCGCTGGGAGCATCACCGATGGAGCTAAAATGGTGACTTTTGTCTGTTCTGGCAGAACCTAGAGAGTCCTCGATCCAACATACTAATCTCGACATCAGGCGTTGGCAAACGACATCAGGACAGCAAAAGAACTCGCCAGATATTCTGCCGAGAGCACCGACGTACCCTCCACCATACATGAGCCAAAGGTGCCGCTGATCACAATTCCGACAAGTCTGTCGGGTGGCGAGGTACTTAATGGTCCCCGTTCCCCCTTGAACCACATCCATTTCGTCAGACGCTGATGAGACCTAAAGTACTTCAGTCTAGGTGGAGGTACGGATGACTCTACAAAGCACAAAGTGGCATTCCTGCATTCCGGCATGGGTGTAAATTTGGTCATTCTCGATCCGGAGCTATGCCTGACTACTCCGCCGTATCATTGGCTCAGCACCGGCGTCAGGAGCCTCGACCACTGTGTTGAGGCGTTGTGCTCTCTCGAAAGCACAGAGACTTCTGATCGAAAAGCAGAGGAGGGCCTGAGGTTGCTGGTCCCGAGTCTGCTTAAATGCAAACAAGACCCCGAGGACGGCGAAGCACGACATAAATGCCAGATGGCAGTCATCCTTGCGATGGACAACATTCGTGCCGGGATACCCATGGGCGGGAGCCACGCGATTGGGCACCAGCTAGGGCCCCTAGGGGTGGCGCATGGCGTCACCAGCTGCATCCTATGTCCAGCCGTCATGAAATACAATATGAAGCACGCAGACGGGAACTCGGAGATCATCGACCGACAGGCCAAGGTCAGGAACATTCTCTGGTCCGAGCCAGTGGTCGCGGCACTACTGGCAAGTCAGGGCCTTCGCCAGGACACGGCAGATCTGGGCGATATTTTGGACGTCATCATCCGTGCGTTGGGCCTTCCCAGGACGTTGTCGGAGCTTGGGATTGAGAGGGACGTGTTTCCCAGTCTCTCGAATCGAGCGTTGGCGGACTTCTGGTCTCCGACAAACCCGGTTCCGCTGCTCAAGGCCGAGCAGGTTCAGGAGATTCTGGAGGCCGCCGTGTGAGAGACGACGAAGGGAAGTGACCCTCGAGTCCACCAGATGGTCTTTTCAGGAAAGTCATCAAATAAGAGTTCGATGAGAAAATGTGCTTACTTGAACTATCCCTGCTGCCATGTGCCAAATCTTGGTGGTCTCCCCCTTGAACCCCTTTGAGTCGAGTTCTGCAATCTCTTCCTTGGTCGGTCTCCAACCCAGCGCCCGCATGTGGTCCAGAGCCTGGCTTTCCTTCCTGACCCCTACCACCGGTAGTGCTCCTTTGCAGATGTTCCAGTTCATGGCCACTGCCTTGACACCGACACTGTACTTCGCAGCAAGACAGCGGAGCGGAGGATCTCCGAGGCTAGTTCTACGTGCTCCATATCGTAGCTGCTGAATCGGTATTCCTTCCTTGGGTGGCGGGTTGTTCTCGATGTACTTGCCCGACAGACGACCTTGGGCGAGGGCCGAGGAGGATTGGAAGACGATACCGTGTTTCTTGCACGCCTACAGGCATGATTTGTGGCCTTCTGGCATCGTCCTGAACACTTGGTCCACTTTCTTAAGCAGACAGCTTCGCACACACCCAGCATTTCCACACTCGATGCCTTTGTCCGAAGAGGGCCTTGAGAGGCTAAGTTTAGGGTCAACCACGTGGAGGGACTTCGACCTGCTTCCACCAGACTGACGACTTGGAACTGTTACACAACGTCGGGGTGAAGGGGAGGCCACGCTAGTGTGTAACCATGCAGCCAACGTAGCCAGGAAAGTGCAGATATGTACTGGCCAAGCAATTGCGCACCATGTTCGATTCGCAACCAAGCGTATTACATACAAACCTGCTGGTTTAGTTGGTAGCTTGAGACCGTGAGTGCTCCAGATTGTGGCCGGCATGGCTCGACATCTAGCACAGGCTCGCCGCATCATTCAACACCAGGGTCTCAATTAGAGGTTGTGAAATAAGATGTTGACACTTGGATGGAAGCAGGGAGGATCCTCAAACGGGTCAAGCGCATATCGTTGTATGTCAATCTGGCGCACGGACCATGCTACACTCCCCCGGCCTCTGAAACACAACTGTTTCAAAACTTGCGCTTTTACCACGCATCCCCATGTCTTCGGCTGTCAATATCGCCATGGGCTTCTCGCCTGGCCCCTATCACCCGCTTAGGATAACCCTGGTCGTCGACCTGGTCAAGGCGGGCTTATCGATACTGATAGGTCAACAGTCGGCGCATCTATCAAGATCGGCACAGCGGGAGACGTTTCAAAAAAAATCATGTATTCATCAGAATGTGGCAAAGTGCCCTTTGTTGCTTTAGCCAGTACTATGTTACTGAACCTCCCTTTTCCCTTTCCAGCCGCCCCCCTTTTCCTTTGGTTACTAGGCTTCGGATTGCAGTTGAGCTTGCAGCTCCTTCCACGTCGTCGCGACGATGGGACATCCGACGCCACTTCCTGCGCCTCCCCTGAAGTTCTGGAGGGTGACGATGCACGTCTGAAGACGGGTGAGCTGGTCTTGTGCAGAATTGCCTGTGCAGAGAGATTAGCAGGCGGACGTGACGTCGTAGGAGAGCGCGAGACTTTACCGGATGGGAACGCCATTCCGCTTGCGACCGAGGTTTCAAGGGCACTGGTGAAAGTGTTCAAGTCGGGTGGACAGTTGCAGCTGCTCGAGGTCAGAGATCGTCGCTGTACAAGGTGATGCTGGCGTCAACTCACGGGATGTCCACCCCATTGTCGCCGACGCAATTCGCAGTTCCGTCGGTCGCCTTGACCCCCGGAGTGATGCCGAAGGGAGGGATCAGCGAAGTATCGACCGAGCCAGAGTTGCCCCCAGTAGAGGTACCTCCAGTGCCGGCGGCGGCTGAGGTCGCAGCAGCAGGAGGGGGCGCGGCTGTAGCAGCTGCGGGAGGGGCAGCAGAGGTTCTGGTGATGAAGGTGTTGGGGGCGTTGCCACCGCCGTGGTTGAAGGAACCACTGCCACCGCCTCCGCCATGCCCCCTCTGAGCGAGAACGGGAAGAGCCGGGAAGGCGGCGGCGAGGACGTACACAAGAGCGAAGCGCATTGTTGAGGATTTGATGTTGGGGTATTGTGTCGCTGGGTATGCAGTTCAAGAGAGTGTCACACGCACTTCGGACTAGCCGGTTTGTTTGGGCGGTGGAAAGGAGTGTGTGTGGGAAAAGCGAGGGACGGTGTGTATACTACCAGTAGTAACCGCAGAAGGAAAAGAAGCACGACCTGCGCACGGAGTAGTAAGGACTGTGAAGTTCAACGAACGAATTTGCCCAGAGTTGAGATGGGGGGGGGGCAATACGAGATGGGACTGAGAGGGCCCTATATATACATGTTAGCCTGGCGTGCCTGGACATGCAAACCACGCGGCAGACGACAACACTACCGCTCCAAGGAGAAGTGATAGACGGGTTTGCGCAAGCATGGCTGTTCTTTGCGCTCCAGTCTCACAGTCGTCGTGATTCCCTTTTTGCAAATGGCATTGTTGGAGTTGGACGGATAACCCCCTGCGTTTGACACGGCGCAATAGGGGGTTCCCTTTCGCGTTTCACGTTTCGAAGATGCTGGTCTGCCACTCGCGATTGGCTGAGGATTGATCTGCGCTTGACCCTGCATTCAGACCTTCACGTCGCCGGGAGAAAGGGACTCGTGAGTGAGCAACTTTGGAAGTCGCTGCCGTCTGTTTTCTTGGTCTGCTCCGTGGCATTGGGTCTCAGAAAGAGCAAGAACTCGCACCGTGGCGCATACAGAGACCGGGACCTCTCAGCGAGGCTTACCCCGTGTTTTGGAGGGCGCTTAGATAGAGCGAGCCTTGGCATGCAATCCGATAACTGTGATACCACGACAACCGACGCCTTCGCGAAGGATCTGGAATGCCTTCTCGGGGCTGGAACCCACTCCCTCTGGGGGCAAGCGAAGTAAGTGCTCTGTGCACAAAGCCAACTCGAACCTTTCTCCACGATAGTATCAGGGAGGTATCTGACCCACCCACCAGGTACACAGGTAGTCCTACCTCGAAAGTTTTGCTTTGGTCCGCCAAAGAAGACGCAAAATAGCCCAGCGGCGAAGCTGGCCATCCCATTCCTCACCAAGGTGCCGACCATTACTGTAACTCTGCAACGAGTGCCAGATACGACTGTTGGGAGCGCGGCTTTTGTCATAGGGGGTGGCAGGAGGCAGACAAGAAAGTGTCTGACAGTTCAAATGACGACCATGACCCAGCCCAGCACCTGCGAAAAACAGCAAACTCGGCCAAATGACGTTCTCAAATGACAGCCGCGTTTCAGTGGTTAGGATTCAAGCGAATCACAACCTGGAATCACAACCTGGAATCACAACCTGGAATCACAACCTGGAATCACAACCTGGAATCACAACCTGGAATCACAACCTGGA